AGCGGACCTCTCGAGAGTCTTTCGAGATTCGTTTCTTTTTCGGGAGGTTGCTCGAACTAATTTGAAAAACTTCGATGACGGAGTCGTCCAGACGAGCGATCCAGAGCGGAGTCCCCCAGCCGGGACTCTGTGAGCCTCCTGCTCCGGATCGAGACATTGGGACTCGGAAATGGTGTGTGCACCCTTCTCGACTTGTCCCACCGTAGAACGCTCTGACCGGCTCCCGGAAGGGGAAGACGAAAATTAACAGCAACGGAGACGTTGCCTAAAAGTGAAAGTGAAACGGCGGACACAAGCTGAATTGTCGACATTTCGCTAATTACCTACACTGTTGTTGAGGCGTTTTCCTCTTCGGAGAAATGAAACATGAGGAGCTAGAGCCTCTGTGGTCAGCGCCTGGGCTTCGGGAAATCTTCAATTATGACATAAATTGCAAGAAAGAAAAAGCAAAAAAATCGTCCGCTACTGCCACGACTTCACTTTTCTCTCGCTGGCATACTGACCAGCCTGGATGTAAGGCCCGCCATGGCATTTCTCGAATTGATAATGATTCTTCGGCGAAATCAATTCCTCCGGGTATCGTTCGCCCCGCATTGTAGCCGGCGATCGCAAGACGCCGGATCATGCTTGGTTTGCTTTCCAGCTAGCTGGCTGCTTGACTGGCTGCTTGACTTTCACAACCATTGAAGATGCTGGCACGACGAATAAATTCCCCGAACGGTAAAGCGCATAGGGGATTCGGCAGAAGCAGCAGCAGCAAGTGTTTTACACGCACTGCTCGGATAATTATGTAATGAAAAGAAAAACAGGAAGCTTGCCTCGAAAATCGAGCGTAAAGAAAAAGAGATGAAGACCGATCGTACAATCGTGTTTTTAGTTGGTCGTCTTGACTCAATGACTTGGCGCAGTGATCACCTGCACTTCAGCGGACCTTCGGCGGGGAGTCGTGATAACTCTCGTATAATAATCAGGAACGGCTGCTTGCATTACACTGCTGAGGGTCGATAAGTGTCCGTACGAATCTTTTTTTTTCGTCTCGGATTCGTATAAGTCTCCGCATCGATAGCCTTGATGAAGGTTCCTTACGCAAATGCGCGTCCCTTGGTCTGGTCCCTCGATCGGTCCGCTGGGGCTCGATACGCGACGTACACGTGTCGTGGGACATTGATCACCCGTAGGATGACTGGTAATCGTCGATTTTATTGACTTCTCCTCATTTTTTTAAGGACCGTAACGAGCAATTGGGAAACGCGATCGGCGCGACCGACACCTCGATCCGACGATTTCCTAATGCATGGGGTAGTTTGGCCGGGTCCGGACCCATCATACATCGAGCTGGCTGGATCGGAACGCTTTCACACTCAATTCGGCCAACGCTAAAACGGACGTCAGTGTGACATTCCGAAGTTCAAATCGGTGTCGGTTCCAGTCCAGCGGTTGTTGTCGCTGTGCAAAACGATCGATTTCGTCATCGTTGACAAGCCAAGGGACCCGCACCACCACCAGCCGGTGAAGCTATCGCATGTTTCGCGAAGTGTCTTCTCCGGCTTATTTTTCACAGAATCTTCTCCCCCGCGTCTTCTCAGTAAACAAAACGATTGGCAGTGCAGACTCACCACGATAGACAGGCGACATTCTCGTGCCCCCGCCTAGTACTCACCAGACACTGTCTCCTCGGTTCACGTAAACAGCGGCCGAATGGCTCCGGCCAGAAATCGGAGCAGGGACATTCTGTATCGCGACATCGTATCTTGATGACTCGTTTGCGTGATCCGCTCATCAACCGCGACGACTCCTGGGGCAGCCGGCCAGAAACGAGGCGTCAGCACCGTTAACTTCTGATAGCCGCTAATCGACCGAGCGGCCGTTCCCCATAGGAAACGCGAGGCTGCGGCGCCGACGTTGCGATCATATTATTCATCGTGATATCTTCCACGAATCCGGAATGAGCCTCGATAATAGTCCATTCGCCCGCTAGTCGAGACACGAGTCATTTTCTCTCGTTTTTGTTCCGCTCCCGCGTATTCATAGAAGGTGGCGACTTCACATGTCAACAACACTTTCCGCCAAGAGCATGTTTAAGTTAAAGCCGGAAAGTTTGGGATGCCGTCGATTCTGCTTCGCGTGGTGCGCCCGTTGCGACATCCCCTCGACATTCTTCGTAAGATCGTTCGCATTATTGCCTTTGAAAAGTTCACGCTTAAAACGAGGTAATCGAGGAAGAATGCTCACCTCGGAAAAATGGTGCATTCAGATTTGCTCCGTTGCCTCTCCACGATCATCGTGATCGGTTGTTCGACGTCGCCAAGCTGGCGGGCGATCAAATTTGGTACCGAAGGAGTTTTTAGTTCCCTCAGGCAACCTCTCCGGAAGCTCCCATCGTCTGGATATTCTACTACATTCTCAAGATCAATATGTTGAATCTGAACTCCTGACAATTGGATCGTGGAGGGAATGATTGGTCTGGAACCCACCACCCCATAGGGTCGTACGACGCGAAAGAATGCTCTATCAAACTTAGAAAAAATGTCTAGACAGACAGATTCCGCGTTGAGACATAACCGAAACGAAAACGAAACGAGCGACCGCAATCACAGTGTATAAAACCGCGTCAATTTCTCCGCATCTATGCGTTCACGCCATCTCATACCTGACATCGTCGGAAGTATTGTTCTCAGTGGAACGGCCATGAATTTTGATCGGACTCGGTTCCGCGTCACCGTCCGGAGTCAGCGGAGTGGAAGGAATCTAACTGATTCCGAACAGCCATCGAATGTAAAAGACAATGCTCCCACTTGATCAGAGTTGTGCAAGCGTTTTCAAAGAGAAATTCATTTTTGCAGAGCACATCTACAAAATCACAAAACACATCGGCCCTCATCTCGGCCCGATATTGGGAGCTGCGGCCGCCGGCGGCATGGGCATCGTGGGATACGGCATTGTGAGGTCTCCGCTTTCCCCGTTCCCAGTTCCGCCTTTGCCGCTACCGCCTGTGGGAAGACACCCTGTCAAACAAGTGATTTATTATCCTGGACACCAGGATCGAGTCCCGAAAGGTGAGCAAATACCAGTCAATGCGTCACAAGTCCCTGAGTATGGCGAAAATCAAATCATTCTCGTGAGGCTCCGGGTACAAGGGACTGGACTATCCTTGGAGTAATCGACGCCTGACGACTTGTCGGGGAAGATCTAGTCTCCGAATCCTACTATCTCGCTTTCCAGGGTACCATTATCTACCGCCGGTGCAGCATCCATCGTACCATAATGCAGAGTACGGATATTATGGCAACATGGGTTATTTCGGTCAGCTGAATCGGATGAAACAGCATATGATGCCGATGCCGCACAATGACATCAACGAAATCGGTCATGATTGGTGGGAACGTTAGCGAAGCATATTGTAAGTCGGCGTCGACTGTGCATGCCAAAAATGAATGGAGCTCGTATGATTTTTATGAGAATCGCGGATTTTGGATCCGTATCGTCTTCGAGAGGCGCCTGACGGTCATGAGATGTACCCGTCCGTCTGGAAGAAGGGAATCTGAATAACTAGGGTTTGAGGCGGAGGGATCTCGAGACGAGTATGTGAAACGTTTTCAAACACAACAAGATGTAAATTAATTAAGTTTTCCTTGCAGGATTCCGCACGCATCCTCGTTGATGTCCCCCGCTGCCATTATAGCAATGTAGATATGTCACTGAGAAACGGGGTTTTTTTCCCTTAGAAAAATTCTGCAGCTGGTCTTCAGAAGACAGAGGGTTGAAGACCCTTCCGTGCTCTCACCCCTCATCTTTATATAGATTTTCTTACTGTCCAATGCGGCGTGTCGACGAACGAAGATCGAGTTCGTCGGCATCGTCCGTCGCTGAAAAACAGCGGTGCATTAACACGTTTTCTCGAGAAGGAGTGTAACGATGCGGACGGGTCATTCGGAAGTGGATTCAGTCCCGCTCTTCGATTTCTCTATCTTCCATGTCGACGCAAGCATTCGTTTTGCATCTCCCTCAAGTGGAGGCATATCACCTGTTCCAAGCCGCGTCATGGAAAGGACAAGTCGGTGGGGCTCTTCGGAGTCCCCTCATTTGATTTATTCATCTCTAGATAGAATGAGGATTGATTGAGTGTTAACTTGGGTGGTGTAGATCGGGAACCTGTTGTGAGTCAAAAGGACCAGAATAAATGGAAATTTCCGAAATTTCCTGGTTTTCATAGCTCTTTATTCACACAACATTATATGAATACAAGGGGGTATGTGTCTTTGGAGGAATGGGAATCGCCAATTTCGACCCGGAATTATGAGCAGCGTCGTCAGCAGCGGCTCGATCTCGGGCAGAAGTTCCGCAACGGCGCGAAAGGTAGGTTTATACCAAAGCGTCGAGCTGCTGCCTACAGAGATCGATATGTAAGCCGATGGCGCCATCTCCGGGAACTCAGTCAGTCATCACTGATGAGTCTTCAGGCCATCGGAGACTAATGCAAAAAAATATGCCGGTCAACATTCAGCGGCGCAGCCTAAGACTGTTGGCGGCCAGCTCTGGAAGGAGGATTAGAATGTCTATCGAGCGCTCGGAGCTTCAATCATAACGATCCACCTATCGAGACTATAGCTTCAGGTATCCATTGCCATGAAGGCGAATGCCTTGGCGCTCGCACCGAAAATTTCAGCATCGATTATCATTCGTTTGAAGTCGAGAGCGTAGCCGGGATCACGGGCCCAATACTTGATATTCCCGTTCGCTATCGAGATCCCGGCCTTGAGCATTGCAGTTCAAAACTTAGCTACCTACCCGGGAATCTCGCTCGGCGAACTCGTCTCTCGAAAATCGCAGCGACTTTGCTTCTTCATCCGGATTTCACCCACGCCATAACGCCATCCTATGTCCCCAGAAGATTGGCCAGCTGCTACCATGAGAAGTAAGAACAATGACTGATCATGAAAAGGAGGCCGGAACTCGATCCATCCTCAGGTAAAGATCACCAGCATCATTTCCTTCGATCATATGTTGGCAGATTTCGTGTTCTACGGCCGTCAGCTCTAGGTCCTTACCGGGTTCTCGTATGCGTGCGTCTCCCGTATGTCTCCGGGCTGAACTCTAATCTTTGCGAAGGGTCACCGGTTTCTTTGCGGATTGGCAAAAGGTACGAACATGAGGAGGATTCAACATGAGCTGAGCGAGAGATGTCTCAAGACCCCCAGAGTAGCGGGTAATCAAGGAGGAGGGTGGCGGGGGCTGCTTAAGGAATTCGATAACTCGATTGTGGAGTCTCTAGAAGACCTCCAGTCGAGAGCCAAGCACATATCTCTGTAAAGGAAGAACATGCTCCCCCCGACGCAGGTTTTCACCGCCTTTCATCAAGATGGAGTCCCAAGTGTAAAGCATCTACCTTCGAGCTCGGATACAGCTATTGCAATGAGGAATCCATCATGACATGAGTTGAATTTCGGAGAGCCGTCCTGAGAAGCACCGGAATCTCACAGACCATGGCGTCTCGGAGTCTTGTTTTCTCCCTTTTGTCTGGTTTTCTTGCATCCCTTTCGAGTGTACTCGGTAAACTCGGCATGGCGAGCGATCGCGCCGCAGCGATGTGTCAAACCGTCCTCTCGGCTTGGTTCGAAACGACACAGATCGAAGCCTTCTATTTGTGTGAAAGCGTGAGTGTCTTTTCTCTGAAGATAATTCCTTGGCGGAAGCGAGAAGCGAGGTGCTTCATTCCGAAATTCCGAGTATCCATAATTCGGAGCTCCTCTCCTCTTACAGATCCTGTCATTGGTGAGAGGAGGCTTCCTATTGTCGATGATAGCCTGCAATGCTCTGATGTGGACCATCTTCACGAAAGCTCTCCGGTCAAGCTCCTCGACTGTCGAAGTGACCGTTGTCAACCTCGCGGCGAACTTCTTCTGCTCTGTAAGCGATAACGGTCGTCCTCATGCATGTTCCGATGTTTTGTTCGGAACCGAATTATTCAGACCCCGATCATCGAAGCAGTTTGAAAACTCCTTCGCAAAGCTCTCAGCCGCTCCGTCAGATACTCATCCGAGTTATTTTTCTCCAGGCCATTTTCGGACAGTCATTTTTCGGAGAACGTCTCACCTTGGTCTGGGCTTTGGGGAGCGTCATCATCATCATCGGACTCGCTCTAATCCACGTTGGGAGCAAGAGAAACGTGGAGAGCGGAAAACTTTCGCAGGAAAAACATTGCGACATGAGGTACCCGGGTGCAGAGAAGATCTACGAGCGGCACCTCGCGAGAAAGTCGCAATGACTTTTTCATTTGAGATCAAACATCGACTGAATTTTTCAAAAGTATTTGTACCGCAAAATTTCGACTCGGCAATGAGCACGCAGCATGGAATGATCCCTGTTCATATGTACATAATACTGTATATCACCACCAAAGGGCAGACCTGGAAGGGTATTAGTCTGTGTGTTATGGGGACCAACTCTAGTGATTCCTTTGGACTCCGAAGGTTTCCGTTGTGATGCCCGATCTCGGTGGTGGATCGTCGCTCGCAAAAACAACGCTGCCTATCTGTGATTCTTCGGAAGGAATAAATGAGCTCCCCCAATGAATCAGCCGAGGCGCAGATTTTCAATTTTTCTTCCCTTCCGAACTTCGGTACGCTATCGAGAAAGAGCTTCCGTTTCTCTGTGAGTCTCGCGAGACCAATCGGGGGAACACGGCCGAGTTTCGACGCTTATCTGGGAGACACTCCTCCCATCAAGCACGATGCCGAAGGATAAGCAGGACTCCGGTGGATGCTCTCGGTTGATTGAATTGGCAGGCTCGCGTCCTGGATCGAGAACAGGATTTTTTTTCGTCTGCACCACGACAAGCTCCGGTCGTTCGCACCCTTTCCCTTGATTCGGTTTCCCGTAATGAGACTCGGCCGAAACGAGTCTCGACCATGCGCTCGGCGGCGGAGCGTTCCGCTGGTCCGTCGACGGCGATTGGGAAACCACGAGAGTGTCGCGAGTCGAAACAGACGACTATGATTTTGCGTCGCTGTTTTGGCTTCCTCGGAATATTTCTCGGGCGAGCCGAATCCTGGCATCAATGCTACAGGAGAATTTCCACGGTCGTGTTGATGATATGCTGCATAAGCCTAGTGTTCTACATGTCAAGATACATGGCGCGACTGGTGGAGTCGAGCTCAGAGAGGAAGCAACAGAAAACTTCAACGGAGCTCGCTCGCCTCCCTCTTCAAATCTTGGAGTTCTTCTCGCATATCTACCTGGTGTACGAGCTGCGCACTAATGAACGAGTGCTGGGAATTACGTTCCGCAGATTGAAAACTCAAACCCTTCAGAAACACAAAAGAGCTCTGACGGTGTCAATTGTGCTCTCTATCTCGTTGACTGCAGCTGTAGCTTCTCTGCGCTTCGCTAGGTGCTATTTCCGTCCTGTGAGCTACTGTTTCAGAGTTCTGCACTACAGTGCCGTCATGACCCCGCTGAGAGTGATGTGGAACCTCTCCTTGAGCCTGTACGTGGTACTCGTCATGGAACTCATCGACCAGGTGAAGGCTTTCCCCGAGAAAATCGCTCATTGCGGAATCGTCCTCCTGAACGGTGAAAACGGACACGACCTGAAAAAAATGTGTCATCGGGCCTTCACCCTCAAAGCCGACTTCCGAGCCCGGGTGGCAATCATCAATCGGGTCTTCTCGAAAATGCTGCTGTTCCACTACGCCAAATTACTGCTCTATTCGATCAGCATATTCTTCCGAGCTCAACAAAAAGCAGGACCCTTCGAACTCGCTGCAGCCGCGATCGCTCTGATCCACTTCTCAGCGGAGATTTTCATTCTGTCCTGGGGGGGAACTAGTCTTCAAAACGCGTTGCGGGACTCGGTCGACCGCTTCAAGTCGGCAATGGTTGAGGAGGCGCCGAAAAACGTTCTGATGATCTCAGAGATCGGAAGGATTCTGAGTTTCGATGTCACGCGCGATGCTCTTCTAATATGGGACTCATTTGTGCTTTGCCATGCATCTGTTGTTACTTTTTTCGGAGGTATTGTATCCTTCGTGGGAATCGTGCTCCAATTCGATCACGAGTTCACGAGATCCCTCAAGGAACCGAAAAGATGAGAGAGGAATCAAAAATACACTATCAGTGTACTTACTCCGATGAATATGAATACTAACGATGAATAAACGAGTACGAGGCGAATCCGGAGGTGTGTCTTCGCTCGATGAGCTCCGGAAATCATTAGGGAGAGGGGAAAAAACTTGCCCATTGATTTTTTCCCGGGCCGACGCTACCTTTATTGAGTCAAGATTTCGTTCGGGGGATATAGAATTAATTTCCCCACATTTCGGACAGAATATCACGTACCTACTTTTTACATCAACCGGAGGCCGTACCGTTGAAATCCGTGCCATTGATCGCTAAGAGAACCGTTTCCAGCTGCGGAGCTGGGTGTTCGAGCTGTGTTCGGAACTCCTGGTCGAATTGAAGGATTATGGCGATCAACGAGAACATACCAACCAGTATGGTGACAGTTGTTCCCTTGGAGAAAATGAACGAATCCCATATGGTGAGAGCGTCTCTCGATGGGTCGAAATCGAGAATTTTCTTCACCTCGGCAATCATTGGGAAATTGCAGTTGTTTCTCTTGACCAGTAAAAGCTCAATATCATCGGCCGAGGCGTGGAAGGTCCTCATCAGTCGACTGCTGGTCCATGAATAGGCGGTGATTCCGCACAACAGGAACAGAGTTTCGAGAATCCATGCGTAACCCTCGAGGTAGCTCTTGGCGACGATTTCTCGCAGCGAAGTCAGAACCGACATGAAGATCCGCAAGTGCAGAACCAGCACCAGGAACGAGAAGATTTGATTCAGGGTGGAAATTTTCGTTCTGATTGTCGCGCGGAAACGCATCGATTGCAGACACAGCCGGTTGTAGTCGATGTAGTCGTTGAACGTGATCTCTCTCGCTAGCTGCGCCGTAGTTTCGCCTACTTCATCGATAATCGACCAAGTCAGTATGAGGTAGAGGATCATCGCGTAATGCCATATGAGCTGAACGGGAGCGTAGCTCATGTAGGCGCCGATCTGGTAGATATCCTCCTCGAGGAAAGCGGCGAGCGTGTTGTTTGCATGGGTGGATTTGTAAATCAGACTCGTGCGAATTATAGTCACCAGAATTGAAGCACACAAGAAGGCCAGCAAGAAAAAGTCCCGTTTGTAAAACCTCCACGACGATATTCCTTGGAACAATTTGGCGAGTTTCTTCTCGAATTTCCACAGGGAATAGTTGCATCGTACGTGGGCGGCCGCGTCGCAGAGTTTCAAGAGCACGGTCGCGATGTCAGCCGAAGAGTCTTTGCTCTCCTGTTTCATAGTGACAATCTCCAGAGTCATGAAAAAACACATTGAGGAGATGATGATGGTTACGGCTAATCCCGAGATCACTTTCAGAGCGGTCTGCCACACCTGTAGAGGTCCATCGACGAGCCACACTCCGACAATTTTCAATAGTACGTCGAGAGCACGAAACGATGATGGTGGGGGGGCGAGGAAGATCGCGGGCAAACCGCTTGACTTCCGCGAGAGCGGTCTCGAACGAGAGAAGTCCTCGAGGGAAATCACGTCTTCGTTGAGGATGTCTGCCATTTCGTTCGCAGAGCTCTCAGTTCCGGCCTCGAGCTGAAATGCGAACCTGCCAGCGGAGTACGGCTGGGACGCCTCGCTCCGGCCATCCGGGTGGGTGGAGTGAAGTGGACTCCAGCCAGCGGAGAGACGGCAAACACGATTATTGCACCATGGACGACGGAACATCTTTTGCTGACTTAGTGAAATTAGCATGAACAGAGTAGGCGGAACTAGTGCCCAGACTTCGACTTGAAGCCCGACGGAAACTGTCTGCGATCGTCGCGCGGTTCAACGTCCGATGCCTGTCCTCGACTTCGGAGAAAGTGCTCCTTTTCCGTCTCCCTGATCAGCGGCCGGGAAGAGCAATTGTTTCCAGATCGAGTGCTCATGGGACGTCAAGCCATGAAGAAATCAGTCTCCTCCCAACCTTCACATGGATTTATTAATTTTTGTATATTAATGACTTTCTTCACTCTTCAGAACGATAGATCTCATTTTCTTAAAAATAATCCTTTGGTGATTCCCACTCGCTAATCGGGCTTCATTCTCTTGACTAGCAATTCCTTGTGTCCTCACGCACAACAGACATACAAAACTCTCATCCCGGGCAGATGAAGCGAACATGCTGCTCACATCCCGCGAAGCAGCACGATATGGCCGTCTTGCGATTAGAAATAATGTCTTGCCACATACTCACCTCGATGCGATCCTCACATTCATGTAAAATGATTGTAACTTCGAGGGAATCCGGATTAAAGAACTAATCTTTGGTCGCTAAATGACTAGCACGGTCATGATAAGTAAATTCGTGGAGCGACCGCTAACTGCGACCGCTCACACGACAAATATCCGGATCAGATGACACCTTTCTCCCCTAGATAACAGAGAACTTCGGGTTCTGCTCGTATTCAAGGCCGAGAAAGCGAACGACTTGTGAGGCCGGGAAGACTTCGGATCATTCCTCGGCTTCGGAAGAACTGTAACACCGATTGCATTCCAATGCAGTCTCTCGAATCCTTATGACGGGTCCAGGCGTAAGTAGGTCTGATGAACAGCCGAAGGTGATATCTGAAGGTCTTCAAGGATCGCCCACTACCGCAGGGATATCTCAGACCCCTTCTTCAGCTCTTTCGCTCCAGCCGATATGTTGGTCGTGCGCCAGTCTTCTGCGACTTCTCAGCCGACTCGTTCACCACGGGTGAGCTGTGATCGTCTCTCTGCTTCCTTCGCTTCCATGTCGAAATAATGCACGAGTATACCACGGGTTCATTCGGGGAGTCCGCAGGAGCTCTCACGAGAACACGCCGTGTTTCGCGCGGAGATGCCTCTTCAAAGCGGTCTTTTCTCTGGCCCGATAAGGGCATTTCGGGCATGGCTGCGGTCTCTCGCCCGTATGGATTAGGAGATGATTGCCAAGATGGGATCTCATGTACGCGTTGAAAGGGCAGAACGGACACTGAAACGGTTTCTTCACCTGCGGCTGGTGCTTGTACATGTGATACCTGGAACATTATCCGGGGGGTTAGAGGCGTCTTTGAGAAGGAATGAGGGCACGGAGTCTTCGAATGCTCCGTCCGTGAGAGATGCTCCGTCTTAGAACACGGAGGTCTCGAAGGGTTTCCGATCTGGGGTTTCCTTTTTCCAAAACGTCTTATATGGCAAAAACTTTTTTTTTATTTCTAAGACCCAACATGCCGGACGATGTCATGATTGATGATATTCGCGGTGTGGTACTTCAAGTCGGATGGATGAATCATCGCGCGCTCGCTCAGTTCCCGCGGGGCTTATCTTCGGCTCTTGCAGAAATGATTCTGGCTCAGGCGAACACGAGGGAGTCTCCGAAGACGCACAAAGCATCCTCTCCATCGCCGCGACGGAACGTAAGCTCTTCGGCAATCTGAGACTGGGCTTGATCCCAGTTTGGGAGCCCCGACAGGAGGAAACTTCACCAATCCGTTCCGAGTTTCCTTCACCGACAACATCGAGGAGGTTCATAAGCCTCAGAAATGCATTCTTCTGTCTATTAATACAATTGAGCATGTCTTCCCGGTACGCTGACAGAGCTTCGGATAGAGTCAAAGCACCCACAGGATTGGCTGGGGCTAGGCGTCGGAGTTTCTTGCGGAGCCGCCGGCTCCTACCATCAACGAAAGACCACAAGTCGGAGAAGGCGAACAACATTTCATCGGATAGGCGCTCCTCACAGAACGGTTCACCTCGATCCGATGGTAGAACCTCGCTCGTGTCCATGCTTGGGAGCTCGCGCGAGGCGGAAGTGTTCCGCTCAAGCTGACACGCTCGGGACATTTCACGTCATTCGAGTCCAGCCTGCTTCGTTTTCTCGAAGAGACACTAACCTCAGTGTTTGGGTGCTGCGGGTGGAATAAGCACACTTGTTGCAGTAGAATATCCCGTTTGAGGCCATGGTCGCATCCAGAGTGGGCTTCTGGGTGCCCTCGCCTCCTTCACCAGCGTCAGCTGCGGACAACTGTTCGAAAAAATTAGGATTGGTTGGCTCGATTCACACGTCAGAGGTAGTTTCGCCTCCGTGGAAGTCACTGTTCAGTACAGATCGATGTGATATGTCCCTCTGGCCTCTAGAACTCTAGACAACAAGACTGACCTCATCCGCAGGAGAATCTGGCCTTTCGGTCTTGATCTGGATGCAATCGTCATCAGGAACAAGCCAATCTGAGGATGAAGAGAGAACGGAATCAGTCGCATGGAAAACCCAATCAGCCTCCGAGCGGGTCCCTCCCCAGACAGTGACACCATAGATCATCTGTGGACTTTTCTCGAACTCATGAACGTAACCCGCAGCGAGACCGCGTGAATTTATTTCGCAGGAAGGCTCAGCGAGAATAAATATCGCTCAATTGTTGACATTTGGAGAGTTCTCATCCTCATGCTTTCTGACTTAGTCGATTTGAATCCAGAATACTTCCGTCTGGAAGGAGAAAGATTTCTTACTGACTAATTCCGGAAGCTTTCGAAGCATGTACCCCACAATCACTCCACTATACTCTGCTGGAGTCATAGTTTAAAAGCCGAGTTTCCTGTCCCGACAGGCATAGGACCAACTATGCAACGAGAGTCCCTCAGTCGGAAGGGTTCTGTGGAAGCTTCACGTGACGATAGATAGCCGCTCACGAGACTCACGAGGAGCAGGTATATAAAGACGTCAAAATCCTGCCCGAAACTGACACCGCATCCGTTTCCCGAAACTCTTATTCTCCAATCAATGGGTCGTGCTGACTCCCTCGAGTCGACTTAGTCATCTATCCAGAACAACACAAGCAATCTCGGCGGATAACCAAAGGGAGGAATCTTGAGAGATACTGTTCTTGGCGAGAGTACACCGTCATCAGTAGCCGGATTTCGAGCTGGAGCCGACATCACATCATTTCTTGACTTGGGTTGCTCCGTGAATCATAATCGCTCTACCGAAGGAGAATTCATCCGCGCGATCAGATGTCCCTGTTCGTTCAGCCGTTGCGGTCAGCTGCTGAGGTGCTCGCGAGAGACACGTCGATACGAGCTCCATGGGCAGAAGCGGAAAACGAACTGGGATTCCGGCGAATTCCTGGAGAGACACGACTCCAACACAGAAACTCGGGTTCAACACGGACGTAAATGCACACAGGTCGAGAACTCCTGGGTTCGCGCTCAACGGCCCAGGCCTCCACCCGGACCGTTAGCTAACGGTAGACTTCGCCGCGCACTTCTCTCCTCATAGAAGCTTCGAGGATCGGTATTTTCGTTTTCCGGGATCGATCCCCGCGTACCGGACCTCTCGACATGCCCCGATCTCCACGGACTTCGTGATCCTTACACGGAGCGATGTTCGATAAATCATTTCATATGATTTCTGGTCACGGATTATTTTTTCTGTGAAGCTTCTCCTCGGAGCGATGAGTCAAGTGCAAACACAATGAGCAGGCGGCGGGAAGGGCAACCTCTCTCTAGCTGAAAGTAGACCATCATCTGTGGGACTAGCAGCTGTGGAAGAAAGCAATGCGGCAGGTACATATGTGGCTCTGTGTCAGTCAGAGGCCGTCAGATGGAAATCTCGATAACGGAGAGGAGTCTGGCTCGCAAAGAAAAACTCAAGGGCGACGGGAGAATATGGAAAGAATTGGGCCAATTCAACCTCTATTCTCGGAGTGGGACCGCGGCAATCGTAGAACCCGATCGACGAGGCTTCCTTGGTAGCTTAATCGCCCTGTCACCCTTCCCAACATCCGGTCACCTTTCTGTGCGATCTGATATGCTTTTTGTCCCGAAACGGAAGGACGGAAAATTTCTCCGTTTTCCCTACGATTGGGCCACAGCATGGCGGCTTACCAAAAACCTTGGTCGGGTGGGCACTGCAGAGAAGGAGGGTATTCCGTGACTATAATTAGTCGCCGTTCACTTGAGCACGGGCGCGACCCGGCTCTTTTTGGGAAAAAAGACGAGGCGCGTCGATCCTTTTCCTCGGAGAGAGGCATACACGTTTTTCAGTTGCGAAAAAGGACTTTCCCGGAAAACATGACGGCCAGGTTAGAATCTCCTGGCGATCCGAGAATGAGGATCCGACAGGGCGCCGGCTGAGAGGGTACTGTCCCTCCTAAGGAGGAGACGAGGAGACCGCGATGTCCGCTCTCTCTGAAATTAGATCATGTGGCGTGCCACCTCTGTTTATGCCGAAAAGAATGGACTGAACACCCACGATGTGACTGCGACTGACTCGCGGGCCGCGGGGGCTCAGCGCATCGGGCAAGAAGGGACGAAAGCCTTGTCATCAAGTCCTAATGATGGAGTCTGGGATCCAGCCCTGACCCAATCTGATCAAGTCTTCAGATGAAATCCGTTCTGATGTTCTGATTCGACTGTGAAATGATCGTTATCCGGTGTAGTTCAGGCGTAAACCGAAGCTGATTCGGACGAGGCTTATCATACAGGCCCTTCGACCATGGATTGACCGTATGTTCGAAAAAAAACAGAGCGCAGGGCCGCTGAAGTCATTCGGAGCTATCAGCAGAGATCATTGGAATCATTGTTTTCACTCTCCTGTCGCCGGATTCGTAAAGGGAATTTTATTCCAATGTATCTCCCCCCATGCAGTCCCCTGAGAAGTCACATACGGACGATCATACGCCTTGACGAGCCTACGCGTGACCATACACGAGAGGGCTGTACCGTCGCACTGGCTTTCGCGCTCACGTCATAACTTTGCTCTCAGCTTGCTTCAGCTGCTGCGATCGGATGCATAGAATGGAACGATGACGGGCGACGAGATGGACAGGAGCTCACTGCGTTGATATCCGTCCCGAAAATCCTCCCGGTCCCGCTAGAACTTGGCCGAGGGCTATGACTCCCGGATGCAGTCGCACATTCGGTTCCGTCCGCATGTTCCCAATGGAGAAACCTTTCTGAAAAAAACCTCTGGATGTCGGGAAAATGTTTTCGCTTGCAAGGATATTTGTGGCTGTTCCTTCCAAATCTTCATGGTTTTAACCTCGGAGATCCGGTAAGGCTTCAGATCCGATTTTGCCTTCAAGTCGACCGACTATCACCACCGGAACTCGTTCGAGGGATACACAAAAAAATTTCAGACGAATTCCTCCGCCTCAGAAGTTTATGTCGCTCCGGCGGGTCGCAGGTCAAGAACATGGGGGCGAACATCAAGATTTGTCTCCAGCGGAATTCAGGGGTGTTTCGATTGTCCCTCAGAGAAGGCCTGCCGGCCAGGAGTCAGGTTCTAATAGTCGTCGATGAGTGTGACGGGGAGTCCAATTTCGTCAAAGACATCCTTCGCGCACATCTTCTCCATGAAAGGTTCATATCATTATCGTTCCGACGAATTCAGTTCAGCTCTCGATATCTTCTGCTTGAGAGAGTAAATCCGATTGGGTTCCATGTCAAGGACGGGTTGTGCAGTTTCAGACCAGTTGGCTCCACTCCATCGTTACGACTCGAGGTCGGGGGTTTCGACGCTCCGGTGGAAGCGCAGGAACTCAGCATTGTCAAGGTGTGGTTCAAGCCTGGAGGCATGTCGGACGGCTGATCGAAGTATAGAAGGGGTTCCCTAAAATGAATGGATGGATGCGAGCGAGCAAGCATCGATTAGAGTCTTTTTCCGCAGATTCCTGAGGATTCACTCGAGTGCGCCGCTTGCCGATCGACGGCTGCGGACCTGCAGAATCTGAGAGTTCACTATCGGTGAGTTCCAGGGAGCTTGACGATCCCTTTCCGAATACGGGACACAACCGGAAAGCTGCGTATTGCCCAAGTATCGGATGAGTTCGCAGCAGACTTCCTGAAGGCGAACTTTTTTCAGAGAGCATATCGCTGACGGCACGCTGTCGTGTTCACACTGCGAGATTCCCTTCAGCACTCTCGCATCTTTCAAAGAACATCTCCAACTGCACGAGCAGAAAGTCGAGAAACAGCTCGATCGATATGTCGCGCGCTGTGATCAGTGCGAAATGACATTCAGCTCCGTGAAAGGGCTTGCGAGTCACCGGAGGAAACACGTGTCCGAGCGGAAGATACCATTGATGGATGACCGGAGCATGAGTGAGTGACGGGAAGAATCTTCAAGCTTCCATGAATTCCACATTATCATCGAGTTTCCGGTGGATTGCGCACAACGGACTCGTTATTGACTTTTCAGATGAGTCGCATATTCTCGTTCAGAAAACAGAGGGTCCCGTGACTGTTCGACGTCTTCTGGAGGAGCGCAAACAGCCTATCGATCAAAATAAAGCGGACCTGATCATCTGCTCGCGTTGTGGTGAACTTTTCAACGCGAGGACGAAACTCGGTGAGTTGTAGTCTATGATAGGGGGGCGGGGGCGCATCGAGAGGAGCTCCAGTAGATTCCGGAAATACTCCCTCGTAGGAGAATAGAATAGAAAATTGAAAATCGAACTCGCTCCGCAGACGCACACCTCCTGAAAATGCATCCGGATCTGCTGAACGACCGATGTCCACAATGTGATCGGGTTTTCCTCACTCCGGCCCTCTTGCGCAGTCACATCCTGGAGAGACACAGTGGTAAATTATGTCGGATTGCCTCAATCTGAAGTTCACCGAATTTCCTGCGAAAGTGTCGGCCACCCCTCCTCAGAACTAATTGAAGTCGACATTGCAGTACATTTTTCGTCCGCCATCGGAGCCGCCTCCGTTTCGCCGGATCAAAAGAAATTCGGTTGCCAATACTGCCCAGCGACGTACAATGAGCCCGTGGATTTACTTTCCCATTGCAAGATGGTGCGCAGCGTCTCGATAAAAAATTGTTCTTGCCATCGTCCTCCGTGCCGTACCTATTGTCCAAGATTTGAATCTTATTTCCGCCATCTAGGAACATCTCGAACGTCTGAGATCCTTTGAATGTCCGAATTGTGCGAAGAAATTCTGCATGGAAAAGAGATACCTCAACCACATGCTCTCGAAAAGTGAGTAAAACAAGCGGGCTTTATTCGGGTCAGTTCTAGAGGATTCTCCAGCGCGACGCCACTCCCCTTCAGGCAACGATTGCGGGAAACGACCGGTTTGCGTTCTCTGCTCGAAGTTCTTCTCCTCCCCGAAGTCTCTGCGAGATCACATGCGAGCTGTGCACCCTGAGAGCGAATCGCCAACGAGGTGAGATAACCAGAACGCCATTCCCCAATATTTCTCCAGATTATTCTCGCGAGTCACGAGTGATATCTGATCGCTCCCGTTTAATAATCGTTCATCTGCATATCCCTTAGACTGATTCGGTGCGGAGTGTGCAACGAAGGCTACGCTACCAAATCAGCTCTGCGATACCATGTGAAAGGTATGTCCCACACTCACATTGAATTCCTGTGCGGTTCGGGGACCTCCGGCGGAAGATTTGTAGTTTTCAGGAAGTTGCTCTATATTTTCTCATCGACTTCTTGATTCGGCAGCTAAGCACGGCATGGAGCGGTACCCTTGCTCAGTATGCGATAAAACGTTCGCCTTGTCAGTTCAGAAAATTCGACATGAGCGTAGAGTTCATCTACGGGTGAGTTGTGGGTTCTCTGTGACGCCGGTAGCTGATATCTGTATTATATACATGTAAATTTCCGGTTTCTCGTCAGAATTTCTTTCTTCAATTTCGAAATCTCCAATGATCATCCGCAGGGCGACAAGCTTTTCTCATGTAATCTCTGTGAGCGGACATTCCTGACCTCCCGAGAACTTCTACAACACCTCTTGAACGGGCACAAAGTGGTACCGAGCGTCAACGAACAGGGTCAAGCGATTCTACCGGACGGCAGCGTGAGAATCCATTGCTTCCATTATCCAGCATTCGCCTCCGGACCCCCCTCCCCCCTCAGGGCCAGGATGTTGACCAATCTCCCATATTTGCTTCCAGATCGGGCCCACGATGAAATATTACGCGTGCGAGTATTGCTCGATGACGACGTACTCGAGGAAAAGTTTCATTCGCCACCGCGTCAGTCATACAGGGATTTGGCCATTCACTTGTGAAGTTTGCGGGAAAGTGAGTCTCCGGACTCGACATATCTAGTGAAAAAATATGTATATCTCATGGCACTCTAATATTCTATAATATGTACATGAATGGGTATACGTATCTTGTAGCGGCAAACTTGAATTGGTATCTAGAGATATACGAGCCGGGATGCGCGAATGATTCCGCCATTCATGGCTCTGTTTTGAACAGGGTTTCTTGGAGCGTTTCCAAGCTCTTAAGCACGTGCGACATCAACACGCTCTGACATCAGAGACGACCCTCAATTGCCCCCAATGTCCGAGGGTGTTCGTGGACGATTCGAGTTTCGAGATTCACCAGGACGTGCACCGGAACTCGACGGGACACATCTGCGAGATGTGCCAAAAGCTTTATGAGAATCAGCACGCTCTGGAGGTTCGATAGACTTCTTCTCGGGATAAATCTTCCCTCCCCCCGCAAATGGGCTATTCATTCTAATGCGCTCCTTTTCCTTTCCCAGAACCATAAGTCGATCGCCCACAACATTCCGGTGGATGAGAAATTCCGATGTGAACTATGCAGCCAGGACTTCATCGATGAAGCTCTGCTGCGGAAACACAGAGTTTCGACCCATAGACACTTCAAATCTTTCCATTGCCCGTTGTGCTCCCGGACCTTCAAACGCCGGGTAAGACTTCGGCTCAGATCTGGACTGAGTACGCGTCGGGAGGAAGCGCAGGAATCTCACTAGTGAAGTATCGCTCATGCCTTCGAACTCGATTTCCAGGTCGACTTGCGTCTGCACATCTACACCATGTGTCGTCTCCGGAAGCCGCGGAAAACATGCACGTTGTGTGAGATGAGATTCGGTAGTTCCCATCTGTTCAGGATACACCTCCGATTTCATGAAGGTCTCAAACCCTTCTCCTGCTCGAACTGCTGCAAATCCTTCACACTGGCATCATCGCTTTCGAGACACATGTTGAGAGAGCATATAATATCAGAACAGCGAGAGGTGGGTGGAATTCTCCGGAACTCCAAAGAAGGAGTTTTCTGTGATGAGAGCATAAAACCCTAGAAAACGGAGAAGATCTCTTCGTTTCCACCGAATCGTTGCTAGTGGAGGATCGGTGTCAGGGTATAGAGAACGACCCTCTCTTTGTTTCCAGGATTCGAGGAAAGGGGGAGCTTCGCCTGTCTTTGACGAAACCCCGGCAGCATGCCCAGAGCTTCCGACATCGACGAGAGTCACTGACGTTCTAATCGCCTCCTCTTCGGATCTACTCGACTTGGCCGAAATAGCCGACGTCATGGAGGTAGACTCCTCCGTAATCTGAACGCTCAACGGAGAGGGTTCACAGCGTTCCGAGGACGGCTTTCACGCTCCGTTTTAATTTCGTGTCGATGTCGGGATCTGCCCGGTAAAGACACACCAGAAGGAAGCAATGAGAGGCTTGAGGGGAGAGTCGAAAGTTTCCGGACTGGTATATCGCATGACCTCGCCCAAGAAAGACCGCTCCTATCTACCGGAATGGCTATTCTGAACACTCTCCGAAAGTTCTGCGGAACTCCTGGTTGCGGAGTATGAGCAGCGTAGTAAACCTGATTTCGATCAACTTTCTCGGGATGAATAAAGCATCAGACTTTTCGGGATTTGTCTTGTGCCTCTATTTCCTCCGGTCTACCCCTCGAAGTACTGGACTCCGGTCGCCTACGGTCCGAGGTTTCACCAAAAAACAGGGATGGGCATGCGTCGAACTAGCGCCCATAACGCTCGAAGCAAGGTCAGTAATGGCCATGCAGATCCGCATTGGATGCGCAAAGCGGAACCGGAGCTAATCATAAGTAATAATTAGAGCTTCGATATGACCGAAGATTGCGATATTACGTGCGGTATTCAGACTCTTTCGCAAAGTTGAATTCAAGACGCTTTTGGTTTTCCACGGTGACATAAAAACTTCTCCGAGTCTCGGACCATGATGTGGCATGTACGTGGTTGAGCCTATGAAATCCTTCTCAACCGTGCAGCTAGGCTCCGGATGTCCGGTCTCATGGAAGCTCGAGTAATGGCCCATAGAGGCGAATCACGGTGAAGAATAGAATGAGGAGAGGATTTCGCAAGTATAGAGGCTGACGATTTCGATGCATGATGGGTGCGGCGCCCTGATATGATCCTCTTTTCTATCGGTCTCGTTCCATCAATCATGGGCCCCGGGTTCGCGCATTTCCCCGACCCTCGCCCTGATTGGATTGGTCTGTTTACGCGGCGAGAAGCAGCCGAATTCCTGTCCGTTGTTTTCCTCCGAACAGCTGATTTTCCGCAATGCGCGTGCCGCTCACTCGAATCGAACACGCTTCCCCGGCTTGAATGAGTTCCGCTGATCACAGAACGCCTAGCAGCCGAGCTGGCCTGATGAGTGTCCAGTAGCAGATTCGACTGCATTGAATGAGTGGAAGAGGAGAGGCTGCTCAATGTTCACTCTTTATCCGAAGACAGTGCTGAGATGCCGGCTCCGGGTCGGGAGCTCACTCACGTCCCGAAGTATTCGGGATGCGAGCACCCCGCATCGCATAAATCCTGTCGGTGTCCAGATGCTGCCCCCTCGACTCTTGCAGACAGTTTTCCCGAGGCACAAGGGGAAACCGGTCGAGGCTGAGAAAATCGCTAGCAGTATCGAACAATTGAAGAATCACGGAGTTTACGATCTCGAAGCCCCGAGACTCCCGGACGCCGAGATCGAAATCCCTCCCTTGAACGGAAAATCCATCTCGGAACATTTCCAAAATGTCGGCGATAAGTACATCAGACCCTATATCTCAGCCGTCGACGCGCTCATCCAGTCCAGCGTCCCACCAATCCCCGAAGAATTCGCTTTCAAATCAGGATGGGTACGTTATTCAGAAGACGGCAAGAAATTCAGATGTGTCAGGGCACCGAGAGAGGATGCCGTGGTTTTCGATGTGGAGACTGTTGTCACCGAGGGCGGTCTTCCAGCGATGGCCGTGGCTCTCAGCGCGAAACATTGGTATACGTGGTGCTCACCCGCATTGGTGGAGGGTCGTGACCATCGGGTCGATGTCGTAACTCCCGACGCGCTCATTCCGATGGACAGAGCCGGCTCGAAGAAGCACCAAGTGATTATTGGTCACAATGTGGGTTTTGATCGGAGCTATATCAGGGAGCAGTACTCATTGGAAACTACGGGAACTCGTTTCTTGGATACCCTGTCGATGCACGTCTGTGTGTCCGGCCAAACGAGCGAGCAGAAAATTATGACGATGTCGCTCAAGAAGAAAAGAGCCGCTTACGAGGAAAAACTCAAGAAACAGCAAATATCCGCTGACACTTTCAGACCACCCCCAAATATCAAATGGAACGCCGTGTCGTCTCTGAACAATCTGGGGGACGTGTACCGCCTGTATTGCAACAGAGAGCTCGAGAAGTCGGCGAGAGACACTTTCGTGACCGGAACTTCGGACGACGTACGAAAAGATTTCCAACACCTAATGAGGTACTGCGTCCTGGATGTGCTGGCGACGAGGAACGTGCTCTGCAAGCTGCTACCCATGTTTCGAGAAAAGTTCGCGCATCCGGCTACGTTTTTCGGCGTCCTAGAAACTCTCACAGCCTACCTTCCAATAAACGAGAACTGGAGGAAATACCTGGACAACTGCGGAAAGATCTACGATGAGCTCGATTCCAGAAGCTCGGCTATCCTTAATCGAATCGCCAACGAGACGTGTGCGATGCTCGAAGGAGACTCCTACAGATCGGATCCTTGGCTCTGGGACCTGGATTGGTCGACGCGCGAAACGAAATCTGCAGCGGGCATCGGAGGTTCCGAGGGTGCGAGCGCAAACAACGATGAATCCCAAAGCAGTCAAGTTCGGAAACCGAAATGGTTCAGAGATCTGAACGAGAAGCAGGATTCCGAGGAAGCTCGACATCCGGCCTGGGAATCCGAGTCGTGGAGCTTCTCCATCCGGAAGAGATGTGTCCCGAAGCTGCTGAGAATCACCTGGGACGGATACCCAGTGCATTACCACAGCGAACTGGGCTGGGGATATCTGATCCCAGCTGAGCCCGACCACCCGACTTGGTCTTCCGATGGGGACGCGAGCTCAAGGGAGAGCCCTACCGAGGGAAAAGGTGGATTTTTCCCGCTGGAATCGTACCTGAAATTGATCGATGAGCACCGCGCACGAGAGCAAACAGATGAAAGTCCCAGCAGCGCACCGGGACCTGAGGAGGCCGAGGAAAAGTTCTCCGACCTCGGCGACTTTTCGAAATTGGACAACGACTGGAAAGATGTGTCCCAGGAAGCCGAGCGTTACTCAACAACTTCAGAGAAGACCAAACTCAAGACGAACTATCCGCAGACTACATTCGATATCGGACTGAGAGGCGTCAGGTTTAAGAAACTTCCCAGGAGTCCGGGCAGCGCTTACAACGCGGGCTCCCCCATGAGTCGGTCGACTATCGAAAAATACTGGGGCACCAGGATGAGCTCCCGCAACCCGGAAGATATAGCCGAGTTACTCGACATTATGAAACACACTTCGTATTGGAAGACTGTTCGTAACCGAATCTCAGATCAGGTGGCGGTCTGGAATTCGGAGAATCAAGGTGCGATCCTACCTCGAATTCTGCCAGCTGGCACAATATACCGGAAACCCGTGGACAGAACGTGGTCGACAACGAGCCATGCGGCTAAGGATCGCATCGGCTCCGAATTCAAGGCCATGGTCCAAGCACCGGAGGGCTTCCATTTCGTAGGGGACAGCCCTGATTCCAAAGAGCTCTGGATCGCCGCGCTCCTGGGAGATGCCGATTGCGCGAAAATGCACGGCTCGACGGCGCTCGGCTGGAGGGTTATCCATGGGGGGCTGCTCTGCGACCGCGGACTTCATCAGGAGACCGCCCGGATTATCGACTGCACAGAAAAACAAGCGAAAATCCTCGATCTCGTAAGACTGCACGGCGGGGGTCAGGGCCTGCTCACGAAGATCCTGATGGAACTCATGCCGAACATGAGCAACGCGGAAGCTTTCCTCCGGACCAAGGATTTGGTCAAGCTCACGAAGGGCGAACGGCAATGGCCGGTAACGAAGAGCAAACCCGTGAGCGTCAGAGCCGTGGGCCCATACCAACGAGCGCTCACGTTCGCAAACGGAAAGAGTTGGTTTGAAACTAAGCTCTGGACGGGAGGCTCGGAGTCGCATTTCTTCAATAGGTTGGAACAAATAGCCTCCGAAAGCCGACCCGCGACGCCATTCCTCTCGGCAGGGCTGACGAGAGCTTTGGAACCGGCTGTCTTATACAATTCGAAGTACGCCATGGCCAGAATGAATTGGGTGCTTCAAAGTTCCGCGGCGGATTTCCAGCACCTGATTCTCTTGTCTACGAGAGATCTATTCAATGAATTCGATATCGAAGGGCGACTCGTCCTCACGGCAAACAACGAGGTAAAGTACATGGTCGCTTCTGAGCATCGCTACAAAGCTGCGCTCACGCTCCATATCTCGAATTTGTTCGTGCGGTCATTTTTCGCGGAACGAGTCGGCTTGGACGATCTTCCTTATGCGGTAGCCTTTTGTCCCCACGTGACAGTCGATCGGGTTTTGCGGCAAGACGTGGAGGATGACTGCGTTACGCCATCCAATCCTCGAGGGCTCCGCGAAACCTATGGTATCGCTCCCGGAGAGAAATTGAATATATATGAGGTCATAGATAGATTAGCGGGGTCCGGGAAACCCGATGATAATGTAATAACTCAGGTGCAGGAGTCCTAGAAAATTGTATATACGACGTCTTGATGGTTTTGTGCAGACTCGTCGATGTAATTTCCGTGTGGAGAGTACCCGTCTTTTGATAAACGTTGATCCTGATGGAAATAGGAAAACCAAGGAAGAAAGCTGCATTCTTCTCACGTCGTCGTGGGTGTAGCTCCACTACCCCGAGACCCGAACAGAGTCGGCGAACTAGGGTGGTCGCCGTTGTTCGGAAATATCTCGACTCCCCTGGCATGGGGTCCTCGTTTCCTCTCGCGCAGCTCAGAGCTGAATGAGCCATTCGAGCACACTCTTCCTCTAAGATGGAGGGGGAACATCGGCTACTAGCACATTAAGTTTATTGGTAGGCGGCGTATTTTCTATAACCGACAGCGTGGGGAGGAAACAGTTTTTTCGATTATCCTCGATATCTGAGAAACGAAGTCAGACGATTATTCGCTCTTCTTTTCAGCAGTGGCGGCCATCTTCTTCAGGTCTTTTTGGGATTTGATCACGAAACCGAAAACTAGGGCAGCCACAGTTGCCCCTTGAGCCAGGACTCGGCCTCGCATCATCAATTGGGACTGCGCTCGATTTCCCTGCATCATTGCTCGTAAACCGAATGCCAAACACAGCGTGGTGCCGAGTAGTCCTGAAAGGAATTATCGAAGTCAATCATGAGGATATCCACCCCTGGCATTGGCTCATCCTCACGCGAGGGAATCCTGTTTCCTAAGTGAGAGCTCACCTATTGGTAGGAAAGGATTTTCTCGAAATTTCCTCTTCGCATCTGCGAATCTCTCCCGGGGTTCATCCAAGTGTTTGACGGTCACCCATTCGAGCTCCTCATACGATGGATCAACTTCTGGCATTCTAAGAAGATAATCGGCGCGATTTTAGAAAACCTCCCATGCGCTGTGCCATTGTACATACATATCTATCTATCTATCTATCTATCTATCTATCTATCTATCTATCTATCTATCTATCTATCTATCTATCTATCTATCTATCGAGTCGAGCTGATTCGAGTCGAACTGGATTCCTTCGCCAGGAGGCGTAGGCGTACCGCATGGGGGAGCGGCTAGAGCCTCTGTCGATATCCGAACTCCGAAATGCGTAAAGAACAGTAGCCATCGCGGAACTTAAGCCAGGAGATGGCCCGGTCCCGAACCGGCTCCCAGTGAGAATACGCGCACATCCCTCGTTCGCACGTCTCGGACGGGGAGGTCGTCGAATAGAATGGAGTCGTGGGGCTCCTCGGAGCTCCGACGCCTTGAATGGGCTCCCTGATAAAAGAGATCTTTTCCCCGTTGAGGGAGGAAGATCCCGACTGAACTACGAATCTCAGAGAACTTCTAGGAGCATATAGCGCAATCCAATATTTGAGCCGGAAGACAGGAGGAGACTTCGTCGCGATGCAAGTTTATTAAACAAAATGTACAAATTTAGATTCTATCACAAGTAGGACACAGTATCACGTCCCAACGACTTTCGCCTCTTTCCAATCAGATTCGACGTGTCCATTTGCTCTCCTACTCTCCAAGCACGGTATATGACCTTTCTGTACATGATCTTTCAATCTCCGTTGTATGAAGGCGTTATCCTGCATGAGACGCTTCTCGAGTTTGTTGAGTTTTTTCAGTTTATATGCCAGCAAAGCGTTCTCTGATTCCAGTTGACAGCATTTACTGATAAGCTGCTCGCATTTCGGTGGTAAGCCAAAAGGCTCCTCCTTCATCATGGGAACTGGAAAATAAAGTTCTCGTCAGTTCGCATCAAGCTCGTCCATTCACATCTCTGATGACATTCAAGCATCCCTTTCGAATCAATCAGAAGAGAACGATATTGTTTTCCGGATCGCCGAAAGAGCTCCGGAACGCTCAGGTTCACTGAATTGTGAGGAGAGCTCCTCGAAATGTAACCTGCGAGCCTCAACCTGTGCATCGGCCCTCACAGCATTCACCCATTGTCAAACAGCATTGTCAGCTTCTCTGCCCGATTCTGAGGACTCGGCTGATTTGCTCCTCGCTACCTTATATGTATATACTCACCGAGACGTTGAATTGGAAAAAAAGATCAGCTTCAAGACAGCTTCTTCGCGCTTTCGGTCTTCTTGTGGGACACAACGAGTGAAAGTCAAGGATACGCGATAGGATCTAATTCACTCACCTCGCTCGTCGGTGAAGCGGCTCTCCAAGAGGCCTTCTTGTCACACAATGCCCGCTCTTCCGGAGTCTCCCTCAGTTAGGTTCGGATTGCTCTGTATAGCGAGACTTCCTCACGGATTTCAACTCTGAACTGCGACTGTTTACTCTGATTTGTGTCTACATCTGTTGACAGTGAACCCTCGAGCGCTGATGAGTATGATCTTTGCTTGCGGCTGACGATACTTTCAGGCGGTCTCCCCAGAGCGCCCTGTCGCCTGAAGTCAAAGGCCTGGAAGGCTTCCCCACAGCTCGAGCAGGGTGGGGCCGTCGTTCGAAAACTTCTGTCCGCTCGCCTTTGGTCCTCCCTATATTTATCCGAAGCCGGAACATGCGAGGCTATGCCAACCTCGACGCTGATCGGACGCTCCCCGAGGTCGCGTCGTTATCGTTCGGTTTGAAACTCTTCGGCTCTATCGTAGAGAGCCATGATCCACTGAGTGAGTGTGAGATCCTCGATGCAGCTCGGACTAGATTGAGCCGCGGCCTGAGTCCCTCGGGGATGAAGGCATAGCACACAAGAAGCAAACGTGGGGCAGGGATTCGCCGCGATTGATGGGGGGGATTCTTCGCATGATCAGCCAGCGCTCTGCTGCCCCAAGTGACGGCTCTGCGCGCGGCAAAGTTCTCGGATGTTTCGGACTGGCCCTCATTGTCACTGTCCGGGATCCGAGGGGACAGGGTTTCGTACCCGCGCATCTCGACGCTTTTCCGGCTGCGATTTCAGCGACCGCCGAGATAAGAAACCAAAGCACAACACTGACACTTCGATATGCGCGCTGCTCGAACGAGACTTCTGAGTGCTCGCGATTCAGAGGCAAACAAGGCGGCAAAAGCTCCTCGAATCAGCCATCCATCGGTGGATTGCTGATGGACCCGATCGAGCAGCCAATGCAAAATCGTTCCGATCGGACCCCGTGCGGTCATGATTAGTTCGGAGCTAATTTGGAACATCGGAGGCATCGACGACAGCGAGCTGCGATAGAGTAGGGAGTGGGGGAGACCCCACGAGTGTTTCGGCAATTGACCTCAAACCCCGGAGTTTCGCGTCATTTCAGTCAGCCGCCGGGGCTCCGGATGGATTTCCACGAGGTAGCTCTCCCTCGCAGCCGTCGACTCCGGGTTCCCGCGCGAATTCCCGGTTCGGGAGTCTCGCCCGCCGGATCGGAGAAGTCTCCAACGACAGATCGCTCAAATGCGCGGCTAGAACACTTCCCTGGTCCGTTCGAGTCTAGAAGGATAGGATTTACCTGAATGACCTTCGTTTCACGTGTGATCCGACGATTTCTCAATCACCTTCTGAATTTTGGCGCTCTCGGGGTAATTTTTGAAAAAAGTTCGCGCTCCGCTTTGCGCGCACTGTAGCGCGCCGATCTCGGGCCACCCGAGTGTCCCCGCCCGCCGGTCGGCCACTCGATGTCTTTGGTCGCGCACAAGCGCACACGTCACATTGAGCAAGGAACGCGCTACTCAAAACGCGCAACGCAAGAAATTTCATTGTTGTGTATCTCGGAAAACCTTCTCTGAACGAGCGAGTGTTCTCCGCAGAGCACCGACAGTGTCAGTCCGGGCGTTTTTCCGAGGAATTTCGGGCTCGTCGGCGTGAAGAAACAAGGGACTCGACATCTTCCTAGCAGACTCCACAGACAAGTGTACCAAGATGCCGAGCATAATGGATTGTTCAGGCCCCAACCTGAAATGCTGGTATAAAAACTGCTTCTTCTCGTCGATTACTCAGAAAGGTTTGAAGATTCACCTGTCTCAAGTGCACAATTACCAACTACGGGACAACAAAGCTCGGCCGGTGAAAGGTTCGAGGCAACGACGCAAGACCCCAACGGCTCGGGGACCTACTCTTCCGGATCCGCGATGTAGACAGCCTTACATTTGCACTCTCTGTATGTTCGCTGGTATGAACAAAGAGCAACTCGCACGACACCATCAGCAAGGTATTTTTCCGCTCAGAACATGAAAGTGTTCGAGCTCTGAAAAAATCTTCAAGTCATGATCCGTTGTCTTTGGCCTAGTTTTCGGTACCCACGACCGGAGCGATGATCGGTATACTCCGCCCCGAGAGATGAATGTTATGGAGAGCGTGGAAGGATCGACACCGAGCTGGATAATTTTTTGAAAACTCATGACTCATCTCGCTGTTTCGGATACGAATCGATATCGATTTCAGAACACATGACCGGGATGATCTACCACGAATCCAAAAATCATCATCAGATCCGTCTGGTCCCCGACGGTGCGCCCGGTAGTTCTGGAGCGTCCCGGAATCGCTCAGCTGCTCGACGAGAACAGACTCCGTATATGTATCCAGCTCTGCAGTATAATGTTGTCGCGAGACCGCTCCCTCATGAGCGTCCGGTATATGAGCAGTATTTCGACGTGAACCAGATGCCTATGCGGTCGGACGATTTCCATCAGCAAACGCACGCAATGGTTCAAGAGGCAATGCCGTCGCAAAACGAGCAATTCGAAAGAGGTCAAGCGTACGAGAACCAGAGAGCCTCTGCGGATTGGGCGTCTTATAGATCTTCGGTTCAAACGCCGCAAGCTATGTCTGCTGAGTTCGCCTCCACAATGCAGAATCGGGTTGATGAGAGCGCGAACGCCTGGAATTCCCAGATGGCGCCTCAGAGAATCGACGATACCAACATGCAGCTTTGGCAAGTTCAATAAAACTCATTGCTGCAGCGTTGGATGGGAGGATTCAGAGAGGCATAAGAGATTCTGAGCTGTGAGTTCCCGCCCTTCTTGACGATCGCTTCCCACAGGTCGAACGTTGATCCGATGCAAACGTTGCAGTTTGACGTGAAAAGAGACTTCATGAACATGGCTCAAGGTCTCAACACTGAGGGTGAGTCTAATTTTGGTTTTTTTTTGGGTTTCGCCTTTTTTCGGACGTTTGCGGGTCTTCCATCCCCGGCCTCTCTCTCGCTCGGAGATGAACGCTCGGGGCAAGAGATGCGAGTTCCGAAAAATGGGAAGAATATACGAGCGACATTCCTGGTTCCAGTGGAACCTTGCACACAATGTGGTTGCGCCTCAAGAGGGGGTTGCTCACAGAAAGTCGAAGCCCAGGAAGATGTGAATCGCATCATACTCGTGCAAGAGGTGAATATGACGCTTCCGAATTAATCCGTCTCTCAATCCGATATCAGCACGCCCGCATGTCTCTCCATCCCTCGGCCCTCCAGCTCCCAATCCCGTCTTTACAGCGTGAGCAAGAAGGTGGGTCCGCCTCTAATGAAGGGGACAATCATGAAGTCTACCATCTCCAGGCCGACTCAAATTTCAATAACTTGAAAGCCTTGCTCAGTCCTGGTGACGAGATAGTTCTGGAGTGCCAAACAGAGGACGGACGCGAGGTCAGTTCATGGGGAATACGGTCCCTCACGCATCGCTTCTAGATTCAGATTCGTATTGAACACCAACATCTCTACACCGCCCTCTCCAGATACATAGAATTTTTCCCCCCTTTTCAGGTTTTGTTGAGAGCGGTGCGCGCAGGTTCAGAATCAGTAGAAGGCACAGCTGAGAGGGCTCCCGGAGTCGATGGGGTGAGTGACTCTTGCTGGCTAGAGACAATTAGCCGTTTAAGGAATTTCTGCAATGACGCGCAGGCATCTGACTGCGGAAAATTCTGTTCTATAGTTGACTGTGGCCTTGGCTTCTTCGACCATCAAGGTCCCAGATACGAAGGGCGACGACACTGTTACCGAGGAGAACGCTTTCACCGAGGATTCTCCGGCGGCCCAGACTCAAGCCGAGTGAGTTCGGAGAACTTATGTGGGGCGGGAAGAATGCAGACCACTCGAGCGATAGCAAGCCTCGATTTCGAAAAGCTGTCGCGTTCCTGATCATTTTCGGCCATTTCAGAACATCGGAACCTACGATGCAGTCGGCCGAAGAGTCGATGCAGTCGAATATACAGCCAGCCGGAGAGTCTCTGCCACAATTGTTCCCAGAGCTTTTCGAAGATGACCCGGTCAATTCAGGCCTCGAATCTATCTCGTGGCAGTCCGGAGACACCGAAGAGTTCGAGAACTTCTTCGAAGTTTGCAAGAAATCAGAGTACTTGTCCGCTCTGTCTAACTGCAGGTTCGTTCAATGTAAATATTGTTCTTCGTTTTTTTTTCTTCTCCCATATGTCTATCCTATACACTCTATTCATTCGAGCTTCTTGAAATCTGAGGCCCATTCCTTCCGCCGAAGCAAAAACATGAGATCTAATCTTTTCCAACGTGTTTCTTCAGAGGCGTCAGAGACGATAGCGGCTCATTGTTCTTGAGATGTGGTCTATGCTCGTATTCTACGGATATGGATGACGCTTTGGAACAACTCCAAATCCACTTCAGGTGAGCTCCCATAGCACCGTCTCGCGAACCTCCGATCCAGAGTCTATTCCATAGAGATGCTGAAAATTCAGTCTAAGCCACGTCTAGTTCGGATCGAGATTCAGAGCCAGATCAGCTCCTGGCTGGCTTCACTCAGTCAAAGTAGTACAAGTGATCTGAGTTTCTCCGGAGAAGAGATCGGACGAGCTTAATCTGATCGAGATTCCCCCCAGGAGGCATATGGATACGCATTTTCAATGCAAGAGTTGTGAGTTCACATGCGGCCTCCGGGAAGAGATGGTGGTCCATGTCGGCACTCAGCACTATGCTCCGAACAATGAGTCCCTCTTCTAGCGTGGCGCCGAACCTCCGACTTCGGTACCCTTCGCGATATTTGTCATCAATTCTCTCGCGCAGCGACTTCGCACCCGTGGGGTTCGTCAATCCACAAAAAGGAAAATCTGCGAGATTGACTGAGCTTGCCCGAGCGAAGAATCCCCTGACGTATGCTTCGTCCAAAATTCTGTCTCCCGTCTCGGGAAGTCGCTACTTTATTTGATACCGTCGAATAAATTCTGCTATTGGATAGCGCTTTGAGTTGTATTCAATTGCTTCCTCTGGATCGACACTCGATTCCGGCGTTGGATTGACTACCTCGATGTATTTCGTCGTCTCCTCGAATGAGTCATGCGAGTCGATCGTTCATCCGCTATCATCTTCTCTCTACCAGGTTGAGATTCGTACATGTTGATTATTCCTCGGATATCATACACAGCCCCTCCGGCTCAGAGATGCATATTTTCTCTCCTCTCCCAGTCCTCGTAGGTAGGCGAATAGCGCGAGGAACCCTGAGGCCGGACACTACGGCATTCGCGTCGGCCGGCCGCATCCGACTGAAGGTGGCATTCCAGGCGACTCGGATCGGCCCGAGCTCCCTGAGATGCATAACGAAGACAATGCACCACGGTCGATCACGGATGATCATTATACCGCGACTAGCGCTTCGTTTCGTGACTTGTTCCCGCAGAGCTGCGATCCCTTGCAGACATACCACGGGCGCATTCATTTCTCCTCTCCGGTCCGCTTGCGTATCCCTCAGGTACCGGGAACGGCCGCTCATCTTGAATTACTCACACACTCCGCTCATCCGTCGAAGTGTTTGAGGGGAAGCGCACAACTGTTCCATGATGACGCGGCAAGCAATGGATCCTCGTTCATTGGTTCCATAATTATCACATGATAGGCAATCTGATTCTCGGATATACTTGTGTCTGTGACAGATTGCGATCGATTCGCCGACGAAATAGCGAACCCGATCGAGAATCCATATTTGCTCCGATCGGCACCTCGCTTCGTCCAGCTTCCATAGATCTCCCTTCCAGCTCGAGGACATGTTGCTGACTCTATTCCTCCTGACTGGCTCCATCGTCAGTGCGACTCTTGCGAGGCGCATCAGGTTCGACGTCTGCCTCGGCCACATGCGACCGACAGTGGTATTCAGGCAACTCGAATCGGAATTGACGTCTCTAAATGCCTTGCCAGAACCCTCAATCGTGATCGGCCGCCTGTGGTCGTTTTCGGGAGAACTGTGAGATTTTACTGCGTCGCGGCTCGTCTCTGTAGAACTGTCATACCCTACGGAAGGGTAACATCGAAACAATAGATCAAGAAAATCAATGACTGTGTTCTTGGATTCTCGCGGCTAGTCTATATCTTGGTCCTGTGGGAACATTGACGCTTATCGGACACCATGCCGGCGAGCAGCATCGATTGAAAAACCTTGACGGATAAAATCTACCCTGAAGCTATCGCCTGCTGCGATCAGATCGAAGACTTGGATTTCCAGCAGACGGCCGACATCGCTGTGGGAATCCTATGCTCCGTGTGTGAAATGATTTGTTGAAATGCAGTCAAAGGGGGTTAGGTTGAACGATGCGTTGCGATGCGTAGCTCGAAATGAACAAACCCAGCACCTCGGAAGGGCACTGCAGATTTTGGGTCCCGCGGTCTGACGGTCAATACAGAGATGATATATAGACGTATGTATATGTCAGCAGCCCTCTTGGTGACAGCATACTCTCTGCAAGACTACTACGGGGACTTGAGGGACAGCTTAACAGGCTTGGAGCCTGTGTAGTGGCTCTACCAGAAGCACGCAGCATCCGGACCGGGGATCGCGTGTGAGCTCCCGACCTTCAGGGACCTACGATTCCGCGAGTGAAAGCTTTCCACCTGAGAAGTGTCTTCCAGACATGGGAAGCAAAGCCCGTTTCAATTTGGAAACCTCGTCGGCTGTCTCCGCTCCGATGAAAGAACCGGAATCGCTCCTAATGGTCGATCGTTCCCATGGTCTGTTCCGTACACGAGCCTCGTTCCCTGAGACGTCTGTATCTGAGCGGTTTGCGATCCGTTTCTCGCATCATATCAATACATAAGGTGAAGTTTTCTTCCCAGTAGTCTACCTCCGGCCGGCAACGGCCTACAGATGATGATTCCCCCTTCGCCGAGAGTGAGTGCCGATACATTTGAATTTTGGAGCGCTTTGGCGCCAACCGGATCCCGCCAACAGAGCAACACTGAAGAAACTCCTCTCCTGTTTTTCGTCGAAAGCTAGCTGAGTCTCTTTCGCGCGCTACACCTCGTGAGTCCTAGCCGAATGAAAGGATGTGATACACTTGCCTGAGGAATCAGCCCGTCTTAGAAAACAATCTCAGCCACCACAAAGAACAAAGATGTCACTCGTGCGAACTCGATCGAAGAGGCTGGAGACCAAGAATGATCAGCTGCAGTCAACCGGTGCTCGCAAATGTAAGATTTCCTTCAGTCTCAGGAAGCATTGTAAGAATCTGGAGTTCGATTCTGAGCAAATTTCTTCGGAACGAGGGCACCAAGCCGTGGTTCGATATCGCAGCTAGCTCGTAGTTAGCTCAATGTTAGTCAATGTGGTTAGCTCTCATCTGAGACTATATTTTCGGACCCTCCTCCTTCACACTTTTTGCTCCTCTAGCGAGACGACCAACGAGGAAGAAAGAAGTTGACAGCACCGATTTCGTCGATGAAGATTCCCGCGAAAATGCTCTGGTGCCTCCCGGCAGGCGTCGAACCGCGAAGCGGAAACAGGCAGAGCAAGACGAAGAACCAGAGCCGCAGCAAGACACGAAAAAAAGAAGGGTGACCAGACGAAGCAACGTCGTAGAGATCGAGAAAGCTGAAGAATCACCAAAAATCAGGAGCACAAGGGGGAAAAGGTCGAAAGTCGAGGAAGCCTGTCCGGAGAGTCCGGAAATGGAAGCGGAGAAACCCAAGCCGATGGGTCTCAAGCGCGTAGGTCTCAAGCCAATGGGTCTGAAGCGTCCTCTCAAAGAGGACAACAAATCGACTGTAGTGGAGCAGGAGCCTTCCGTGGATCAGGAAAATGCCCCGAGTTCGAGAGGCAGACGAAATGCTCGCAAAGTCGTCGCCGAAATGGTGGAGTTCGATCCCGACGAGGAGTCCGAAACCGACTTTTCAGATAATGATGACGATGACTTCGTTCTGCCCGAGTCGGATAAATCCGACGGAGAAGAGTTTGCTCCAGACGTCGAGCCCGAGCCCAAGATAATCGCCACACGGAGGAGGACGAAGCCGAAGGAGCTGACCCGTAGCGATAAGATCCGTCAATTCTTGCTAGACGTCGACATGTCCGCACCTCCTGGAGTTTCCCCGGTTAAAAAGCCGGACGCTCAACCGGAGAAACCCGAAGGCGCGTCTTCGGGAACGGGGCTCACATCGAAGCCCAAGACCGCTACTCTGCCAAGTTCGTCTGAGGAGAGTGCATCAGAGTCAGAGGATGACGAGGAATCGCCAGCTCGCCGCAGCAGGAACCGGAAACAGTCGAGAGCTGTCAAGGGAACACCGTCATCGAGGAGCAAGAAGAAGAGATCATCGTCCGCGGACTCAGACGATTCGTTGCTAGCCCCCAAGAAGGCGAAGCCGACCAAGTCCAAGAAAGTTCCTGTCAAAAATAAGAAGACATTCATGAAACCGAAGAAGCTCCCGGTGCCCAAGGAGGGAACCGCTCAGGAGAAAGCAGTCGCCGGATTCTCCCTATTCGAGATGAGCCTCCTGAGGTTGGCGAAGCGCATGGATGAGGGTAAGGACGGTGAAGAAGATGTCGATGGAGAAGCTGAAGAGAACGCCGAAGGTGAGCGAAAAGAAGGCGACGAAGAAGCGACCGAAGTCAAACCAGAAGCCGCTAAGACGGATCTCATCCTGTCGATGCTCAAGGAGCACGAGCCAGCGGAGGAGATGTCCGACGGGAGCTCCGAAGACGAGAAGGACGCACCGGCGAAAAGCGAAAAAAAAACCCATCATGGTAAAGCTTCGAGTGAAACGAAAGCCGAACAACCAGAGACGAAGGTTGAACGGCGGTCGGGTAGGAGGAAGAAACCGGAAGTGAAACCCGAGAAGGTCGAGGTCAAGACTGAGAAAACTGAACCCAAGGTCGAGGAACCCGTTAAGAAGTCCGCCGCGAGGAAAGGAAAAGCCAAGATAGAGGAAACACTCAAAATCGAGAAAGTCGAGGAATCTTCCGATTCGGAAGAGGAAAATTGGGAGGTGGTGGAGAATGCCGCGGTCCGAGATCCGAATTATAAGCGGCCCGACAACGTAACTGTCGTTCTTCAGGCTGAAGATTTCGTCTCGGATGGTAAGAAAGGCTTGACAATGGAACAGCGGATGGTTCGTCTGATCAATCGTCGACGCCGGAGCGCCGCCCTTTACTCCCATAGAGTGCATCTTCTGAGTCTGATGGCATACCACCGATGGCTGAACTCGATTGTGGAGAACGACTTCGTTAGAGCGTTCGCGATTTCGAGGCTGCCCGCCACCCTTGCGATGCCCGGCAAGACACGGAGCGAGGCGAATATCATACCACGACTCCTCGCCTTTTATAAGGCGAAGTTCTCGATAAAGCCATCTTCTGAGGGCTTCGCGCCTAGGAAGCTCAAGAGCAAGCTCTTGAAGCTTTTCGCGCATCAGAAAACAGACTGTAACATCACGTATCTCTTCGGTCTCGTCACCCTGTTCAGAATCAATGGACTTCGCTCGAGGATTTGTCTCTCCTATCGTCTGATGCCACACAGAGCGCCGCAGCTGCGGATCAAGGACGGAGAATTGGTAAGTAGATTCGCTCTTGATATTTTACGATTCATATCGGAGCCAATGCCACGCCTCACCCCATCGATGCGATTCTTCCCCCAACGCGACGGGAGCTCATGATGAGGTATCATCGACCTAATAATTTTCTTATCCACAGTACGAGGTGGGCTCTAAAACGAGAGCTCTCAGCACGGAGACCGGGATCGAGGACTATTTTGTTGAAGTCTACGTCCCGAGCAAGAAACGGTGGCGTCCCATCGATATCGAGAGCCATGAAGTCTTCGAAAGTTTCCAAGACCTCTCGCCCCATCTCGAAGAGCCGATATCTCACCTGATCGGCGCGGACGGGGACGGTCACATGGTTGACCTTAGTCCGAAATACAATGCGGATTGGCTGAACAAGAAGAACACCCTCCGTGTGGATCCGAAATTCTTCGAAGAGGCTCTTGCGCGCTACGCTCCTAACGAGGAAGATCAAATCGATGAACAGGAGGAAGTGGCAAAGAAGCACGATCAAGAAAAGTTCCCGACGACGTTTTCGGAGTACAGAAAGCACCCGAAGTACGCTCTGAAACGGCACATGCTCAAACACGAAACTTTCTACCCTCCAGATCCGCCGATATTAGGCGAGTTCAGGGGCGAAGCCATTTACCCTCGAGAGGCCGTGAAACCTCTTCGATCCCGAGATCAGTGGTATCGGAACGCTCGGACTGTGAAGGACGGTGAGGTACCGTACGGCGAGATGAAGGCGAAGCCCAAATTTGACCGGAAGAAGAACAAATGGGTCACCGGCCTCATGATGGACGTTTTCGGTGAATGGCAAACCGGGCCTTTCAAACCACCGGTCGCGGTCGATGGGAAGATCCCCCGCAACAACTACGGTAATGTTGATTTGTTCCATCCGGACATGCTACCGATAGGCACAGTTTACCTGGAGCTGCCAGGTTTGAACAAGGTCGCCGCCGATCTCGAGTTGGATTGCGCTCCGTGCGTTGTTGGTTTCCAAGGTATCGGGAGAGCTTTCCACGCGCTCTACAGAGGGTAAGTGATTGAAATCGAGTGAATGCTTCGAGAAAGGCAAACCAGAAGCTCTTCCAAGGAGAAGAAGGCTGGAGTGTACCAGCTGGCAGAAACTGTGCCTGGAACTGATTTAACTTGATCGTCTTTTCCCCCCTCAGGTATTGTGTTTGCGCCGAAGACAAAGAGACGCTGGAGAAGGCTTGGCAGGAACGTCAACACGAGGATCGGCACACTCGACGAGAGAGAATACGAACCAGGGCTATAAAGAACTGGAAGATGATGATCAAGAAAGTGATATGGGACATGCGGCTCAAGAAGAAGTACAAGGACAATCTCGATCAGGAAAAGAAGTCCAAATGAATTTCTTCCGAGCTCGCTCGAATCTGATTCACTTCGAAACACCAGCGCGGTGATATTGGCCGAAACTCCTCTCTGACGGTCCCACAAATAGATCGCGCTTTCGGCACACTTGTAGATTCCAAATGTGACATCGATAAGCACTTCTCATGGTGATATTTGTGCTCTCAAAGTGGATTTTAAAACTTAGCTCCTAAAATGTGTTCTCAACTTCGCCTATAATAAACTCGAATGGGAAGAAACGAGGTCGATCGCTGCTACATTCTAGAGAAATCATCGGCGTATTGTAGCCGCGATTCTCCCACGTATTGCTCACCAGATGCTCTGCAAGGATGAGCTTCCGCGAATGTCGAGCTTCTCCGGCTCCCGCGCGAGATTGAGCTGAGTGGGGGGAGGACCGCGAGAAATTCGGTCAGCGTGACAGTCGATTTCGATTGAGAAGAGCGAAACCGATTTAGCGAAGACGTTCGGGAGAACGACCGTGGTCTCACCCAGTTTTGCGGAGGCTCAGCTGTAGAAATCCGAAACGGTCTTTTTTCTGAGGTTTGGATAGGCATCGATTCGAGTGCAGCATTCTCATTGCAGCCTTCCCTACGCTCTACGATTGTGGTAGAAATTCATCTACGGCGATCCACTCGTGGATGTGGTGATCGGTCTATGCTCTACCGAACACGATGAAAGCATGAATTATCCGAGATGTAGGAACTCTACTCATCAGTCGAAAAAGGATAGAAACCGAAATGCTCCATGCCGAGCTCTTCCCCAGAGAAAGAGGAGCAGCTCGCTGAATGAATAGGATGTACATACATATGTACCTCCGCTTCATGACTCGAGCGAGGAGGCAACTTTCCAGGCCTTTTAATTTTCTGAGCGCTCGAAAGACTTCCTAATCTCGATCCATCTCATTTTTTTGATTTCCATTCCGGGAACGAGAGCATAAGTTCGCGAGGCGGATGATGTCATCGGTGCATAAGGGTGACGGGTCCTCCAGTTCTTCTCCTGGGCTTTTGTGCGGGAGAAGGTCTACACTGGATTTTCCCGCCAGAACTTCGAAATACTCTCGGCGATCGAAAGGCGACCCACACAGAATTTGGAGCTTCCCGTGGAGCGATGATAGAGAATCCCTGGAGCCGACTCCCGTTCAGCGCTCCAATCACTGAGAATGGAAAATTCTGCTCTCCATGAGCTAAGTGAAGAGATGTCCCTAAATACGGTCAGCGATGGGTCCGCGGAAGCCAGGTACACGGAGCGGTAGAGAAGCTTCACTCGGGTCCACCAGAAAACAGATGATGTTTTTGCGCGCGCTCTCTCACTAAATGAGCGAAGGACTTTGATCACCGAGAGAACTACTTCGCATCAGCGGCTCCGAGCGCCGGGAAGTGCGTCAGTCAAAGTATGCCTGGTGTGAGAACGCGGTCCAGAAGGGTGAAAGACTCCGAAGACATCGAGAACGGGAGGCCTCTAGCGATTGGAGCCGAGAAGAATCGTACGGAGCCGGGTGAGCACAAAGGGTCCGGAGAGTGATTTCAAAGATGGGATTCGAAACCGGCTCATGCTGACGATTGCATCGTTCTCTTGGGTATTGTCCACAGAGAGTACGGATCGAGTGACAGCATCCATCTCCCACGTGTCGGGCCCCCGCTGGAGATCCACGCGTCGCCTCTGATAATTACCTCAGTATTCTAATTCCAGCTCGCTCAGTGAAAATGAAGTGCACCAGCGATAGTGGAGTGGATCTGTGCCCAGACGAGGAGCCACGGAAGACCCCAGCCAAACGTGCCCCATTGAAAAGAAAACAGCAGCAACCTCAGCAAGCGCAAGATTCGGAAGAGACTGAAACCAAGAAGAGGAGAGTGTCCAGGAAACCGACAGTGTCACAACCCGATCAGCCTGCAGTGACCGAGAAGAATGAGCAGAGGGCTCCGCGACGTAGCGGGAAGGCCTCCGCGATGAAGTCAGATGGGGAAAGTCTCCCGCAGAATAGGAGCCGGAGCGAGAAGCCTTCTTGGACGAACGCACTGAAGAAGGTCGCATCCGGGACAGACGTCGTAGACTCGCAGAAACGTGGTGGGAAAAAAACTGGCGCGGCGACGGAAGCCGGCAGCCAGATAAAATCTCCGAAACGGGAGAGCGGGAAGGAGAGAACCTCAAAGAAGAACGAAGAAATCGAGGAGAACGCGAGCCTTAGTGCGAGACCAAAAAGAGCGTCGAGAGCTCCGCTAACGATTGTGAAAACGGTAATTCCTAAAGGAGACTCCGACGAAGAATCCGATGAGGAATCCGAAGAAGACCTTTCAGATAACGACGACGAGGATTTTCTGCCTCCCGAAGCAGAGAGAGAATCCGACGATGGGGGAATCACGGAAGCCGCTCCCAGTCATCCTCCATCTACCGGGGGGTCTTCCAAAGGTCCCAGGAGGGGCGTGAAGAGCGGGAAACCCTCGAAGCAGATCGGCGAGTCCAGGCGTGTCAAAGACGAAATTCCCATCAAAGCTCCAAGAGAGTCCTCTTCGATGTCGAAGACCAGCATCCCCTCAAGCAAAGAATTCGCCTTCAGGAGCCGGCGAGGTGAGCCGAGGGAAGCTCTGAGCATCAAATCAAAGCTAAAGGTTGAGGACGATGACGAGGACGATGAGGACTTCGTCGAGAAGAAATCGAAGAGGAGAAGCACAAGTTCAAAGACGAAGAAAGCCTCTCAGAAGGCAAAGCGATCCCTGTCGTCGTCTGATGAGTCGGATGTCGCTCCGAAAACGACCAAGCCGACGAAGAAGATGAAATCGAATAACAGTTCCCTCCCGAGAAAAACCTTCATGAAGCCCCGTAAGGCCCCGAAACCGAAATCAAATGAGAAGAAGGACCCTATCGTATCCTCGCGCTACGAAATGAGACTTCTAGAGTTGGCAAAGCAGATGGACGACAACGATGACAGCGAGGAGGAGTCTCAGGACGATTCACCGACGGCAGTACCAATCAAGGAAGAAGACGAGCCTGTTGGTGCCTCGGACCAGCACCCCGAAAATGAAGGTGACAAGAAGCTTCTCATCATGTCCATGCTCAAAGAACACGAAGAAGTGGACGAGATGTCGGACGACAGCTCTGATGACGACGTCAAGGCCGAAATAAGTTCATCGGTCAAGGTCGAACCGGGTGAAAATTTCGACAAAGACCTTACGTCCTCCATTAAATCCGAGAAGAGAGCGAAAAATGCCAAGGCCGAGAAATCGAAAGTCGACAAGCCGAAGAGAGCAGAGGCAAAGATCAAGAAGGAGAAGGTAAAGAAGAAGAGCACAAAGAAGAAAGAAGTCAAAGAAGAGTCCGGAGAAGAGAACTCATCTGGATCCGAAGAAGAAGACTGGGAGGTTGTGGGAGAGAGAGATCCGAACTATCAGCGCCCCGAGAACGTGACCGTGGTTCTTCAGAATGAAGATTTCCTCCCGGAAACGAAGCGTCTCAGCATGGAGCAGAGGATGATCAGACTCATAAATCGTAAACGTAAAACAACGTATCTGCTTGCTCACAGAGTGCACTTGTTGGCTCTCCTTGGTCACCAACGGATACTCAACTCCATCCTGAACGACGAATTCGTGAGAGCCTACGGCTTGTCACGAGTGCCTCCAACTATTGCCATTCCTGGAAAACGCCAGAAAGATTCTCAAGTTGTCAAGCAAATTTTATTATTCTACAAATCGTCTTTCGAGCTGAAAGAATCTGACAAGGTTTTCAATCCCAAAATGCTCAAGGCCAATCTCACGAAATTCTTGATGAAGAAAATCACGTCGTGCAACATCGTTTACCTGTTCGGATTATTGGTCCTGCTTCGAGCGAGCGAGATCCGAACGAGACTCTGCCTCTCGTACCACTTACTGCCCCACAAAGCCCCCCTGCTGAGGATCAAAGACGGAGGAATCGTGAGTATTCCGGCACAGTCTTCGTGCGGAGCAAAAGCCCCCTCCGCTGGTGGAAACGGACGCAATCGGTGATAGGTCAACGGGGAACATCCCTTATGCCATGTACTACAATGCCATACTCGAACTTTGATTCTCTCTTCCAGGTGGAGCTCGGATCCAAATCGAAGACATCCGACACAGATTACGGTATCGCCGACTACTTCATCGAGGTCTATCTTTCGGACAAGAAACGCTGGCGACCGATCGACATCGATGACTTCAGTGTAATGGAAGATCCACATGAGCTAACACCCCACCTGGAACAGCCGGTTGCTTCTCTGATCGGGATCGATAACCAGGGTTGTATGTTGGATTTGAGTCCCAAATACAACGCCGATTGGCTCAACAAAATCAAGTCCTTGAGGAGTGACGCGAAATTCTTCGACGAGGTTTTGGCTCGATACGCGCCCAAAGAAGCAGAGCAAGTCGAGGAACAGCAGGAGGTTGCGGATCTGCACGAGCAACACGGAATACCTAAAATAATCTCGCAATTCAAAAATCATCCCAAGTACGCTCTGACGCGGCATTTGCTCAAGTTCGAAGCTTTTTATCCGAGGGAACCGCCCGTGCTCGGATACGTGAGGAACGAGCCGGTTTATCCGAGAGAGTGCGTGCACACTCTCCGCTCGAAGGACACCTGGCACAGGTCTGCACGGCAGGTAAAAGAAGGCGAAGAACCGTACAGTGTGGTCAAGGCCAGGCCGAAGTGGAACAAGCAGACCGAGAGTTTCATGAGGGATCTGCCGCTCGAAGTTTACGGCGAATGGCAAACTGAGCCCTTCAAGCCTCCCGTGGCTGAGAATGGAGTTGTGCCGCGAAACAAGTTCGGAAATGTGGAACTTTTCCATCCGGACATGCTGCCAATAGGTACCGTTCACCTTAAACTGCCAGGCCTCCCACGGATCGCGGCTGAGTTGGAGGTTGACTGCGTCCCGGCCGTGATCGGTTTTGACGGTGTAGGGAGAGGCTGTCATCCAGTTCTCGAAGGGTAAATCAAATCTTTACTCAAATGTTCCATTCTCGAGGGGATATATGTATGTACCTTCTCTTTGATCGTGAGCATCTCGCTCGTGATCCGGCTAACGTAGAGTTTTCACTTTCGCAGATTTGTGGTCTGTGTCGAGAACCAAGAACTCCTGGAGGAGGCATGGAATGAGCGGCAGCGCGAGGACCGCCATAAGAGGCGAGAGAGGATCCAGAAGCGCGCTCAGAAGAACTGGAGGAAATTGATCAAAAAGGTCATCTGGGACATACGCATGAAGAAGAAATACAAGAACAAACTCGATCAGGAGTGAGGACAAAGACCCTCATCGCTTTCGCATGTATTGGTAAATATCGATGAGGGGAAGACTCGAGGCTTTTGTTTTTCGCGGCCGGTGAGTCCAGGAACCTCCTCTATGCTTCAACTGCACCCATGACGTTCAGCGGGTTTTTGAGATTCCCCAGTTATAAGGGCCGCATTCCGCGCGCTGTGATATTTGACTTGTTCGACAGACCGAACTCGCTTGGCAGGACTCGTTCCTAAAATCTCCTAAATATTTAAATCCATTGCCTAGACGTGTTCATCTATTCCATTCACTGTTCTCAATAAAATAAAATTTTGATGGGATTCGACCGCTTCGTTCGTACATAGGTACGTCGTATCGACAATGAATATCCCTGAGGAGGCTGGAGCTTTCTGGAACGCGACATGCGATTAGCTTGATCGCGTGAGTCCTCCAGGAGCTCCATTCTATCGCCATCGGAAGTCTCCTTTGTCTGCGGTGGAAGCACCAACGCCGGAAGGAGGACAGAACCACCTCTCTCAAAGGACGAGTATCACATACTTTTCGTGACTCAGCTAAGCCAAACGCCGGGCCCTACTATAATTCCCCTCCCGGTTATCCTGCAAGCTTGCATGAGAATCTTCCTCAGGAAATTTGGAGCCTGCGTTCGCATGATAGACTTTGATTAATCCATCACATCTGTGATACTTCTCGAATAATTCTTCGGACACTCTGAGTGCCCATGTCATTTCCAATTGACGGTTCCAGGAGCAGTGAAGGTGGTAGAAAAGTTCCGGATACTCCATGCCTGAAATCTCCAGGAGAATACTTTCACGGGGTAACAGCAAAGATTATTGTCGAAGACCCTGTATCCTGTAAGCCTTCACGAAGCTCCAGACTCCAGACCTACAAGACGCCAAGCTGATGCTTCAGCTCGGCTAGCTTGTGCGCGGGTATGCTGGAGGTGTCAAGGTACCTCGGCCGGACTCACCGAGGAGCGTGAAGAAGTCCTGATGTCCAAGATCGCCGTTGAAAAAGTACTTTTCTTGCAAAGATCTCAGATGATCCTCATCGAAATTCCAGTTGTACTTCGAGGAGTTGCGCATGCGACCGAGATGCATCAGAACAACACCGGTGTTGAAGCCCTGTTTACCTGGGTGAGGGCTCCCCACGTCGGTCTCCGGATTTTTCTCCCGGTAATCGGCGAATTTCTCTCGATACATCGGCTGAAGGTCATCGCTGTTTGACGAAAGAGGGGAACTACTATCAGACTCTTTACACTTACAGACCAGTGAAAAAAAAGTTTCGAGTTCGCCCGGGAAAGCTCGCAACGGTCATGATCTCTTGTGCTCCGATCGCTCAGAGCAGATCGAGAGAAAGAACTCGATGCGATTACGTAATCGCCGGCGAGAATCCGGTGAGAGCTCCTGCACTCACGCGATGCCGATGATGTTTTCCTCGGTGAACTCCGGAAAAATGTCCCAGAGCTTCCGAATGTCATCGTGGAAGCGGAGATCGGTATCGAGAAAAATCGCTCGATCGAGGCGTGAAAATATTCGATGGAAACCCGGCGTCAGGAAGAATATGTCATCGTCATATTTCCGGACCGGTTTGGTGAAGAAGTATTTCCGGAGGAGCTTCACCATGGGTTCCTCTTTTTCTCCAATCGCTCGCAAGTCGTAGATAGTATAGTGGATATCCATATTCGACATCTGTAAGCATTGTGCATCAATGAGAGGAGAAGAGAGATCCCCGATGCGGGAAAAATCATCTCCATATCGTGGTGGAGCGTAGAAAACCTTATTTATTGACGAGACTGCTCCCGATATCGTTCCAAACGATCGATTGTCTGCCAAGACATGAACGTGAAGAGACGTCGAAAGGTTTTTCGAGATGCTTTTCAGCGTTTCGCAGAGATCATCGACAACCTTCGGCTTCGAACTCGCATATTTCGCGAAGACGATGATTTGGATGACGCCCTGGAAATCGGCATTAGCAATGAGAGATTTCCTTATCCCATCGGAAGCCTGCCAGTAATGATCTCCCCTAGCCGTGGAAACCTTCCCGATGCACATCTGGGGTGCAAGTTCAAGACAATCCGGTTGCACTCACCGATGAGCTCGTCGTGCCCCGCCATGGACTCGCGTAGCCTTCGTGGAGAGGATTCGTTAACACCGCAAATAGGAAGCCGCTAGCGACGAGAGCAGAGGCTACGGCGAATACGATCGCAACCGTGGCTCGTCTCCTGCGAGACCGGTTGTGCACCGTTCGCATACTCTGCGAATCGAAGACTGCGATTAGGACTTCATCTGTCAACCACCAGCCGCTCCCGAGACAGAGAACGGTACCGACCGCTGTCCTATAAGGGGTGGCGTGTGTCTATCGACGACGTGCGGCTGGCTGCATCATCATAAGGGACACCCCAGCCCTCTGGCCATGCGAATCCGATCATATGTACAGTCATCGAAAGCCCGCCGCACCGTCAATACAACGAAACTCACCGCCACAGTTCGGGTGTTTCGGCTGGATAGGACGACTTGAAGGACTATTCTCTAATTTCAGCTTCGAATCCACCGACGCGATTCATTCCTCACGTTCAGAACAATCATCGCGAGGTGTTCGGCTCCTTGTCCGAGAGCGAAACCATTCGTATTCGATGTGTGTACTACATAAGACGCCGAAATCAAAACCGTACAGGCAACGCGTAACAGCCGCGCAAGTTGACAGCAGATTGAAATCTAGCGGACCAGACGTCAGGATTACAACAGGACAGAGCACGCCATCTGGCGACCGGATAGATATTGGTGCCATTCCATAGGAATTAGGTGATTCGTAGTCGTCACGGTGCCTCGGAATAGCTCTGGAGCCAATATTTACAATGGCATCGCCCTCGCCTTCGGATGTGCCCTCCCGTCCCTATTAATGAGAAGCGAACTCGAAGAAAGATTGCTTGGGTCCGCGCAGGTGTCCTCAAATCTTAATATTTGCTTGCTGATCACGATGTCCCCGGAACTGGTTGCGCATCGGTCGAGCGGTGCGTGGGCTCGCGATGAGCCCCGCCCGATTTTTCAGAATTAGAAATAGAGTTGATCGGTGCATCCAAATTTGGAAATGGGTCCTCAGTTTTTTAAGTGCAAATCACTCGTTCGCCATCCGTCGAAAATTCGGACCTCCCCACGTGGAAGTAGATCATAGAAGAAACCGTTGATTCGGCCTCGACTCGTGATGACCGTGAATGAGGCTCGCATGCAATCAGTTGTTGGGGCAATCACAATAATCACGGGCGGAAGGGGGGGGGGGCGCGACAGCAATCAGGACTACACTGGGGATTGATTTTATTCGACAAACGAGTATTTTACAGATGTGTCAGTTGAGATCCTTTGCAGCTTGATCCGTAGGGATCCTACTCCCTCCATTCGCGTGATATACCTTAATGAAACCGTCGCAACGATGATATTCATCGAAAATCTCCGCCCTATAATGTGCCCTCCAACTGTCGTCTAGCTGGCGGTTCCAAACGCAGTTCAACAGATAGAACATTTCGGGGTACTCGTTCGCTGCAACAAAATAAAGCTCATCGTCCGAAAGGGTATCGTTTCCGGAATTCCCCATGCGCAAGGAGACAAAGACAGGTACGAGTCATGAGCGAAACGAATTACCGAGTAGAGTGAAGAAATCCTGATGACCAAGATAACCATGGAAGTCGTATTTGTTGCAGAGAGCTTCGAGGCCGCCTCCGACAAGCAAGCCGTTGTAGATCCTCGAGTTCCGCATGCGGTCGAAATCCATGAGCATCACACCGGTATTCAAGCCTTGTTTCCCCGGCCTAGCGCTCCCAACGTCTGTGTTATTGTGTTTTTTCGGTAAGCGGCGAATTCGTACCGGTAGTGGGGCTGGAGGTCATGGCTGCAACGGATGGTATCGAAGTTCATTCAGAGAAGTCGAGGTTCTGCTTCACGTTCAGAGCTCCCAATCCTGATGTCGTCATAGAATATTCAGGGCTCGCTAACCCGATTCCGATGATATTCCCTTTCGTGAATTCCGAGAACTTGAGCCACAATGACGCGATATCTGCCCGGAACTGGAGGTCTGTGTCGAGGAAAATAGCTCTCTGGAGATTGGAAAACACTCGGTGGAAGACCGGAGTGAGGAAGAAGATATCATCGTCGTAACGTTCGATCTTCTTCGAGAAGAAGTTTTTCCGCATCAGTCTGATCGTTGCTTGGTTCTCCCTTTCGATCTCCGTCAAGTCGTAGACCGTATATTTACAAGCGATTCTTGACCCCTAGAAGAGTTATTGTATTCCTGAGGCTGAACTTGCCCTCGACATAGGAAGCTCTGTCTACCGATAGGAAATAGTCTCGATCGGATTATTGAAACTCGATTCCATACGGACCGCCTGGAGCTTCAGAAACGTTCGCTTTATCCGTATGTAGGATGGTAAGTCGGCCAGGATGTGAACATGCAGGGGAATAGTGGCGTACTGCAGGATACTGCGTACGGTCTCGTAGAGGTTCCGAGGTACCTTCATTTTCGAGTACGCGTATTTGGCGAATACGATGACATCGATGACACTCTGTCGAAGAAGATCGATAACGTCATGGTCGTTTCGCATTCGAGGACTTCGGGGACTACCGAGAACCCGCCCAGGATTCGACTGACTGAGAAAAGGCTGCAGCTCCCGAGCTTTTGGGGGTCCGTAACGCAAGCGGAGACCTGAGCGCCGCTCAGCTCTAATGATAGGCGAATCGGAAGCCGACCTGAGAACCCCAATAGACGGAGCATCGCGTACCTGATTGGACGAGGTGTCTATGTCCGATGGCAGGGGTTGAAGTTCCAAGTCGTTGAATGCATCCTCGATAGAGAGTCTCCCGCGAACCGGGTCTCCGGCGGCTGTGCGAGGTGCGGGGGAGAGAGGAGAAAGTTGGGTCCAGAAGACAGCCCACAGCAGAGCGAAAAGAATTAGGAGCAAGAGGTTCTTGCTCTTCCGCGGGATATTGACTAGCATCTGCAATTCTGAATTCTTATCAGTCTGAGCACAGTGATTCTCCAGGGAACTCGCACAGGTTAGTGTACTTTCTGAGGACCGTCTTCTCGACCCGCAGCCGCGGGACCAACTAGATAGATAGCTCTGCCCGAGATTCACGCTCAAAAATCACAGCGAGCGCTCATTTGAGATTCTATAGGGGATACTCCGTCGGCTGTTCTGAAACACGAGGGAATCCGATGGAGCAAGGCATGAAAAGTGGACCAAAATGAAATTGAGCGATCGTTGCGGAGCTCACCGTGATTAATTACTTCCTCGGACGAAATGGCGGCTGCTCTCCAGTCGGGACTAAGTTCCGGAAACTGAGTTCCTTCGACCGAAACCGGTTCAGGTTAGGTGCATTCAGCATCCGTAGCCGAGATTCGTTAACTCATCAGTGGTCACTGCATCACATCTCTATCGGAGAACGAGAAAAATAAACATGGGAAGACACACACGTCTTCGGACAGATGGTAAGACAGGGGAGCACTGTCAGAAGTGGAGAGAAGAAACACCGGAGCTGACAGTGGAGGGTTTGGGTCAGCGGCGTCAAGAAAGAGAAAAGAAAAGTGTGCTGTCCGCTCAAGATGAACCAGCTCCCTGGAGAGGGCACCCGTCCGTGAAGGGTGAATTTATTGGAGCTCATCCGAAATTTTCAATGAGGGCTTCGGAGCGACGGTTTTCGCGCTGTGATTGACGTTCTCGATCCCAACCGAGGCTCATGATTGGCGACTCCAATGAGTCCAATGATGATGTTCTGCGCCATGGGATTGAAGTATCCCTCGATCACGTGACACGGGATCTACGAAGACAGCCGACAGTCTCCCTCTGATCTGAAATCCTCTGACTGAGATTTTGAACCAAGGTCCATGCGAGGGTTCCAGAAGAGAGAATCGACAAGCTGGGCATCACTACGTTCGAGAATCTCAGCACGCGCATATTGCGTGGGCGAAAACAAACAAAACTTTCCATTCGAAGCCGAGCCTCACTAATTGTAAGCTTGTTCCGGATCTCACAGGTCAAAGAAAAAGTTTCCCGAACAGCAATGTTTTCGTTCGTCGTTTTTTTCTGTATTGTGACAGCGGTATTGGCCCAGCAGCTCCCGAGTGGAGATGATGGTCGGGCAAGATTCAATCACACCGAAGATCTGGGAATGCCGAAACCGCACCGCACCAAGCGAGGTGCCGAAGTCGCGCACGAGGTTAGTAAATAGTAGTCTCGGAAGACCTCTCTCATCATTTTGTTATGCTACAGCACTTAATTGATCTATGTATGGTTTCGTCTGTATATCACGAATCCATCATATCAGCCTCTCTTGAGCAGAAAGGTCTCCCTCTGCAAGTTTTCTAGATTCTCTGTTTTTTTCTCTTCTATAATCGGAAATCCTGCGGAGGAAAATTAGGCTCTCGCCAGAAACAAATGGGGGCCGGGAGTCGATACCGTTTCTCCCGAGTCGCTTTCTTACGTGTTTCATAGGGGCTCTCGATAGGTGAAGTGACCTGTGCATAATTTCCTTATCCTCATTATTCCCGTTCCAGAGTCCCGTGAGGATGGGCGCGACAACGGGTAGAGTGGTCGCCGGGTTCTCGAGAATCGCGTCTACCCTGCCTCAGTTTATTGTTGACGGGCGTCACTATTGGCCATCTGACTTTTCTCTAACCAAACAGATCGGACTCCAGGGAGTGAACGAGCTAGTCAGTAAGTGAAAGTTTCAAAGACGAGGAAATATGCGGAGAGACATGTATGAATCAAGTGGTTGATAAGGAACCTCGAACGATCCTCACTCAGACACCTCTCTCCTCCAGATGATGTGTTCAATTACGAGAAAACAAAGGCTCTGGCTGTCGCACGAGAAGCTTCGTGCGGCCAACGGGCGAACTGCTTGTGGAACAAAAGGCTTGGCACCTTCGGTAGAATGTTCGGGAGGGTCAGTAGAGACCAAGAGCTCCTGAACAACTTAGATTGCGATACCATCTTTGCGGGCTGCTTGCACTATCATTGATTCTATTTATGATTACGATGATGTAGCTTTTCCCTAGAAGGACGATTGAAGGTACAGACAGAAGTGAAGTACATAAAATACTTCCCCTGGCGTTTATTCCACGATAGCGAGAGCGCGACGTCCCTCAGAGCGATACAGGAGTCATATGAACAATCATTCATGGTTAAGAACCTAGGAAAATATCTGTAATCTGTAAACAAATTTATACTCATGTTGGTATCTGAATTTTATGGAAAAACAAGCATCGTATCCCGTACGCTTCAGAGTTTTCATTCAATACTCAATTCGAAATCCTCTCCCCGAGTGCCTCCTGGGATACAAAATATTTACAGAGAGTCGATAACGCCCCTCATTCGTCTCTGAAAGAGATAAGGAGGTCCGCTCCGAACTAATAATTGAGGTCCCCAATACCACCCGAACAGAGCAATGGGCGAAGAGTCCCTCCAGTTTGGAAATAGTCTGATTGAGAGGAGGGAGCCGAAGAACTCATTTAGTCCCTCGCTCTAGAGAGAGGGAGGGACTCAATGGAGCTGGAACTTTTGCGATTCCTATCGCTGAGGACCAGCTTCTCATAGCTCAGCTCGCTTCAGTACTGCTCAGAAACCTCCTCGGGGTTGATATCACATTTTCGGTGGAGCACGGAATCCCCAGATCGCGGACCGAGATTCCTCGGGAGCATCGAGCTCAGATTTGTCTCGATAGCTCACCGCCTCGAAACGAGCATAACGGAAGGAGACCGTCTTCCGTCACTCACGATCCCCTGCACGCGAGCATCGGTCTACACCATTTTCATCGAGGATACTCGCTGTCCTCCGCTCACATAGAAGGAATCCGGCCGACGCACTTTGTTTCTGCTCGTCCATGTCGAGCTACCTTGGGAACTTCTCGAGAACTTCTCCAACGATTCGGCGTTCATCATCGCACCTTCCTCGATGCACGGATGAATTAGTTCGGGATTCGATGTCAGAATCTCGTACAGCTCTATCGCAGCGGGTCGTTCCTCTTTCTGTATGGCCCAAACCCGCATGAGGAGTGCTTCCAGCTCGCTTGATATTTTACTTGGAAGCGTCGGGAAGCCCCCACCCCTGATGAACTCCTGTACGTTCTGGTCGTCGCGGTCGTGGTACGGATACCCTCCGAAGGTGATGATCTCGAAGATACAGATCCCGAAGCTCCAAATATCGGACTCTTCGAAATAAACGCCCGTTCTGAGAAGCTCAGGGGACATCCACCGTACCGGCATGGGGCCCGGTCTCACGATTCTGTAGTAACCCTGGTCGACAAGATTTTTACAGAAGCCGAAATCTGCGATTTTGATCGTCAGGCTTTCGTGCACGAGGCAGTTCCGACAGGCGAGGTCGCCGTGGACGTGTTGCAAGCTCGCGAGATACGAAAGACCTCTACAGATATCCAAAGCCATGCGAGTGAGGTGGAGCGCGCCGATTTCTCCAGTTTCCGCCAGGTGACGTCGATCTTGGAGATAGTTCTTCAGATTGCCGTACATCATGAGTTCGGTAACGATCTGACACTTGTCCGGCTTGTTTATGACTCCGACGAGACGGAGGATATTGACGTGATCAAAACGTTTCATGATCACCGCCTCAGTCAACAGTTCCAGTTTCGCGTTGACGTTCCTCGGGTCTTTGGCTGCCTTGACAGCGACTTTGGTGACTTTATTGTTCTCGTCGGTGTAGTCGCCGAAATACACCTTGCCGAAAGCACCCTCGTCGACCAGCCGATAGATTCGCACGCTGTTCTCCGGGAGCTCCTTATCGTTGAGCATGATGAAAGGCGAATTTCGATTCTGTTCGAGAACTTTCATTTTGTTCTCGTAGTGACGATACGCGAAGGCGGCGCTCACCCCACCGAACAACACGAGCGTACCGACGATGATGCCACTGATTGCCATTATGTGTGCGGCGTCACAGGATACCCCCAACGCGTCCATCAACGCTTGGAAGGCGCAAGGCGGCGTTCCGTCGGTGGGCTTGACACCGTTGTACCACTTGATAGCTGTCTTGAGCTCCAGGCTCGAGTCTTCTGTTTCGTTCATCTCTTTCTCCGAGCGCTTCAGTCGGAAAGCGCCGATTCTTTCCATCGATCCGTTGAGGTATTGATAGAGAATTATATCGTCCGGCTGCCGGTGGGTCCCGTCGAATTTCACAACTCCAGTGACGCCCCTGAATTGACTGCTCTTGATTTTTTCCGTGAATCGACGAAGAGCCCTCGAGCTCGTGACCTGATCCACGCTACGCAGTTTCTCCAAAAAAGTCTTCTCGTGTCGCACCAACTCACCCAACGCAGTGCCCAAGCTCCAGACGGAATCGTAGGCGAATCCAGCGTTGTCGTCGAGGTCCTTGACGTCTCTGGTCACGAACTCCCTCCAGTCGGAGACGTTATCTCCATAGGTTGTGACGAAGTCGTCGTCGGCCAGCTCTCTGAACTTGTAGACGAGCGAATGGTCAACGGCCCTCCTCAATTCCGCTCTGGAGCACGGAAGGCCTCTTACGTATTTGAATGAGTTTTCCTTCATCCAGAACGGCAGAAGCCAGACATAACCGTATTCAGCGGTCATTTTCAAGCGGAAGGCTTTACACATAACGTCTCGAGCGACTTTTTCGGGAAAATCGCCGATTATGATTTTTGCGCGAGGTTCCTCTTTCATGCTCCCAAGACTCTCCTCGAGCGATCCCGATGTCAAGTAGGTATATGAACCGACGAATGTCCGCTGATCTTTCTGGGCGAAGGAACGGAGGTCTCTGATGTAGCCGGAACTCTGATACGAGTCGGTGAACGCGGCGAAATTGAGCCACTTCTGATGCTTGATAAGCCGCACGTAGGCTTTCGCCAGCATACTGGTATCCGGCGGAATCCTGAAGAAATTATCCAGTGTTCTCGACGTTTCATCGATGACGCTATCCATCATGTAGCTGAACACAAGGTGTCTGTAGTGAGCGGCGACGCCGATGAGACCTTCGAGGGAGCGATTGCAGTCCGGACCGATGACACCGACGATCTGATTGGGCGAGGTCGTGATGTTGGTTATGTACTGTTTGAATATCAGGTCTCGATTGCATTCTCCGTTCACGACGTTCTGGACCAAGATGACGCCTTTGAGGTGATATTTATTGATCCGATTTATGGCGTCGCCTGTCACACCGATCAGGGAGCTGTTCTCCTTTGGGAAAATCGCATGTATGGCGATTTTGGGGAAAGCGTCGACTCCCTTGGACCATCGTAGATCCAACTGGGTTTTGATGAAGGAACACGCGAACTGCTGCTGCAGTTCTTTATTGTGCAGCTTCGCAACATCGTTTCCGACGAGGTCCCTGAACTCTTCCGTGCGGATGTAGGCGTTGTTGATGAGTTTTACGATCTGCGGCGCCCCGGCCTCCAGCGAAGACCAATAGAGTTTCCTCAATTTAGCGTTCTGGTACGTACAGCCGACTTCCTGACTGAGCGTGCTACACGACGGGAACAGGACTTCGGTGTACGTATCGGGGAAGAGGGTCATCGGACTTGTGCTGTAATCGAAAAATAGGACGGGCTTCTTGTCTTCCTGCCGTTTTATGTGATTCTCGAAATTATTCCCCAACCAAGCGACTTTCACGTAAAGATTCAGCTCCTTGATTTGCTTCGTGATGATGTCGTAGTTTTCGTGCGGATACGCTGCGACTAGAACCGCGCACTTTTCGTTCCCCACGCACTGGTCGGGAATGTATTGTCCCTTTTTACACTCCTTGAAGCGAGGTCCCTGACACCATCGGTCTTCTCCTTTGCCTCTCCTGGTGATTCCGTCGAGCAGCGATGGATTTAGAGCAAATCTTTCCGTCAGGTTGGCATCCTTGAAATATCTGTAGTGATCGGGCTTCGGTCCGAATACGGGTTTGTCCACCTCCCCCGTGCTGACGAACCAGCCAAGTCTGATGTTCACCCCGAGATAGCCCGCACTCTTGACTTTGTCTCGGTAGAGCGGAAACTGGGCGGTCGTTTCGACGATTCCGATATTTATCATGGGGATTCCGGTGCAGTTTTGCTTCTCGACGTCGCAGTTCATCTTCTCAACCCATTCCTCCGAGGTGAGCTCGTGCTGCACAATGTCCACCCGGTACCCGATGTAGTCGTGGATGAATAAGAGCAGGATGTAGGCCAGGATCTGATCGGTCGGACGGGGACCCACCCCGATCGTGATGTTGACTGGTTCGTCGTTGATGTGCAATTCATTCCCACCCACGAGCTGCGCCTCCGTCGAACACAGTGTTTCGCGGGCATCTTCCGCACCGTACGACACCGAAATGCAACCTGCGGCCAGCAGTACGGCGCAGAACGACCTCGCTGAAGAGATAGAAAAGCATGCGGTCAGAACCGGGGTCGGAGCCCGCTTCCGAGCGCCGCCTGATCACAGAGCATCGCTCGGAGGATTCTGAATCTGACTCAAGTCCGAGCATCGGATACTCTCCCATATTGTGTCTACCGGAACAATCAATCATGACACGTACCTCGAAATTTCATCGTGACATGGCACACCGGAACCCGTGGTCCGTCGAACTTCACGGTGATATTGTTCGGGATTCGCACAGCTTCTGGGTTTATTCAATTCTCTCAAGTTCTTTCTGGAAGAACCGATTTCGAAGCAAAGCGTCAAACTTGCACCGACGAGGGATGGTGTCAGCTCTTCCAACGTTCTAGTGGAGGTTCTTGATGTGGACTATCCTGCTCTATCCTAATACCCGCTTAGAGGCCTGGCTTGGCTGCGATAGCTGATTCCTTGCCGCGTCACCGCTTAGAACTTTTCGTGAACGGAGAACCTGGCAAAATAGTGAATGAACAAAATCTTCGAGTACCCCCGAGTCGGAGCTCATTGGTTCGCGGAGGTATCTCGGACGGCATCTCATGTCCGTCTCGCGGCCGTTCCAGTTTCAAAGGATTCAGAACTAGGACTTTAGAAGCTGCACTGGAGACAGGACTCATGCCCGGTGGAGACGTATGCTATTCCGAAAGAGTGCGATTTCCGAGATTGCTCAGGGTGCGGCGTGAGGCCGCTGGGTCTTTTGAGTTCGAGACGGACGTGAGACAGGATGGTACATTCATCTAAATTCCCCCTGAGGGACGTTGGGAAGCTCATAAAGCTGCAGAATTATCGTCTTGGAGGATCAAAAGGCTTTAGCTCCGAATGATATAACGGTAAGCTTGAAACGATAGCTCCTCCAGCGATTCTCGGGCGAGCGGCATTTCTAAGTTCTATTCTTAGTCGGAGCCAATTCGATGATATTCACGCACTCGGCTGTCACAGCTTGAGGTTGAAATCTGTGTGGAGTCGTGATATTGCCTCTGTCTCTCATAAGGATCTGACTCGAAGCATCGTCTCTCTGAGAGTGCCGAATGTGGAGTCGAATCAAACGATGAGATATCCTGAGAGGATAATTCATCCTATCCTTGGAAGTTCATCAGAATTATGGATTTCCGAAACTCGACTGGCCGAGAGGAGACCGGATGCGGAGCCACGCTGAGCCCTGCATTCCGTCAAGAATATAAGGAAAGGTTTTGTTTGTTGCTCTCCTCAGACATCGCACCAGGGAACTGCGAGAGTGGCGCTCCGTCCTTTCTCATCTGCAAAGCTGCGTGCCCGCCAGATATCACGCCTCCTCTCATTTGACGCAATTCTGCAGCATGTTGCCTTAATCCTTTTGAAAGACTGAGATTCCCACCAGAGGGCTTCACCGAGCCAGAAGGCGACTTCTGGCCCAGTTTAGAGGAAAAAAAAGTCCGATCAAAATCGGTGCTTCCATCAAGCGGAACGGAGAGCGAAAACGGTTTGCCTATCGACATGCTCTCGGAAAATACTAATCGGGAATCGGTAGCCTCTAACAGATCAGCCGAATCATTGGGACCGGGAAGTCATCGCTCTAATCGACGTGGTCGGCTCCTTGGGGTATCCCTTGATGGAAGAAGGCAGCTGGTTTCGTCGACTGTCGAAAGCGGGAGAGCATTCACATATAAATGAAGATACGAACTTTCGGAATCCCTTCACCGGTATGCCTCCTTTATTTCAAGCTCCAACTCCTAAGGAATGAAATGATATACAGGCCATCTTTTCGCTTCAACCGTCCAATTATAACATTATATGTTATCGTTATCATACGCGCTCAAGAACCAAATCGAGAAGCTCAGCATTCGTCGCACTCACACGTCAACACATTCGTAGCCTCATTCACGATCCGACATATCTATTGGCTCGGAGAGCAAATCGATTGCAATGGAGGAAGATCTAGCTGTTTCAGCTCGATAACATGTATGTACTTCACTAGGAAAATCAACGAGGTAGAGAGCGTTCGCGTTCTCTCACTCGGATTCAGCAGCTCTCACGACGGGAATCCGATACTTCGCTATCTCTGTCGCAAATTTGGCTCGTTCCCGAAACTTTGCCGCATGACCGAAAAGATCCTCGAGCACGTATTTGAAGCCTTGCGATGCTTTGTGAACGTTCTTCTTCAAGCGAGCTATCCCTATTTGCGTTACTGCTCGGGAAACGCCCATGAGGTTTGAAGTCACCCATGCCTGGCGAACGCACATGGTTTTGCTGGAATCGGTTGGGTCGGGAGTGTATACGCATTTCTCTTCGACTTGCATGACATGTGTCAGGCCGATGTTCCTGGTATACGTGGTGAAAGTCTGCGGGGAGGAAAAAAGGGTCTCAGATCAAATCTTTGTGATGGCGAGAGCGAACCGCGACTCCCTGTCCCGAGGGTATCGCTTAGGGGAAGGTCAACGAACCTTTTTCTTCAGGTCGACAACGCTCTCTTCGACAATCTTGACTGAGTTCCCCACCTTCCCGACCAGCCGTTCAGCCAGAGGAGGCATGCCGTTTGTTTTCGTCAGCAGACGTTTCGTCACGAGAGATCCTAGCGAGGCAGAACAACGAAACTGTTAGCGCGACTATCGAAATCATAACCCCCAGCATACGAAGGAAGCTTTTTGTGGGATAGCTGTGAGAAGAGACGCAGTCCTTTTATAGAGCATTGAGTTATACTGACCATTATTTATCTGTCTGAAGATGACATCCTCGCTGAGCACATGCCCAGATTGCGGGTTGGGATACTTCTTCCAAAATGCGGCGGTGACTTGGTCCCACTTGAAATCGTACGAGTCATGATTCGAGAAATATCTCATCTTCGACGCGTTCAAGTTCCTCGCTTGATGCCGTCGTAGCCAGCTGGAAGATCATAAGAAAGGTCTAGTTTGGTCCACTGCACGCTCATTTCGCGCAACAGAAGATTTTCAGCCCGGACTCGCGCCCATGACGATGAGCTGAGCGGAGATTTTTCGACCGCATTCGAGTATTGCGGAGTACGATTGTATTCAGAGCGTCTCGAGAGTTGAATTCATGTCAACAGGATTTGCTCTTTTTTCGCTGGCTGAGCACCTTTGCATTCGATCGAAAGATCTCTGGGTCATGCTCCGGGGATATCACCGTCGATATCCATTATGGGTCGCTGCGTCTCCGAGCCCAGTTTACAGAAAACGAACGATGGCAGTTCCATAAGAAAAATATGTTTATTGGAAGCGTTCTGTGAATTTTCCGCCGTAACATATACAGATATCCCGCCGATGGAGATTGGGAGTCGTGTTAAGAGAAAAACTGAGTTTCTGAGGCAGTCTCCTCGAAACTCCGCAGTCGAGGAAAACTGCCGCGTCACGCGGCCACGATAATCGGGGTCGTACGCGAAACGATTTCGACCAATCGAAACAAGAGATCACGCGATTAGATCACTTTGTACGGGTTCAGTATGCCATTGCTGTCGAGTGAGTGTTTCAAACTCCGCATTGTTTTGAGCCACTGAACGTCGCGCTGTAACGGGAGATATTTTTTCTTGAGGAGCCCGATTCCGTGTTCTGCACTGATACTTCCTCCCATCTCCACAGTTTGCTCGTACACGAAAGGCTCGATCAGAGCGAGCAATTCATCGCTGTATTCCTCGGCGGTGATATTCAAATGTACATTGCTATCCCCCATATGACCAAAGACACAAATTCGTTTGGCAAGTCCGTCGATCCGGGGTTTCAAGAGTTTTGCCAGATCCAAGTATTTCTCCAGGGGGACCGACATGTCGTATTTGAACACATAACCGTCCAGTCGGATCGATTCCGAGATCCGCTCCCGGCACTGCCAGAGGTCGTGGATGCCTTTGCCGTCACTGGCGGCAACCCCATCGGAAATCATGCCGGAGTCGAGAACTTTTTCCACGAAGGAATGGAGAGCTTCCTCAACGAAGCCGTGATTGTTACCCTGGACTTCGATTAAGACGTAGAACGGAAAATACTCGCCGAGAGGATTTTTCATGACCAAGTTCTCTTCGGTGCATCTGAGAGAGTCCACATCGAACATCTCTAGGGCGGACAGGAACTCGGAGAGATCGCCTCGCGCATTTTTGTAAACCTTGAGGACGTTCTCAAAACTATCGCATCCGACTATGGCCACGCTGTTGAAAGCGGCCCTCGGGGCTAACAGCCACGCCGCCTGAGTGATCACGCCCAGAATGCCCTCCGAACCAATGAACAGCTGCTTCAGGTCGACCCCCGTGTTGTCTTTGCGCATTTTGTTTAGCCCGTGCAGGACAGTACCGTCGGCGAGCACGGCCTCCAGCCCGAGAACACTGCCGTGCAGCGAACCGTATTTGATCAGACGAACCCCACCCGCGTTCGTGGAAATGGCTCCACCGATCTGACAGGAGCCCTTCGAGGGCAAATCGAGAGGCACGGCGAAACCCATTGGGGCAATGTGTTGGTCGAGCTTTTCCAACACTACGCCGGAGTCCACGACAGCCACCCCTGCAATATACGATGGCGCTCAACGAAGCTCTCTTCGATGGGAATTCGAGGTGGTCAATCAAAGGCGAGGGAGATTTCCCCCGGGGGAACCAGGGCCCACTCACCAGTGAGCTCAGCGACTTCATGGATGCGGTTCAACTTGTGGGTGCTCAGAACGATCTCATCGAAAACCGGAACACTGCCGCCAACCAGGCCGGTGTTCCCACCTTGAGGGACGACTGCCAACTTCCTGGAGTTGCAATACCGAAGAATTTCGGAAACTTCATTTGTTGAGCTTGGATACAAGGCCAGCCGCGACTTTCCTGAGAGTGGGTTTCGGCATTTGAATCGGGTTCGGGATTACGCGCTGACTGCCATGGAGAGACATCGAGCGATCGATCAATCGCTCTATCGATGGGGGCACTATCTGGAACATCACCTTGACACACATTCAACCAGTCGTTGTTGTGTTTCTGCAAATCATCCGTGTCGGTAACCACGTTGCGGTTCCCCAGCAACCTCTGGAGGAATGTGACATCCGAATCCTCAAGGATAGCGAAAGGTCGTCTAGTTTCGGAAACGCGAGCATTTTGAACAGCTGACACACTGATAGATCTCCGTAGGGTTGTCCACATGCTAGAAACCAATTTCGAGGATAACATTCGGAAACACTCTGCCGAACTGCTCAAGATCGCGAAAGCGGGAGCGAAGACTGAACTGTGGGGCGTGCTCCCGGCCCCGCGGTGTCGGTCGCGAGATCTGGACCGGGTTCGCGGAGGAGCACGTGAATCTACCGCAAAGATGTTCTACAGAGCTTCATAACGCCGGACTCTATACCGCGCTAGTTTTCCCCAGCGGAAACGAAGTTATTATTCCCTCACGCTCCGGGACAACTTCCCGAGATATAGAACTCCGTGTTTGGGAGCACGTGAAAAGCGCCGGAATCTGGACGAGAACCTCCTAGCCGCCCCGGGAGGCGATTGTACCCTTCAGGTAGTCGATAATCGAACAAGCCTCCACGGAAAGGCATGGGGAATGTTCGCGGTTCGGATCGAGATTGGGGTTCGAAACGACCATTGTGAGTAGACGGATCGAGAAAATTCGGGTGAGTCCGGCGGCTGCCCGAATTACTGATTTTGATATCGTGAGTGTTGCGCGACTTCAACGTGAGCTCCGAAGTCAGGGGGTGGTTGTAACCTCACCTTAGCAAGGGGAGACTTCTTCGAGTATATCTGCTTATCTCCTTCTGGTCTATTAGAGAGAACCTTCTGACGGCACTGGTCGACGCGCTGTGCGCAGCTGAAGGACACCGAGAACTCGGCAATACTTCTATGAGCTGGCTCCTCCACATACGACCCAGGCGGTGCGGCGCGAAATTCAAAATACGCGCGAACTACCCCAGCAGCTTCCGCGTTCGACAAAATCTCGCGGCTCAACGACGTGAATTGAATCTGATGATCACTCCAACCGTCCGTGGAAATTCAGGTGGAATGCTGGGTAGCGGGAGAGAGGCCGAATTTTCGGTTAGGTAGCGGAGACCTCGCTCAATTATCGAGAAAATTATCGACGATTATCGAGAAAATCGATTGGCTTCCTGCTGCAACTCGATAACAGTCGGGGAAGCTGAACGATTGAATGGTCCAGGCTTACTCTCAGGGTGTTAAGTTATGAAACCCGTTTATTTCCGTCTGTACGTGTCATTTAAGTCCGATCGAACGGAAATTCACCACAAACAACTCAGATTGATAATACGGTAACAGCGAAACAAAAGCTGCTTTTCCAATCGGGGAATCATTTTCCCGATTTCCGGATCACTTAGGGTCTAAAAAATAAATACTCGTATATGAACGATTCGATCCCACGCGCAGGGATCGAGCATCTAGCGATGAAAGGAAGAGTGTTACAGGCCCATGGAGCGTCGATTCTTGAAAATGATTCGGTAAAATCGATGGAGTTTCGATCAGTTCCGCACTCTAGATGTCGACGGCCATGTAGCTGGTCGCTTGCGACGATCGCGCAGCCGCGACTCGGGTTGAGCGACGGAGCGGTGTGAGCTGGAAAATTTGGAAATTTTCATCAGTATACCTGTCGGCGTCCGAGGGTGCCCTCGGCAAAGCCGCACGGGGTTTTACCTTGAAAGAGGTGCGTTTCTTCTTGATCGTGGACGTCTCATTGCTGCGCCGTTGGCAGCTCGACAGTAGCGGCGTGAAGCGGAGTCTCGTTTTGGCGGCGCTGCCGGTTCGCACCTGAAATCCAGCCCCCATGATTTTCTCCCCATATTGTATCGAGGAACATCGATCAAGGCATTCCGGTTCTCAAAGAGAGGTCATCCTCGAAAAGCCGATGCCGAGCCTATCTATGTTTCGGGTTCGGGAAATCGTCTGGGTGAGTGGAACCTACGTTTGGCGTCATCTCGACGCTCTCAGGTGTATACGTCGATCTCGGCGAAGGCTCAGAGATTTCCGAGGTTTCATGTCCAGTCTGACCAGGGTCGCTCTCCGCGTCCTCCGAATCCGTGAAGATATCAGCCTGAGAGAGATTGAATACTTTCGAATCGACCCCTCGAACGGTAGGCATGATCCCCATGGTCTGGGTCCATGAATGTTTCCCAGAAATCTTACCTCCGCTTGACGATCGCCAGCGGCTTCGATCGGCTTGAGGATATTGTTCAACTCCTTCATCAAGCGGGACCTCGATCTGGTGTCCCGAGCCGCGAAAATGCCCCGAACACAAGCAACGCAAGCTTCCCTGCGGCGAGGGGAATCATTGCATAGACGTAAGGATAAATCTACACGAGGATGAATCCGGAGGAAGAATTGACATCAGTAAAAATTCCTCAGAACCTACAAGGAATCTCCCTTCTGCTTCCTGAGTTGCATCTCTAGCTGGAAAAATTTCGCACTCGACGATGATTGGCGGCGGAACTTCAGCCCCTCGATATCGGTAAGCGCTTCCTCGACGCTCATCTGGCAGAGTAAAGGAAGAATTTCTCAACGACTTCTCTCGGAATCTCGACTCCGAGAATACCATCCCTCGGAGTTCCGGCAACATCAGAGCCCATAAGTCATTATTATCTGCGCGCATTCATCAGTCAGCACATTCTGTCGGGTTCTGCGAACACTCACCGTTCCTTTTTGAACAGCTTTCCGGATTTTCGAGACTGTTTCCTCCAGTTCTTCAAGTTCTTTGTTTTTATTCCGACCCATTTCCACCACGCATCTCTGGGTCAGGGGCGTGCCACGCTTCGGCGTTTTCTCATTGAGTAGAGTGCCGAAGGAGAACGAAAGTTGTCGATTCTCACCGTCGCGGCTGAAGGAAATCGTTTAATATCTTGGAAACGTTTACCACATGATTGAGCAAATCTCGTTCATGTCTGAGAATGCACAGGCGAGAGGTAGCTGACAAGCGGCACCCCGCTAGAGAAAGCTTTGATCGGAAGGCAAACACCGATGATAATTCAGGCCTAATTGAAGGCATCCAAGATTCCTGGCTCGCTCTCCAATAAGGATGGAGCAACAGGACCTCCAGAGGCTAGGGGGATCTCGACGATATTCTTCGGATTGAGTGTTGAATCCCTCGGATTCTTAGAAACGTCGAGCTTACCTCTTGCCAAGGGTGTTTTTCGCCAAGATGCCGATCGGTTCGCATCCCATGGCTTCCATCTCCTCTTTCGAGACTCGAGGCTGAGTGAACGAATATCAGATTAGCTTTTTATGTGAATCCACATGAGATTTCATACGCAATCGTGAGATGAATGGCCAGAGAATCGAATTATAGCGGTGAACCTTATAATTGGGAACTTGCGCCTTGAGCTTCGCTATTCCATTGGTCACATCTCGGCATGGCTTCTTCTTCTCTATCTGTCGGCTTGGACCATCTCGGCTACGGATGTGAAAAACGTTGGGCCTCACTAATTCTCTTCGTAGATGAGATGTCGACGCCTCCCTATCCCCTCTGAGGTTCGTTAGATGGTTCTAATCGAGCAAGAATTCACAGATTTGACTTACACAATTTTCTTCTTCTTGACCGAATTCGCGATCGCGTGCCAGCTGATATCATACTCCTTCCGGCGGAAAAAGGCTGATTTTGCTAGGGGACTGTCCTTGCACACTGCGGGCACTGCAACAATAACGGTCATTCACGATAGGTAATAGCTTGATGTAGGTGTAAGTCCATCCACAGATCTCCGAGAGGAACCCGACGAATAACGTCTCAGAGCAAATGGACCGGTTCTGTTCTGCACAGGATGGCCTCCACATCACCAAGCTCGACTTTCGCCCTTCAGATTTGGGTGTTCTCTACGAAAGTGAAGACACGAAAAGTTTGTCAGGAGTTGGCACAGGGAGAAGCTCATCAGATGATCATACCTTTCCTCATTTTACCCATTGTTTCGACTCGACAGACTGTTCGCCAGGTTCCTCTTCTAGTACCAGGTTCCGGCTGTTTCAATGGGCGAAGCTATGCGCATCTCTGAAACTGTTCAAATTCGCGGCGTCAACAAAGGGAGGAGCAAAATCAACATAGAAGCTTCAGCGGTTTCGGAGGAGAGAGAGAATTCGCGAGTTCGCGCGGCCTTGGGGGATCTCTTTCGGAAGCTCGGAGGAGCTATTCTTGAACACCCACCGGTAAACTTCAACCGACCCCAGAAGGACACTTATGAGTCGTCAACTCCGAAGCCGGATCTCGGAGTCCCGAGGGACACATTCCTTCGGGAGAGCCGACGAACGCTCCGGTTCCCGGTGCATGCCGTGTGGGAAGGGCGGAGCAGGCGAGCGATGCTGTTTTGGACTTCTCTTTGCTTATTTACAATTTCGTAAAAGTCTCCCAAGTCGAAGAGGGAGTCGGAACAGCCGGTGTTTCTCCCGAGCGAGCGGGAGGAAGGATTCGAAACGGATCGGTCCATGTGACCGGCTCCCTAATCAAGTTTTTCGTACGCATACTAAGGAAGCATATGTGATCATGTCAGCTATCGAAGATCCCATATCCGTCTTGGAAGACACACGAGAAGGAATTCTGCACGCCATCTATGACATAATCAAGTGGTTCGTAATTCATGATCCGTATATAAGAAGGAAGAGTTCTCCACAAAGAGGGAAGAATTATTATCGAAGCTTTTCGGGGCTGCGAGCATCTAAAGGCAGTCAAGAACCTCAGCGGCCGAGCCATGGAGTCCCGAAAATAGATGAGCGCCGGACAGGGAAACCGATTCTGGCGGTAGAATAGCGAATGCTGACCGATTCGCGTCTCTTTCCAGCATTGAAAGGGACTCCAGCGTCGACGAGAAGGTGAACCAACTGCGGAGTCGGCTCGAGAACGCTCGGAGTCTCGTTCAAAGTTTGAAGGGCACCGATTTGTCTCCTGATGAACAGTTAGAGAAAGCAGAACAGCTCCAGGTCAGTGTCCAACATTTTCTTCAGTTTGTCCCGATTGACCTCATAGGCGCTCGAAGGAGTTTTCGGTAAGAATGCTTCCCAAGAAGGTCCCCCACCTCTGATACATATTTCGTCAATTTCCAGACTCAGCTCACGGACAAGCGTCGACTACTATCATCTTACAAACATATGTGCGCTTTGTTTGATTTACCGAATGGGCAGCCGAACAGCAATGGGTCTATGAACTGACGTCGACTTCTGGGACTTGTATTTGTATTATTGATTGATGTACATATCTGTATACAGAATTCGAACTTGGCACAGGGGAATAAATAGTGAAGGAAGAACCTTGATGAGCAAAGGATCGCTCCATCGTTGGTCGAACGCATTTTGCGGGTGTCTGACCTTTCAGTTGTTGCCATGGCTGTCCGAGGAATCCCCTGTTACAGAGTTGACTACAATATGATGGAATCCCTGGAAGCAGGGACGCTCGAGGTGGAGCATCTTCCGATTGCAGAGCCATCCTTCCCGCTCCGTCCGATTCATACGGGAAACAGCCGAGCGAGGAGCGAGCGAAAATATTTGTCTGCACCGATATTGATCCGGACGTCAGAGGACCCGCCGGCACCGTCGTTCCCAAGAGACCGCTCCGGAGGACTACGATGCGAAGAACCTCTAGCGGGGAGCTCTGGGAGACGGGATTCTTGGTTTAATCGGGGGGCTTTGAATGATTCGGATCCTTCATCTACAAGGCCGTATCCGAATCCGGCAGTCGGATCTCTGAATAGTGGACAATAGCGACGGAACGTCGACGATCGAAGGCCGATGGGACTCTTTGCACGACCCCGAGGCAAGGGCCCGGCCAGCTAATTTATAGATGCAATGCTGTCACCGACCGCTGCGGAAAAGATCGGAAGACACCCCCGGAAGCAGCGTAAGCGCCCCGTCGAAAGCCTCCGTGATTTCACGGAGAAAAAAAGGCTCGCTCGGCAATCTCGAGAACGAATGGCGAGTATTACATAACCTATACAATATGATGATATAATCTCTGGCGAAGATGTGCACTTGAATCTTTCACAGATGTCTATTACAGAACAGAAAATTCGGATGAGACGCTCCTTTCACACCACAGCAGAGCCGCTCTACGAGATGCGAATCGAAATCGAAATCTTCGTTGAAGACTCAACGTGAAGGGTACTCGTTCACAGGGGGTCTGACATAGCCCGAACAGAGCAAAAGTTTCCGAATCACTGTTGGACCGGGCTCAGGGGCCACGAGTGATTGAGCTCCTTGAAAGCCGACTTCGACAATGCTGATTCGAGATCGAGGAATCCCTAGCTTGTCTTATTAACATGGTACTCAGCAACACTTCGGGGGAGGTCATCCCTCGCACCGACCGAAATTCGGTTCGAGCGTCGATCTCCTCGGGAGCATGAGCTCGGCTCCATCGAAGTTTAACCACGACCGTTGGTTGAAAAGGACATTTAGCAGAGAGGGAGGCTGGCGTCGAAGAAGCGTCAAACATAGAGAACAAGTGTATATTAGAGGAGTCACCGAAAACTCCAGGCGATTCATGCGGCATTCCCATGCGGGTCCTACAGTCAATCCCCTCCAGTCGCTATTTTGCGTTTACGCGGTGTTATCGGTGTTGCTTCCGAGAGTGGGCAAGTTCGATCATCTCACAAGAGGGCAATGGTTCTCAAACTCTCTCAGCTTCCCTAAATTCTGGTATTTGAAATACGTGGAGGACGATGCTACTCTGCGGGCCGGGGGCAAGCACATTCTCAGAGACCCGCACGAATGACTCACGGTGCGTGTTGAAGATTTCGCCGATCCCTCCTTTCGCGAAGCATTTCACTTCCCCGAGAACTCTCTCCATGACTTGAAATCCGGGGCGCCAAATGGTCGTTGGTCCGCTAACAGACAGCAGCCCATCCTTTCGTTAGTGACCGAGACTTACCACTCGAGTGAGGAAAGTGCGCAAACAAGCGGTTTTGAGGTAAGATAATCGTTCATTTGGTGGCATGCGATAAGAATAATTCCTCTTAATAGACTTGCACTTTCCTCGTCGCGATGCCGATAAGCGTGTCCGTCTGGGACACCAAAGTCCTCGGTGCGAGGTTTTTGAAGATGCAGCTCTCGACCCCGCAGGGATTAGACTTTTTCCAGCGGGGAAAGGAAGAGGGAAAAACTTTATTTGCCCGCTAATCCCGTTCAGAAGGGCCGGTTTTCTTTCCAAAAACACCTTCGTACGAGTGTTTCAGTGGCTCGAGCGCGTTTTCCTCGCCAGGGATGCGGTATTCTCATATGGGACGGAATCTCCTCAGAAAAGTCTACGATGCGAATAGCAAGTCGCTAGTGATCGATCGAAGCCAACCACTTCTATCTTCGGTACAGGAGAGAATGCTTTCCTAGAATCAGTCCTGTTTCCGCGCAACAGCTTCTCTCATTCGCTCCGATCGGACGATTTTGAGCCTCGAATCTCTCGTCCCATTCTGTGGAACGGGACAGGCGGAGAATTATTCCCTCCCTGAGCACCGAAAAATCTCGAGCAGATTCGCAACGCCGAGCCAATCCGGAGCCTTCAGAGCTCCTCGCAAAGAGCGGCGGTGCGCTCTTTCGACTCGGGAACCTCGAAGCTCACAGACGCAGACAGAAGACGTCGCGAAAGGCGGCACTCGCCGCTATCAGAAAAAAACTTGTCACGAGAATCTTTTCTTGGCGCCGTTCGGTGTAGGACAAGCTCGAAGCCAATGTCTTCTTATCGGTTGACGCTTCGATCACAATGTCCCGTCCGGTTTCTGATAAACCGGTCATCAAATTAAGTCAATAATGTGAAGTCCACTGATGGCATCTCGATGCTCGATTACTTCATTCTGGAATGTTTTTCGTTGAACACAAACCGATAAGCAAGGGAGTGTTGGTACGTATCTTGCTTTCCAGTTTCTTCGCAGGTTGGCATCGAATCCCACGAAAATGTGCTTTTGCTTTCCTCGGAATGCCGTACGCGAAAGTGACTGTAGATGACAGCTCAATCGCTTGATCCTCTCCGAGCCAGAGCGGACAGGAGCGAGGAGTATGAGTACAGAAATCCGCCGCGAGAACGGCTGGTATTAACGGGTGCGAAAAGTATCTAAGCGCTGGACCGAATTCGCTCGACGGTTCAGCCGCGGAAGAATTGCAGCGATCTCATGAAAAATTCACGCATTGTGAAATGAGCGTCGAAAAAATACCGCAGACCTCTTCTTGTTTTCGCCAGTTTCCTTATAACCTGATTGAGTCGGCTTCTTCCTCGACTATCGTCGCATCGATGTTTCGATTTGAACTTCCGACGTTGGCTCCTCAGCATGATCGGATTGAAATGCTCGCACAATGCTCAAATCGTTGGATTGGTGTACGCGTGCGAAAAACTGTCATCGGGTCCGAAGATAACCTTGACAGCGAGCGACGAATCATCTGACGCCACCGCGATTTTGTCAGTTTCTGTTTTGAGCAGGAGCATCTAAATTGTCGTGATCCGTGAAATCGTCTTCTTCACACAGGTCGAGAGTGTGGGCGGACTGCCTGGCTCTTCCACGAAAAGCGCATCTCGGGGAATATCCTCCGATCAGTCCACCAAATCTCGGTCGCGCGTCGGAGGGAAATCTCCGACTCCGATAAAAAATAATAAGCAGGGGCTGCGCTCCCGAATAGATTCGCTATGCTAGCATGGAACGGAACGCGACTTGAAGACGGATCGGGAAATGACTGCAAGCCAATTTCTGTTCAGCATGCGGGATGCACAGTTGTTTCGGGAAAAGCAAATCGACCGCCCGGACGACTCGTATCGAATCCGGACCTTAGCGAGTCCATGCGAACAAATTGATCCGGAGGGAATCGTGGCATCATCCAGTGCGTCGTATCGTCGTGTAGGAGAACACGATCATCTCCGCTTTCCTGATGAACGAAAGAGGGCAGAGCCTTTTGCCGGCCGAGTCTTTCGTGCCGATGTCTGCATCAACAACAACTAGAAGATGAGATGACGTAGCCGATTGCAAGAGTGTTCCATGTACTGGTCTTCAGGGTAGTCAGAGGGCGTCGCCTCTGTCGCTTCAGGATCTACGAATCGAGAAAACGGTGGAACAACATGCGCGCGAAAACTGAGTTTTCTCGTCTTCGATCATTCGATCCGGCAGAGATTTACGGGGGGTAGGGGTTCCTTCTGAATGGACTCATCTCGACATGGACGTGGAGACGGCTCCCCCCCTCTCGATCCACCGATATTTTTAATTGCATTGTGAGCTTCGGGAGGCATATCGTGTTATTCTTGAGACCGCGTAGCTATACGGTGAGAAAACTGCGATAAACAGACGCCACAACGACGGCGATCGCCGTAGGAGTCATGGGGCGACTCATCCCACTCCGCCTACCCTTTCACTGCGTCGATGACATTCGCTAAGGTGTCCTTGCTTGCGAGTTTCAGACTGCTGACATTTTTTAGCCCTGTCGAATGGACTTGACCAATAACGTCAGATGTTTCCTATAAGCAACGCGAAAACTCCGGATTATAGACGATGACACTCAATGGCAACCAATCCATTTCCGGTGCTCGTCTGGTTGGCAGAAAAGAGCTTCCGAGTCGGAGGAATCGAGACTCCCGAAACTAAGTCATACATTCTCGATTCGAGAGGGACGCTGACTGGGACTCGAAGAAAGTTCCGGAAGTCATCTTAGCGGTTGCGTCTCTGCATCCGATGCAGTCCCTCAACAGCATTCAGCGATTCGAAGCAGGGGAGAGCAGAGAAAATTAGAGTCGCGGTATCGAGGTGGTCTGTAATGCAATCAGGAGTTGTTTTCCTGAGATCGTGATGTACCATTCCGCCTCCGTCTTGATGGAGGCATGGATTCAATACATCATTAATAATTCGTAATTCGTTCCGCTCGTGGCAAGTCGGATATCCGGAAGTTATCTGGTGGAAAGTAGGGGGTCAACAGCGAAGTTCCCACCCGTCAATTCCGCCGGTCGTTCTCCTCACCTTGAGCAGAGCTCATGATTGCAGTGAGGCGACTTAAATTCGATCTTCTGTACTTCCGGAGACCACTACGCTCATTCACCTCTCAGATCTGCCGTTACGATCGCTCAGCTGGGAGATCACGATGATATTCGACAAACGTCTCCCTCGGAGCCACAATTGACAGACTGTAGAGCCCCGCATCTAGGTAGCCCTGACGTGCGATAGGTCTGCTGTCCCGAGTAAACTGAAAAAGATCTTCTATTCGATTGAGCATCCAATCTGTCATCGCTCGAATCTAGAACGGACCAAACTAGATTCCGTGCTCCCGCTGCTGGTTCAATTGGAAGGAGAGCTCTTCAAAAACACGGATCATGCTCCTCTAAGCTTTAGTTCCTTACCTCGATCCAACAGAAGGCGAGTTCCGAAGTCAGAAAACCTGCCTTGCGAACCCGTGAAGCGCGGAGCCGGGCCTTTTACAGTAAGTTCGAATGCCCCGGATACCCGGAGTATCTCACGCTCAAGCTTCTGTTGTAGTCTCCACGGGAATTTGAGCTCCCCGATTGCTTTAATTCCGACTCCGCGATCGGATCCCACAATTCCCGACGAGGAAATCCCGCAAGAACCGCGCGAATTTTCCTCCAAGACCCATTATTGGATGGAATCTCCCCGATCTCTGAATTGTGAAGAGTCGTTCCCCCGATTTCAAGCGTTCCGCATCGATTTTCGTCAATGGCTCTTCAAAGCGATTACTAAGTCGACCAAGTGTGTTTTGAAAATCCGACGATGTTGTTCGTCTAGGGTTGTGGGTTGTGAAAAGAGCCGCTTTCCGAAGCTCCGTGTCAACACAAATGCGATTCAATATTTCCAATCGCGCGGTGCCGTCCATTTGTGCAATGATCAATGATGTGCTGGGATCGAGTGAAAATACCGAAGAACAAATACAAGCTGCGAATATCCTGTGATCAGAGACGTCCCTCGAGATGGATATCACGCTCTTGACCAAGAGTTTTTCGCGCGAACACTCGATCAGTCGAATGGAGACTGTCGAAGTTCGACCTCGCATTGGTTCAAGGCTGCTGCGGCTTTTCTGCTTCGTCCAGGTCGATTAGCATCACTGGAAAAGCCCGTTAGGTAACTACAGTAATCTACCGGCTGTACCGATTTCAGTCTTCATGGGAAATTATTCAAAGTGGTCATCGTCCATCTGTTATCAGAAAATCGTTTCGAAATTCCTCACGCCGGGGAGATGAGCCGGCGGAATGGACGCGGCGCGGTGATTCACACATTTTGTGAAATGCTGCAAGGAGTCATCCTTGTGATCCAGTGATCGATGTCATCTGCATTCTCATACCGCTCATCGGCGAAAGCACGCGAATCAAAGCTAGAGAATAACCTCAGTGAATAACGCTCTCGCTTACGTTCCTCATTACGTCGGTGGTATTTATAAATTTGATTGCGTTTCTGTGTCTTCGGATGCGTAACGGAATATTCGCTCCGCCGTAATGGGAGTTTCATAACGGTATGGGTCGATACGGTAGCGGAACAAGTCAGAAACTGTCTGGGTGAAACTTGGATTTCTGGGGGAAAGGTCACCCGTACCACGTTAGTTCAGCAGCAATACTGATCCGCATATTGGATATTCAGGCTCCCCCGACGATGTCGGTATCCCATCGACGATGATCTCATTGATTCTCACCCTCGACTCGGCTGCGACCTTGGTGGCGTTTTATTGAATTCCTCCCAAAGAAACGGAAGTCGTCATTGCTGCGCTCGTGAAGCATGTGAAGGAAGCACGGCTGGAGTGGAATCTTATGTGTCCGCACCCCGAGAATTAATGAGGGATGGCAATTTTCCGTCGAATCTTCGGATAAGCAGATGCTGATGACCCGTGCTATTCCGGATAGCGGGAGTGGATTCCTGATTTCCACAGCAAGCCACTCGTGTCATTTGAATTATACGCGACCTTATCCACCCAGGCTCCCGTTCGATAACTTGGGATTGCTTTCTTTCCTCGCAGATATTTCCCTGAGACTGATTTCTTTGATTCCAGGTGTTCGTGGAAATGCGGAGCTCGATGGAGAGACTTTCCCTCCTATTGATCTCCCTCTCTGTCTTTTTAGAGTTCGCCGCTTGCGAAGATGTCGAAGTACGGAGTTGTAGAAAGCCTTCGGACTGCGACCCCGGGTACTGCTGCCGGATAGGTGAGCTGGATGCCGCGGATAGAGGCGCGACAATGAGGGAATCATGATCGGCGATTTGAATCTGAGAATTCTAACACAGAATCGAGGTGTTGTGATCCCTTGATACTTGTGATTATAAGCTTATCCGGATCGGGCGCGGAACGCTCTCTCCGACACAGTGAGCTACTGTCGAAGAGTTCCGAAGAGCGTTACGCTAGCGGACCGCCAACGAAATGCAGGGAGAGCTCTGGCACCAGGATAGTTCATTGAGATCCGAGATTCAAGGCGTGCAATGGAAGACTTACCCTCGTTCCTTTGCGAACATCGGAGTCTGTGCTGCGAGCCACATGTGCGTTTCCTCGACTTGCGTCCCGGGATGTTCTTCGATTCATCGCATGAACGCGCTGAGGGGAACCCTTAGCTCTGGATAGGAAGCTCACCGATAAGCCTGCAGATTCCGATCCGAGATGAGCCGAGTATCGGGATTCCGCTCCCCGTTCCGACAATCGGAATGAGGAAACAATCGGACGAGTAAGGGAAACAAAATTCAGAGGAGGCATCCCGCCATCCTCCAATGGTTTGGTTTTCCCTCAAGACACCGCCCTCAGGCACCGGAACTCCTGCCGTCCGGCATTCTATATCCTTCCGCCGACGCGAAGTCCAAGCAAAGCTTATCGGTGCAATCCATCGGAGATGTCTGAGTATATCTCTGAGCTTCGAGAGCTCGGAGACCGCGGGGAAGAAGCGAGGGATACGATCAGAATGGGAACGAGCAACCTCCCTCAGAGCTTCCTACAGCGCGTGGTTTGGTATGGTGCGTCAACGCCAAACCGATTAGTGATCATTGATCATGATCCCTGGTTCAATGAAAGCTGGAAATCCCACCACCGGCATCCGTCGATCGATTGGATCAGACTTCAGCTTCTGAAACACACCCTTCGAACATGCGGGAGATCAATGTTGGTATCGACAGCATCAGCGACCTTGTGATCTCACTCAGTCAGCAGCTTCTTCCGCGAAAACAATCAATGACCAGGCCGGCGATGTGCGAGCGGAATCTGAAAGCCTCCTGTCGAGAAGAGGCGCTCATCCCTAGAGTGATCCACGAAAATTCTCTTTTGTGGAATTGTCAGTGACTGATCACGAATGATGAATATCTGCGATCCAATAAGTCGGAGGCACCCTTATGAGTCGCTAGAGCTCGAAGTCGTACGGCTCAGATTTCTCTGAGCACATTGATCGCAGCGGCGGGTGATTCAACTACATCATACAGGAAAAATATATTTTCCAGGGATGGAACGCTTCAGTCAGCCATTCTGTCAGAAGTTTGGGACCGTCGGAGACACCTGCAGGATGGGAGCCGAACCTGAAGACAAAATCCTCTGGTTTCCTGGTGGACTGACCTTTGATGTTTTCGGAGTGTACCGACAGTTTTGCCCCTGCGAAGGTGGGATCCGGGAGCTAGATTTCTTCATTTAATCCAAAAAAGAAACTTGAGAACATGGATCGATGAGCTACAGCGCTCCTTGGCGAGGCTCTTGATCCGCTCGACTATCCCAGAACTACGCTGAGATAAAAATCTGATCCTCTTCCATTCTTTTTCAGGTGGTCTCGCTTGCAAAGAGGCTATGTGTCAGCCAGAATCGGCGAAAATCGCTGCTCCGACCAAAAAATACAATATCGACGATTTCGACTACGAATCATTGGACAATCGAGCGAAGAGCGATAACTTCGCCGAATTCGACATATAGGCCAATCGGAGGCTTATAAGAGTGCGGATCGAAACTCCTCCTATGGGGTGAACGGGTGTATTGTGAGCACTGCAGTTCCCAATCTAGCGTGCTCCTCGAACTTACACTCGGCTCGGATTTCTAATCAATTTATTTATTGAGTGATGGTGATGACAAGTTGTGCCTCCTGCTTCTCGTTCTGCCACCGATAGAGATGAACTTGCCGTCTCGCCTATCGTAAATTTTCCCGAAGGTGAATTTCTCGGAGTTCTCCCACACAGCTCCGAGTTCCGGGGTAGGTCCGATCGGTACTAGTCTTGTTCGAGAAGAGGAGGGGATCTGTTCCAGCGGGTGCGCAAACGCAGGCGGCAGCATGAGCGAGCCTCGGTGCATCGGCCTCGCGTAGTAGACGTTCGCTCCCGGTTTGATCCTACGAAATAAATCAGATATTCCTCGTCGCAAGCTTGTACTGTTTGGGTGGTCATGAATTTGCCAGGGAGACTTTTCGACCATCTGCAATCGAGCCTCATTGGCGTCTGGCCATACACGAGACGCAAAGTCACCTGTCTTGAAGGAAGCGTCATATTTGAGACCCCGCGGATGAATTATTAGGTTCTGAATGAACTCGTGTGAGACCCAGACGGTATAGAATCGTAGTTTCACGCGAGCGATCGGATTGTATCGATGGGAGAAAGTCGGAGGTTCGGCAACGATCCGCGCATTTCGGCGAGCTCCATCATGAATCCACCGAGGTCTCCCTTGAAACCACAAAATCATCCGGGCTCGGGATATCACTCACCTCTAAATTCTGTGGTCTCCGGGTAACAGAAAGAAGGCCATCGTATTGTACCGAAAATTGAGTTTCTCTTTAATTCAGATGCTGTACATTGAACTCAATAGAGATATCTTCACACAGTCGTCCGTCTCACGCTCCTCGTCCCGGAGGAGGCTCGAGGTGTGGACAATAAATCATTCTGGGCTTTCGCACGCGCTCCAGAAGACTATCTTTGATTATTCTCCGTACATGCAGTCACGCTCGCAAGTACTCACATTCCTGAGAATGCTCAGGTAATATAAGGATAACTGTACAACATAAATACAACATCGATCCCCCAAGGATGACTCTGAGATTCCATGGCACAAGTGATCGAATACAGTTTCATTACCCTAGTTGCCTAGATCCAGATTGATGTCTGAACTATCTCATTGATTTCCTTTCCACTCGACTATGACAACCCCTCTATGGACGTCGACACGACTCCCGCTGAAATCGCAGGAACTGGGTCCAAAATCCCCAAGGCGTTCGGATCTCGGGAGATACCCTGATATTTTATCACGGTACAGGTCATGTGAACACAATGGCTTCAACTTATTATCATTATTTAACGTAGATCTAGGCATCCGATTACTACAAACTCTTTCCGATTACCACAAACTCTTCCTGATTACCCTCACTGGTGTGCTCACGGCCATCGTCCTCTGCTGCTCCGTCTGTCCGTCCGTATCCTGGGGAAGACGGCAGAGGATTTCTTCCTCATCTCCTCACGTCTGTGCTGGAGGAATGGCGACCTGGACTACGTGTCCTGACTGTAGTTTAGTATCACTGATTTTCTGCTTGTCCTGGAGCAGTTTTCCGCCGAAGAACCATCGCTGAGAAGACGTGTCAACATCGATCGATGCTTGGAGTCTCCGCTTAGCATGGAGGATTGATTCTCCAGTTCTCACGTTCAGTTTTCGGTCGGGGCCCAGCGTCGATGTCCGAACTTTCAAAATAATTTCCTCGCCGCTAAGATAAGGCTCACTTTCAGGGGATGGCGAATCGCTCATAGAAGAAGAAGAGTCTTCGACTAGATTTATCGGAGAACAGAGACAGTATATCGGTAGCTGATAACGGTTGCCTGGGGGAGGGGAAAAGATGTTCAGAGACGACGGATCTCTTCGATCGATTTGTTCCCGTGCAGTCGATCCAGTCTGCTGGTCTTAATTTCTGGCAAGAACACCTCACGAGATTCAAACAGTGACAACGATCGATCGCAACTGTCTGATGCAGCGAACAGGTCATGCTCGCGTAACCCTTCCGAAGCTACTTGTCATCGGAAGGCGCTGAAACACGACCTGTGTGCCGCGCGACACGGCGGATAACCTCGAACTGAAAACCAATGAAGCATTTAATTGGAAATTCGGCTCACCAAGCTCATCGTAGCAGTCCAGAAGAGTCCCATTCGGCAATGAGATGTTGGCTCCGTCCACTATGGCTTGAGCTAGAGAATAGTCACTGCTCTCTGAGGCCACTGCGGCGGCTCTCAAGGCGTCCCAGATTTCTCTGCGGCCATCGAACGCTGGTGCCGTGTCCCAGAACTCGTCCCGTTTTGATCTCAATTGCCCCTCCGTCAAGGGCACTTCACTTTTCCACTTCAAAGGCTCATTTCGGAGGGCTTGATTTTTCCCGATCGAAATCGCTGCTCGCAGGGGAACGAGGGAGGCACCGGAATAGGAAAATCGAGAAAGAAAAAGAAATAACGTATTTAGATTGTTGACGAGACACTTGCCACGGAGCGGAATAGATAGCCTAATCAATGCGCTGGGAATGCCCCGACATCGTCGTTGATGGCTCGGTGCACTCCGAAACTCTCTCACGAAATGCGTGCCCTCACGCAGACAGCCTGCGCATCCGTGTACGTGTGCCATTCACTTTGAAGACGAGAGCTCTTACGGAGCGACCCAAAGTCTCAATCAAGTCGGTCACGACACGAACCGACTTCTGAGCTGACTCGCAACGATTTCAGTAATAGATTCTATTCATTTGACGTTTGTTCTACTGCATTCCTCCACCGGAATCTGCTTGCCGTCGTGGTTTCCTTGTGGCTTCCTAGATAACCAGCGACGTCAACACGATCGCTGTACAGCTGCGAGTCTATGTTGAAGACCTTCAACCACGACAGGACCTCTTCCTGGCTGTCGTCAAAAAAAAACGCTAATATTCTGTGATCCGGTGGCGACATTCGCCCGACCATTCAATCGTAAGAGACCCTCTCGAGAAGCGGAACACTACAAGATGGAAAAACTCGATTTCGGTCCCACACGTCGACTCCCTGATGAACTTGAAGCTCGATTTTCATGTATCCGTATATCGTGCTCCTTAGCATTAAGCGAATAAGGAGATCGATCGCTGAGGCGTCCATTGATTTTTGTTTCGAAATATATTTTTTTCGTGCGGCTGCCGCGCGCACTTCAGACAGATGGACTTATTCTGTCGTTGCTCGTATCAATCGTGTATTTCATCCACGCTTCCGAAATTCACACGCCCTCCAAGCTCCATGTATATCCTGGAGAATTCTTGGAAAACTTACTCGAGGAGTAGGAAACAGGCTTATACAAAGGAAAGCTCGAGGAATCACCGTTTCGTCTATTTCTCGGGCTGAACGAATCGGCCCCCAGTAGTGAGCTCGAAAAGGTCAACAACAATAAGTATGTATACGATTCTGACCCTCGCGGCAGGAACAGAGAAGAAATAAGACGAATAAATTAGAGCGCGTGATAAAAGATTATCGCAGGAGACGAATCGCGCCCAATCGGAAAGTGACGTAGATTGAACTATTTTAGAGGATTATTTCTCTTCGTCCCCCAAACGATTTCTCTCCCGATTCCCCAAACGATTTGCCTGCTTCGACTTGGAATTTTTCAAGTAAAATCGGAGAAACGGTCGAACTTTCTTGTTGACCCTAAAATTCTTGTCGCGAGAGATTCCACTGCGAGCCGAGAGGAAGCAGGAGCGCAGCACCCGTCGTGTATCGTTTTCTCTTGGGCAAAAGTCGATCCCGAGAACACGACCCTGAGCATCAAGAGCCACTGCGGTGGAGTCAAGGGTTTTTCCTCAGTCACTTCCTAAAGGTCGCAAACTATTCAGGATACGCTCGCGCTTCAATCGCGCCGATCGACTGCTTACCAGATAATTGTACGCTACCGATCTGGATATCGGCACTAGAAGGTCTCGAGCGATCTCTAGAAGAGCTCAAACAACTGCCCATTGCAGCAAGCACTAGGCGCTCATCGTAGCGCTTATTTCACTGTAGGAACATCGTTGCAGAGGACTCGGGTCCCTTCCCGTAAGCATCGGCAGTAGGATGAAGGAGCAGCAGTACCAGCAGCGGCAGCGACTTACACACTCTTCACGCACAGACGACGACGACGACACCAGACATACGAGCAGCGAGTCGCGAGGAAACAGATGCCTCCCTTGTTCGCATGCGCGATCTTCCGTCACTTAGCGAACGCTCTTTCGTGGAATTTCCGAAGCGCGCTCCTCGAATCCGGATCGCATGCTGAGGCTTCAGTCTCACGGTATAAATAACATACGGGGGTCGTCTCGACGCTCACCGCGAAATTTTGTCGAGCACATTCGATGCTGGTCGAAGTCGCGAAGACCCTCTCCCAATGAAACAAAACAATAGGCTCGCCGCCGTCGAACGTCTCCAGTTCCGTCGTTTAGGAGGCGGAATTGTTTTTCTTATCCAGAATTATTATGATTTCACAGAGCAGCTGAGTGGGAAAGTTCGTGCTGTCTGTCGCAGAGAGACTGACTGAGCTGTGAATTCGTGCGATCGCAGCCGCATCCGTGGCGGTTGACGACAGTTTGTCTATTTGTGTCATGAAATGCAACCGAATTTGAGCAATATGGAAGGTTCGTCGCAGAAAGGTGTGCTCTTATAATTACCAAACCCTGTACGCTTAGCTGCCGAGCTCGGCCTTGAAAACGGCATGTGACTGACTGTTTCGAATCGGATTATTAGAATTAATTTCAAAATTATTGTCATGCTGTGGGGAGCCACTTCGAACCGCTCGGGAGCGATCTCGAGGTTCTGACGCAGTCGATTCTGATCTACCGCGAATGGGACGAGGGACGTAGTGTCTCGGTTCTGCGCACTGGATGGTATGTCATCTCTGATTCGAGTGGGAAAAGTATCCGGTTGATGTCCGTCGCACCGGTGGGCTCCTACGCAGTGGTGGAAACTGGAGTTCGAAAGCACAACATGGATATAATTCTGAGCTCCTCCGAGAGATTCTTGAAAATCACGGACGGCGCTTCGTAGAGTCGAACCCCTAGTCTCAGTGAGTCGTCCGCAACTTTGGCACCGGTTCAGGTTGACGGTGGCTGAGGGTTAGTGCCTTCTCTGCTTGAGACTCTCTCGGCTAGATTAGCCACTGTTTTTGAAGTCTTCCCGAAGTTGACATCTCCGTACGGGTTGGCTACTCGTCTGAGACTACCAGTACCCATGAAGAATAGCCGGGCGCATCGCAGAACGAAGCCGAGCTGATTAGAGGAATTTTTCCGTAGAATCTTCCGTTTTTGCTCCACCGTCTTGGTCGCACGTAGATTCCGACGATGGCAATTCTCGAAGGTGAGGTGTCAGCTCTTTTTCGGCATTCGATTTTCATTCTCTTGTGCGACACGTTCTGGTTCACCATAGCAATTTACTTCGTGGCGGTTTTGGTTTTAAGTGAGAACATCATTTGGCGAAGTGAGTCCCTCCCGTATTGTGTTTCATCAGTACGAAGCAAACTCTGACCACCACTGGCTGAGGTCCAGCGGTGGCGGGAGAATGCCTTTAATCGACACCAGCTGATCATTCCGGGGAACGAGTTTTCCCCTACGAGGATGAGATAACTTGCTCAAGGAATCATTCATGTCATGAATATTCATTTTCGCCGTAATCCTATTCCAGAGGTGAGACAGATACTTTCGCACGAAGGAGCCGCCGGCGGTGGAGCAGCGGCCGCGGCGGCTGCGCGACCCACCACCCTTGCTTTTGAAGCGCCCAACCGGGGTCCATCGCCGCTACCTCTACCGTTGAAACCTCACTGGTTTTACATGAAACAGAACGAAAAGCAGTGGATACCGTTCTCTTTGCTGGATTCAAATGAGCTCGAAAATGGTGGGTACCGATCAGCCCGAATTATTGTGGTTCCCGGTCGTATTGATGAACAGAGAGTCTCTTCATTCCGTTTTCCCCGTGAGGAAGAATCTAAGTCTATTCAATCTTGCAGCGCACGTTAAGGGCGATGGCATCGTCACCGTCTGTGGGGGGAGGTTTGAAGTCGATTTATCATCGAAAAAAATGTATCCTGTATATTGGCAGGAGCCGGTTGTTATTCACGTGAGGAGATGCAGTTGGTTCTTCAAAAACGAAGGCGACACGAAATACACACCCTATGATGAAGATATTGCTCATATCCTCGAGGTGAGGCCACGGAAAGAAGAGGATCCATCCTCGCTTAACACCAGTGTTTCATGACCGCTTTAGACCAGTTTCATGATTCTCTCCGAATTTTTCAGGAAACGTATCAGAAATGTCATAACTTGAATAAATGGAATCGTCAGATAGACATCGGAGGAAACCAATACGTAAAGATGTTTAATCCCAATTTGATGACGCATCAAGTGGCCAGTGGTTTTGCTGACGAGTGGGGGAACATCTCGGTGAGTTTTATTCGCGCACTCCATCGCTCTCATCACCTATGAATCTCTATAAATACTGGGAAGGGCTCGAATTCGAACGAGAACTCTCGGTTTCCCCGCCAAGACGGAATCTGCTTTCAAATTATAGGATTCTGCTCCGCGTCCTCGTATGGTCAAGCGAGGTGCGGAAAATATCGCCGAAGGAGTGTTCGAAGCCGGCGAGAGTGAGACGATCGATCATTTGATTTTCGTCGTACACGGTATCGGGGCTGTTTGTGATTTCAAAATGCGCACTGTAGAACAATGTCTCGACGAATTCCGATCGATGAGCAATCAGCTCATACAAAATCATTTCGCGGAGCAATTTCAAACGGGCAAAGTCGGTCGAGTCGAGTTCCTGCCCGTTTCGTGGCACAGCAAACTCCACGGCGAGACAACGGGTCTCGACGAGTGAGTATACAGAGTTCCATCTCTACATTCAATCGCAATCCAATGCGGGTCAAATGAACTCCTTGAGCAGGGGCATTAATTTATTGTCCCCCATTACAGGAAACTACAGAAAATCACCATAAACACTATAAGTCGAGTACGGGAATTCTTGAATGACACCATTCTCGACGCTCTGCTGTACACATCCCCTGTTTACTGCCAAACGATAGTCGATCAAGTAGGATCCGAGTTGAATCGTCTGTACCACTTGTTCAAGAAGCGCAACCCCAAGTTCAACGGGACCATCGGACTCGCCGGGCACAGCTTAGGTTCGCAGAGGAACAGTAACGGCATGAGGCCGGGAGATCTATCTACCGAAAAAAAAATGAATTCCTAAAGCCGAGAAATCTACAGGCTCCCTGATTTTGTACGACATCCTGATCCACCAAAGACCGGCTTCCGCAACCCCCGTGGTCACCCCCCAGACTTCCATCACGCCCGCGACACTAGAGGAGCTCTTCGATCAGCTGGCGATTGAACGAAACCACATCGATATCTTGAAGAAACACGAAGTCGACGTGAAAGCCCTGGAATTCATGAACGAGGCTGACCTTCTGGGCTTGGGGATACCGGTTGGACCTGTGAAGAAAATCATCAATGTCTTGAACCGATATCCAAAAAAAGTTCTACGAAGGAAGCAGAGTTACACGAGGGCCGAATTTCTAGTTCAAGGGAACGAAGGTACGCCCGATTCGGGGTCATTTCTCGGTCATCGGCGAAATCGATCAGGAATCTCCATCACCTAATTCCCAGGAGCGGGGCGCGCAATGAGCGATCACCTTCATTTCAGGCACGGGTCAACTCACTGTGAACTACCCGCAACTGGAATTCCAGCCCGACTGCTTCTTTGCGATGGGAAGCCCCATCGCCATGTTCATCGTGGTCCGAGGCAACGAAACTCTAGGGAAGGACTACCGCTTGCCAACTTGTCCCCGTTTCTTCAATATCTACCACCCCTACGATCCAATCGTAAGTTCGGGCGCAGATTCCGCGACAGGTGGATGAAGGCCGCATTGGCGGGACTGTTTGGGTTTCCGGGAGAGCGACGCTAGTCAGAAGACATGAATTATGATTTCACGATCATATCTGATCCGGCGATGCTGAAGCTTGTCCGAAATCCATGCAAACCCATCCTTCACCCGAAGGCATACCGTATGGAACCTCTCATCGATCCCTCGCCAAATCTTGAACCTGCTCAAATTCCGCACCACAAGGGGCGCAAGAGAATCCACCTCGAAGTCAAGGAGTCGCTGAAGAAAGTCTCAACCGAAGTGCGGCAGAAGATTGTAGGGGCCGTATCTGTGCTCAGTAGTTCGTTACAGCGAAGAGATTCTGATGTGAAAGAAACTCCCGGACAGGTAATCTCAAGTTTGTTGGAATTACCCGCTGTGATTGAACAATGCCGCTCCGAAGGGTTTTTACTGTGCACGAATGAGCTCTTCCACGCGATCCTTAACGAGAATTCGCAATTCCTAATACTTTGAAGGAATCTCCGATCGAGAGCGAGGACCCGACTTTGGCGGAAGGGAAGCTGTCAGCAGTTTCTGAATGGGCGTTGAATTCGGGTCGTCGCGTCGACTACGTGCTGCAAGAAGGACCTTTCGAAAGTTTCAACGAATACCTGTCCGTGCTCTTCAGTCACGCTTGTTACTGGTGAGCTTCTCCAGAGGAGAGGAGGGACTTCTTGGGTTTCTGTCTGCTTTCAGCGATTTTCTCCCCGGAGACGAATGATAAAGAGAAGTAATTTCCGCGGTATTGTTCTTCCAGGGAGTCGGAAGATACATTACTTCTCATGGTCAAAGAGCACTACGCTCTTCGCAATATTCACCCGAACACAGCAACGAAATACGCCCCACTGATCCCTTTCTATCCATTATCGCCCACCTCGCCGACGGAGCCTGGCGGCGAACGAGATAAGGAAGCAGAAGTTGGACCTTTCTGGAGCTCTGTGGCGACGATAACCAATTACTTCTCTTCATCGCGACCCGAGCCTCCGCAAAAGCCTCTTTCGACCGATAGTTGAGCACATTCAGCGCTGTTGCTGTTTGTATGCCAGTTGTCGAAATTGTGATCAAGACGTGTGAGATTCCAAAAACTCCAAAGGGACGACACTGTTCCGGATGCCACAGAGAGTTTCCCCGCGGGGTCGATCTATTTACTTTCACCTGCTCCGGAACGGAGGGGATCTCCCCAAGTGGTCTCAGGGTACTATCTGCTCTACGGAAATGCACTTACGGTGTTCTTATAAATTATTATTCAAGTTACGATGTTAAACCTGTATTCTTGTTTTGCTCTGGGTCCTAGCGCGACCTAATACAGTCCTCGTGGGCGGTCCGCTCATCTTATCCCGTCTGAGACGATTGAACCCGAGGAGAAATCAGATTCCCGCCGGATTCCTCGCAATTCCTGTCGCATCAGACGCAGTGATATCTCTATGAAGCGTATATTGGGATCGGCAGAGAGTGTAAACAGGAATGCGGAGCATTTGTGAGCGCGACGCTTGCCTTTTAAATCCAGAGCACTAGTTGATATGAGATAATAAACTTAGATAGTTTACGGAACCGTACTCGCTGATTGATTCTTCGACCCAAGCTTCGAATACAATCGAAGCGATCCCCTGAGCTTCGACTCATCGCGTGGACGCTACTAGCCCAACGATCTAAAGTAAATTCTGCTTGCAGACATGATCGGAATCACTTCTGGAACGGCGTGGACATGATGGATCTCCGGGAACAACCTTCGCAAATCGTGTGCTGGTCTTCGTGCGATATTAATAAAGATACCGTCCCTCCTTCTCCAGTCCTGTGTGGCCCTGTCACGTAATTATTCGACTAGACTAAACCATTCTCCTGCTTCCAGTCGTTTGGACTATGCGACACCAGAGCCGCCCAGTCGCGCTAGAAATCATCGCACGAGGTGCCCCGAAAGCCGAGGAGGAAGAGCCTCCCGTGGGCCACGCCATAGACGGCGACGGCTATTTTCAATCGGAGGTGCAGGACGTCAGGGAGACCGTTTACGAAGCGGCTCATGGTGTCCAAGAGACTGAAATCGGAGCCGACGCGAATCGGGACCAAGACGCTGACAAAGAATCCTCCAACATCGAGTCGGACGCGAATGCCAGCAACGTTGAGTACGGCGGCGAGTGCTCCCTGCAGACGACCGATGGCGATGAGGAGGAGAAGCGGCAACAGGAGCAACCTATGATGGTGGTACAGCAAGTCGACGAAGGCGATCAGAGAGAACAATACGTCTTACTGTTCCGAAACGATGACGAGGAACCCGTGGAGACCTACGTTGTGGAAGGAGAACTCCAAGAAGAGGAAGATGAAAACGAAGAGCAGCTCCCGGAGCAGGAAACGGTTCAACCGGCGGCAGTGAGGGTCAACGGCAGGAAATGCTTCAAATGCGATGAGTGCGACTATGTCTGTAAGCGGCGCAACTACGTCAAGATACACAAGCAGAAAGTTCATGTCACTCCGAGAGAAATGACCTGTTATCTGTGTCAGGGAAATTTCGCATCGACAGCGACGCTTTACGCCCACATGGGTCAGGCTCATGCGGAGGAGCTACCGTACGCATGTGAGATTTGCGGGTATCGGGCGCGGGCTCGGCATCGAATCGTGAGCCACAAGTTGAGCCACGATAAAGAGCCCAGATATAAGTGTGATTTCTGCAGCTTCGCCACCCGACATAAGTATCTCAAAACCCAGCATGAGTATACTCATCAAGAGGAGAAGCCTTTTAGCTGCTCAATTTGCGAATACAAAGGCAGATGGCGGAGTTCCGTGTACATGCACATAAAAAAAAGGCATCGTGATCTCCAGGGCCTCGAAGCCCAACGCTGTGTTCAGCAGGAAATCGAAACGACAGCTCCTGAGTGTGCGCCACCGAAAACATCGTCGACGCGTTGAAAAATTCGCCCTCTGGCGACGGAGGGCGGCGTCGGATAATTCGCCGCCATGGTGGCTGTATTTTTGGATGTTCGATAATTAATTGACACCGTATAGATCTAACTTAATAAACATACAGATATTTTGGCAGAGGATTCCCATAGACTCATGATCAGTTGTGATCTGCGTGTCTCAAAGTTGGGCACCTCAATCATCACCGTGAGGGAGATGTATTTTCATGAACATTGAATTAAATTCTCTCAAAGTTATTGCGAAAGCTCATGGTTTCGAAATCCGATAAATTCCTCGGGTCAATTTTTATGAACTACGAGCCGGGAGGGCGCTCCGCGCCCTCGCGGCTCAATTGCCCGCACGCCGGATGCGATTCTATCCAAGGCCCGAGCGAGTTTGTCGAGTGATTACGACGGAAAGCGTGATACCGATTCGCAATGAATGAGTACGACACCAAAGAGCATGAACACATGAATTAGCATGAGAAAAATGATGCGATGCTTTCGCAGGCCTGAACGAATTTGTCGTGAGTAATCGGCAGTTATTGTTCTGAGGAATATCTGATATGGAGATTCCCTTTGTCCGATGTATGCCTATCTGATATCTGAATGATAGCACGACGCATGAGCATTCACAACTGTGCTTACAGTTTGGAATCTCTATTCACGGGTCGATTCGCGGGCGAATTGAAGCAACGCCTCCGACTTATCTTGGGCATGGCGAATTCAATGAGGAGACCTCTGAGCCTCGTGACGAAACTCCACAGATCACAAAAAAACACTGCTTAGGTCTCTCGTACTTGTCACTGAATCTCTCGAAGAATGTAGGCAAACCGCGCGTGAGTCCCAAAGTTCTTTTTGTCGAAGATGTTCACGACAGAAAACTCTGATTGGAGTTCAAAAAGATATATGGATGCAGAGTCGGACTCTCCCATCGCTCCCATGGAGCAGGAGAAATGATTGCACAGTAATGAAACAGGTGAAATATATGGGCATCGCTTATCAGATACGCTAAAGAATTATAGAAGAAATTTTGGAAAGCATTACGTTCGATCTCGTAGCTCTCGATTCTCCTCTGATGATCGAGTGGAGAACCCCGATATTTGGTTCAATGCCGGACCGATATTACTGCTTTATTCTATAGGGGGAGAAATTATCATTATCAAATTAGATCATGCTGAAATTAGTAGGCTGCTGCGACGTCTCTCGAATCGCGCGCCTCGCCGGAACGGTCGTGGCATCATGTGGAGAGAAGTGGTGGAGAGGATTTCCTTTCCAGCGAACACTGGAGAAAAACTTGATAATTTTCCGGAATAACTCGAGAACGATGCGATTGATCGAGTGGAAAAGTACTTCTTACGCTAGCGGGAATGATTCGGCATCGAGTCAAAGTAACTTGAAGTCTTTTGACAGACAAATAACCCCGATATTTGGTACAATGACGGACCGACATTACTGCTTTATTCTATAGGGGGATACTCGGAACAGCTGAGCTTCAAAAGGAAGTGAGCATGGAGTCCATTACAACTTGCAGAAGTATCCACCAGCGACGGGCAAGGTTTCGCCAGTGACGTAGGCGGCGTCGTCCGAGACTAGAAACGACACAGCCCCCGCAATGTCCTCTGGAGCTCCGAGCCTAGATCGGAATGGAAAGGGAATGGGACGCCTTTAGAATGATTATTCCGGGAGCTTTCTGATTATCGCGTATTCGGGCAGAGGCAAAATGAGAGATCTCACGATCGGGATTCCTCTCAGGGATTCGATGAGAATAAGTTACAACTGGCTGTAGTCTCACCTTCCCAGAGGGGTCGTTTGCAGAATCGCGTCATTGACCCCATCATCCTCCCAGAGAAGCTGGCTGAACTTGGTCTTGATGATTCCGGGTGCTACGCAATTTACGCGAATCTTCGAAGCCGCCAGTTGCAGGGCTGCCGCTCGCGTCAGTCCCAAGAGAGCAGTTTTGGACACGGAGTACGCACCGAGGAGCTGAAGCGAATTCCGGAAGGGAATATTTACCATCTCCTCAACCTCTCCTCAGTTAGGATGATGATCAATCAAATTCCTCGCACGTCACGTGGACTCACCGGCATCGCCTGGTAGGCAGCGATCGAAGAAATGTAGACTATGTTTCCCTGTCCCCGTTTCTCGAGGAGCGGCACAGCCTCCTGCGTCAACATGAACGCGCTTTTGACGTTGATTTCGAAAATCTTGTCCCAAGCTTTCTCCGGAGTGTCTAGTACTTGGGTAGCGGACGGGTTCACGGCCGCATTGCTAACGAGGATGTCGAGACCACCGAACTTGTCAACAGCTGTCTTGAGGAGGTTCTTGCGCTGATCGGCGTCGCCGACATGACACGGTACTCCTGTCACGGTGAGGCCTTCCTTCGTCAGAGTCTCCACGGCTTTGTTCACGTTGTCTTCCTTCCGCGACGAAATCACGACTTTTGCACCGTCCTGCGCGAGACGGCGGGCAATGGCGAAGCCGATTCTGTCGACAAGGGGGAAGTTTTCCTCTCGAACTCTCAAATGCAATCTCCGTCAAGGACCGATAGCGATCCTGCCTGAACTCACCCATCAGTGGAGGCGGTAACCACAGCGACTTTCCCTTGTAGTTTGGCAGCTGAACCCATGTGTCTGGCTGCTTGAAGTGTCAGCCGGCGACCATGCGAAAACATGTTCAACTAAAAAAGTCTATGTAGAATTAATAGGAACAGACACCCCTCGGCGGAGACAGAGCGTCCGGGGAACAGAGGAAAAATGAAGTATGTGACAGAACGATTCCGTTCGGAACGTTCCGTTCTCGCGAGTGAGCGATAACACAGAGGAGACACGACAAACATCGCGATCGCATGGGAGAAAGGGACATGGTTCAAATCAGCGCGCCAATGAGACTGCTCGGTTCCGGCAACCTGCGGTCTTCGGAACGGCTTCACTGGAATCATGTGAAAGTAGAGCTCCGTACGAGAAAAACATGATATTAACGTTCGATTCGTCTCATGACGTCTTCTCCCTGACCAACGCTCCTGTCCGAGGGTCTCTGAAGGCAGTCCCGAATCAGACGTGCCGTGTGAGAGTCCTGTCCGCGATTTTCCTCCGTATGCACATGATCGTCATCTGTTGCGCCAGGGAACTCCTGGCCACGAATCTTCAATCAGGAAAAAAATCTTCGCCCATCGTCCTCAACTTCAGGCCTCCCAGATATCATGAAAGACATGGAAAAGGCTCGCCGAAGATTCGGGAGACCGCATCGAGTGATAGAAGCAACGCTTAGCTCACTTCGGGATCTTCGGTCCTAGTACGTACCTAAATTCGGTGACCTCAATTCGGATGCTAGTAAGAAGGATGACCCGGAGCATCACAGGGAGCATTGTACGACATGCAGTTTTGCAGTTTCCAAGCTTTGCGTGCGTTTGTTTGCCAATGAGCATAGCGTCGCAGCTATCAAGCTCCCGCCAACAGGACCGGATTCGGGACTCTTGTTCGCTCAGAAATGTGAGGGACTGAAGGACCCAACATTCATCCGCAGCTCCAAGTAAGTTTTCTCAACGGAAAGTTCCGCTCGATGGGAGGCTCTTGAGCCCTCCTCTACGGCTCTCATCAGGTCGCGACTGGCGACATGAACGACACGGGGGGGAGTTGAGGGCGAATTCGCCCTGACATGAGCCCGTTTCCCCGATTCCGTCCCGTGAGTTCTTGAGATGCTGAGGAGAAATCATGATGAGTAACGAACGTTTGCGCAGGTTCGTCCTCTTGCTTCAAGTTCCACCGATGATCTGCCTCAAAAACCTTCGCGTGATCATCATTATGGCTTCATTGAAAGCTTCACGTGAGTACCGGCCCGGGGAAGCTCAGCTTGGGGCACGTTTCTGATATAGAGTTTCAGCCTGTGTGTTCTCCTTGATTCAGGCGGGAACGACTTCGTGAAGCTCGACTGTGTACATGGAGAATTTTTCTCGGACGAATGCTTCCGAATCAGACTCTCGATCGTTGTCGAGGGAGGCCGACCCGATCGGAACTCGAACCGAGGAGCGATCATCTCAGTCGGAGATAATTGGGCAGTAACGGGTTCAGGAACATCTCCTTCCCTGAGAGGGTATCGGGACAAGGTGAGACCGACGAGGGCGTTGCCCCGAATCCCAGAGCCTCGGAGCCGATTGGCCAGTTTCCCACGAGTATTCCGATGATCACTTTACGCGGGGCGCAAGCTCTTGCAGGAAATACTGCGTCCTTCGAGGAGTTGATCGAGACAGCTCAGAGTGTTGCAAAAAATAATTTTGAAAGAGTAGAAGGTAAACGAGGAGCAGCTGCGTTTGACCAGCGACGGGGACTCGTGCATCGATTGTCTCCAGAGACGCTCCATTCCCGATGCGCTCGCTGGAGTGAAGAGATGAAATACTCCCGTTGGATATTACCTCTCAGCCTGTATTTCCTGAGCGCGAGCGTTCTTGCGAACGAAACCGGCGCGAGCTGCGGGCCTGTACCTTGTGAGCTCACCCAGATTAATCGCCCATTTTCATTTTTCCGCCTCTTAATACCGACGTTCAACAATGTGACGATACAAACGGAGGTTTTTCAAAATTCAAGCCAACGAAGAGATGACTCTAGTTCTGAAACCGATGTCGGCTATGATCCTGGCGTGCTTACCGGTCATCGAGAAACACTCCCTGAAGCTCGGCGTCGTTTTCAAGCTCGCGGCCGACGTGTGCAAGCACTTCGACCAGTGCTTCCGCAACGGTGTTTATTCCTCAGCGGTGAGTACGTTGCTCGCAGACTTCTCAAACTCCGCTAAACGCGCTAATAATTGGATCTCTCCAGGATCCGGACGGTCCCTCCGGCAAATGCGTCAAGAACTTTCTCAGGGAGGATGTTTTAACTGTCATGCCGCCGGAGACTAAGGAGGAAGGAGTTCTTGGACTTCAGGGCTGCATCGCTCCGCTGAACAAGCTCAAGAAGGATCAAGTTTTCGCCGTTATGCATTGGTACTTGGCATTGGCGCCCCCTTGAAGACCCCTCGGTGAGATGGGGCCTCGATCTGGATTTGCTGGGGCCGACTTCCATCACGTCGGTCGAGTCAGACGAATTTCAGGACCTCGTATTCTTCTCAGGCTGACGATCGAGAGTCGATGTTGTTCGTCTCAGTGTAGCTCGTCGAGTTATAGAGAAGATATGGAAGAGGCCAATAACATTATTCTATTTTAATCTCTATTTGACCATTCAATGAAAAAGGGCGGGCCCTGATATCATGAGGAGGGAGTAGGCTTTGCAACCCCGCTTCATAACCGCAATGGCGGGTTTTCTTTAACATAGGACTCTACGGGGGACAGCGAATAACCGCGGTTCTCCATGAGATTTGCGTTTTTTTGCAAAGCCCAGCAGGGAGCATGGAATCGCTAAGGCACCGAACCATACATGCGAAAGGTTGATGAGTTCTGAGGATTGCTGAAAGGGGTTTCCCGGATTTCTAGGACGCAGGGAACGTTCCTGCCGAACCTCAGTGCCGTTGAAGTCATTCAAGCCTGATATTGCCGCGCGTAAAAACCGTGGCACTAAGGCTGTCCGACATGACGCTGGTCGAGTTTTAGAGCTCGGAAACTCTCACCTCGAAAATAGCTTCCGATCTCCTGGAGAAATCGAAGCGCTCGCCATCTGAGGGCTAGACGAGTCTGTCTCTTGGAATTATGAAACCTCCATGATCGGACCGGAGACCGACAAACATTTTAGATCGAGTACTCGACGAACCTGAGGACGAATCGAGATTTCTGGTGAGACATGCGTTTAGGGCTCCTCCGATCGATGTGGGGCCACGCGGAATCCTTCGAGCTCTGTTCGAGAGACCATGTGTGGTGATATGTCTGGTAGCATCGGTATCAGCCATCCTTGGCGCTCGATTAGAGCAAAGAAGAATTCTTACTTAGCCCAAGGCACGAGTAAGCGAAAACTCGAGTACTGTCCCCTGTGCGCAGAAGGAGGAGTCGGCTCGCTGTCTGAGCCATCTAACGGACTGACGAAAATCTAGAGCTTTAACCGGGAACCAAAGATTGTACTCTCGCGCTTCGCGTTGAAGCTTGGCTCACGGACAGTACGGAATAATACCCCGGCCGACATCTCAGCGGGGGCAGTTCGCGAGCGTTCCTCGTTCATTAAATCACACGCCAAATCATTGCGTATATGATTGTTAGTTGCGAATTGCGTATCAGCGCTCATCTCAAACGTTGGGAAGAGGGTGTTCATCGCGCGGTAGAAAACTCTGAGTAACAATCACCGCCAGCGATAGGCTCTTCATACACTCCCTAAAGTCGACCGTGTTTTTTCGGGGCTTCTCGGGATACTCTCGTTTTTCGGGCATTTTCGTGACGTGCGGGTCCGTCATGGACCTTGACGGAACGCTGCGGTTTCCCTCCTTTAGAGTCCAACTCGATCCGGAAAAGCGGATCCAGAGAAAACGAGAGACCAAAGAAAGGGTTAAGTCATTCGGAGAGAGTCAGTAGGGAAAAAAGCATGAGGTGGAATTATTTACCACAGTCATACCGCGCTCGAAACGCGGAGGATGGCGATGTTTTGGAGTCGGAATTTTAGTCGGCCACTGCAGCTGAAGCTGGTATTCGCCAAAGCAGCCGATGGAGGTCGGTGCAATGTCGAGAAGTTCAAGAAGCTTCTCGTTTTTGGTTTGGCCCCCCACCTGGCGGAGCGTTTGTTCTGCCTGTTCTCTGGAGGTAAGGATCATCTGACCCAGGACGAATTCGAGGCCGCCGTCACAAGATACGGCAATCTCTCCCCGCAAGAAAATGTTGACTTCGTTTTCGAGCTCTACGATACGCACCAGAGCAAGCTTCTGACCAAAGACGCGATTGTGCAGCTGCTGAAGATTTCCTGCGACCTGCACTCGATCGATTCAAGCGACAAGAAGCTTGAGAATTGGGCGAAGCTCATTTTGGGCGAAAGAGACGGCCTCACAGCGATCGATTTCAAGGAGTTGATTGAGTCTGACAAACACTTCAACCTGAAAATCAATGTTTTTGATTGGTTCGTGAAACCAGAGCAGCCACAAGAGGTTGACCGCGGAATTCTCCTACTCAAGACATCCTACTACAGACGGAACATCAAAACCGTCATCCCTGTGTTCGCATTCGCCGCGATAATGCTCGCTCTCGGGATCGAACGGTTCTTCTCCGAAACTCGTCTGCACTCCTCGGCTCGCGCAACGAACTCCTCGCAATCGGTGGGAAGATGTCGGATCGAGAACGGGCTCCTCCAGCTGCACTCCGAGTGGGAATTATGGGCGAAGATTTTCGGAAAGCTTCTCAACTTCGTCTCGATGATGATGTTGGTTCTAGTGCTCCGGAATCTCATCACCCTATCGCGAAAACTCGGCTTGAGCCGACTTCTGCCCCTCGACAACAACATCTATTTCCATGAAATGATCGGCTACATAATCACTCTGTGCTCGATAGCCCACACGGTTTGTCACGCCATAAATGTGATAAACCTATCCGTCGAATGGAGCGATGTCTGGTGTATTTTGTTCACGAATAACTTCGACGGCACTGGACTGGTGAGAGGGGCTCCGATCGTCACCGGCTGGATACTGCTCGCTGTGCTTGCGTTCCTGGTGGTTTTCTCTGTTCCCGCGATCCGGCGCAACGGGCATTTCGAGCTGTTCTTCAACACGCACAGACTCTACGTCGTCTACTTCATTGTTCTGGTCTTGCACGCGCCCAAGTTCTGGCACTGGTTGCTGATCCCTGGCTCGCTCTTCGTTCTGGATTCCATCGTGAAGATCACGGGGTTCTTCCGAAAGCTCGGCCGTACCCATGTGAGCCGAGCAGAATTGTTCAAAGGCGACACCGTGGCCTTGACGATTGCCAAACCGGGAGGCTTCCGTTTTCGTTGCGGTGATTATATCTATCTGAATATTCCCCAGATCTCGAAGTACGAGTGGCACGCTTTCACCATCAGCAGTGCACCGGAAGTCGACGACCTCACTGTGCACATCCGTGTGGCCGGGGAATGGACACGACATCTGTATGAGACGATCGACGTGGCCTATAAGAAAAAGCTTCGCGAAAGGAGGCTATGCGAGACTCCGCGTCCGTCACAGTCGACCAGGTCGCCAATACGAAGGAGACACACGGTCCTCTTCTCGGACACACGCAGCTTCGACGCGTCGCACGCCGGTCCGCAAGTGGCCTTCAGCATCGCTTCGAACGGGGTTCGCTTGAGAGGCGGCGGAGAAAGCTTGAAAAGACGTTTATCCAAAATGATCTCCCGCGGAGACCCTCTGATGATGAAGTATGGACGCAGAGACTCTCGAGGACCATGGGACGAAGCCTCGAGGAAATCCCAAGTCCCGGATGAGTCCGAGATGGTCGTGGACGACAAAATAAGGGTTTGGATCGACGGGCCCTACGGAGCTCCGTCGAGTGACTTTCTGCAGTCTCCTCATCCCGTTCTGGTGGCGACAGGAATCGGTGTCACCCCATTCTTCTCAATCGTCCAAAGTATAATTCATCGATGCCTAGACGTGAAGACTGAGTGCACGGAGTGCGGTCATGTTTTCATCGCGTCTTGTCCGGAATCTTTGGGATCCTTGAAGCGCGTCGACTTCGTTTGGATCGTGCGAGATTTCACGTGGGTCGCCTGGTTCAAGACTGCACTCAAGGATCTCATGCAGAATCAGAATCGGTTCGGAGACGTTCTGAAAGATTTGATCAGGATCAAAATCTACGTCACTTCGGTAGATGAAAGGGTCACCGTGAATAACCTGCTACTGAAGATCGCCTTGGAGAAAGAGAACGCAAGCAAGAATTCGAGATTGCACAAGCTTCGCAGCAACATCGAGCTCGGACGCCCGGCCTGGGATCAGATTCTCAGCCAAGTCAGAGGAGAGCACGCAGATGCTACCGTTTTCTTCTGCGGTTCTGCGAAACTTTCGAAAGAACTTCGCGCCAAGTGCCTGAAAAACGAGCTCGAATTCAGAGAGGAGGTTTTCTGATCCTTTCCGCGATTCCTGCGGAGATGTTCGTTTTCGAAAGCTAGACCTCGGTTACTTTAGGCCAGGTTACTGGAACTACCGTGGTCATCGTCCAGCCTCAAAAGAATAAATAACGTCCTGCGTTTACTTCTCAAGGCGATTGATTCTTTCCGTGTGGGTAAATAAGAGTCCGAGTCAAGACGATGAGCGGCTCAGAAGGGGAGGACGATAGCGGTCGAGCTGGCAATCTCAGAATCGTCGAATCGAAGCCGAGATCCGGTCCAAGTCTCCTAGGGGGGGCCTCGAAGTCATCAGCGTGGGTCCTTGGATGGCCTTCAAAAGCGGAATCGATAAAAGATTGTTGTAACAGGCATGTCATCCCTGGCTTGAGTGATCGGCCATTCTTTGATCTGGCCCCGAATTCGAGCGCGCAGATCTTAGATGGCAGACTCCGCCGGATAGGAGCCGACTCTGAGCCGGATTTCCCGACCGCAACCCGAGTCCGTGTCATGAAAGAAGAACTATAAGTCAGATTCATTGCTCTGTGCGTTAACGAGAGCGTGCTGCTGCGCGCTATTGAGCGCGTTTCTTTCACAACAAAGGTGAGTACGCGTTCCAGCGGAAAGCGTACGGAAGAGACCACCTCATTTGGGTTTCCTTAGAGTCCGTCATAGAGGAGCTGGTGACTCACCGTCATGAGACATTGTCAATTGAAGGGAGCGGGGCGCCCCGGTTTATCGTGACGCTCTCTCCGAATACATTTCGTTCTCCCCATAAACACTTAGAGTTCCGTATGGCATTTCGGAGAATTTCCTGGATTTAATCGAGAATCGTGCTCAGGATCTATGCGTGCAAATGATTCAGCGACCTTCTCTGTCTCGCGCGCATACGATTCAAATTCATTTGGTTCGGCCGAGGAATCAGCGCCTCTGGGAAAAAGTTTCAATTATTGCGTTCATAATTCATTCTGTGAAGTCGTGTCGCATCTCCCGCATCCTGCATTGAGAATCGAATGAGGTTTCAAAATACCGTTGGCTGTGGGGTCACTAAAGATCTATAAGACGAAAGGTTGGCGAGGGTGCTCATGAGGGAGGGGAGAATTTATGCGGTCCACGAATTCTCCTCGGGAGAGCAGTGCGCGTTGAAGGATGTCAAATCGGTGCCAGTACGTGATTTTAGGATTGGATAGCGTATCGTCGTGTGTTCCATGATGGTAGGTGTTTTGCGAAGCGTTCCACCGATTGGATTTTTTGGCGACGATTCAGACAGAACTAGATCGGGACAGCCTCATTCCGCCATCGTGCTCTGACATCTGAGACGGATGAAAGTCGCCGCTGCCAAGAGTCAATGATTCGCATTTTCTTGGGCCTTCCCGTGAACGAGGTTTCTGACTTTCATTTTGTCCCAGGCGGAAACGGAAACGCTCCGACGCGAAGCTCTTCAAGTAAACAAAAGAGAGCGCGATCGACGCGGAGACATATTCAATGTGGGAAGTTTTTTTCCGGAACACCTTAGTTGGATGTAGCTTATAATTTGCCGAGAACGTGGGAACGGCTCTTGGCCCGGGACAAAGTTCGGCGGAGCCCGGAAGCGCCCGAGATAAAACGACATTTGGAAATCTTAGAGGACGGAAACCTCGCTGTCGAGCTAGGGAGCCGGAAGGACCGATAGCATGCCTGATTATGTGATTCCAGCTGCCACGGGTATATGGAAGGGCGAGCAGCATATGGCAGATTTCTTGTAAAGTTGAAATCGCAGTACTCCGCCGATCTTTGACAATGTTTCGAGCACGAAGAGCATTTGTTTTTGATCGGATGCCAGTCTCTCCCCCTACCCTCCAGGATCAATGCGGGATAATTCCCTACTTTTCTCTCCGTGCGTCCGAGCATAACTCAATCATCCATAAGGGTGGGTCAATGGGGAGCAGTTCCACACCTCATCGAAGATTTTTTCGCCTCTGATGTCTCATTCGGAACGCGGCTCAAAATGTTTTCAAGAACGCGGGAGAAGGTAATGAAGCGATGATTAGATGCGCCTACCCCCTCCCTCCGATCCAGGGAAAATGTTCCCCCTCAAACGTCAATCATTTCGCACGTCGGCGTTGGCCGTGTGAGCAGATAATCGGATAAAGAGTTCCGAGAGCACTCCGAGACTCCCCAGGAATGATTTCCCATTTGAGGGTTTCCGAACCGACTGAATGATACACATCGAGCTGATTGCGATGCTGATTGCGAAGAAATGAGGGTTTTGCCCAGAGTGCGACCACGACATGCAGATCGCAGATGCACCTTGATCGCAGTCGCCCTCGGCCGATCCCTTCGATAGATCCCGGTCGAAACAGGAGATCAATTTTCCGATCACTGATAAATAATCGGAACGCACTGGAGGGTAGACGAAAACTTCCCTAGATCGTTCTTCCTTCCTGCCGAGCCGCCATGTGGACCGCATTCATTCTACCGAATAGCAGAAGTTTTTCGATCTGAACAATATTAGAAGCACTTCACTTCCGTACCCATTTCTCTGCTCGGCCGGGAAACGGGTCTATACTGTTTTATTCGAATGTCTGTCCACACGGTATTCAGACAGCGATTCCCAGCCGTCCTTGACCTTGAACGCTCGCGACTCCGAATCGATACAGTGGAAGATACAGCAGTGGAATCGGTTCGAAATCGATGCCCGTCGGACGACGATATCTCCAGGGAAGAAAATACGCGCGGGACACTGTCCCGAGGCAGATCCCTCGTTCTTCATCAGTTCCGACGTGGGGCATCTTGCGACGAGCCCTTCGTCTATCACCATTGATCGATCGTGAAAATCCTCCCCTCATTCCAGCCTGCGAATACTCTCCAACTCGATACAACACGATACATCATTTGACGGAATCTTCAGAATGTGTCTCCGTAAAAGTCGCGTCGAGTTTGCAGCCCTCCAGAACTCAAATCGGGAGTCAGGCTAATCGATCCAGCTCAGCGAGCGAGCGCTCAGACTGCCCGTAAATGATCCATTGAGTAAATTGATTACCTACTCCCCCAACGAGCTTTATGCATCGTCCCCTATCCGTCAAGAGCACAGTGTCGAGTGGACTCATTCTACAAACCAAGATGAATTCATGCTGCTTGCGGAATTATGTTGCGGTCACGATTCACAGAACTTGTGTGGGTCCCCACCGCCTTATAATCGGGGGCTTTCGAAATGAGCCGGGGGTTGAGAACAAGATCTCGATGTAGTCTGGAAATATTCAGGAATCATGATCATGCGGCTGTGTGACAAGCGGAGAGCTGAAAAAGAAAGTCTCGTCCTCATCGAGCTCGCAAGACCAATACAAACTCATTAGCTTCGAATAAGGTCGGTTGTCAAGTGAGCTCTTTTTTTCAGAAGACGACTTGAGGAAAATGCCTCCGGAGATGGTCTCCTCTCCGAAGAGATCTCTTTCAACCGCAGCACCTTCACCGTATACACATGCAAGTTCATTACCGTCACCGAGGATGTCACCTTTAAAATCCCCCGTCAACAAGTATGACGATGATTTCGGTGAGTTCGAAGCTTTATTTCTATCCCAACTCACAACAGGCGACCGACATTAGTGCAATGGGGCGAGATTATCCTCCGTGGGGATCCTCGCCAGCGCTGTAGATTTACCGAGACGGGTACGGAATTCGTGGAGACCGCAATCCCCGACACTCTTCAGCGATTTCGGAGATTCTCGTCATTTCTATATCTAATGAAATGATACATCTATGTATGTGATCCCCTTCGAGAAACAAAGAATTCGCCTCTCGATTAGGATTTCATGGCTTGCGTACGTAGAAATTGAGACCATGCCCGATCAGCAGAGTTTATCTCCTCCACATCCGGAGAGGACTCGAAACCTCGATCATGATAACGAATAGAGTATGGCTACGGTATTCGACTACGGTACGCTTAAAAAAACATCAATATACCAGATAGGCCACCAGGAAATCATGCTTCATCCGTTCCTCGACTGTGACTCATTGAGACTTCGCCCTCATTGGTACGCTCTGACAATGATTCCGATCATATACAGACCGGATCGATGCTGCTCTGATTTGAATATGTAGGGTGCCGGATTCAGGCCCGCGGCCAGCCACCGAAATGCCATATCTAATGATCCATCTATCCGCGAAAAAAAATCCCCGAAACTTCCATTTCAAATGTACGTGATGTGATCACAAATGCAGAGATGAATGTCGTCTTATCGAACCGGAATCCTTCATTGTCGTGTGTTCGTTGGAGTGTCGTGTCAACACTCTCGTATACAACACGACGGAGAACGGCGACATCGACGCATCGAGCGATCCGTAATTGGAAATCGATGATCCGACGCGCTCCCTCAAAGCTCTGTCTAAGACAGTGGAAGCTCTTAGTGTCACGATTCCTCGGAGCTCGATGTGACTTCAGCAGGCCTCTTGATCAGGCTCCTAGTTCATTGGACTCGTCTTCCGGGTCCACGGAACGACTTCCTGTACCCGGAGCGGAAACTGCGATCAATGTTGCGGAAAGCTTTTGAGTTGACCGAAGACTCACGGAGCTGTCGCAGCTCCGAGCTCCACGGAAAACGGTGAAGGGCATCTCGGTGCCTCTGTAGTGTGCGGCTCTGCCTGACGCTGCTGGATTCGTGGTGTACCGGCCTCGTGGTCGCAGGATATCCATTCCAAGTGCTCCATTATCGGAGAATCACGTGTGACTTGTAAATAAACTTTGAAATGCCACCATGGTACGAGTTTCATCGAGAAGAGGTTTCAACGGAAACTCTGGCCGATCCGGATCCTACCCGGAGCGCGATGTGATCGCCTCCCGGAAGTTGATTTCATCCTATCGGAATCGCTTCGGCTTCTCGCAATTCTACGAATCCGAAGAGGTAGAAGACAGATCCGATCTCGACAGTATCAGGGAAACAGATGAGAGTTCGATTCCATCGCGGGGAAATGGCAGCAGCGCGACATCCGGTGAATCCCGTCGGTCATCAAGTGGGTTTTTAATAGAAGTTTTTAGCATCCATAAGTATTGCGGATTAAATCGATGACTCGGAGCTGGTTGGTCATGATTTGACTGGCTCTGAGGTGTTATCTTCAACACGTACAATGTGGTCTCAAATCGGTCGTTATTCGTGATTGACGCCATCGAAAATTTCGATCAAGATTATTAGAAACAGGAGCCGGAGAGACCATCTAGAGTCTAGAGAATGCTCGGGTCGGCTCTGCGATCGTTCCTCCCGCTCGGGCGCGGGCCATCCGCATCGAATGAGAAGGAGCGTGAGCAATGGCGTACCCAGCCGGAGCGGCGCCCTTGGCGTGTTCGAGAAACGACGCCACAACGGGAGCTTCCCCGAAAGTTCGGCCCTCTCTGACATAAGTTGGCGCCCTTGTTCCCCGAGATTCCTCGCCTTTTCAGATTCATTCCACCCGACTAGCGCCGCGAGACGGGAATCTCCCTTAGGAATAATTGAATTTTCGTCGGTGTCAAAGACGAAAATTTCGTCCACCGGAACACGCACCAAGTTGAAATGCCCGGGTATGCTCCCTGCTCCCTCGCTACGCCACCGAGCGTAAGAGTTAGAAGTAAAACTTGCAGGACATCAAGAGTCCGACTCGTCCCTTGTATACAGTTTTCCGATCGAGCCGACAGTGAGGTGGATTAGTGAGCCTCCGATCGCGGAGTCTTCGCTTCCAGCGAAGCTCCCATCTCTTGTCCAGTTTTGATTATCCATGAACAACTGATCCGAAGCTTGGGAGCGATAAGGTTCGGGAAATTCCTCATGCTGGACTTTCCAATGCAGCGGCGAATCGGATTGAGCGAGAAATGGTCAAGTTTCCGTGGAAACTTCGGGGGCGCAGAATCGGACCCCGAAATTTCCAGCCGCTTGAGAACCATAGCATCAGCTCAGGCTTACGCTCAGCTCATTGAAGTGTTCAGGATTTGCACCTCATCGTTCAAAGACGGCTCCGCTCTCGTTTCGGCCATACTCGCCGAGAGGAGGTGATGAACTCTTCTTACTATGGAGGCAGACGTTCTCCGGACGTCGGACCGGTGATCCCACCGACTCGTGGACCTGAATCATAGATCTATTATTCGGTGAGTCCTGAGTTTTCCCAGGAGCTCCATTCTCCAAGGGTCCAAGGCTCGAGAGGGACCGGGACGCCTCGATTGCAGGGTAAGAAGGATATGACGTCTCCTCTGCGATTCTCAAGGCAACCCAGCATATTCTCTTTTAGTCCGAGGAGTGCTATCTTATGGCGCTGGCTGAGCTTCGCTCGGCAGAATCCCAGTTTTTCCTCAACTTCGGTCAGACGGGTCCCTTATATCTTGCTTCGTGCACCGACTCGGAACTGACGGATCTTCGCCCTTGTGAATTTCGAGAGGGTGCTCGCGGAACTCAAGCCGACTCCGACGAGCATTGATCTCGACTTTGCTTTCGAGGATACCGGAGCTTCATTCCCCTTATCGGCATGTAGGACGGAGCTCGCAATCGGCATGATTTCGATTCCATTCTAGATGGCTCCTCGATGAATTTCACGATGTGGATTCATAACTCATGACTTGCGAATGGGGTATCATGGGATCCTGCGTCATATGTTAGATAAGAAACATTTATTGAAGAGACGTGTCGGAGAAGATGCTGGCATCATGTCCACGCTCTGGCTCTACCAAACGGAGAAGGCGTCACTCCGAGTGCCTTTCCGGGTCTTCGTCGTAATGGTTATGGTAATGGTATTCATTGCGATCCTCGAGTCCTATATGCACATATAGGCATGAGACCCTGTTTCAGGGGCGATTTCTCAGCAGATCCTTCGGGTTTCCCTCCATTCCTCATGCAGTCTTCTCGAATTTTCATGAGATTTTCGTCATTTTGTTCAGTTAAACCCAATCTTCTAGCCAATGCCGAAGTGGCGAGGGGTCCATTCCGTCATGATGTGAGGAGTGGTCTCGTCTTCTACGCCACATTTTATACAGTGCGGCTCGATCTGTTGATATTTCGCTCTATGCGACCTCGTCGGCAGCATCCCTGCTCTTTCTGGGGCTAACAGAGCGCTTCCTCGACTATTTCTATATAGTCCGTATGTTGTGTGCATTCCTTTAGGTACTTGCTGTATAGCTCGAGGATGGGTTTAGAGTCTATTCCCTCTCTCCACAGCTCTTCCACCTTTTTTCTGATGGCTTTCTTCATAACACTATTGAAAAGAATCATTCTCGGTTGGAGGTCCTCCGTGTATACCAGCAGCTTATTCTCGCAGGAGTATTTGTCGCTGAGGTGGCGCATTCTTCTGAGCGCTGCTGTTGTTATCCTCGTTGTGGCCGTCATGGAAAGTATCATGCGTGGCAATCGTTCGGGCTCCATCGCGCTTATTCTCACGAGATATCGAAATATCGCGTTTTACTCTGCGCTTCTCTCGACTCGAAGGTTGACCATCCGAGGTCGCCTTGTTCGAGCTCGCTCGCAACCTTATACTCGTTTATTCCCATTTCCCGTTTTCCAACTGCGGTCTGAGTTTTCTCGAATTCAGCCGTCATTTGGTTCGAAGCCCGAGACGCTAGTACCGCATCCGCGTATGTGAGTCTCGGTACTCCCGTTGCCTTCCATTGTATACGTGTGAACTCGAATCTATTGAAGGTCTATAGGCATTGAGCCTGCAATTCTTGTTGGGCCCTCCTCGCCTCCCTCCTCCAGTTCAATTCCTGTTGGGGTAGGTAGTTCGGCTTATCACAGAGGGGGATCCCAAGATTTTTGTAACTATCTCTAAATTCAATGTCTCGCCCCTGAATTCCACAGGGGGCTACCTCGCCAAGCCTCTCTGCGTTGAATATCATAACTGAACTCTTGCTCAGGTTGAACATGAGATCTCTCGTGTTCGCAATCTGGACTAGGTGCACCGCTCCCCCGATGGGGAATCGATCGTCTCATCGAGATGGCTACATACATTGAAGCGTTCGCGATGGCCGCGCAGGAGCGATATGAGCTCGCCGTCCATAATCAGGCCAGCTTTCGTGACAAAGAGATTCTTGAGAATTTGGAGTCCTAAAATTTTACGGAATCGAATCAGCGAAAGATCGCCTTCCGCGTCGATTTCGCCCGCATCCGTTCGCGCGCAGGCGCGCTTCGGTGCTACCAGGGTTTGTGCGCGGTTCCCATGGCGACGGAAGCCGACAAACATGGCGACCACCATTCTCGTAAACACATGGTGTTTTGCTCTTTCACAACACTCACCGACGGCTCAGAGCAAAGAGATCGCGTGCTATTCCCCGTATTTCGGAAGGCGTTCCTCAACCCTCCGGATCAGAAAACTCCAACTCCTGAATTTACGGTCACCGTCTGCGGCAAGGATGCTAAGGCGAGTCGCTCTCCCGTTCTTGGGTAGAGCAGGACAACGTCTTTCGTCGACGGATATCCCTGAAAAGCATCTCGACAAATTCGATGTCGATAATCCGAATTACACGAAGTTTGAGGTCGTCAGCGACCCAGATGTTTGGAGTCATGTAGAGCGTTTGATGCCGAAGAAAATAGTCCCGCCATCTCCTACAGAAGGAGGGCCTTCCGGCTGGACGCCCGTTCGGCTCACGAGAGAAGAGGTAAGGAATCTTGGTCAGGATTTTCTCTCACGTTTTCCGGCGCCATAGCGATCGTTTCAGACGCTCCCTTCGGTATTCTATCAGAACATCTCCCCGAGGGAGCCTTCGATTCGCGCCTCCGACGTCCCGTGAGAACTTTTATTGTTCGCAGGCAAGGGAGCTCCCTTATTTTGTTCAACGGACGCGGAACCATATGCTGCCGGTATACCAGAGGGTCGATATCCGTGGACCGCGTTACGTTACGGTCGTTCGCAAAGTCCAAGGCGATCCCTGGGCTCTGAGGAATGCGCTGAAAGAGCACATCAAACAAATTAGGGGAACTGATGACGTCACGACGATGGTCAATGAGCTCACACAAACGGTGGGCATCAAAGGACAGCTCGTGGAGGAAGTGAAGGACTTCCTGATTATGAAGGGCTTCTAGACTTTACTGAAACCTTCTTTTGTAATTATATGCTAGCTACAAATAAATGAGTCGTTGGTACGTCTTTTCTACTCATCGCAGAATCTAATCGAGGGAAATGCAAGTGAATTGTGACTTATCGGGACGCAGTTCATCCAAACTTGGATGCCCGACACTCACGCCCGTCTCGAAATACCCGAGCTTGTTGGCTCTCGATTCCCAACTCAATCAGGGGATTCATTGAACCAGACATATCAGATCCGATATGATGAGAGACTGCCGCAGGGGATTTCCATGATCAGCCATCTGTTCGCAGGGGAAAATTCTATGTATGTTTCGGGGACGATGAACCTGTCGATCGGTCATTGCGTTGAATTATCGATGTTTCCTCTGGTGGGAGGATTGCATTTTCGATGAGGAGCCCATGACGAACGCCAAAATCCCGCGGAATAGTCAACCCCGAAGTCATGGAATCATGCGGAGAGACCGACCCCGGAGTGTCGATCGAAACTCTCTCAGGTTCCAGGAATGAGATCGTCCCCGGAATGCGCGAAAGGTTGTCGGTCGATGGCAGCGCAGCGGCTCTACCCATCATTTCGATCCGCTTCAATCGCGACAAGAGCTACTCCAGCCGAATATCTCATTTTTCACTTTAGCGGATCATTCGAGGTTGATGCGTATCTCACGGACTCGTTTTCGGCAACTGAATACGTGCTCTCGGAAAGTTGTTCAATAGAGCACTCCAAGGATGTACCTAAGGTGATCCAGGCGCCTGATCCTCCAATCGTCCCGGCTCTTACGTCGAGCATTCTCCCGCAGGAAGGGAGGCTGACAGATTGATGAACATCGAAACCGAGTCCGAACTTTAGAGCAGGACCGGAGTTTCGTTCCGGGCTTGACTATCATTTCTACATGAAGGATTAGAATTCTTGAATTAGCATGCCTGCGCACTCATTTCTCTGTTCTCCCAACGGCCCCTCTGACTTCGCTTCCGGATCGGCGCTTCAGAAATCTGTCGCTCAGAGAAACGAAAGAAGCACGAGGTCGCTCTAGTTCTTATTCCCAAGTCTAATCGTTTCGCTCAGGAGTAAGTTTGGGCCAGAAGGACCTTGCTCCGATTCCGATCGTGCCTTTCTCGATCGCGTCAAGTGCTCACTTCACGCGGCATTTCCGTTCAGATCCTCTGATGCATGATCTATGGCTTGAAATGGATTTCCGATACTTCACCTCATCCATCCAGTAAAGCATTCGTTCCATACGGTCCACCGATACTGGCTATCCTGGCTCGACTCCGCTGGCAGCCCCAGAGCCTCCCGGTGGTGAAATTACGTGTATCCCTGCGGGGGACCAGAAGCCTTCGTTCCTATTTGTGTAGGAGCGGTTCGGCGAGGAGCCACAAGGTCAAGGCCCCAAGAGGCGGGCCGGCATGAGCCGCTTTCAGGAGCCCAAGAAGCGATCGATGGAGGACGCTAGTTCACGCGAAGGAGCCGTCACAAGTCGATCGTATTCTCGCTCCGTCGAGCTACGTGCACGGCGCAGACAGCTCAGGACCGGACTTCACCTTCAAGGGTTTCACGTGAATCAAAATGTGACTCTCTAGTTCAGCGCGGTCTTTCAAACGTCTCGGAAACGTAAAAGCGGCGACGCTTCGTGGTCTACCTGATACGTGACGGAAGTTGCTCGGATCGCAATCGAGCTGCTGCTCCAAATGAATTCGCGACTCTTCGTGATATACGTGACAAGCGATCTCCATTCTCTATCCGCACTCGACTTCAGTCACCGAGGGAAAGAGGACAGCTGGAAAGACTGTATCGACCGCAGCTATTTGCTCTTGTTGGGACAGCGCCTGTCCGCGAGAGATTCTCCGCCAGTGCTTCGTGGGTTTTCCGCAGATGATAATGCTGTGTATCTAACGATGGAGCCATGCTGCACAGTTGTCGCCTCGAGTGAAGAAACAACTCGCTTTCCTGTGGTGCGAAGCATCTAGTACAAGAATCCGGAGGGCCTTCCTCGCGTGGCCCGAGCTGCTGAATTGCAACAGCTCCGAGGATATCAACGACTGAAACTATCCTTCGAACAAAATTTTCGCTCACGTGGAACCGATCTCGACCCACGCCGAGCGGTCGCTGGAACCGTGAAGAAGCGAACGGGACCCTGCTCGATGAGAGAGTGGAGCCGATAGACTTATTGTCAGTTTTCGCTGATTCCGCTAAGACAGTGCTCCTAAACTCTCGGAACTCAGATATGGCGGAGCAAGCCTGAGAAATTCCAAGACTCCGGAGTGCTTCTCTCTAGATGAAGGTTCGACCTCATTCGCGTCAATATCAGCACAGCGAATGTCAACTCGGTGCAGATCAGCTGTACAGATACGGGTCGTTACGAGCAGTCACGGTTCGAGTTGTCGTTCTCAAATCGCACAATTTTCTTCCAGATCCGGAATACGCAGAGAAGCTCCGCAACAACCCAACCGTCCAACTGGCAGTCAAGTCCTTCCGGACGATGCGCCGTAGTGCGCTCACCCCGGTGGCCAGACGATTACGAGATGTTATGGTGCAAAGATATCCAGTCTATCCACCCGCGGTCAACCTCGACGCTCTCAACAACAGCGATTGGACGGAGGTGAGAATACTAGATGAGGGAGTCGGATCGGAGAGTATCCATCGAGGCCCACGATTTCGATAGAGGTTCGAGAGAGGTATCGGAGAAGGGCCTCTCCGACCGAGCATGGGCGGAAGAATTTCTTGGTTCGTGAAACCTGCAAGATATTGCGGATACATCTTTCCGCCACATGGATACATCTTTCCGATGGAGAATCGGTCCATGATAAATCGGCGATGCATGATTGCTCTAGATCCCTTTTAATTCATGGCTCCAGAAAGTTACGCGCGGAAACAGTGCGTCCCACATAGATGTGGTGATTGAGATCGACAAGGCTTGGCAGCACGAAAGCAGTGCGACTTCGCGTGCTTCTAGTCGAGACGTGACGGTCCTCTTGCCCGATTGTTCCTTGCCATCGAGAAAGCAACTACAACTTTCGACTCAAGAAGCCAGAAGTTCTTTCTCCGATATTGCGATTTCGTAGTTTTCGGATCAGACGACAAGTCCCGGTGGCGAATCGTGAATGCTCAGCCTCTGAAGTCATGAGATCACAGACAAAGTCAGATTCGCCCGCAAATACCCGCAGGCGTTCGCCGCGACCACCACTCCGAGGGACTTGAGATCTGCTTCAAGCATTTCACTCAGCTTCGTCTCGAGTTACATCCGAAGATAATGTTCCTTGATCTCGAGCTTGATGATTGACTTTTCAGGTAGCGATAAATGTGCCGCGATTGCCATCGGGGTACAATCATACCAATCCGAGCAAAGGCATGGTCAATCCCGCCAAGTTGATACGCAACACATTCGGTGCAGACATCCTCATCATGGTCGGCACTCTTCTTGCATTTGCTGGTACGTTCGATACCATGGGATCGAATCGATTCCCCCTGAAGCAAGGTCGATTTTTCTATTTCCTATTCATTTTCATCGTTTACCGTCCTAACAGGCTCGGCCGTGACGTTATTCGCCAGTTACGGAAACTTCACTAGTCCTGAAACGAGACCACTGATCCTGGGTCTCGGACCACCACTGATAGGCGTCGGATTCCTTTTCTGCTTACTTCGATTGTTTTTCTGCCGATCGCGTCCGATGAATTGCTCCTGTTGTCGCTCGGGAGCGGGCGACGCACCGAAAGTGCCGGGTTCTGGTAAGATGATGCCAAGCGTCGGCAAGAAAGTTCACCCAATACTCGAACAAATTCAGAACGGGAATGGGATTCACATGAACGGCTCTATGAAGGTGAGCATTCTCTTAGACTTTCTAAGGACCTGAAACTGTTTATGAGCGCGGGGAGAATAGGTATATCGTCTGGCATGAAGGCAACATCGAAAGGTCACGCTCAAGGTCCGGGACTATCTAGGGGTCCGACGAGTCGACCCACGAATACGGCGCCGCGGCGTCTCCGAGAACCCGGCTAATTAAACTTTCGCTGCTGTAATGGAAGCTTGATCGAGCGGTGGAATTCTATTCGTCGTAAGACAGAATGCATGATCGAGCGTGGCTCCTCCCGATATCATGCGCATAGGATTCTCCCGCGATAGATATCCATTTTGAGCTGACGACTTGTTCTTCAACCGCGCCTCTGTCGAATAGCATGTGCCGACGATCTCCTGCATTTCAAACCGAATATGCAGGGCTATGATCCCGTTACAACGAACCTCGCCGTTCCAATGAAAGGTCGCTGTAACGAATGTTTTCCATCATTATCTCTATGGCAAGCCAGCGAAGTGGAGAGGGAAGAGTATACTTTCTAATGGAAGTTCGCTGCAACGCTGTTCGTTATTAGGAGATTTCACTGTATCCCGTATTCTAACTTTTTTGGGGACGTTGGCACCAGGTCGTCTCGGCCTCAGGTCGGAGCCTCGACCCTATCAGTTCGATGGTGAAACAGCTTTGTATAATATCGACTCGCGGATTATTATGGATAGGCGATTGAAGAGAAGGAGCGGATCTCCGGATCTGATAATCAATCGGGAGGACATGCTGTAGTCGATCACGATCTCGGTACCCAGAAGGACAGACGCGATGACTGGATGGATAAGGCAATTATTCCCTTGAAATTTCAGAACGGTGCACCCGAGACGTCGACGAATAATGTGCCTGAGCGGAAATTCAGTGGACCCGTTTGGACGATAACTTGAAATCACGAAGCTCAGTCAGTTTATGAGGACCAGCGAGTCTAATAATTGTTTGTGAATATGTACAATCGGCACACGTCGGAGGTATTCGAGCGTGATGGAAGATGCGAGTAATTGTTGTTGAGACGCGAGATTTCTATTCAGAAGAGTTTATACCGGTGTTGCGTGTTGGTAAATGAATATTTATGTCTATGATACTTCGGGTCGAATTCATTCCCAGTTCTTTTCCGGTAGGCAGAATCGAAAGCCCTCATCTGTGTAGTCCGGGCCGCTCCTAGGTAGCTAAGAATTCGTCTCTCGTCTGGCCTAGCGGGGCATTTGCTTCCCCCGTACACGCGACAGGCTGCGAAAGTTCTATCGAGACTCAATCAGTGATCTTCCGCAACGTCCATCGAGGCCTGATCGGAGGGCAGAGCAGGAATACTGTGGCGTCCTTGTCTTTCAGATGAAGGAATCTACCTTGAGATGTCTTTTGTCGGGGCCTCGATCGAATATTCGCGTACGCCTCAGGATCAGAGCAGCAAATTTCAATGGTGGCGTTACAACGTCCCCCGGGCGCACGCTTCCGCAATCGATGAGCACGCGAAAATCCACTCTACAGCGAGTCAATCTATCGTTGGAACGGCCAGTACACATGCAAAAAGACCAGTCGAAGTCTTGTGACACCGAGACGATGCATGAGGGCTCCGCGCGAAATCTGCGTAAAATTTGTGCGGATGATGCGCTTACAGTCGACAGATGCTCGGTGTAGAGAACTGCGGGGATAACCGGAAAAATTAGTCGGCGGCAATCGTCCGAAAACCTCTTTGATCTCGAGCGATCAAAAATCGATCCCCGCAGAGTAGGCTAGGGTTGTCGTAATTGTATTCAAGGTCCTCCGAGGCCATCGCAAATGAGAAACGAGTGACGTCGGTAGGTACATCGATAACGGACCATCGCGGCCTAACCCAATTTACGTGTCTCGGCCCGATTTCGGTATGGTTTAGGTCGCCTCATGGTCATGTTTGCCCGTTTTTCCCCCAACCTGACCTCTGGGAATCGACATTTCGGAATCGAGCATGACGGAATCGGGAATCCGGGACGGTACCCGTCCTTATTTGCGATGTCACGTTCATTCCGGAGAGATCATCTCCAGGCATCGGATGGTGACGGGAAAGGCTTCGAGTGGCTCTCGGGGTAAGCCTCAGCGAGAAGTGCTCCGGGATTTTCGGAGGGAATGAGCTGACTCCTAGCCCCGGCGGATACAGTTCACAGAGTCCTCAGATTGCGAGATACTCGGAGTCAGGCTCGCGGTAGGAGTTGGGGATTCGAGGAAATTATCTCATCTTCATCTAGCCGAATTGAAACCGCGAGTTTTGCATCCTATGAGACCGAGTCACCCGGGACCGATTTCTCAGTTCCTACGGAGGTTGCCCAGCTGTATGTTGAGGAGAGTTTTGGGGGAACGGAGGCTCTCGGTATCTGAAACTGGAGTCATTATATAGATCGATCCGATTCGGAAATACTCGGAAACTTTTTGAGGGAAGTTCTCCTGCCTCGGAGAGTTACCCTATTGGTCCTTCTGATGTCAATCATTCAAAGGTTGTCATGGCTCCGAGGCCATCTCGGGGTCGAGTTGGGCTTGATCGATGCCTCTAGGCAGGGCTTATGCAACTATCCACGCCGCCGACGAGGTCGAACCACAAAGTCCAAGTTCCGCCTGTTCCTCGCAACGGTGATCGGTAAATATTTCTCGACGGGACCCGCTCGGATCACTTTTTGCAGAAAACTCCAGACTTGACTGCGCCATTGGAAAAGAGCGAGAATGTCTCGTGTGGACCATCATGAGAGCGTGCGGGGTTCTATATGGAGAATCTATGGCGGTCCCCAAACTCCGGCCCTGAGCAGAGGGAGCTCACTAAATGACACGAAATCCGATATGACGTCATTTTTATTCAACAAGCCAGCGGTTCTTCGAACTGACGTTTCCCACGAGCTCCGGTCGTGGGCAACAGGTTTTTAATTTCTTATTCGATGCCCTTGAGAATCTTCTCCCAGGAACTTCGGCGGATATTGTGGCTCTGGAGTCATGTCTTGGAAACAAGTGTCCTCCGGAAGATTTTCGTTGCTTACTTTTTATCTCCTCCTTCGGCGGTCCCGATAGACCTCAGGCTAAGGTCGTTCTCTGCCGCTCTACATTCCTCCGATGAGTTTTGCTCGACAGCCCATGGTTGGAGGTCTGCGCTACCGAATACCAAGAAAACGATCCCGCTCAAAATACCGACAGCTCCGGCCACGTAGAAACTATACGACCAATTCGTAGTGGAGTTCACTTCGTTCGTTAGAAGACCGCTTACATACGGAACGATGATACCGCTGAAACTTCCGACGGTAACAGTGAGGCCGAAAATCGTCCCTGCGAAATCGGGGGCCATATCGATCGCGATCGGTCCTGTCGAGGACTCCGCCAGACCTCGGATTGCGCCCGCAATCAGGAATAGAATCAGACTCATTTGGCCGTCGCAACCGGCGACCGTCACGACCAACATGAGGACAATCGAGGAGCCAAACATGGCTATCGAGTTGAAGAGTTTGCGCACTGTGGTCACTCGAAGTAAACTTCGTTTGACCAAGAAATCTGAAATCATCGCTGCGACAGCGGACGTCACGATCGCGCCGAAATATGGCAGGGACGAGTAAACTCCGTTGTTCCCGATATCGAAATGCAGTACGGTGCCCAGGTAAGTAGGCAGCTCGGTTATCAACGTGTACTGCAGGTACAAGAAACCGAATGTCGTGCAAACATAAGCCCAAACCGGAGCGGATAAGAGGATGCTCTTCAAGGGGAGGCGCGGTCGGCGGGATTCGCTTTTCTGTCGGCTGAGTCCGTTCCGAATTTTTTCGATCTCCCTTCCTGTGATGAAGCGGTGATCCTCCGGCTTATCCGATGTCAACAACACCCACAATACGAACCAAACGATCGTGACGCCGCCGAAAAGGTAGAATACCGAGGGCCAGCCCCCGAGGAAATCCGATGCTGCCAGTTTTCCTGAAACCAACATCCCGATAACGACGCCCATGAAGCCTCCTTGATGGACGCAAGTTATCGCCGTGCATCTTTCACTCTTTGGAATCCAAAAAGCTAGTTGTGCTTCCAGGGCGGGATAGGTAACACCTTCACAGAAACCTTGAAGAGCTCGGATGCCGATGAGACCTTCGTGACCGAATTTCGTGGTCACGATCGGTATCAGCATGCCCAGGATCCCGGTCAGCACAACTCCCAAACCGAAAAGCCATTTTCCGCCGTATCTTTCGGCCATGAATCCTCCTGGGATCGGCGTGATTACGTATCCCCAGAAGAATGCCCCGAGGATCACACCCTGGGTCTTCGGACTCCAAGCGAATGGTCCGTTCCTCAGGAAAGTTGAATTTCTTGGCGAGAATCCTGCGCTTTCGGAATTGGTCGACGCCAACTTGCAATCGCTCATTTTTGTGTCCATTCGTACCGCTTCGTGATTTACCATCGACACGATGACCACGTTCATATTGACACGCATCGCGTAAACACAAACCGCACCGAAAAATGCGAGGACGATGAGAACTCTCCTGTACTGCACGGAAGAACCCTCGCTGACTGACGGTTTTTCGGTCTGGGTAGCGGAACATTTCATTTTGCAGCGGGAAACTCGATGGTGAGTTCTCTGAATGATTCACGGTGTTTCACCTCTGGAGATCTGCATGGGTCCCTCTCCGTTGTTCCAGGATTGTCATGAAGGTTTTCGATGGTTGACGGCAATGAGGTCGAATGTTTGGATTTTAGAACACATCAAGAGTCACAACTCATGAGCTTTTTGAGAGAGCCGCGACGGATTCATGGTGTTTCCTTCTCTCCAAGAAGAAGTTACGTTCCAATAACAAACACATCATCTCTCGGGCCACGCTTGCACGACCCGGCGGGAGCACGCTCTGATATGATTTCCGGGCGGGGAACGCGTAACACCTCGCGACGTTGTAGCTGATTTTATTTCCACAGTCGCCGTTCTGTCAAATCACCCACAGGCTCGTCCGTTGTCACCGGCTCCTGATCGCGGGAATCGGAGGTGTTTCGAGATTGTCGTCCACGGGAGTGTGTCACTTCTCCAAGCGAAGCCGACGCAGAGGAAGCGCGGGAGTCGTCTTCTGGTGAAAAGTCAAGGCTGGCGGTCTTGGTCCGACGTTATCTCGAAAAGATCTCGAGTTGGAGCGATTTGAATGATGCAACTAATCGACAGAATGTGCTGTGGTTTGCCTAGCGGCTATTTGGCAGCAAACTTCTCGGTGGAACAGCTGAAGCCACACGATATTCGTCACGATTCCTATCAATTTCATCACAACGTCGACTCGAAAAAAACCACTCGCTGCGTTCGGTTTAGAGCTGAATGTCGGGAAGCGTTGCAAATTCCGGCTCCAGTGGTCGATCTTCCCCGAATGACCCAATGTCCGCGTGTGAAGAAATTGCAGCAAAAGTGATGGGCGGGGCATCCTCCCCTGGGAGATTTTCTCTGTATTAGGGCTAAAGAATTCTCCTAGCCACTCGCTCCTCTATCTTATTCCATTGAAATCGTCGAGGAGTTTCCGTGTCAGGAAGATGGATTCGAGACTGATAGGTACGTTCCATTCATCAACCTCCCACTCTTGATGGGGAGTTGAAGATCGGAGCTTGAGAGAGTTCGGAAAGCTCAGCCGTCTGAAACAACCAACGTACTTCGGGTCGACTCCTTCATCCATTGTGGCCAGAAACAGTCGATCTCAAATCCCTCGGGAGAACAGCCAAGATAGAGATTCTTCCTTTATTCCACCAATCAATTACCTACATCGAAACCAAGAAGAATTAATATTCTCATCGCATCAGAAAGTCCGAACACCTTCTCCATCGATGACGACTTCCCATGATCTCCTATGAGCGTTCTCCGAGAGCGCTAAGGGTGTAAGTTTTCCCGAGTGGGCTTGCGGTCAGCAGAGGATGAGTCGTCCGCGCTCAGTATTGATGCTATGGAGAAGAGACACCTTCCCTTCAATTCAATGAGCCGGACCCGCGCCTCCATCGGTCCGTCGAGTGAGGAAGGTCGATCGACCGTTTCTCCCTGCATTCCGCCCTCCCTCTTAGAGATATTATTATTCAGTGATAATATATCTCGTTTATCGACTTTTTGAGCTACGAAAGGTCTCCGTACGAGCCGCCACGGGCTTAATTTGGATCAAGGCTCACGGTTACCGAGCTCGTGGCATTAAAAACTCAAGGCCCCCATTTGTAGGCATATGAAGGCTCGGCTCCCATCGATATCTTGAGAAGTAGCTTGCGCCTATGCACCTGCCGCTTAAGAAGAGTCAAATTACTGCGGATTTGAAAGTCAAATACAGGATGTGTACCTTATGCGACTTTCTCACAGAAAATCGGAGGGATTCGTGAGAAAGGTCGATCATGCTCCATGATCTAACCAGCCCAGCTCAGCGATGACACCTCATTGTCGAACCGGTGGCTTACCGCGCAACGCGATGGCCGCCCCTCTCTGATTTCGTGTTCGGTTAACGTGTCCCGAGCTCGACCCCTCTTGAGGGCCATCTGTCCCACTGTTCCCTCTTGACGCCGTTTCTCTTATTTTCTCTGGATCGGAAACTCCCTAAATTTCATCTCGACCTTGATGGCAAAGTTCGTCGGTGGTCTACGACTTGGTCACCGCAGCCAAGGCAGTTACGACTACTCGGGAATGACCGCTTCCGAACCCCTCAACGGCGATACATAGTAGACGACTCGAAATCACACAATCTCTGTTCTCTCCTTGCAATGGAGCGAATCTCCTCGCGGCTCTGGCGAGGGTTGCTCAAATGCCGGTCGACAGTGGCAGGCTGATTCACGGGAGGGCGTCCCTCGCGACATCCAGACGCATTCATCTATCCAAATGTAAACTTCCCGAGTATTCGTGTAGACACAGCAGCAACTCTGAGTGCTCGCAAAGCATTGCCGCGACGGCAGGAAATGTCGCAGGCTCTCAAGGGGACCGGCTTCGATATCGCGGAACTTCGATGGAGGATGGTGACTATCCCTCAACTCATGATTGGTGATTGAGAGACTAGCATCGGGAGCATTTCGAGCTGCTCGCCGAGGATATTCGACGGTATCGCTGTGAATACCGTTCGCATTGAGGTTTTCCCAGAACGCTGGAGATCATTCATCGCCGCAGTAAAATCCCATCGGAACAACGAGCGTCCGCAAGAGCTCCCAGCACAGCTCGTGGAATTACGGTATTTACTGCCGTCTAGGAAGAATGTATCGTCGATTTCAGAGTTCTGCTCAAGACCCCTGTCCACATCCCCTGGTGGAAGTCCTCGGATCCGAGGGTGACCGGGGACCGGATCGCCGGGAACCCTCTAGTTGATCCGACGACCAATGTCAGTACTGATTCGGGAAGCGGTTGGGCATTTCGACGAGACGGTATGGCAGCTCAAAAACATGAGAGAGCGGACTCCCGTCAGTGCCCAACACACTGTAGAGGGATGGCCGACTTCATCGTCTGCGAGGCTGTCGCTCAGAAACGTCATTCTGCTTTCAAGATCGAGTTCACATTCCTTTGAGATCGGAATGAGCTCACCGACTCCACAGATCATTCGGACTCACAGTATCGGATGTGTTTACTCTCTCGAAATACCCATTGACCAGGAGGGTACGATAGCTACCGGGTCTGTTTTGAATGAGGTGACGTCGCTGTTCTAGCGTAAGCAGCTTTACGACGCTACGACACTACTTTCTGCTCCGAACGTCACAGACAAGCACTTTTCGCTCCCAATCCTAGTTTTTACCAATCCGTCTGTTGCTCCGGCCCAAGTAAAATAATCATTATATTTCCATGGGAGTCTAAGATAACCGATTGCGGGCGCTACCCTTGCGAATCGCGCAATTTCATTCTATCCGTGGCAATCATGCCAAAAAGGAATCCTCGGGGTCCGCCCGTCAAGCGAAAACGATAATCGGGGCGGGACGGGCAAATGTCTTCTTTTGTGAAAGTTGCCACTCAACTATTCATCGTCGAAGGCCAACGGAAATGAGCTCGACGGACTTCGACTTTGTATCGTGTCCCGATCGCGAGGCTTCGAACCGCTGGTAATCCCCTCGCTGGAATGGATTGTCGTACCGACTCCTCCGGGACATAATAATTCTCTGGAAGGCGGCAGGACATCGGCATACGCGTCGGAAGGCCGGTACGCTCTCTGACAATTTCGACAGCGGCCGCCGGGCCAACACAATCGATGGACACGCGAAATTCCAATCCACTTCACGGCTCTCCTCGTTAAGGGAAGTCTCCCGACTAGCAGACTAAGTTATCGTAGTGTCATCAATTCTGAAACGGAGGGGTGGGCGCTTCGCCGACGCGACGCTTTCAATGACGTCACAGCAGATCATATTCAGCGCTCTGAGTTCCGATACGGAAGACTGGCACTGATCTCCAGAAATATTCATCTTGCGTAGATCTAGAGCTTTCTGAACTTGATTTTGAATATCGGGGAGAAATTCCGATGCTTCCCTCACGGGATCGGGAGCTAAATTATCGCGGGGTGACAGCCCCTCTCCCCACGCATGTCGTTTCAATCAAATGCAAGAGCCGACATCGCGTTTGATGCCATATTCGGCCAAACCACCGCAAAGAAAATACACCGAGGTGAAAATTGGAGGATGAATCGTCGATCGAATCACATCCGACGAAAGCATCTCTTTCATGGTGCCGCGCCGCCCCCCGCTCGACGCAATCTTTCTTATTCGACTCCAAAAGATTTCTTCGAATTCCTTCGTCATCGATGGACACGCGAGACTTCGATAATGTCACGATCCACGACGCTATCATTCCGGACGCGAATTCCGATGCCCTTGGAATCTCACCCGGATACCGTCCCGAAGGAAAATTACCCGGCGACTTTCCCCCGTGTCCAGAGATATTCGGAGACACAGGAAACCTCATTGCTAGGACTCTGTCAGCGACTGCGCCGTATCTGCGTCAGTGGGCGTCGGACTTATCACCCCTGAAGTTTTGGTCGGACGAGAAAAGTCGATCAGATGGGATTCAGAATCCCGATTTCTCTCATCTTGTCTTTCAGCTCGCGGAGAGGAGGACTCCAGAAACTGATGAACGGCTACGCAAGGCTGGATCGGTAGCTTCGCATGAGACGTCCTTGAGACCGTGTCAGGTCGCTTGAGACTCTCTCAGGAGACTTCAGCATCGGTGCCCGAGGATTGCGCGCCAAGTAATTGAGTAGGGACGTGCGTCGCCGAGCCGGACCTCCCATTCGCTTCGAGATCTCGAACTAGGATCCTACGGGACTTCGGAGTCGAATGAGACATAATGCATGCCATGTGCGTGCAGATTCGAAGCGGCTCGGAATCTTCGACGCTGTATCTGAGCCTCCGATCTGCCTATGTCTGAGCGTCTTTCTCCATTCTTGCGATAACATCTATGGAGGACGTAGAATCGGATACTAGCGGGGCTTTTCTCGTGCGATCGATGGCGAGCAGGAGCGTGTCGGTCGGTCATGGATGTTCCGACATGTGCTTTGCGCTTCTCAGCCGCCTTGTCGCATTGTTTGCTCTTGAAACGCGACTGGCATCGCGGCTTCTCCTTCTTCCTCTGCGGGGCTGAGAAAAGTAAAGGGCAGACGCATAAACCTTGTAGATCGATGAATGCATGCGGTACGCGGAACAATTTTTTGGCAGCTCTTTTTCCTCTCGGACCGTCTTTGTTTGTCGCTCGGATTAATAATATTTTCTCGTTAAGCTTCTCGGTGGCGCTGACTTGTAAAGTCCATGAACTATAAAACTTTTACGACGCCTCTATCCACCGGTAATCACAGGAGAAGATAGATTAGTGGAGGATAAGTGACACGTATGTCGTCAAAAGTCACCCGTAAAGCCTTGGATTACAGGCTAAACTCAACAACAACAACCTGGATCCTGAGCTAGCTGAAGATGTCTCTCTATGAGTCTCGTTTCGCCAAAATCCCAGAGGGGACACAGACGAGTTCAAGGTCCTGATCGACCCCATCGGACGGATAAATTGAGAGAATACTCTGCCGGCATACGGACGCTGCCTTCAACGATCGTCATGGAAGAGTGCTTCGACCGAAAGAGAAGCAACTCTCCGGAATCGGAGATTTTCGGTCGGCTCGCTCTCATTGTGGGCAGTGGGTAATCGAAAGTTTTCACGCTTTGCCTTTGTCCAACGTGACCATCACGTCATAGACCGTCATTGCGGGTCGGTGAATTGAAAAGGACATCTGCCATTTATAGAGAAGTCATCCCAAGCGCTACAATCGATTTTCAGGACTATCCATAAGTTCATTCGCTAAAGAAGACGGCAGCACGGCGTCTAGACGCACGACGAGTCATACGGACACTCGAGCTCCTACATACTTGGACTCGGTTGACGCTCGTCGAAGGTCGCTTACCTTATCGAAGTCAGGCAACTTAACGAGCACGGCCGTCTCCCGCGACCGCAAGTATCGAATTTATCCTGAACTCGAAGACTCATGGAAACGGAACTGAAATTCAATGGGCCATTCCTCCAAGTATCTTCTAGAATCTAGAATGTCACATCACAGGCATGGAATGCTCCTGGAAAATATTTTCGAGAACACGGATCGTGAGTTCGGAGTCCGGACGCGAGCGAGGTCTGGGATATGGCGAGCTCTGCCCAATTCTTCTTGGAACGATGTTTCTGCTCCGGGAGCAGACACTCGAATGTTGATAAGTTCGCAGACCGGTTCCCCACAAGCAATATATTTGAGAGTATCAATCTCCGTAAAATAATCGCAGCGCCACAATTCAATGAGACGGACGCCGTTTTGCGCACATGTGGGAAAACGTCATGAGATGCCAGTCACGGGAAAACTAACAGTCGACCACGGTATCCGATTAGAGTCATATGTTCGTCTTGCTTCAGACCGTCATGGGGCATCGAGGACCTTGCTTTGCATTTCATATGAATCCTGCCCAGCGTGGTTCCCTCCGGCACTAGAAAAAAACAAGTCAAAATCTACAGTAACTCTTCCCCCGGCTCGATCCCTCCGCGCAACTCAGATTTCGCGGCTCGTCCCGCCGAGACATCGAAAACTTTCGCCTGATTGGCCTCATGTTTTTCTTTCTTTTTTTGAGACGAGCTGTGACGAGTAAACTCTGGGAAACGTGGCTCAGCTCCCAAGTGATGCGAGTCCACGGCCAATCACAAGTAAGTCTTCGGAGGATTCCTCTCTGGGATGATCCGATATCAAACGTTTGGAGCCGACCCACCGCATTCGGCCCCGATCAAGCCCTCAGCCCGAAACTTCGCTCTCGACGATGAACTCGATGGCGTCGGAGCTCTGATGTTCCGGCTCCGACGGCGTGAGTTTCATTCATTCTCATGGGACGTTGTGGTTCCGAGTAGCATCGAGTGGTGTACGCGTGGGTGACGTCGAGCTCCCGAGTCGGTCGGAGGTTAACATGGTTTGCAAGCACGCGAATCACATGAAATTGTCAGTTGTGAGACTGCATCTTGACCTCCTCTCCTTTCTCCGCAAGTGACATGTGCTCTGCCATTCGCGGAGGACCATAGTCGGCTCAATCGCAGCCAGGCCAGCACAAACATTCTTGTAGTGTCGACATAGTAGGCTCAGTCTAGCTTATCAAACCCTCTCGGTGCGGATTCCGTTTGTTAACCCTCGGTACCAGGATCTTCGCTCCGGTCTGAACAGTTCTGACGTCTTCTATTGGTTCGTCGCAGCCAAAGGTTCGTTGCGCGCATTCGTCGTCCATTGTCTGTCGTTCGGAGTACGCCAGCCGCCAGATTTCTGCTCTTCCTCGAATCATAATTTCTGCATTCGATCGTGATCCTCTCATTCCACCTTTGAGCTCCTTCATTCGGCCTATGGGATCGTCCTTCTGGTCGCATACTCACCGAGACCCATGAAACCTATCCATTGAGAGTACGTTTCCCGAGCGCCTCGGACTCCGACGTCTAATCCATTCGTATCGGGTCGAGAGGAACGGAGAGAGGGAGTCGGGTAGTCTTAAGTTACGCTTTACGTTATTTAAGATTTATTCGACGTTCACACTAGTTCGAAGATCTCGACTCAAGATCGGAAGCGTCGACTTCTTGTGCGGCAGTGGCGGTGGAAGCGTCCCGTGTGCTGTCTTCCGGATCTGTCCTACCGGTAGTTTTCTTTGGACGCGCATGTTTATTATTCAGTGCGGATTCAGGTTTATAGTCGGACCGCGCTATACCCAGCTCGCCATCGAGAACACAAATTCTCGAACGCGTCTCTCGAGGAGACTCAGACTCCGCAAGGGTGTTCCTGTCTCTACCGGAATTTCTCCGGGGGGTCAAAGGTCCTTGTGAGGACTCCGGACTCCGGAACTAATGGGAGGGAACACCTTTTTCTCATTCTTTCGGATTTCGAGCCGTAGAGTGATGCTGGAAGCTACGACAAGAGGTCCTTTAGGTTTGACCTCCGCAGAGGGCCTCGACGCTGTCGTAGCGGGTCACGTGAAGAACTTCTGCCGGGGCCGTTTTAATGGAAGGTTCTGAGTTTTCGAAGTAATATAGCGTCAGTAATGGAGCTTTTCGCTCCGCTCCCCGAGGGTCGAACGAACCTTGGGACTAGCGCTCTTCGCCGGATCTCGTTGACGCCATGCTGCCGAGGCTGTAGATAAGGCTGAAAGTGGTAGATCGGCAGGAATTGCTGTGGAGAATTCTAGTCCGTCCTAGAGTAGACTGCATGTGTCATCATCGGTCGAGCGGCGGAAGCTTTACAAACCGCGATGTATCGGCCTCTACGTCATAGAAATATCAGACATCCAGTGACGGAAGCCTTTGCATAAACTTCTAAGTTCGCGGTGCTCACTCAGCCCGTTTGTCGTCTTCACTCAGTTTAAAATTTCCGTGCTCAGCCGATCCCGTACGTAAGGTTTGCGCTGCCGTCCGTCGTCCACCCCGCTTCTCGTTCAGATCGCTCGCGGCGGGAATACGTTCTCGCTCGATTTCATAAATTTGACGAGGGGAAAGTCGAAAAAGAAGTAAAAACCTAAGGTCCCGATGTGGCGAGTAGTCGTGGATAGCCAACGTGGACGTGTGCTCCTTTTGTGAGGATTCGCAGGTGACAGAGTGGTGCGATTGTCAAGCCAGTAAAATTCATTCTTTTGTTTGCTCGAACTGTTGTGACTCGGTTCGGCCCGGTCGATGTTTGCTTGATGTGCTCTCGAAGTGATTGAAATTTCGTCGCTGCCGATTTACAAAGGTGTCTACTCAAGGACGGTGGAATACAAGGTTTTGCACGGGACGCGTTGTCGCGGAGGAGTCTGGCCACCGGAAAAAAGCGATTAGAATCGTTTTTTGGCGTGCCATGACTTCAGATGCAAACTCGCGCCTGCTTGGGATTATCGTTATTTTGAGTGATTATCAAAGACCTCTTTGAAGTGAGTGTTCGTTCTCGCCCCCCCCCCCCCCTACCCCTGCTAGCACCAGAAATTCCATTTGAACTCTGTGGATGATCCCATTTCCCCGAATCGTAAGTTTTTGGGCTTATCCGTTCCTGACCAGCCAGCTGACGAACCTCCCTTCCCTCCGCTCCTTCCTCCGAGAGGATTTAGGCATCATGGATCTCCGAGGAATGAAAGGTCGGCCAGCCCAGAATCGAGAGTCAGACTCAGACAGTGGGGACCCGATAGAATTCCCTAAATTCATTTCCACTCTGGGAAAAGACCCACGCGCGGCGAGGAAAGCGAGATAATAAGCACTAGGGTGAATGGGACACCACGTGCGTAATTCCGGAGTGAAGGCGCGCCGTACTGCTTGATAGCTCGACCGAGGTCTGTGGCGATAGCGTGTCATTTCTCCTGAGGAGATCTAAGCTCCAGTTCCTTCTATTACAGAGCCGGGATGAAGACGCATAAAACTTGCGTTCTAGTAATTTATTTCGCCTGTTTGATATCACCGCTATTAGCAGCCGCTAAGCATGAAGCGTTGGAAGAAACCGTCACCGAGACGCTCCAAGAATCAGACAATGTCACTATCCACGTCAAGCCCAGACGTAAGTTGCATCGCTCGAACCGATCGCTCCGAGCGTATACTTACTCGAGCTCTTACGGACTGAGCCTAATTGATCGAATCGCCAGATCACAGCCATACGATCATCATCAATGGTACTGAAGTCAAGTGTGGGCCTGCCGCGATCGAGGAATTCCCGCGACCGATGGTCAATGCTGAAATGCGCGCCAAAGGAGGCGTCATAGTTCACATCGCGACGGCCACCACCATGGTCCTCATCATCTCTGTGCTCTGCAAGGAGTACTTCGTACCGGCGCTCCACGTCCTCATTAATTGTGAGTCATGACCAAGGGGGGTAGACTGGCTGTTACGATCAAACACTGGCTCTTCAGAAGAAACGCTAAATCCCGCTCGGAGAGCGATCTCCGGAATTCGAGATAGCCATTGAATTCAAGACAGATTGATTCGGAGAGTTCCATTATCAAAAAAATTCATCCGTGATCAGATCTGGAAATCGATCCCGATGTCGCAGGAGGTACTTTCATGGCAGCGGCCAGTTCCATTCCCGCGCTGGTTACATCTGTCATCGGGGTCAATGTTGTGGAGGTAGGTGGTTCAGAGCGCAGCACCGAATATACCGCGCAGCACTGGATAATTGTGGAAACCGAAGTACGGAAGAAAAAAGAAGGAAAAAAAACGAGGAATCATTAGACGCGCAAAACGGAACGTGTTTCAGAACGATCTCGGTTTGTCCACGACGCTGGGGTCTGGGGTCCTGAACGCAGCTGGAGTGCTCTCAATCGCCGCTCTCTTCGCGAAACGTACTGTTGAGATTCACGCATGGCCCCTGTATAGATCATCATTCTTCTTCCTACTCTGCATGGTGATCGTTCTGTGTTCGCTCATGGACAACCAAATTGACTGGTGAGTCTTCTCCTTCGGAAAAACCTACCGAATTCCGCGCCAAAGTCTCGGAAGGGCGTCGGAGGGGGAACATTGTATCAACCTTGATCTCGCTGAAGGTTTCTCGGTTCTACGAGAACCCATGCTCTGTGCTCGCGCCCGTAGTGACCTTGCGCACCTGCTTATGAGACACTGCTCTCGGAAGGAGCGATCATGTGATAATTCACGCGACCTCGCGTAATTGGAAGCACGCGATCTCTAATCATCGAGAGACTACCTTGACAGTAGACATTCGTGTTCTGAGCTGAGCTTGTACGACTCGATGCAGAGAATAATGATACCGAGATTATTCGATAACTCCTCGCTCCGGGGGGATAGAAGAATTCTAGTTCGCTCATTTGGAATCGCTTTCCGGGTCTCGCCCGTGATTCTTCAGAGCATTCTCATGACTCAGGGAAGGGTCGCTATTGAAATTCAAGGAATCGAAATAAAACTCTTTAATACCAACTTTATCCGGATCGTAGGATTGAAGCAACCATCTGCCTTGTCTCGTACATAATATACGGTTTGGTGATGGCCTTCAACAGACCTCTCGAAGCGTGTTTCCAGTATGTGACCGGAATTCAAGATCTGGAAGACCCAATTCAGGCCAAGGACAACAATGGAAGTGAGTTGATCCGTGAGTTTATCCACGAAGTTTTGCGCGAACTGACAAGCAACTCCGTATCGAGGTTCTCAGCATGTCGACGCTAGATTTATTGCGTCTAGAGCGTCGGGAAGGTCTTCTAGGCTCAGACCGAAAACATGCTGTAGATCGAGTTCATTTTCGACCAGCTTTCGTGATTGACACCATGGGCCTACTCGTTTCGGATATGTCGCAGATTGTCGAGGTCTTCAATGAGTAGAAAAAGTGACAGGTGTTTGGATTGAAAATCGAAACAATGTCGATATCTTTGTTCGTCCTATGGCGAGCAGGCCCCGATAATGAGAGTTTGAGTGAATTAGAGAGCTTGTCAGGGCGTCGAACGCTTCATTTCAACACTCCAGCTCACCTCATGCGCCTAGATATCTGTACTCATTCCACCCCTGAAAATTCTGCAGGCGAAATCACCACGGTACAGAGTTACACCCAGTATGGCGATAACGAGATGAAGACATTCAAGGACAACGGCAACATCATGTCAAACCTCGGTAGGTGTTCAGATTTTCAATATGACGAGTTCCGCTCCGGATATTTCGAACACTGGCCTCGCTTCGAATTCGATTGATATCGAATCGACAACAGGTGCCAAAAGCAGAATGTAGACTGGAGCCAAGCGCTCCAAAAGAGCCTTACTTTAGAATCGCCGACGGGCCAGATTTCGACGCGGTGGAGTTTCGCACACATGGAGTATAATTCAGAACACATGCTCTATACAAATGTCCAGCTGTGCCGAAGCGCATTGACGACGATGCGGTGGATAACCCATCGAAACTTGCATACCCTTGTATCACCAGCTGACAGGACCTGTGAATTCATGAGGATACACAGAGAGGGCTCCGCGATGCCCTGGAAATTCGCGTGATGCGCGGCAGGCGCCAGTTCCGGAGCGCTCGTATCCGCGTCTCGATGCCAGTGTGCTTTGTGTGCGGGAATCATACACAGTATTCACAATCCGGATCTCTCCCCAGACGCCAGTGTCGTTAAGCAGCTCGAAGCCGCGATGAACGCTCACAACGGAGGCAATAATCTCGACGAGCCCATGATCGATCCTAAAGCCTGGGAGAACTTGAATGTTCCTAGGAAAATTTTCTTGGTCATCACGAAGCCATTCTCTTTCGTTTTGTCGTTCCTGATCCCCAACTGCAAGAAGCCCGAGTATGAAAAGTACTACATGGTTACGTTCTTGCTGTCCGGTGGTTTCATCGCTGCGTTCTCCTACATCTTGGTCTGGATGATGGCCATCATCGGTACGTCGAACACAACCAGAGCCATTGCTGGATGTTGCACCTTCTCGCAAGTTTTGCCGCAATTTCGGGGAAGCCCCAAGCGAGCGCTCGCTCCGAAACTCACACCCTATTTTTTATAGGTTACACCTTCGGAATCCCAGACAGCGTCCTCGGGCTGACTTTCCTGTCGATTTCGGTTACACTGCCGGATATCATGGCTGCCGTCCTTGTGGTGCGGAAGGGCTACGGAGACATGGCAGTCTGCTACGTCTTGGGCACGAACATCTTCGAGGTCTTAGTTGGTCTCGGCTTGCCTTGGTTCCTCCAGACGACCGTCTTCAAGCCAGGGACCACCGTCGAATTGCAAAGTTCAGGTGGGTTCATGTAGATCGTGGACTCTTCTGCGCCGACTGAGTGTTTGATACTCATTGGGCTCAGTGGGCTTGCGGACAATCGGAAGACGGTTGCGAACCAGCCTGTCGGGTGGGGGTTGTTCGGTAAATAATCCAGAGTTTCGCTTGCAGGTTTGATCTACTCGACAGCGTGTGTACTGTTCACTGTTTTCTTGGTACCAGCCTTGACGTACGCCACCCGCTGGAAGATGAACAATACCTACGGTGTGGTCCTTCTTCTTTGGTATCTCATCTTCATGGTGATCTCGTGCATGTACCAGATGAATGTGTTCGACGATTCCAACCCACCTTCATGCGGCAGCGACTATTAGAAACGCTCAGGGAGAGGAGAAACAATCGTAGGAGTTCAGAAATCAGCGAAAAGCGTACAAATGATTGTCCCGTGAACTGACGCAGAGTTCGCTTGAACAACGACGACGCCGGGTTCGAGCCCCTTCCCCGGCGGCAATCGAAGGTATCACACCTTCCACGAGTGTTTTGTGATGTGTTAGTGTACATCATCGCCAACGAAAAAGACATTCTAGAACCGTGTGTGTGTGCAGAGGAGTTGAACCTGTCCCAATAGATCCAATCACTAAGGAAGTAAAGTGCACGACACTGACGACGAGGGAGACGCACGCGAGGAAAATAGATGAGAAACGTCAGACGCCAACCCCAGAGCATCGTGTATAGGTCCTCGGACGAGAGTCGAAGTAGTATTTACGCTTCACTGCGAGACATTCCGGACGATCGCGTACTCGCGGCATCGTGAACTTTCTTGGGAGGGGAGCGCCAGATCCTGATGGCCTCGAAGGCTTCGGAGCTGAAGGAGCGCTCTAGAACTGTCCCGGCTCTTTACTGATATCCGGTCGCTGGATATGGAGTGAAATGCTGGCTGCTATTATTTGCTGTTTGCGGACTGTGTGACTGCGACTTTCGTGCGAAACATTGTATAGAGTCATTAAAATGAATGTTTGTGCTATAACTGACAAATACAGCCTGCTCAGTGAAACCATGTCACTGAAAAGACCTGGTGAGACTAGAAGAACGAGACGTCTATAACGAATTCTATAACAACGACATCAACAACATGTGAAGAGCAACTGGATCCCGGAATAAATGATGAGAGAATAATATTCGCCCGTGTTTTTTCATCAAGTCTTGGGATCGCACATGCAACTATCTCACTGATTTGGATTGGAGAAAAAAGAGAAACATGTGGGATCATTTTTTTGGAATGTTAGGAAAGTCCGCTCCGTCCACGATGACGTGGGTTCGGCTGGCATTGCGGGGTTGGCGGGTTCCGCGTCCAGGGCCGTATCTCCGATTGGCTCCTTTCCGAGCCCTCGAGGAGTTCGGGGCGCAGGAATCGGGGGAAATGAGTTCCTCTCCGGGTCCTCAGGAAACCTTATACACGATACACGAAGCCATTATCGAGTAACCACCAGAACACATATTATTGTTTCCAAGAGCGAAAAATCGAGATCCGAATCATGAATGGGAACCTCTTCGTGGAACATTTCCCGAGCATCAAGCAGCGGGGGGAAGCAAGGGAAGGTAGCCCATGGAAAAGCGACTCGCGGTTTGGATCGATGGCTCGCCGCTCGAGAATGTTTTCTTGTTTGGCGAGCGGGACCCGCCTCCGCGGAAGGCACGCCTATTTCCCTTCCTTTCAAGCGCCTACACGGCAAAATCGTGAAGTACACGTCGACCCACCAAGGAGTTTCGGAACCATGGCGTCGGAAGTGCGACCGCGTCATTGTCTCTTCGTTGTTATTTTGAGCTTTTGCGTTTATCGGATGTGTATCGCTGATTCGGCCAGTACCGAAGACCCAGTCTCCTCAAAAGCCACCGATGTGACGAGAGTGTCCTCGAAACTTTCGGAGTCAACTTCGGATGGACCTCCGCTCGGAACCTCGATAGCGTTCACGGCTGGCACCACGACAGTACACCCGTCGACCCCGAAAACTCCTCCACCGACGACGGCAACTGCCAAACCGACGACTCTCAAACCTGCGTACCTCTTCGAGATAAATGCCGGTAAGGTCTACAGCGATTCCCGTACCAAATTGCTGCCCTGTATTATATATTCACGTGTTTCGTGGCCTCACCGTAGTACTTCCACGAGCGTCATCATCAGCGTGAGTCAATGTCGATAATGCTCGGCTGGTGGTGGGGATATTCTCCAGGGTTCCCGAGCAGCGCTAATGTTGGCTCAGGCTTCCGAGATGTCTCGATATCTTTTTCCGAACAGGAATCTTCATCGACGAGGCGTCTCTGACTTCGGAAGCTGAAGTACAATCCCACTTGGATCATTTCATGGACGTGAAGATCCGAGTTAAAACCACATTCATCAAATCTCTCCCCGATGCCAGTAAGTTCCGTAGGGTGATTCATTGACGGCGGGAGCCACAGATCTCACGAGAAACTCGGCGTTGAATCAAATACTCTCATACCTAGATGAGCTTCTAACAACGGTCCCATCTTTCTTACCCCCAGTGAAGTCCTATAAAGCGGGGACTTTTGACGTTTTGATCACGGCCACGAGTTGCGACAGGAGTCATTCTTTGGCTGAGATTGGGAGTAAAACCTACCTGATAACCTTCGTCCCGGCATTCTGTCGACGCTTCCACATCGATGCTCACGCGACGAAATTCGGCATAAATTTCCGCGTTACAAATTTTGCCGGAGACGTGGCCCCGCTCCTGGCGGACCTTGCGAACACGATCGCCTTCACACGGTGGAGAGAAACAGTCGTGCTGATCGAGGAACCGAACGGTGAGAGCAACCGGGGCTGAAATCATCCAGGAATCCATAGTTACGTCGTATGAGGGGTGCCTGACTTGCTCTTGCGCGAACCGAGGGAAATGGCACTTCGCAGGAAGGCTCTCTGAGCATACTCGCCGGAGAGTATAGTGATAGGAGCTTTCCTTCCACAGATTGGGAGGACAGCTTCGCAACAGATATCTTGAAGTCCGTGAGCCGCGTTGGTTGGGTAACGAACTTCCAGCTTCTGAGGAAATACGAGATTATTAAACAACCGATGCTGAACATGGTCACGTCTCTGAGGGTTTGTCAGGACAATCAAACGGCTGCGCTTGGGAAAGTGAGTCGCTCAACCCGATAAGAGCCGGGAGTAATTTGACAGCACGATTTTGCGTCCGGTATACGAGAGCTCGATCTCAGCTCGTCGATTTGAGACTCGAGGCTTAGGAGCCGACTGTTCCGGGATTTTCAGCTTGAGAAAATGCACTTCATCCGGGGCAACGAGACCTACATCTCAAATACCACGGTGTTCTTGAACTTATACAAAGACGACTTGAAAGCGACCAGTTTCATCGTCATGGGGAGCCAAGAGTACGTGCTCGAGCTTTTCCGAATGGGCGCCAACTTCGACATTAATCTCATGCAACATTGGAGGGAGTTTGTCGTCATCCTCAAGGATCCCGTGGACTCGAATTTCCGGAACAAATTGCTCTCGCTCATGAAGCCAGAAGGCAAAATGCTACTCCTCGCCAAGCAAAAACCATGCGCAGAAAATCTGCCCGGTGAGTTTCGCGGAGTGTGATGAGCCGAATCCATCATCCCGTGATTGGAGGAACGCGAAATCCCTCTGCAATTGAAATTGCTCATTCTTCCCAATAGGTGGTGGGACATTGTCACGTGGAGGAAGGCTTGAAGGCGTACAGAACACTCGCCCTGAAGCGTGGGCTCGGAGGGGTCACATTCAAAGGGAAAATCGGCGACAACAGTCAGCACCTCGCAATCCGTAAAGACATGGCGGTAAGTTGTCAGTCGATCCATTCGAATGTGAATAGATCGGCGATTTACTGATATCTAGGTAGCGCGACAAGCCATCTCGTGTACGAGCTGAATTCTCCGACCAGGAAATCTTGAGCAAGATCTCAACGTGTGGGCTATGCAGCGTGTACGAAATGTGGCGCTTTAAAATGGTGCTGTCGAAACCTTCACTCGACCACGTCGCGGACTGGAGCCTCGCGAACGGGGTCAAATACATGAAGGATATTCCCAAAGACAAGAGCCGCTTCTACGAGGATCTCCTGCCCGAATTCAAAAACGGCTTCGGTAAAAACGCCGTCCTCAGGATCGGTGTTTTCCACGTGAGCACGAGCAGTTTAATAGTCGCGCTACATGGATAGTTTCTCTTACCGCCCGATTTCCTCTCTCGAAGCATCGAATCTATTGCAGTACCCACCGGTAACAATGATCGAATACAAGAAAGATAAGAATGGACGCGATACCGGAGAGATTCTCAGAGTGAACGGGACGCTCGGAGACATGATTCAAGTCTTCGCTTGGCACATGAACTTCACGTGAGTCTCGCGAAGCCATATTCCCCGCTGAGGCTTTCGAATGTTCCTCTTGCGTCGGTGTCTAAATCGTAGTCCTACCTCTCACAGAATAAAATGGGTGGTCCCTAAGGAACCGGAGCCTGGAATGCACGATTCCAGCGGAAACTTCACCCGTGGTCTCATGGGGCAGATCGCTAGAGATGAGATCGACGTCGCGCTCTACCCGTTCTTGGTCACGCCGCAACGGTCAAAAATCGTAGACTTCTCCACCGGCATCGAAGGAATGTATGTTCGATACATGGTCATCTGGCCTCACATCGACTACAAGTACCTGTTTTTCCTCCCGTTCGCTTGGGACGTGAGTAGTCTGGAGGTCAGAACGTTATTCCCGGCGTCTTCCGTTCGAGAGTAGATTGATGGAGGGATTCTGAATTTTCCAGACCTGGGTCTGTACGTTCGCGACTCTGATATTGTGTCCCGCTCTGCTCTGGTGCTTGCATAAGACGAGCAAATTCTACGAATACAATGAAATGAAGCGGACCGGAGGTCTGAACGAGATGTTCAACTGCTATTGGTACATTTGGTGTGCCTACATCCAGCAAGGTTAGCTCCGAGACTTAAGCCCCAATAGGACGATCACTTCGCGGAGGTTTCCCCACCATGAGTAGCATCCGTGCGACCTTGACGCATCTGACTCATCAGATTTGTGAATTCTCAGGTGGCGTACATCTGCCCGAGGCCTCGTCTGGACGGATGCTAATCAGCTTCTGGTGGTTGTTTGTTGTCATCTCGATGACTTCGTATTCCGGACAAATGGTAGCGGAGTTCACATTCCCCAAAACCAGATACTCGGTCTCATACATTTCACAGCTGGTGTCGTATAGGCGCACCATGGATTGGGGTGCTTGGAGAGGAACGGCATTCAAACAAGTTCTCGGGGTGAGAATCTTCCTCTGCTTAGAATCGAATGTCCTAGTGTCAGGTGAAAATCGAACGGTGCTCGAGAGCGGGGAGCAGCTAAATTCGGACCCCAGTCATGTAGGAGCTTTCATATCCGTTAAAGCAAAACATTCCTCACATTCAGGAGGAAAGCGGCTTGCACAAATGGGAGATGTACAAACGGTTCCGCGAGTTCGACAAGAAGAACGAGCAAGAAGTCCTCAAACGGATCCGTTGGGGAAAACGAGCCCTCGTCGATAACGAGATCCATCTCCGCTATTACATGCTCCGCTCACTCCAAGTCCATAAGCGCTGCGATTTCCACGTATCCAAGGAGCCCCTCTACGAGTATACGTCACACATCGCGGTCCGGAAAGGTTTTCCGTACATGCACCGCTTCAACGAAAGGTGGGCGATACGGAGTACAAAGAACTCCGCTCATGGGACCACCGGATCATCGGACCGGCGACTTCATCGTCCGGAATCCGGAGTTCCGAATCAGGCTTTCAAGCCAAAATCACTCATGCCCGCCAGACCAAGCGCAAACTCGGACCGAGGTGCCTTGGTCCCGATGTGATCCCGTGTGGAGGAGTATCACTGTATTTTCAAAAGGCCCGTAGCGACGTAAGTTTCCTCAAACTAATCTGTGTGAATTCTCAAACCGGCAGGATCGGACGATGCATCCAGAGAGGACTGTATGCTGCATGGGTCCAGAAACATTGGCCCCGCGACAGTGAATGTAACGTGGAACCGAAAGTCTACGGTGGAGATAGACGGATTGTCGAAATACCCCACATAGAAGGAGCTCTATGGGTCTTGGGTATCGGCTGGGCATCAGCCTTCGCCTGTCTATTCATAGAGTTCCTCAGGAAACGTCGTTTCATGAACGCGCCAAGAGGTGAGCCTCCAGCTGGGATCGAACGATGGATCCGATGAAAACCCCTGGTGGGGAACTCATGAGTGCCTCGGACATAAGCGACCGAATCTCATTCCCGGAGCTTTGGCCTTTCAGAGTTGACCATGACTCCCGACATTTCCGATGGTGTGACTGGGACCATCTACGACACCCAATACGGGGATAAATCAATGTTCGAATCTCAGTTCGGCACGGACTTCGGGCTCAAAGCAGGAGCACAGAGCGCGTTCTCATTCGAACAACCATCGACGCCGTTCCGGTTCCCCGGTTTCCCGAACAAAAGCGATATGGTTCAATACGGCTATCCTGCTCGGCGCTATTGAGCGTCCCCGAACAGTCGCATATTTTCTCCGAATGGACATCTCGCATACTCATTCATGCAGATCTAATCAGGATTTCTCACAGCACAAATCTCAAACAGGACCCTATTCTGATATGGGAGCTTCCCCGCCGAGGGGAGCAGATTCTCAGACCTCACGGTTCCTCGGAGGAAGCCATAAGATTTTTGGAGTACGAGGCTCCCAGCTTCGGGAGCTCTCACATTTGCGGGATGTTTCCACCCAAATCTATTAGCTATCTAGACATCATCGTAGAAAACGACTCTTGTCGCTTTTCCATGACGACCTGAAGTTAAGCTCAAAGCGTGTTGTTATAAGCTGCTAGGAAGATATGAAAATAGACACCAGTTCTGAGTGCTAGCCGGTGCAGATGACCCGATGCCGTTCAGGGAGCAGGCAACTTGTAGCAGACAGGCTGCAATTTGAATGGCATGACGCGTCGACATTATTCTGCGCTGTGTCGGAGCAACAATACAATGGCTTCCCGAGCGGTCGATATTGCTTCGATGAAGGCTATCGAGGCGTTGCTCCTCGTCAATACGAGCTTACGCCTCGGCTCGGGACGGAGGCGTCGTATCGACACCCGAACTTCGACGTGGAACAATCGAGGTGAGTTTCCGCACTTCCCAAATGAATTCGTTTCGACAGAGAATTATGTCAATAGAATTCCAGAATTCTATCAGGAGAATTCTCGAGCTTGGAATCAACGTATGTTCAAGGAACCCGCTCCCATCCGTAGAGAGGGCGGGGAAAAAAGCCCTCCGCTCAGAGACGCTTAGGTGATTAGCCTGCGAATGGATAGAACCCCAGATAGAGTCGTTCCGGTAGGTCTCGACTCGGATCAATGCGAACGAAATCCTGCCTGGTCTCGACCCGTGAGAACGAATGAACTCGGATGGAACGGCGAATGTGCATAGATCCGAGGAAGTTGGTCTAAATGGATCGCAGTCGGACCGATTCCGAGGTCCTTCATCTTTCAGTATTGCGGCTAAAATGTAAATGCATGAATTTCACATTCCAGGATCAATACAAAACCCGATTCGAGAGCTGTCCTTCGCACCCTCGGAGACACCGCTCCGCTAGCGGGCTCCTGAGTCGTCCGATGTGCACCTCACAACACTTCGGCTCCAGCGCTCCAACGACCCAACAGACCGAATCGAAAGTGAGTAGTCATCATAATTCAATCATGGGTTCCTTCGATTCCTCTCGTCCTCCAGACAAAACGATCAAGCTCAATTTCAGAATCTCCGCTGCGAAGTTGGTTCAAAGTTTTTTCGCGGGTACGGGACCGCGAGTTCACCTTAAGTGGAGTTCTAGTTCTGAAGGTGAGTTCGATCCTGATTCTCGAGAGAGACGGCTCCAACCCCGGGAACTCTCAACCCTACAAGGTCCAGGAAACTAGGTATGTGGACCGCGGAACATAATGACTCTGGCTCCACATCATTATGACATGTTCTCCAAAACGAAGAAGCATTGATCTGTTCGCGACTCATCTGCATATTCTGAGCAGCTGTGCGAGGATCATCGAGCGCGAAGTCTGATCCCTGTTCTCTGGTTTCCCATGAAGCCGACGGAGGGAATAATCATGAGTGCCTAGACTCTAGGACCTAGAGTCTAGGTGAACGATCCGCCCACGGGTTCCCTCGATAAAGGCTGCGCGGTGATCGATACCATAGAATTTACTTACGTCGTTGGAGGCGGAGATGACCTAGCTTACAACTGCTACCTAACAGAGAGTAATCAGGATTTGATCGTTCGCGTTTTTCCGGAAATTCGACCCACGCGAACTTTGCTCGGGAGTGAATTTGAAAAACTTTCCCTAATCAGGAGCAGCTTAAAGTCGTGCTAATGTCCGTTATCAGATCCTCTACGTTTCGGCTCTCCGGGTAGCATTTGAACGCATTCGAATGACAGTCTCCTCGAGTTTCGTTCGGGTCTGCTCGTTCATCTCCTCCAACTTTTCGAGGGTCATCCCCTCCCCTTTGCGGGTGCCGTCGGCTAATTCGCATCGATCCTCCGATGGGAGAGAAAACGTCGCGTGCCTCGTGCCGCCTACTGGTCCAATTTTTTCAGACAAGTCGGAGGAATATCTCACGATCAGTAGTTCTCGATCACTGTTCTAGGCTCAACTGTTCACGAACTCTAGTCCCCAGACTGCCTCGTCCTCTCTTTCGCCAAATAATAATCGGTGGTTATAATTGATCTCGTTTTGACGCAAAGTTCTATTTGATGAAGCTGGCCCTTCCCTATCTGAGGAGGCGGCCTCTCGGCCAAGAGCAACGGACGGATCTCGACGCAGGACGAGTTCTGAGGGTCGATCGTACGTCTGACTCGGACGCACAGAGAATAGCGTTCTCCGGGATCGTCGAGTCGCAATGTGGCTTCGGGTGCTCCTCGTGGCCTCGATCGGAGGCTGGGTAGCTCAAGCTCACCAAATCAAAGTTCGTGAGTACATTCACCCATCTGAGCAGCATACATACATATGTGGATATGGGAGCCCGAAGCCTGGCGATAAGCACGACCACGGACTCAATACATCTGTTCGCTTCCCAGAAATCGTACCCGACAGCCAGACCGAGGTCGATGGACAAGACGTTCGTGAATACATCATGTCCCGCCATGCGGAGTACAACGAGACTTTGGCTCCAGGCGGAAACTATCTCACGTTTTTGGCCACCGACATAGAGGACGTCCACGAACTCCCCGAAAGGGTGAACCCTGAGAAACCGACGCGAATAAACTTGAACCTCCTGGTGACAGCGGTTGGATGCGAAGACACCTATGCCGCGATGGCGTTGCAAGAAAGCAAATACCCCTCTGCCATGCTTCTCGCCCTGAACAGGCCTTACTGTCCACGGTAAGGAAAGACGCTTTACCTGGAGCTCGAACCTTCCGGCTTCCCGAAGGAGGAAGAAACCCGAGAATGACATCGTAGCTAAAGTTCCGATGCTGCCGAAATCGGTAGGTTCGATGCAGACGACAAAGAAACCAGCATCCGGAAACCGTTCGCTGTGAGCATACCGATAACAAACGGACCGACGGACGTTCTGCCTGTGCTTGCAGACTTCAGAGCTATGCTTCCCTTGAGTCGATGGAGTGAGATAACAATCATTACACCTCAAGCCTACAGTGAGTATCTGTCTCATCCTGAAAGGAAAGTTGTTCGTGATCCCAATGAGGACCAGAGCCCGCCGTTCCATATCCGAGCCACGACACGGTGCTTTCGTCGATAACAACTCTCGGCCACGATCGATAATATGTTCAGTCCGGCGCCGACCGATGGACACCGAGCTGAGATGCACTGTGAACACAGCGGAGCGCTCTGAGCCTGGAGAAATGAGAAATCCCGTGTGCTTGGTGGAAAGAAGCTCTCTCCTCGAAAATCGGGATGATGATCATTCTGCAGTCCGAAGGACGCTCCTTGATTTTTTTCAACAAGAATCATCTCCGATTCCTCTTGAAGTGCTTGGATCGGGGTCTCGAATTTTTCCATTCTTTCGCAGCCAACGAGTATCTCGAAATGGTGATGCGCGCTGTCGAAGGCGTTCGTAACAACGATCGCGTGAACAGCGCAGCTTCAATCTCGCTCTGGCAATACTGCTCGCCGACGATGCGCCAGAACGGCCAGTGCGGCTCAAACTCAGCTTCGATGCGAAACATCCTCGATTCATATCGAGCTAGCCCGAAGAAGAAAGATGACCGAGAATTCATCATCATCGGGGACGAAGAGCTGGTTCTCGAATTTCTCGAGCGAGGTGTCGACTATCAGATATTCTCCCTGTTCCGAGAGTTTTTCATCATACTCACAACGCCGTTCAGCAACAGAGTTCGGGACTTCCTGTTTGACAAAATAACGAGCGATGCCAACATCGCGATTGCCTCAACCGAGGTCAAAGACGAAGAGTGTCCCGTGAGTGAACCGTCGATTGAGGATACATCGACCGAACATGATGACAACCCGCACTTTCGAGGTGTGAGGGAACGATCCGAATCAATTCCGGGGTCGAAACTGCTTCCAGGTGAAGGGCACCTGTCATATCGATCTGCCGATGATGGCGTATATGGAAACCGCTAGAAAGAATCCTTCGTTATTCAACCCGAGCACGGACCTATTCACCCGCAAATACAACATCAACAAAGGAGTCAGGGTAGGTTTCCCCCGTCGAGTCTCACGCATTCCGGTCAAAGCGATGACTCCCGCGATCGAATTTCCTCACGAGTGTTCCTAAACCCTAAGGACTACTTGCGTCGCTCGAAATCATGCGGCTTCTGCGCTAAATACACCATTCGGACGCTCACTGTGAAGGCTGGCCGGAAGACATTTGATCCCGTTGCCACATGGGATTACTTCGACGGACTCGCGATGGTCGGGGGAGCGAATCGGAACACGTACCAACTCTTCCCGAGGTTCCTCGGGGATATGGGAGGAATAACCTTGCGAGTGGGAATCATAAACGTGAGTGTGACTCTGATCGCCTTCGAGCGTCGGTCTGCACATCTGCTTTACTGAGGGATTTCCCGACAATCCGCAGGAACCTCCGATGACTCAGGTCCTCTCGGACAAAGGAATGGTGATAAGCGCCAACGGCACACTGATCGATCTATTGAAAGAACTTTCCCGACAACTGAATTTTACGTGAGTTTTCGGAGAGCTCCCGAGTTGGATCTCCGCTCGAAATCATTCGCGTGGAACGCCGTGCGGTGGGAGAACTATCGAAATGCGATCTCCTCTCAGATACAAGTTCATCATGCCGTCCGAGCCGGTACCAGGCTTGAAGCAGCCCGATGGCAGCTGGTCAGGACTCATCGGGTTGCTCGTGAAGCAAGATATCGACGTGGCCCTCTACGATTTCACGCCCACTCCCGATCGGCAAGAAGCGGTCAATTTCACAGTGGCATTCGACGAGTCGCCCTATAAATTCTTGGTGCCGAAGCCGAAGCCTAACTACAAATACCTCTTTCTGGACCCCTTCACTTGGGATGTGAGAATGCTTTCCAAGCCCCGTATTCAGTTTCAATCGTCGAGATGAGCGGATGCGATCGGCAGCTGATACGCTCTGGACTTACGTTTCAGACATGGCTGGCAGTGCTCGGTACCGTGCTGATAATAGGACCGGTGCTGTGGTGCATTCATATAAACTCAAAATATTACGATTACTACGATCTAAGAGATGGGAAAGGTCTTTTCAAACTTTCGAACTGTGAATGGTACTGCTTCGGAGCGATTATTCAACAAGGTGGGTGGTGGGAGGCAGATCTTCCCTGTTAGCGAGCGCCGGGTATGTTGCCTTCAGAAAGCGACGCGACGGCCCCCTACCCTGACTTCCTCCCACGATCGGCGATGAATTTCCATGTCCTACTCTTCACAATCTTGCGATAGGTGTTGAGATCGAGTCACAACTTTTGCAGGTGGAATTCACCTCCCTGACGCGATCTCCGGACGGATTCTCGTCGGTTTCTGGTGGCTCTTCGTCATCGTGACTCTGACCACCTACTCTGGGAATCTCGTGGCCGATTTAACGTTCCCGAAAATTCGGAACCCATTCGACACAGTCGACTCCCTTCTGAAATCCGGGATGCAGTGGGGAGCATTCAGGGGCCAAGCAATCATCGAAATCCTCAGGGTGAGTCTACGCCGCGTGTAGGGCGTTGTCGAGCAAAACCGAGAGAATGTTCTTCGTGAGGCTGAATTTTTGATTTTCGACTCGTTTCTGATCGTTCCATGCCCGATCCTTCCAGCTTCAACAACAAGGTCCATTGACGCAGCTCTCCGAGAAGCTCATGCAGATAGAAACGGCTCACGAGGGTTGGATTCTCAAAAATGTAGCCGAAGGTACGATGGCGCTCATCGGCTCGGAAGTCACTTTGTTCCACTTCATTGGTAAACAGTACCTCGCGACCGGGAAGTGTCAGTACGCAGTCGCGAAGGAAGAAATCATACGAGAAGTGAAGAACCTCGCTGTGCGACCAGGTTTCCCCTTCTTGACACGTTTCAATGCCATGTACGTTTGATATTCGTCATCCTCAAAATGCAATGAGTTTCGTTACGTCAGAGATACGTATGACTCCGACGGAGATCCGATCCGCATTGCAGATTACTCCGAATGGTAGAGACTGGACTCGTGATCAGATGGAAGAAAAAGTTCTGGCCCAAGGAAAACGAATGCATCGTGCAATCGAAGCCACAGGCCGGCGATATTCGGAAAATTGAGATACCCCATATGGAGGGCTCGTTCTGGGTCCTCGGCGTCGGCTTTCTCGTGGCCTTCTTCCTCCTCGGCATCGAGCTGCTCCGGAAACGGCGAGAACTGCGAGATCCGAATTCGGGTAAGCGACCAAAGAACTCGGAAGATAATTCAACCATTCAGGAAGAATCCTCGCCGAAATGCGTACTTCCCTGACGAGCGGTGCGGATTAGTGTCATACGCGAGATAGACAGGGACCCATTGCTTCCAGGCAAAACTCAACGAGTCAGTCCGTCGGAGTTCAACAAAGAGAACTTATTCCGGAAGACCAACTTCTCGGACAATACTAATTACAGCACCGATTACGGACAGTCTGGAACCAAAAATTCCGGCTATGCTTTCGAATCATCGAATCAACCCTTCAGATATACGGGCTTTCCGAACCGAACCGATCTCATCCCATACAATTACCCAGCCCGGCGTTATTGATATTTCTCAGGTGCTCAAGCCCATTACTCGCTGGGCCAGATCGACTTCGAGAATTCTTATGTCTTCGTGACGACTACTACAAACATGTCATGTTGTTGAAGAGGGTGTTTATCTCTTATGGAAAAAATAAAATTATGTGTTATCCAAGATACTGGTTTATTGAGAGTAAGATATGATGATGATATGATATGACGATTCCATGAGCGTCCCAACAGAAAAATATAAAAAGGTAGAAATCTGATCGAGCTCCACGGTGCCTGAGACGTACCTAGTCTCCCTCGACCTTTCCATACGATCATCATCGCTCCCGAATTCAATTTCTAGCCTCTCGCTCCCAATCCATTCCGTCCTTCATTCTGGAGATCCTGTCTGAATGAATCTCGAGCGGTAGTACTGTCCCCGTTTCTTGCTCCGGAGAGAGCGGTAGGACCATAGCATCACGTTTTGTCGTAAGGCTGATTGACTTCGAGTGAGCCCCAGAATCAAGCTGAGGCTTATACGGGAACATGATCATTGAATCAACTCGATAAATATGTACAAAGGATGCCGCCCAGCTCAGAGAGCGAGCCTCCTCTCACTTGTAATACTCTCAGCAGCTCAGGAGCTTTCGATCCCTCAGGTATTGATCTTTCTTGAAGTTGAGCTTCTGAGAGCTTTTCCGCTCCTCTCAATGTGAACATTCGGCCTAATTGGACCTGAAGAGCGCGCGAAACTGAGCGCTAAAATATGCGACAGCTCCAGAGACACCTAGTTCATAATCGTTTCCGGGAGTAAATTAACGCCTCGATAGCATCCGAGCTCCACCGCTCGGAGTTTCGTGAGGTGAATAGTGTCGAATGCCACGAGACAAAGATAAAGTCAAAACTTGTAGTATGGATGTAGATCGGCCGCTCTCCGCCTCAAGTTGCGTCTGAGCCGCGGGGGCGTCAGATCCGAGATACGCACGTATACATCTCTTGATGGCTGATCAACCCCGATCTCTTGCGCGAGACTGACCGGCGATGGCGGCCTCCAGATTCCTTTGTTAATCGGAGAGAGATTTTTCTTGACAAATGTTTCTTGTGTTCTAAGCTCTAATGAGCCTGCGCGCCTTCCATTGAGGTCAAATCGCTATCTGCTGTTTCTCGGGTACTCAGATGCAGTTTGCGTATCGATTCACCTTGGAGTTCCCCATTGGCGGAGGCGGTCCGTGAGTGGAGAGGCTCACGAGCCAATAGCGTTCTGAGATGTGGTCTTCGCCAAGGTCTCTGAGTCCAGCATCCAGAGGCTGGAACGGCGTCAACAGAAGCTCTGAAGATCCGTCATGGGAACTCGTTTCCGGTGAGTGGTATGCGATGATTTCAGATGAATCTATCGAAGCCAGATCCGTTCAAAGCCTCGTGACCGGGGATTCCCCCCGAGGCCCTCAGAACCGAATTCCTTGCGAGACCTCCCCTGATTCCGGAGGCCACCGCTCTGGGAACCGATTATTACCATCCCCTCTCGTTACCGATTATTTTCTCGAGGTTTCCCTTCGATCGACCAACATTTCCGATGATCTCCCAAGCCGGAGGGAATTTTTCCATAGCGTTCTCCCTCACTTCCTTTGAATCGTAGCGAGCGTTGCTGCATCGAGTTCGCCGTCACTGAGCCTCTGAGTTCTGATACAGGAACGACCAATTTCCAGAGTATGTCTACTCGTGTTATGGCTATCCGGGATCGAGCAAGTCGTGGGACAGTTTCAGATCGGTGAGTACTCTCCTTATTCACCTAATTCCGCCGAGCGATTCTTTCCTGCGACTCATATCCACTACTATCTCACCTCTTTCGGAGGTCTCCTGTTTGATTGCGCTGCTCCTCTCCCGGCTTCGAAATTGATCGATGTTCACCTCGCGGAACGTGTATTCCCCGCTGGCTAAAGTCTCCGGCCGCGCTACGCTGGACTCCTGAAAGTAGTCGAACAAAAGAATACGGTCTTCAATGGTCGACGACCAAATAGAGCGAACGACCTGTTGCTTACGCGCATAGCATGGACATCGTCACTCGCGAGTCGATTGTCGACTGAGTTGTGGCTTCCTGAGCCTGAGTCGTGACTGGGCTGCACGGTAGGCTGCATGAAAGCTACGGTGTTCGAAAGTGTGCGGAGCGATGTTCTCCCTCGAGAGTACAAAGCGATCTACACGAACCACACGATCGAAGCGCACTCATTCAGACCGGGACAGCTTCTCGTCACGGGAGCTTTCTTCTGATACTGCTAATCAGAGTGAGCTTGGGGATCCTTACGCTTTTCACTTCTGTATAGATCGGAGGGACCGAGCGCGGACCTCGGCTGGTTTTTCGGAGTTTCACCGGAATAGTAGTTCTGGATGTTCCTTGGAATACCGGGTCTCGATTATGTTTTCTGGAGAGCGCCTCGCGGTCTCTCGGTGCACGACGTCCAGTTCGTTGGGAATCCCCGTGCTTGACAGGGTGACACGCGCCCATGACAACGCCGACAAAAGACTTGATTTAAAATTCGAAGTCGATCCCCCCATCCACCCGAAGCCACGGCAACGCGTACCGACGAGCGAAACAACATGTCCCCACGCGTTGGATCGCCTCTGGGAATAGAGCTGGGTCAGATTTCACATTCGTATCAAATGAGAGACCGAAAAAGAATCTAACAGAATAAGGACGACGTCGGGGCAAACGGAATTCGAGGCGGTTTTCTTTTCTTTTTCCCTTTTACCGACTTTAGCAAGCGATTCGCCGGGCAGCTGGGGGGGTCTTGGTCGCGTAGATGAAATAACCCTGACTTCGGCTGCGATCTCACAGCTTCCTGACACTTTTTCGCTGATCGAGCGCCGGTATTTCAGCTTCCTAGCAATGATTACGTTGAGTAACGCCCAATCAATGACCTAATTCCCCTGTCTTCATTTTCAGCCGTCATAACCGAGAAAGCGTTCCCGATTGCGAAGGAAGCTATTGAGAGAGGACTCTCCAGAGCGAAGAATGACGGGAAAAACATCAAATGGAGCTTCATCGAGTTGACCAACGTCGAACTGGATCACAAAAAACGTCTGTCAACATTTTTCGGAATCAACCCCGAGATCTTTCCCGATTTGAATATGTACCTCCCCCGAGAAATCCTGGCCGAGAACTGCGATGGAAAACTATGCTCGACGTAAATCGGTATCAATAACAAGATTCTTTCGAGAAGTCTAAGGATTTCTCGCGAAATTTTTGCAGTTTGCTCGATGATCATGGAAAAGAAGCCCAGTCTCGTCATAAACACGGTACGAACCCCGGGAAGCAACTACTACAAGCTCACCATGACCATCAAGGAAGTCCTTAAAAACCTTGGCATGCCCACCCTCGACTTGTCATACGGTAAGAACTAGCTATCTCAGACACGGGTGGGCTCGAAGGCGGCTCCGAAGGTCCCACGCTCGAAGGAGAAGATTCGTAGCGCGGTCCGCACTTCGCCAAGGTTCTCGGACGGGTCGTGTCCGACCTCAAGTCGCCGATCGATATGAGCGGCGATTCTTGACAGAGATAGCGCACTGGCCACAACTCCGAGCGAGCTCCATTTGAATGCACCGTTTGTCTCTGAGAATCTCGCCCGACAACCATTAGGTTGCGAATCTCTCGAGTGTCCATTTATTCGCATCTACCATCAGACCAGTTCTGTGTCACGATAGTTTGGTCAACGGACCCTACGGAGCTCTGATTCGGATCGTTGGAACGTTGTCTGGACAGCTACGAATAAATCTCCGCAAACACAAAGTGACAGAAAATCTGGTTTGCATTGTGTGGAATCAGCTCATATTTCGCAATTAGGAAGATCGTGTGTTGTTTCAGGAATCAGCGACGAGTACTCCATGAGCGGATGGAGCACGAAAAAAGGCGATCAAGGCAACTATCTCATCCACGTGACGCCTCCGGGCGACTCGTACACTCAAGCAGTGCGCGAGCTCAGTCTGAAGATGGATCTCGCGACCGCCGGAATTCTCTACGACAAGACTGTCTGTGAGTTCATCTGATTGCCGCCGAATAACTTCCGCTCTTCCTCTCGAAACCTATTCCGGCAAATTTATCTACATCCTCGTTCTGCATGACAGTGATCGACCACAAGTACGCCCGTCTCCTGGAAAACGTGCCGACCCGTCACATCATGCGTGAAGTCGGCGAGAGCGCCGCCGATTTCTGGAACAAGACTCAAGTTATCCAGTCCACGGATGTCTCGAACTACTTCGTGGTGGGCAGCATCAGTCACTTGAGCAATGCGCTCGAAGTGGCTAAGAAATACGATCTCAGACAACGACATCACTGCTGGGTGCTCGTCACCAAGCAGGAGGGGGAACCCTCGTGCGATGGCTGCACGAATCTCGAAGCTCTTTTCGTGCATCCCGTCAAGGTGGATGATACCCGAGTTGGCAAAGAAGGACCCTACGGAGCGGACAAGGTTGGCCAAGAAGCCCTCTCACCTGAATCAGAGTTTCCGCGCATTCCGTGAAGCGCGTTTCGAATTGATTATTTGATTCCTTTCCAGCTCGACGGCCTCTTCTACGAAGAAATAAGCGAGTACACGGTGAAACGGATCTTCGCGACCGAAAAGTACTCGAAGGAACCGATCGTTGCGACGTGTCCAGGAGTTGGTAGCGCGAGACCGAATAACAACTTGTACGCCGCCTTGAACTCGGCCAAACTCAAAGGCATTTACGGGGACGTCGTCTTCGATATGAAGGTCGGCTACCAACAGATAAGGATGAAAGTAGAACATCTCAACTTCACTACGGCCAAGAATCGAGACACCCAAGACAAGGGCTACTTCACGTACCAAGGCGATGCAAATGTCGCGGTCTGGAAAGAAGGCCAATCGTCCCTCGAACAATACGGCGCTGTGACGTTCTACAAAGTTGTGACGATTGTCGTAAGTAAAATAATCCAATTGCAATATGCTCCGACGTTGGATGTGGAGACGAATTGCTGCTATGATGATTGAGGGAGAAGGGGGCGCGGGAAGGCGCAGCGGACGCCAGAGTTGAACGTTACTTCCTTTCAGCAACCCCCTTTCGTGTATAGGAACAACGAAACCAAGAAGTTCAGAGGCTACTGCATCGATTTGATTGACGAGATAAAGAAAATCCTGAAGTTCGAATACGAAATATACGAGGTCGCCGACTCACATTTCGGATCCAAGAACAAGGAGGGAACATGGAGTGGTCTGATCGGAGACTTGGTTCAAAAGGTGGGTAATAGAGATGATTAGTGACGCGCGAAGCTCTCGGCTACTCCTCACTGAGAACGATCGTGACCAATCCCATGTTTTTTTTCCAGAAAGCTGATATCGCGCTCGGTCCCATCGCCGTCATGGCTGAGAGGGAAACGGTGGTCGACTTCACCGTGCCGTACTACGATCTAGTCGGTCTGTCGATCCTCATGAAGAAGCCAGAAGTGAAACCATCGCTCTTCAAATTCTTGACCGTGCTCGAGACAAACGTGTGGGGCTGCATTCTAGCCGCCTATTTCTTCACATCGTTCCTCATGTTCATATTCGACCGACTTTCGCCATATAGTTACCGGTGAGGGAGATCGCAGAGTTTCTGGAAGCAGCGATCCAATCCAACCGCACATTTCACAAGCGATCACAGAGATATCCAATCAGAAGATGAACTCCTTCATCGATATGATGTCATCCCGCAGGAACAACAAGGAGAAATACAAGGACGACGACGAGAAGCGTGAATTTACGCTCAAAGAGTGCCTCTGGTTCTGCATGACGTCACTCACACCTCAGGGAGGTGGCGAGGCGCCGAGAAACTTGTCCGGGCGACTCGTAGCCGCAACCTGGTGGCTTTTCGGCTTCATCATCATCGCCTCATACACGGCGAACTTGGCTGCTTTCCTGACAGTGTCCCGTCTCGAATCTCCGATCGAATCCTTGGATGACTTGTCGAAACAATACAAAGTCAAATACGCTCCACAGAAGGACACGACAGCGTCGACGTATTTCCAGAGGATGGCGAATATCGAAGAGAAGTTCTACGAGTCAGTACCAACGTGGATTGAGCTGTGAACCTCATTAATGTGGGTTTATGCATCGGAATCTTCTAAAATCACGATATATTGTTATACTGAACAGGATCTGGAAGAACATGTCACTCGATGATAGTCTGACGGACGATCAGCGAGCGGAACTCGCCGTCTGGGATTACCCGGTCAGCGACAAATTCACCAAAATTTGGTGGACCATGCAGGAGGCGAATCTTCCCGAAAGTTTCGAGGCTGGCGTGCAGAGAGTCAAAGATAGCCTGACAAGCGAAGGCTTCGCTTTCATCGGTGAGCAAAGAGCGCGATGAGATGGGAATAATCGCAATCCCGAGAAAGAGAAGAAAAACGCACTTCCGCCTGAGAAGTGCTACAAAGAGGGCCAAATCATATCTGTCCGTTTTGGGGCGGCAAGGCCGCCAAAGTGGCGCGATCCAAGTGGACGAAAAAATGGTTGATAAGTCTCAAACTGTGCCGCAATGAGATGATAAGGAAGATCACTCTCTATTCCAAAGCTGACGCAACTCAGATCAAGTACGCAACCATGACAAACTGTGATCTCACACAAATCGGTTCCGAGTTTTCGAGGAAACCTCTTGCGTTGGCGGTTCAACAGAATTCCCCTCTTAGGGACCAACTTTCAAGCGCGTGAGTTCATGCTGAGCGACGAGAAGATCTTGCTGTTAATCGGGCATCGAGAGTTTCCTGTTTGTCTCATCATTATTTTTTTTACACTTCACTCGCAGAATCCTGAAACTGCTCAATCAGAGACGACTCGAGAGTCTGAAGGAGACCTGGTGGAACCAGAACTCCGAGAAGAAGGAGTGCGATGAAGAGGGCAAGAACAACGATGGAATTTCCATCAAGAACATCGGTACGGAGCTCGCTCATTGGACACTATGTATGATATTGATCCACCCTCATTTCCGATCCTTCCTCAGATTCTCGCTAATCATCCATATTCCGATAGGTGGTGTCTTCATCGTCATATTCATCGGTGTCGTGATGGCTTGCATAACTCTGGTATTCGAATACTTCTGGTACAAGAATAAGAAGCCAAGATCTAAGGTGGTGTCTGTGAAAGAACACATGCCTCAGAAGAGATAGACATTTCCAATCTATGTCAGTGCTTAAACGAAGGATGGCGAGGTGTTCAGAATTGTCCGTGATCCCCAACGGATGTTGTGGATTCCACATCTCGAGTTGTCATAGACTCCTTCTCATTGATTCATTCAAAGTCAGAGGCGAAGCGAGTTTGATGAGATTTGATGAGGTATCTGTGTCTCGGTCAGCCTCGACTCATTAACGCAATGTTATAGAGTGACTCCTTTTCAATGAGGAGGGAACTCTCCTCACGAGTTGCATGCTCCCCACAGCATGTGGAGGCTCGATATTGAGCACATCCTGTTGCGAAAAATGATAGCCGGGTGATAAAAATCTCTGAGCATTCCAGCTCTGCATTTACGGAACTCGAGCTGCTGAGTCCCATGTCGAATCAGTTCTGATGAAGCCGAAGTCATTCGGTGAACCGCTGTCACCACAATCAATCGTTGTGAAATATTTCTATGAGCATGGGATTGAGACGAGACATGAGGACACCTATCTTTAGAAATAAAATATTGTTCTTACCTAAGCCCTGATCTACTTTCTAAGCGGCCTTCGCTTCTTCAAAACCACACGTTCGGTAAGAGCAGGTCCTTCGCGGCTTTGAGAGAAGCGTCGCACAGGTACATTCTGGTGCGTTGTTGTGGTCACGTAACCCATGAGAGGCCCCAGAGGATAATTAACGGGATCGACACGATCATTACTCGGAAGCCCGCAGCCGTTAGGAATTAGCCACCTTGTTCGGCACATCTCAATCCCAGAACCGTTTGAGCATGGCGAGCCGCCATCCCAAGCGCGCCCCGAATCAGTACATGTACATTTCAACTTGATCCTCTGCGCAAGCAGCACTCATTTAACGATGATATCTAGGACCGCTCGTCAGAAACTTGACTTTGGATTTCGCCTACATATCTTGACTCTCGCCCAGTAGTAGACACGAGGGACCCACTTTTGATGCGACAGTGTCACGTGAACGGTTCACGAGTTTCTCACGTGCGACGTGACTCACCAGATAGGAAGCGGACCCAAGCTGGCTCTTGTCGCGATTGAGATCATCAATGATACAAAGTTCGCAGATAGCCATTTGTCCAGAAAATTATGTCCTCCCGGATTGAGAAAAAAACTCTTCTAGGGCAGATCTACGGCATTCCATAATCGGCGCGCTGTCTTCTGGCGTGGATCGTTCCTGATGCGAGGAATATGTGTTTTTGATGAAAGATCGCGTGGTAGGACGGAAGAGATGCGTTATAATTTCTCATCATGCTGAGTTGTGCGCTGGAAGTACTGCAATCTCGAGCCTCGAGGGGTCAGCTCCACTCAGACCTGGCTTCCTGCGCGTTCGAATGTTTCGCAGCAGCGGCACTTCCGACTAAGCTCGCGAAAAACGCTTTCCAATGGAATGAGTTTCTACATCGGGCTCCCATTTTCGACCGGAGTCGCCGAAAACGCGCCTCGCAGCTACCGGATCACGAGGATATTCCTGACTGTGGTGAAATGCGAGGACAACTTGCAGTAGATATTTATTTCTGAGAGGCTGTCATCTGGCGTCGAGATTTACGTCTACGCGTCGGTTCAAGATTCGATTCGCAGTCGCTTTCAAGATTCTTATAGATATTGCGCCCCGGCAGCGAGTGCGATTCGAAATCCAAGGAAGATCAGTCGAATCCCAGTCTACTTCACAGTTCCCGAATCGGTATGGATCAGTTCCGGTCAGAGCTCGAATCCGATTTCGAGTTTCAGGGTTGGAGTTCGAGTTTCGGGGAAAGTCCCGGAATCTTCCGGGCGAGTACTAACTTTAAGTAGTTCGAATGATTAACATTCGCCGGAGATACGTGATGAGTTGTAGAACTATGGATTCGCGCTGGCGTGAGGTTCACCCTGTATCACGAGTCTGTACTCTCTCGAATTCTTTCCATGACGCCTCCCAAGGGGCTAAAAAACGGCTAGGAGCTCTCTCGGACGACACGAGGTGGGCTAGCTGATCCGGAGCTCCCGGTGTCCGTGCGTGAATGTTGGGGATCTCTCAGACCCAGCGAGGGAAAACGCAGCGCCTAATGATGCCTGGAGGTAATCGTTCGTCGACAGAATTCGTGATAAGTCAAGGTGGTCTGACTGAGCAAAAAACTCGATGTATCTCGCTGACAATGCCGTACATGTTCACGGTACTACGCGGCAGAATCTAAGGTAAGAGGCATCCAAATGGTTTTCGTGAAGATAATCGTGTTTGAGAAATCGACACCTCCCGTGATAGTCGAAGGAGAAAAACACGTCGGCGGCCTGAGTCCGAACTGCGCATGTTTCTCATCGAGATCGTACTATGCATCTGGATTTTGGTGCATAACAAGGTCATCTTTTTGACGACCGATCCCCCCAATGAAACTCATTCGAGGCAAGCTCGAACCCGGGAGTCCTGGACCCTGTCAAACAGCCTGCTTCTAGCTCATTTCTTCCCGTATGTGAGATGTACGTATGTGGGTCCCGACGTGAGAGACTACCGAGGCAAAATCGAATCGGAATGAGAGACGTTTCGCCGTGACGGCAAGAAAATCATCACGAAAGAACTCCAAGGGCGATTGGAACTCCCCATGAGCTCCCGTGACCCGTTCAGAGTTTCGAGACTCATTTCATGATTTTTCGAGTTTGAACAAGCCCAGGCACGCGCGATCATCGCCCTCTAAGTACCGGCCGCCACTACGAAAAGACTCCCTGCCTCTGATCCGAAGCATCCGGAGCCGCATGCCGAAGAATAGATGGGGCGAGTTTCAAGAGGATGGGGCGGCGGATCCCGAACACATTGCAGAGTGTGATCAGCCCGAGCGGAGGCATGTCTAGACGGGATGGACGGCCTGCTTTCCGTGGCTCCGAGGAGTTTTCTTCGCGGTTCGGATCATTGGTCGGGGGAACGGTCCGTTATCGGAGAGTGAATACCTTCCATGATTCCCGATGTTTCTGTGTCCCAATGCGCAACAATATCGCGTTTCGCTGTTCCATGACTCGGCGACGAACAATGTTCGTCGACATCAGCTCGAGTTCTGATTACACCTTGTCAGATTAGAGGCTGTTTCCTGGAGTCCGCATCATCGGAATCGCGCGGATGCGAACAGGCTAGCAGAGAGACGGGAGCCGTATGATCGGCGAAGCACTTCTGATGTAAACCATAACGGAGAAACGCTTAAGCCTGAGCGAGGCGATTGTCTCAATGCAAATTCACGCAGCTCTTTCGGATCCGGATGGCGAAAAAAAATGCGATTCCAAGTTGAGTCCCCCGCCTCGACTCGTGACAGCGTAGAGGGATCGTGCACAAGATGCGGACGAGCTTTTGTATCCACGAAAATAAATCTCGATTGATTAGCCTTGCATGGAGCCTTCTGGGATTTGAGGAGGGAAATGAACAGCCAGTGCAGCGTGTAATTGAGCACCACCCTCGTAAACACGACGAAATGCCCCCCGCTCATCTGCCCTCCATAATCGAGAGAACGAACGGCTCCGTGGCTCTCGAGGGAACTGGTCCTCAGATAGAATTCGTTGACAATCCGTCATGGCACGTCTATTTCCGGAACTCGCCGAATCTTCTATGCTTTCTGCAAACTCCCGCAACGGGTATTTTCCTCAGTCATCCGAGCCCATTCTCTCACCGTCAAGACGGATCGACCCACTTAGGCTCACTCTGACCTTGAGTGTGATTTTTTCCTCAGAGATGAAGTCTATCCATTCGAATTGGGGAAAATATTTTCGAACGGCTCCGAGAATTCGATCATTATATAACATTCGAAGGATTGATCCGTCAGGATAAAGCACTTGATCAATAAGAGAATCAGGGAGTCAGTCGACCTCCCGCTGTTACCTCGGCCCTATAGAATAGTCTTCCGGGCGTATTTCGTCAACGATGATTGCTCGTTTTATTTTGATTGAAAAATGAATACAATTCCCGTTTTGTCTGCACAATGAGTCAATACAATAGTTCCGCGCGACTTCCTTTCATGAATCCTTAAGAAATCATAAATCCACAAGAAAATACTCGAATCGCGGGGCGTCATATAAATAAGAATTAAACTTAATTTACAAGTCCCAGCAGAGAGGCGCATTCATGAAGCCCTGTCTGAGTCGGGTGAGCTTGATGCACGTCCAGATCTTCTTTTCAAATTATCCTTTCCCGACCGTAGAAAACATGGTCGTCGTCGTCTTCTCCGACGTCATCTCCGCCGGCGTTCTCATCGTCCTTTGCATCCATCGGCGGAGATCCGGCTGCTTCTACTTCATCTCCAGCTGTAGTCGGTGTGGCGACGCTTATCGGGCAATTATGAGCACGCCAGTCGTATTTGTCTTCACCACTGGAAGTACTCGCTGGTCCGTCCCGCGGATAGCTGGGTCTAGGTCCCACGGGATCTAGGGGCAACGATTCTGCGGAACTCGAGATGCTCTGGAGAGCGTCGCGTGAAGCACCCATCCCCACGTAATGCGCGGTACTCGGCCATACGTATCCCGAAGTACTCGGCCATACGTATCCTGGAGTACTCGGTCCGTCGTGTCCTGGAGTGCCCGGTCCTGTGTATCCCGAGGTACTGGGTCCTGTGTATCCCGAGGTACTCGGTCCCGCGTACCCTGAAGTACTCGGTCCCGCGTACCCTGAAGTACTCGGTCCCGCGTACCCGGAAGTGCTCGGTCCCGCGAATACCGGGGAGATTGCTACCTCGAGGTCGGAGGAACTCGATACCGACACAGAGACCGGCCGGGGCTGTGGTCGATCTGATAGAATCTCTAACCGATAGGGGCCATGGGCCAAGTACGACCTTCCGGTTTCAGCAACTTCGATGCAGAGTCTGTCCAAAGCTTCAGGCTCGATCGGTAGATATCCTTCAGCGGCATCGATTATCTCCGACAGGGTCAACTTCAAGAAACACAGTGCCGGAGGAGACAGAGCTCTCACATCCACCGGGGAGGTTTCTTCCGTACCGCTATCGGAGCTGGAGATCGCAGTGCTGTCCAGCGGACTGATCGGTGACGTGTCTCTCGGCGACATGTATCTTCTGTGCCCGGAAGCGAAAGAGCAGCAATCGCAGATTTCGTCCACGTTTGCCCACATGCCGGCGATCAACAACCAGAAGCAGACACCAGCGCGAGTTCTCGCCCTTCGGGCGAAGTATGAAAACCACCTCCTCATTAGGTCGAACATGGCGGGCTCCTGTAATGACACGAAGCCTAGAGCACGCGCGAGTCGACATGTGGTCGTGCTCGTCGTGGTCGGCGACATAAACGCTGAGTCAGTCGTTTCCGAGAGCTGTGTGGTCGAATCGGTCGTAGACGAGTCCGTCATACACCGCGCTCTCCTTATGGCATCTTCCAACGACATCATTTCGCGTCGCAGCCCCAGATTGTCCGCCCAGCCCCGGGCGGGCGGCAGCTCTTCGAGCAACGCAGAGAGCCCTCTCCGAGGTCCTCTCGCTCTGGATTCCGAGTCCTGAGGACTCCCCCCCAGCGAGGCCGACCGCGTGAACCTGTAGAACCAAGCCCGCTTCACAGGAGCGCCTCCCTTCTTTGGATCGGGCCAGGAGATCTGCTTTCCGGCCGATGAACGGGACGCCTTCTTTTCCGGGTCTTTCGGGCTGGCATGCGATTTTCGATTTTTGCCCTGCTTTGACTTCCCGGGCGATGATCCGTCCCCCTTATCACTCGCCTCGTTTTCGGACCCGAGATCAGCGGGCTGATCCTGCTTGCTTGATTTTTTGGAGAAAGGTGAGCGTCGTTTGCCTTTCTTGGGTTTGCTGGGTTTCTCTGGAGACGTTCGCGTGACGCGTGACGTTCCTCCTGAAATGGTGGAGAGGGAAAGATTGCCTGTCTCGACGACGAGTTGGTCAGTCCGGAGACAACTGGGGCCAGCTCCAGGCTCCTCCGTGCGCATTTCCACTTCTTCGTCGTCTGTATGCTCCGCGTCGGCTTCTTCCCCAGAGCGCTTGTCTTTAGCTTTCGTAGACGGATTCAACATACAGGGGGTGACCCTCTTGGCGAGAGCTGTCCACTCGCAGCACGACACTTTCGGTCCGCTTCGATCTGGCTCTGAAAAGATTCGTTTATCGGATCAATTTTGACTCTTAGCTCTGAATACTGTAGGTGAGGTTAGGATCCGGATAGGAACGCCTGCGTTGCGATGAAGTCGTGACGGTATTTAGGAACTCACGAGTCGCTTCCGCTGAGGTGGAGGCGTGAGGAGGCTGATCTTTCGGTGGTGTCGAAAATCGCTCTTGAGCCCTCCTCATGGATTCTCTCAGAGGTGTGAGAGCTCTCCTGATGAAGCGAGGACTGCATGTTGGACTCTCGGGCCGCGATTCCTCGATTACTTGAATTTCCGGCGAGGGTGCTGCTTCCAGTGCTGGCGGTTCGGGGGTTTTCTCTCTATCCTCACCCTCCTCGCACCCAGGGCTAGCTGTTCGGGCTGTTGGACTTCCTTCGCGGGGTGAACGCTTGCCCTCTTCGGATTCTTTCTCGTCTCCTTGATTTTCCCGGGGCATTTTTCTCTCGATTCGAGAGCACGAGCGGGAAGATTCTTGCGCCGATCTCCTCTTCTGGGCGCGCAGCACTGGGTACGCGTCAGCGATGTTGATCAACAGCGAAGTTGGTGTTTAGAAACGTTCACATTACCACGTTGCATCCTTTGAGTTCTGATCTCCATCGAAGGCGCTTTTCATCCTCCTTCGTGCAGACCGCCGATGGTGCTGGAACGAGACGACCCATTCCAAATTCCCAATGAGAATAATTCTTCTGAGACCTGAGCAGAATTCCGCCATCGTTGCTCATTACAAGGTCCTCGCGACCGGAGCTAGGTAGCCGTAGGTGTCCTCGGGTAGTCGACTCGGTATCATTCCATTACTGCCCATTTGGTTTTCACATGCTTTTCCGCGGCGAGCCGACAATGCGCCCTAACGTCCAGCGGTTCATATAATTGAAAATCGCACCGCGCCTCCGAGTCGATGAACTGTACAACTTCGATCGGTTCCTCGTTTGTCACGTACGGCCAATACAGAGCTCTGCCATGACGTCTGCAGATACCATTAGAGCAGAAATACACTCTCGTATGCGTTTCGAAGCGGCGAAACTTCACGCCGAGACTCACTCCTCCGAACTCATTCCCGAAAGGCACGACGGTCGAATTCAATTCATCCATGCTCATGCGTATCCGGGTATAATTTCTCCTTTCTAGGTTTTCGATCGTTTCTCGCCGGTAGTCAACTTGGTGGACATTAGAGTATATGAGTTTTAGAATCGTGAAACCTACCGCGTACTTGCCCGCGGAATCCCTCAAGAACATTATGTTGACGCCGTATTTTCTGGTCGAGGACTTATGGCTCGTCAAAAGGAAAGTCGTTTGCAACGAGGTCTTTATGAGCTCCGGATGGATTATGATGTTTGGGACATCTATGTCGACGTAAGAGATCAGATCTCCCTCCGGATACAGGAAACGGGTTCGCGTCTCGATCAGGGTTATATTGCAGTCTGGGTACGGGCACTCCTCGCAGTGAGTTACGTTCATCTCTGCGTCGCAGTAGTCTTCGATGCACTGATCTTGAATGACTGATGGGAGGCGAGCTTCGCCGTCAGGCAGTCGCAAGGCTAGAGGCAAAGCTACGAAGCAAGCCAAGTAGACAGCGTATGCATTACAGAAGTACGTCAATATTGAACTTTGGGGCGCATTTCTAGGATGCCCCGAAGATTCTTGCGGTGAGCTCCTTGATCTGATCTCCGGGTGGCCGTCTCGCCCGGGATCGACTTCCTCGACTCGAGCTCTGACTAAACCAACCTCGACGCTCGATGTTGGCTCGGTCATCGCATCCAAACAAGCATCCCTAACTCCTGGTGGATAGATTCGACGAATTCAATCGCTTGGGACTTGAGACCCCTGACTTCGTTTTTCTCGGCTCGAAGGGGACGGATGGGATATACATTTTCCTACACGGAGGATATTTCTGAATTACCCCTACCGCACCCTCTCCGATGGGAGGAGGGGGAGAGGGGGGGGCGGCACGTTCTAGTCGTCGAGAGTCATCATCTCTCTGGACACTCATGACCTCGATAGGAGCTATGGGTTCTTCAACGAGCATACTCCCTCATCGACATGCGAAGAGAAAATCGAAGGCAGATATCCCGGTTCCCGAATGGGCGAATCTGGAATATCTTCCGATTTTCCCGGCCCGTCCCGATGAGCAGTATAATGCATATCCGTAGTGGTATCGGAACCCAGGCATGAATCTCAGCTCTTCTGTTCCTGTCCGAGCGTCCCTGTGCTTTTGAGAAACCTCCTACGATGGACCGTTTGCTTCGATGGACACGATCACCCAAACGGTAGGTCGAGACCCAGCGTCGGAACGACTCCATCGAGCTGATTTTGGCGATTTGCAGAAAAATCAAGGCTCGTCCGATGGGGTGTTTTCACCTTCGTCCGTGTTTCGGGGCATAGGGACAAGTGAAATTGATGATGCGACGTCGGATTCCGATCGTATGAGCCCATATTACATCACGGAGCTTTACATCAGATCCTGGACGTCAAGAGATCTAACGGAGTGTTCCCAATAATTACCGATGGAATTCGGAGTTGAATGAGAACAGTCATCAATGAAATGTCGTTCAAGTCTATGGTAAAGGTAGAGTTGTCTTTATCGTATCAATGTGTCGGGTTCCTCTTGTACTACCCGGAAACTCATTGAGATTCCTGCTGCTTGGCCGGAAGCTATGCTCGAGAATTCTCGAATGAAAAACATTCCATTGAAGGTACGATGAAGGTACGAAAACACACAGTTTCCAACAGTAGACAAACTTCTTCTCAGAAGCAGCCATTGGCAATCTACGCTCAAGAGACGCATTCCAAATCAGAAGAAGAGCTCTGGCTGGATCTTACGATTCGGAACAAGGACCACATTCCTTTTTAATATCATATTCGAGATGCTCTATCAATGAACTCCAGCTTAGTTGTTAACGTTCCATACGATTCCCCATTTACTGGAATGAGAATGATGGTATGGCAAAATGCATGAAAATAATGAAATATGATGAGATGAATGGAAAATCGTTAGAATATGGAGCCAGCTTCCGAAATTTCCGAGCTCGGGAAATTTCCCCGAGATTGACTCCGACGACAATACCGGCGGGACTTCCCCCATCCTGCGACGAAAAATGAGGCACAGTGCGTCACAATTCCCTTGTGTTTACCTCCGGAGTAAGCTTTCCTCGCCTAATGGCAGTGTAGGTGGCAAGAAATTCGCTCCAGAATTCGGATCCAGAAGGGAGATCGGAGCGTTTCTCGGAACGTACTCGGGACCGTACCAGCGAAATTCTTCTGGCGACCCCCCGAGGCAGAGAGCCCTCCTTGATGGTATGAGCTGCCTGCTCCGTTGCTACAGCATGATATCCGACGGATTCATTGAGGACCGGAACATCGGGAAGTTAGAGCTCATGGCAGATCTGAGCTCAATGCGCATTGAAGGAGGGAGGGTAACGCTCTCCGAGGGCTCCGTGCCCGTCTTATAAAGAGGGCCCGTCAATGAGCAAACTCAGGAGACGTATCTCATCACTTGGACCAAATCTGCGAGACATCATTTTCTCGTTTCAACATCTGAATGTAAGTTCAATCATTCATCGTCACTAAGTATTCGGTCGCTTCCGCGATGAGACTCCGGGGGAGATTCTCCGTGTTGTCCCGGAGAACCTACTCCTCTCATCGCCTCCTGGTCATTGATGAGGATCTCAGGCGGTCGTCGAGGAGTTCGAAACCGGTGTGCATTCGCCCGATCCACCATGGTTTCCACTGTGAGTTCCAAATACTCGGGAGAGAGCGAGCTCTCAATTCGCTCGCGTATTCTGCGAGACTTTTTGGAGATCATCTGGATCTTCCCGGTGCAAGGGACTTCTTATTTTTCTCCGAACCTTCGTCCTTGACCGTGAAGAGAGGGCGCCGGGCGTGATGACTCTCATCAATCTTGTCATGAGACCGGGGTGTTGACACCATGAGCGGTGTTCGTGTGTTTGCTCGCTGCTTTTTTTCCGCGCGGGCAAGAGCGCTGCAAAGGGATAGAGCCACATGTCGACCACCGCGTTGAGATAAAGGCGAGGAATCAAAAAGAGTTTCCGCGGCACTCGTTGATGCATTCATTTGAAGGAAAAAAAGGTTCACCAACCTAGATTGTGGTAATGGAAGCTCCAGAATGAAATCCGAGTTGAGTTCTCGCTGGGCTACTCTGATTAGAGCTGACCAAAAAAAAACGAACGGAAATCCTCGCTTTTCTTCTCTTTTCTTTCGATGCTTCGCCGAACCATCGCTGCAAAACGACCAGTCCGGTAGAAGGAACGCTCGAAATGGAGACGGAAAACTAGAGCCAGTGACCGTTTATCTTATCTGTTTTTCGCACAACTAATGACCACCGAGAAATTTTATTCAATCTATCCGCCAACACGGAACTCTCGATGTCACTCTACGTTTTTCGCTTCCAAGAAGGCGGGTCGCGAGGATGAAACGTCACATGCTTCCAGAGGAGAAGAAAATCGTATCATTCGACCCGGCACGCTCAAAGCCGGTGAGATAAAGACGAAGATGACAAACGATTCGCAATGCGTCACCCACGACAGCGCATCGACTTTTCCGTCGACTACTCGTGCTTGTTTCGGATTTCGTGAATGCTTCGGAATCCGTTTTCTTTTCGCTTGTCGGCATGGGCCGTCGCGTCTCGCGTCGCCTCCCAATCGATGGCCGCAGCCACTCGGCACGAGTATAGCTCTCGATATCTCGGATTCCGTCTCTGCCGAGAACTTCAGTGTCGATGGAGACTGATCTGATTTCGGACGAATGAAAACAGAATAATAATACAGGGGAAGCGCACATCGATCGGAGCAGGAGAAAAATCGCAGCAGCAGGGGGGAAACTGATTAGCAGCTTTTGGGAGAAGACGCAGCAGACACGTTTGCGGAGACTTCTGCAGGGGTAAAATCGGAGGTTTCATTCACCGAATTCAGTGTGCCCGATTCTTAATCAGTCTGATGAGATCATCGTCCTTGGAAGAATATCCAGTGGTATACCAGATCCGGGATATCACAGACCAGTGATGTCCTTTGACGGTGAATATCTCCAATGGTGACAAGGATTCGTCTGGTTTCAATGCTCCCTCTAAAGTTATTTGGCTTTGAAACCGAGCTTTCTCGAAGAAACAGAGTCCAACATTCCTTTCTCACTCCCCTGCCTTGATGATTGCTATAAGCGGAACGCGGTGGTTCTGCCTTCTCTGATTACACATTATACCTGTCTTGAGGTACCTACCGAGCTATTCGGTTTCGAGCGATATTGTTCGATCAGCAATGGGCTCATGGTTATCCAGACTCGTCTGGCGAGTCACCGATGCTGAGCGAGCTAGAGCAGGACAGAAAATCGACACTCGAATTAGTGGTCGGCACCTAAGAGCGTTTAACGCGGGAGCTTGTCATTCCACCCACGCTTCTCGCTTCATATTACGCTGTCGCAAGTTTTTTCTCTATCGAAACGCCGCTCATAAACCGGTCGATGCAGACATTGGACTCCGAAAAAATTGCGAGCGAGATCTCTGGGTGAATCTCGCTTGAGGCTTCTTATTGATACGGTCATCACGCTGCAGCCGATCCCCCTCCATTCTGAGCGGCCGAGAACGTTTTGCGCGAGATGCCTTACGATACCATGCAAAAATGCTCTCAGCGGAGAAGTTGGAAGAGTTTTGATCGCCTCCAGTTCGTGGAGGAATCAGCCGCCTGTCGCGTCGGGATTGGAGCGACATTGAGACAACGCCAATGTGCAAAAGCGGATGTGCTCGACGAAAAGCGCTCCTCCCAATCTATCGGTTCCCCGTCTTGTCTCTCGTCTTGCACCGAGATCTCTCAATGACCGGCTTGGATCAGAGGTGCGTTTCAGAGAGAAACCATTTCCACCAGCTTGTTTCCGACAATTGTTCGACCTTAGCTCATCCGTCGCAGATTGAGAGGTTTCGAACGGAAAGCGTGCGTAGCTCCGTACGCTTGAAAGAGAAGCTCGAGTGCCCACTTGGAAGGTTTGAACTAAATAACACTATTGTCGATCGTGTCGCCGCTGATTTACAGAATAGACAAGAGCTCCAGGAGCACAGCGTGCTTCCATCGGTCTCGCGCGGCTCAGCGATTTCGGATACGGTTGCTGGCACACGGCCCTCAGCTCCTCATTAGTGAGAGCTCCGAGTGGGATCCGCCATGATCAACGATCAAACGTTTTTCGAATTCATATCCCGAACCACTATTTTGATAACGGTATCCTAAACGCCGATGAGATTCGAACGGCGAAAAGATCAGCGAATGTAACACTCTGAGCAAGTTCAGCTCGCGATTGTGATCAGCCGAGTTCAGCCGGATTCGGGCTCGAAAGCGTTTTTCCCGAAAAGTGTGTCGCCGGCTCGACATCGACTTCTTCGAGGTCGACGATTTCTTCGGGATTCCTCGAGAGGGGGTCGATGAGCCCCAAAGAATTCTGTGGACGGGGTCGGCGAGTAGAAAAAGTTCGAGATCCGGTGATCAATGTGCGTATGAAGATCGTGGCTGCCCTCAGTCATATATTTCGGGAGCTGCTTACAGAATGAGCGGTATGGATGCCTGTGGCGACTGTTCGTGGATGCGGATCATCTCCGAACAGCAATCAACCGGCGAACCGCCAAATATCAACCTACTCTGGTTAGGCGAGCAAACATTGGCCCAGGTTAAAGACTCGTCCGCTCCCGTCGCCGACTAGTGTTCTCAGATATTCCGTGAGATAGTATTGTGCCCCGGGGTGTGTGAACGACACACTGACTGACTGAGTTCGAAGTTCGACTGAATGTGTGTAGTCGGTGCCGCTTGATACGTTGCCGAGAATGTAAGTTTGAAGAATGTCGGACAGCCGGTAAGAGAAAACTAGGTATCTCAGAAGTGCCGCCGAAAGCCGAGCTTGATGCGAAGAATGTCACAAAACTAGCAGAGCAGCGGCCTCACGGCCGTATCCCACGATCAGTTTCCGAGTAAGATTTTCCCTTCCCCTACACACATGCATGCGAATCGTGGCCGTGGTTGACCGTTGGAATTTACTGTAGGCGCTAAAGCGAACTGGTTGTCAAATGCATCATCGAGAGGCGCGCTCGACTTCAAACAGAGATTCATTCAAGCAAGTCCATTTTCTCCGAAGCTGATCCGGCAGGCAATTAGAATCGGGGCATACCGATTGGATGTTTGTGTGTGAGTTCCTACGTGGCCCCATATTCGCAGAAGGGACACGCAGAAGTTTGTAGGTACATCCGACCGAGTTGAGTCGTCGATGTCTGTATGTCCGTCGGTCCGTCCGTCTGTCCGTCAGTCCACTCATCCGAGAGACTGTCAGTGGGCTGATCCATCCGATGGTCCGAACGAACGACCGACCGACCGACGGACGGACAGATGCGTCGCCGACTTACTAGCGTGCTCTCGTTAGAGATTCTCAGTCAGTCAGTCCGTCCGTCCGTCCGTCAGTCATGGGGAAAAGAGGGTAGAGTGAGATCAAACCTGCGTTCTGCAGTGTCCTCTCGATAACAATATCCGAAACACAGAGAGTCAGATTAGATTGCGAGGAAGGTCTGCAATCTGCAGCGGGTGCTATTTGAGCCGCGCTCGCGATTGAAGAACATCGCGATGACAATCGAAAACTCTCTCGACAAGCAGACCTAATTACAGAGAAGATCAAGACGTTACTGATTGCGGAGATTCCTTCACAGTACGAAACCTGGAAACTATTTCCCTTGAGAATTGTGTCGCGTTATATTACGCGCGGAAGACATGGCGTGGCACCCTTCCCGTGAACATGAGCTGACCTCTACGCGCTCATGACTTTCACATGGGTCGCATAGGAAAGTGACACACGGAGGCTGCCCGATAGGTCTGGCGCTCTGTCTTCTCAATGGAATTTTTTCGCCTCATTCAAAGGTCTTCTCCGACCGATTCACTCACTCGCCCACTGACAGACTGACTAGCTGAGTGAGTGAACGAGTGAGTGTGCGTGAGGGAGCTACTGACTGACTGACGTCGAGCAAGGAACTCGGTCCTAATCAGTTTTCCTATCAGACTGAAATCTCGGCCCGAACCCGCCGGTCGGGAAAGCCGCCGCGGATATGACATGGAATTTTTTCGGAGCTGGAATTTCTCTTCCGTTTCAAAAATTCTGTTCGCTCTACAGGATTCGAGAGGGAGAGAGAGCCATTGATTGAGGCTCAGACGAGGCGAATTCCGTAGAAACTGAGCGCATTTCTCTTGAGGTGACCCCCGGAATGTCAACGCGGGCCTGAACATGGCTTCTCTGAACGTATGTCGGTTATCTACGGCGCGGAATCTCTTTGACGATTGCCACCCGAACCTCACACGATTCGCCTTGTTGCGGCCGTCGCCGCTACTGGTCGATGACGGCAAGCATGCGGTCTCAAGTGGTAATCTGCGCCGTTCACCGGAGGAATTCAGGTGGTTAACGAGCCGGAGCCGCATGTGTGTAACGTTCAGCCTATCCATTCTCTCGATGGTGGCGCGTTCGCTCTCTCGTGCTCTTTGGAGCAATTCTCCGGTCCCTTCCTTCCTCTAGGAAAGCTCGAGAACGTTTGTGCGTGCCTTTCGTCACGGGAGTGACGATGGGTTTCCCTGGCCGACCGCTGATGCGATGGACGCGACGGCGGCAGTAGCGGCGGCGGCGACGACGACGACATGGATGATTCATTCGCGGAAGGAGCGGTACGTCGCGTCGGCCGACGGTCCGCGCGCTCGCCGCCGCTCGGTCAGATCACACGTTCGGATCGTACGTGAACTGAGCAGAAGACACATGCTGGATTCTGGGCCCCTATCGGCCCCGCCAGGAGTCAATTATCCGGAATTGCTGCCCCAGTCCGCCTGACAGTTCACTGACAGCTAATTCTCTGAGGTGCACACGGAACTTATGTTAGATAGACGAGATGGGGAGATCAAATATCATGAGCGGAGCCCAGGACCGGAGCTTCGAGCAACGGTCAAAGGGAGATGATGAGGGGGCTGCATTTTCGCTGTTCGTTATCCCAGAAGTAGTAGTCGGCGGTGGCGGCGCTATGGTCGGCTGGAGTGCTATATGTTATTTATAGTTGGCGTCGAACTTTCTCGAAGAGCCCATGAACGATAAGAGCGAGCTCCTGCGCTCTCCAACGTGAAAGCGGGAGCTTCCTCCCCTCCGGATCTGTCGTCGCGAGACGCTTCCTGATCCTCATGAAATTCGTCGTATCTTGGTGAATCTTCACATCTTGTCGATGGCAGCCCCAGAAACTCTCTCCTCAGTTCTGATCGCAGCTCCCAAGGGCGTCGGACGACGTGCGTTAGGTCATGTAGATATTTTCAACATCGACCGTACGTTGGATGGGCAATGAGAATATTCAGCGATCCGCGGAGCCTTAGAATCATGACCGTCGACGGGAAATACGGATTCCCTCGATCCCAAACGTTCGAAGGGAGTTCTCGGTTGATTTACTGGCCGTCATGATTGCATACGTTTTTCGCGATATATCCGTCGAGCCGTTTCCCGCCGTTCGCGGCGGAATCAGCAGAGCTTTATACTGGAGCCCTTGAGAAAAAAATCCAAGGTACTCCATTCGGGCTAATGGCATCGCATGGTTACGCTCAGCGTACGCCTGTATGTCGGTCACGCAGGCAGTCACGCCAAGCGGCTAGCCTCAAGAAAACAGCAGCAAAACCGAGTAGACTCTAGCTTTGAGGTTATCAATTAAACTATCTTGTTCGGAAATCGAGCGAGGTGTCGGGTACCCAGCGCACCACAACTATTTTATCATTTCTTCCTAGGCTGCCGATCGAGTGAACGGCCGGAGCTACGTGCAGAGCGCTCGTGTCGAATGCAGTACATGTTCGACTGCAGTGCTGTGGCGAGCGTGACCACCCGACCCGAATGATTTATTTGCTCTTCAAAGACTGACATGACATGTCGTTAAACACCTTGCCCGATGCACTTTATGTCTATAAAACTGTCGTGTGGATCAACTGTTTGAATAACTTCACGGACCACTGGATAAAGTCACGGCACCCGTGAACGAGAATTGATTGGGTATACTGCTTAAGTAGCGTGCCGGAGACGGAAGTATGAATGAGTCCCAGCCATCGTCGTCCTCGTCGTCGTAAGGGGGTAGGCCTTGAGCGGAATTATCGCATAATTGCACCGCATCATCGGGGCTTGCTGACACCGTCCTGCCACAGATTCTGGGAGCCGCGGTCAAAACGCCAGTTGCTAGTGAAAACAAGTTGTTCCCACTCCAACGGTCGAAACCATATTGCTCTGAACGGATCCTTTGGATCGGTTCCCCCTAGCCGACCGTTCGGAGCTCGCTTTCGCACACAGCAGCTGAATCGTGTTCGGAGAGCTCCTCGCTAATAATCGGTCACTCATCGACGCGAGCACCATCATGCGGAAACGGGAAACCATGATCCAACTCGTTTCTCAGAAGCGATTTCCCTCCCAATATCCAACTTGGTCAGCTTGGTCAGACATCCTCAATGAAGCGATGAATTTTCCGATTATTGTTGTCCACGATTCGCACTCGGTCGCTTCGGCGTTTTGCTCTAAAATGGCGATTATCGATCCAGTGATAATTTTCCATGATTTCACCCTGGAAAACATCTGATGATAATTTTCGTTGAGCAGCCCCGGATCACACATGAAATCTCTATCGACCAAGGTGAAAAGTCTGCTGGCGAGGCAGTCGCCTCTCAATCGAAACACTGCGCGGATAATCTCTCTGAGCCAAAGACTCTCTTGGTGCGTTTACGCGAATCTTGAAACGCCCGCTGGGATCCACCGATTCCCCTTCCTGCTCAAGTGGATAAGCGGAGGGAAGCCGATCGTTGAGGATGACGCCAGTATAAGTGAAGACATCTAGCTCTCGATGGATCTCTTCGTGAATGACTGTTCACCGAGCTTTGTCGAGGAGATGCGGAGTTACCCTACTACGCTTTCCCCAGACACGAGGTATGCGTCCTGGCAGCTTCGGTGCGACTCATCGCCCGAGAAGAAGAGCACTTGAATGTCTGATGCAAGAGATTAGCGGAATATGATTCGGTTCCGGAGCCGCGCCGGTCAACCCGAATTCAGAGCGCATTGCTCTCAATGCTCAGAATCTCAATACCCAGAATGAGCGGTAGCCTTTGAAGGCAACGACGACGACGACGACGACTTTTGTCTCATAGAGGCTAGCCGCGCTTAGGCGAGGAAAGTAAGCGCGTATTCTGCATTTTCGGCGAATCGGTTTCACTTTTCTCTCGTCTAGCCCGAAAAGACGGCCATGGTCGATCGATGTCAAATTTTTTCTCGCTTGTCCTTAGCTCGTACCGACTCGTCGACAGTCTGGTATATACGTTTGAACTTTCTCGCCCGAACAAGTCTGGACAGTGAAACGGCGATCGCAAGACATCTTCTCCTCCGCTCAAACCGCAATGATTCGGACGAGCCGTGGCGTCTCTGTATCAGCCTCATGGGGCCGGCAACGTGAGGCGGGTTTCCACAGGATGGGTCGGATTGGAGAAATCTAAGGGCGATGGGCGCGGGCTTCGGAGGTGACCATGTTCTATGATTCTACGGAGGGGCCGACCAGCGAGCACGTGCTTCTTTCGGTAGCCGAGCGACACCTGAGCGCTGTCACGTGAGCAAGTGGCTGACAAAAAAGGAGGAGTTTATAAAGCTCTCGTTCTATATGACGACACTCAGAGCAGCGAGCAAATAGAAAGCTAGGAAAATATTCATCACCTAGCGAGAAAAGAATCCCTGCGATGGTGGCAAAGCAGGGACACAGAGGTTTGGTTCTCAGAAACGATTCGTCCAATTTGAGTGTCCATGTGGGTCTGCATGACGCAATGTTTCGTCACCGTCTTCAGAATTCGATCGAATGCTGGTAGAAACGTTAATGCTGGGAGGCAATCTACAATGCGTTAGTGCGTTGGGGAGAAACTTCATGATTTTCTTCGCTTCCGAGTCGCCCCTCTCCGCTCTAAATAAATGCTTCTGGGAAATCTTGACAGAAATTCGAATTCTAGCTGCCCCTCTCCCGCTGTGGACCCGGCTCCGGCGAACGAGTGGACGCGAGTCAAGAGAATAACAATTTCCAAGAATTCCTCCGACGCCGGCCCGAGGGCTCCTTCGATCGCTCAAAAATTGATTTCGCGATTCTGGGGGTCTTTCGACGGGGAGATTCGAATGGGATTCTCGCCCGAGCTCTGAGGCTTTCCTCGAGGCATTCCCATGATCGCCGCAGCAACGGTATCGACAACGGTCCTTCAGGAGAGCAATCTTGTCTGTGAGCTAAGCGAATCATTGACGTCAGAGGGTTCTTCTCGATGATCTGTTCGACGGACCGGACGGCTTGTTCAGCAACGCACTGTCGGCGTCGTCGTTGCCTTCGGGCTCGCCGTAGAGGAGATGATGAAGAGACGACGACATGAAGGGGATGAGACGTCTCGTAGAGCGCCGCCGCTGCAGCCGATGCCGCTGCCGCGAGATGGGCGGCGATTGCCATCGGCGGCCCCGGTGGTGAGGAAGAATACCCTCTCTGCGCCGTTGTTCTCGGTACGGACGCGGTGATCAGGCGGCGGCGGCGGCGGCACCGGTAGCGGCTACGTGTGCGAGAGTTTTTTTGGTGGCGAGGATGTGGCCGTACCTTTTATATTCGAGCATGTGCTCTCTTGTTCATTGCTAAGCATCGCTTGCTCCCGTCCGGGTTACAGTGCGACTTGGACATGCTGCTGTGGTCACGTTCGAAATCACTAGACGACAGCACCGATAATTTTCCCTTCGACTCTCTACCTCGCTCCGCGCCCGCTTGCTCATCATTGGTCATCTCTAGAGCGCAAGAAGCTTCATCGTTGACAGCGTTGACGTCGAGCTCTACGTACATTTGTGAATTGACAACGACGACGGCGACAACGCGGACAGTGTCTTTACACAAGTGTCTGTGACGATAGCTTCGCTTAGTGAACTTTTCCAATTGTAGTTGTGATCCCCCTGACAATTAGTTCAAGTATTGTCACTCGTTCACAACAACATTGTTGCACAAAACCTCATCACCACTCATCCGGAGAGGATCAACCAGATTCAGCCTAGTGCGCGTTATAGTTCCCGTTTCTAAGAGCGGCGAGCAAGAAGTACCCCCAACTCGTAATTTAATTAAAAACTTCTGACTCCGCGAGCGTCTCGGATCTCGACCAAAGGCACAAAGGTCGACCCAGAGTAGCGCAATCGGCTTCACTCTATTATTCTTCGAAACACAGCTCAACGCAACAAAGTTATGAGCCTTCGGCTGAGCAAGGACTCTAGCCTGCTACGTTGGACTCTGGTGGTTGCCGCTGTACTGCTCAGCGTAGCGCCTCTGTCAACCACAGCATTCGTTCTTCCGCGCACCCGTCTCACGGCTCGAGACCTGCAAAGAATCGAATCCGACCGTCCCCAACATTTTCTCTTCACCCGTCAGAGCCGAGCCGGGCTGCAACGTAATGGACGTGAGTATCGAATCGCTTGTCTCAATTTTCTCCAGCTCAGTCAGTGCATGTTCGAGCCCGTTTGCGCACGTTACCCCTTCGTGGAGGCGCTCGCGATCCCGGCCGCTATCCACGACGGAATCCGCCATCCGGATCCGTAGCCCGGCGCTCATTGGCAGTATAGGGGGATGAGTTTTCGCGTGAAGATCGATGGTTGTGGGGGTTTGGGCCTTTTTTCGAGTCCTGGTCCGCTATCCTTTCCGGTCACATTTTATTTGCTCCTAGGAGCAGCTGTGCGAAATTTCTGCGGATTGAACCGCGTTCCTCACAACTGACGCACAGGTAGATAGCTAGTGTGATTTTCGCCGATAGAAGTTAGCGAATCCCCCGAAGAGCTAAAATACGGCGCCGGCTCCGTCAATATCACTACGACGACCGACCTCTGACGATCCGACCCCCCGAGCGCCGAGTCCCTCTGACCATTCCCGTTTCGATCTTGCAGGAAGCATCAATGGCTATTATCGCCTCCAAGTCAATGTGACCGGTCCTCGCGAATCTGTTTTCCAAGACGAACAAACGGTTCTGGAATGCGTTGCTTTCGGCCCGAAACCCGCCACCATCTACTGGCTGAAGAACGGCGAGAAACTTCCACAGGTAAGCGGGCGCGTGACGGACGGAATCCATTCCCTCGTAGTCATCTCGAGAACATTCGGTCTCGTCATCCCGGGGACATTCGAAATCAGATTCGAACTTTCTCCTCTATTTCAGGATGGCGCGTACGGATCGAATATCTTCACAAGGGAAAATCACGTGAAGAAAGGTTTCTCTCTCACCGAAGTCAAGTCGAAATTGTTCATCGACTGTGCATCACTCGCCGACGAAGCTGAATACACCTGCGTAGCGGCTACTCCTGAAGTAACGCGGTCCGCTAGCTACAAGCTCCAGTTGTCTCGGGCTCCGAACCTACTCGCGGCGCCTCGATGCCGAAATCCGTCGAAGAAATCCATGCATTTCAATTCGGGTAAGTGAATCCCAGCAGTTCGGGTCCGATCGGAGATTATCATCGCCAAGATCAATCGGCCCTCAATTTGAGGTGATCTGCCCAACGAGGGAAAAATATCTAATAATCCGCCTCTTCTTTGCAGTATCCCCAGCTCGCATCACAATGTGGACCCACAACAAGCTCGCCACCTCTGGCATGGACGTTATCCTGGTCTGTCGTGCCCAGGGCTCGAACGTTGCCCTCAATTGGTACAACGAAGACACGAAGCAATCTGTGACCGAGCAGAACAGCGACCGTTTCCGCATCCTCGATAACGGCGACCTCGAGATCAAAAACATCCGGTGGGAAGACATGGGCGGCTATGCGTGCTCGGCCGAGAACGAACTGGGCTCCGATCGTCAGACCGCCTTCTTGTACCCGCTGGCGCCCAACTCAGAGGACGACTACTGAAGAAACCGACGACGGTGCCAGCCTCAAAGACCAAAACATCTTTGACCTATCGCTATTCTGCGTTCCGGCTGCCGCCAAGAGCCGTGCGGCGCTTCGCGGACATACGCCTGAATTTCTCTCTGCCTTCTGGAGTCCCGATTCCGCTTCTCTTCCTACTTTCCTCTAGTCCTCCCCGAGACGGACGCTGCAAAGATAAAAACCAAAAAATATCAGGATCTTGAATTTTCGAGTCTTCATGAAGCTGGAAAGCTTGGCTTTGGCGCGGGAGAGGCCCTGGAAAATCGCTGATGATGCTGGCGATGATGACGACGAAGCCGGCCGTGGTTTTTACACGCTCCGAGAACAACAATCACCTAAGGAAGCTCATCATCGGACGGATGAACACCATCAGCAACAACATTCATAGGAACTTAGAAAACATCAACAAAAATGGACTCTTCTCCATATTTATTTCATCTAGCTTAGCACTATGAAATTCCCCTTCTGATTTTGTGTATATATTATCTGCTTTATTTATATTTAGAACAATATGAAATCGCTATGATATGAGTCAAACCAATTCCAAACCAATGCCAGCAAGGAGTTTCTATAGTATGACGTAACGAATCTAGAAAAATTACTGTAAAATGAAAGGCGATTATTATGGCTTTGATCCGAATATATTTCGCTCTGCAACAACCTCGATGCAAATTGTCCTCATTCTCTTAGAGAAGCTCGCTCTACTCAGTAATTCCAGCGAGCTCCCGTTTTGCCAACTACCTCTACAGCCCTCTAGCTCAGAATGGAGCAGCGGGATCTTCTCACGCAGCATCTCCTTCGGAAACCCCGTATAATGGGCGATTCGATTGGTGTAGCATTATTGATGTACCTAAGGGAACGTTCTGTGCGATGTTCTTCTAGTTCTGGCCCATGTGCTCCCGGAGGTTCTTTTCTGCTTCTTTGATCCATCGATTGGCGCCCGGCGGTGCCCGGTGGGAGAGGGCAATCGAGCGGCTCGAATTACACCCGTAGTTTAGAGTTGAGGTCGAGCGGCAGTTCCTGGGGAGATCTTTGGAATTATGTTTAAGGAATAGGGGTTAGTTTGAATGGCATTTCCACCGAATGGCGATGAACAGCCGACCCGCTCACGGTCCCGACTGCCTGCTCAATCCCCGGCTGCGCAGACTTCCGTTGAGGCCTTGCCAGGAAGGCGGCGAGCGACCCTGGACGATGCTGAAGAGACTGAATAACTCAAACTGAATTGCATCCGACTATCCTGAAATCCCAGAGAGCTCGCACTGCCAGACGTCTAAGAAGCGGATTCGGGATGGGCGTTATAGGTGAGGAGGTCGTGATTCTACGACAGGAAGTTTGAAGTACGACACCAATGTGGAGACAGCATGCACAGCGCCAAATTCGTACTATGCGCGAATCCATGAAGTCTGCGCAGGTCTACCTTATCGAGGATGTTCTCGAGTGGATCGAACCTTGGAAGAGCAACGATTTCGATTCCTTGGGGCAAGCTACCTGTAGCCGAAGCCTCGATGATTCATCTTGGCCACACAAAGCTTCCCCGCTCTACGTAACATCGAGTTCGACGTCAGGGCCTACAATCTTGGGAAGAAAGCTGACTGGAAGCACAAGTTAGCGGAGCGAAAATAATTGAAACTCATGATGCAAGTAATGTTCTGAGTGATCAGGTTTAGCTCTTGTTAGAAGTCTCTGGGAGCGCCCCCTCGAGCGAAGGATTGGAGTTCGGCCATGAATCATGATCATGACCGATGGGGGGAAGGCGCGGCACGATATTTTTCTATTAGGGGGATCCGGCTTTCTACAGGCAAAGTCCAACAGCCCCCTCAAGGCCTCAGCCTCATGTCCGGACGATTTGGGTAGGAACCATGCCCCCCTTCCACGTGCGCCATCTACAGGAGGGAGAAATCATCCAGCTCGAATCCCTTGGGGAGATTCGATCCTACGCGGGTCCCTGCGGTGATCTTCCTCGGGAGGTCTCCGCGCATTCTGCCGGTCAGCAATGAGTGTGGAAATTTCGCAGCGGATGGGACAGCCCTCGCCGCTCATTCTAGAATCTCAGGTCGAACGTTCGTTCCCATGGTCTCTGCGGAGCGATCTTCGAGCGAATACCTAATCACAGAGGTCTTCACCGCACGGCACTTGTCACACACGGTCGCATGGGTGTGTTTTTTGTTCCAAGAATACGACCGTTGCTCGAACTCTGCGCTCGGCTATTTCGAGATTTTCCCCGACAGATAGGACAGTCCCGCTACGGAACGATATCTAATGTTCGAAAAAGATTCGGTATTTTTTTCCGCATTCGTGTTATCCCTGGACGATCCACGGTCGGCTTTCGGTCTCGGGGTATTGAACGCGCGGCTCTCGTGGAAACTGCGCCGCGGTTTTCTTTCTCGCTGTTCGAAAACAGCTTGGGGCAGTGATCGCGACTTCTGGAACTGCGACTGGAGAAAGCTCTTGTTGGCGATGCCCGCGAGCTCCGAAGCAATCCCGGCTGACCTGTCCTTGACGTCGGCGTAGGGTCAGAGCGTGCTGTCGTTCGAACGGCTGGCAAATGAGCGCCGCGCGGTCTCCCTGCGCAGTCGAAGATCGGACGACATGACACCACTGCAAATCACCAGCCGCGTAGTAATAAAGAGATACGTCACTCAAGCGGTGCGCATGGATAGACAGCGGAATGTATCTGTGTGCGAGCTCCGTCCACGTTGCGACCGTCGTAGCGGTCTCTGACGTCGATCGCGAGCTGGCTTGCGAGGCGACTAGCTGCGCACTTGGTCGAACCTTTATCCGACGACACTTGATTTTCACCAATTGCCACGTCATCGGTCAAACATCACTCGACTGTTGCAAGTGGAATGCGCTGTGTTTACTAAAACCCATCGATATGCTCCGGAAGCGCGCCTAATCTACGGCCGCTTTATCTCTCCTGAGGGTGATGATGTAACAATGTGGATGGCGAAAGCGCTTTCTCCTGACGTGTCATGCGGATTTCTCCGGGAATCGCGCCCACTCATGAAGGAGATAACGCCGGACCTCTCACCGCGAGATTATTCCATTCATCGATGAATTCATTGTGAGAATCGTGTTTCCGACCGGCGTATTGATAGGCTACTGGAACGGTTGACAAAGCTCTACCGAGACGGGAGAAATTCATTTCTGCTCGCTCCGTCACAGCGAAACAGAGAAAACCTACTGAAATATGAATGGATAAATGAATATGAGAATCGAGTTTCGTCGGGAACGCGAGAAGAAAAATATATGTAAGAACACGCAGAGAGAGAGAGGTGAATCGAGCTGCCCCGCCGGAATTCCTGAGCAGACATCGCAAAGACAAATTCCTGGTGAAAAATCAGAAAAACAAGTCTTCAATCTTGACCTCATCAGCCGACATCTTCCCCGATGGACGTCAATATTGACAACCCGATCTACGTCGATCGACTGATCGGCCACGCAGCCTCCTCTGGATTTCAACCGTCGCGTCGTGACTGCGCTGCAGTGGGGAAGAGCATCCATGAGGATCGCTCCAACGCCGGAGAGAATGCAACGATGTGATGCCTTCAAAAATCTTTAGCCCCATCCGGCGCGTATCTGAGACAGCTCAATGGATCTCGGACAACCGAGATCTAGCGAGGGGAGCCGTTGCAAGAAGGGAACCCATGCGTAGGAGCTGTTGCAAGATGCTACGTGGATGGAGCAGGCACGTTCGGGACATTGGAGGAGAGTTTCGGATCAGTCCAGGTGGCAACGCATCGAGACAACGGCAGTCGGCCCGGGCGTTTCCCATCTGGGAACGCCCTCGGATGCCAACCAAAGGAAGAAGCTCTTACATATCATGTATTCCGCTTGGAAGGCCCGGTGGATAGATGGCATTGGAACGTAATTCTCTGGACGCTGCGCCACTTTTGAGTTTCGCCTCGGGCATGACCTAGCCCGGTTGTATTGAGTCTTGATTTCGCTAGTTGAGTTCACCATCAGGAATTGGGAACAAAGTATCCGCGATCAAATATGTATCAGTGGATATGTCCCCCCTCGCGGCCCTTCTGCTCGAGGAATGGAACGGTTGGGTATCGGACTGGGGATAGAACATGGAACTACATAATTTCTGAAGTGTGTCCAAAGTCGTTCGTATAGAGTTTATCCTGACATATTTTTCGTTCTCCGGCGGCGTGATCGGTATGAGTAGATCGATGTGCGTCGGTAGGCTCACTGATTCGTCGCTCCCGAGGTCGGATCGGAGAACGATCATCGAGACTCACCCGAGCCGCTTCTAGACCGCTCGATCAATGTCTTGATGAAAGTGGAGCCAAGGCACTCAAGAGAGGGATAAAAGCATATCGAACATAAAATAGATAAGCGAACGTGTTTCAACCCTTCCAGATTTTGAGGTGAAAGCTCTCACCAGGATATTGTGGGAACAAAAGGGAGCCGTTGAAATATCGGGCGAAACCTCGTTCAAGGAACGTTCCGGGAAATTATGCCGCGGAGACCGAACCATATTTCGCTTAACGAACGGATTCCGTCTTCTGCCGCCTCCGACTCCATTTCATAACGCCCCCAGTCATGCTGTAGGGCTCTCTACCCTCGGAAGGCAGCAGCGGAACCGTGCCATAGAGTCAGAGGAAGACAGTCGCGGATGAGGGATTTTTCTTTCAGACAATGGCTCTGTGGAACGAGCTGAGTTCCTTCACTAAGACTTGACTGCACTGCGAGCCGCGGACTTCCAAATGGTCGCACAGAGCCTTCGTTGACCGAGCCATGCACCAACTACAGTTATTTCATCCTTAACGAAGAGAGCTTCATCAAATTAATGAATATCTTGGGACTCGTTACATCCAAATCGGGATCCATCCACGCCGTCTGTCGCTGCTTCCGAGGGAAAACACTCGCAAGGAGCTACCCACCAAGGGACCAGTGTCCGAAAGCTGTCTCGGAGACGAATATCAACGCTCGTCGTCGGACAGGCCTCTTTCCTCAGGGAAGGCGGCATGTCGGAATCGTGCCCTGCGGCGCCGACGTGATTGGGCCGCACGTCCATGATGAGCGAGGGTCCCGAGTGTGCAGAACAGGCATCGAGTGATAATAATGCTCAAGATCTCATCGCATTAAGATCTCTCGATGCTCTTATAAAGGCTACCTCAGTCGTCGAGCTGAGTGGCGGAGGATCTCTCAGGCTCCGCTTGGGCCACGACGACCTCCCCGACGGAGGTTACGATCCCCTAGCCCCTAGCGCCTCTGTGTTGTCTCGACTTCTCCGCTGATAGGTTCGACGATTTCTCTTCTTCGTTCATATCTACGAGGGCCCCCCGTCTCAACACGGCTCTCCTCGTGACGATGCTGCAGAACCCCATGCCAGCCGCCGCCTCCGCGATTCAATGTCCAGTGACTCTCTTGAGCCTAAACTAGAAGCCCCGCCATTATCGTACTTAGCGTGCGATTGGCCGAGCGTTATCGGTCTGTCTCGGTCTTTTTTCCGCTGCGGACGTATGGAGTTCACGGCTACCGTCGGCGTGATGCTCTTCGATCGTTGTGAAGTGTGAAGTTCAGCAAGCCCAGACGAAGCTCCTCTGCTTGATTCCCCTTTGTCTCTCGGATTCTCTCAGATCGAAAACACGTAATGGGGATTGTCATCATACGGTATATTATATCAAACATTCATCGGTTCTACACACTCTCGCCGTTCTTCATTACGGTGCGCTACTCGGTTGACGAGTATGATCAAGATCGTGGAATTATATTATAGTTTTCTTATAAGGTACATATCGATATCTGCGCTCTGGTCATATCGGTCGACGGCTACTATGGGTTGCCAACTCGCAAGTCGCGGTGATGACGATGATGATACAAGTGGGGGTGAGGGCAGCAAACTCCTGTGAGCTCGCAGCAATGCCTGGAAGCGATTCCACAGTCAGATCCTTGTCTTGGAGTTCGGAGAAATTCGAACAGCTCGTGATGAGGACTTATTTTGTACCCCATGTAAGTCGGTCGCCACTAAACCGACATCGACCTAAAGTCCTAGGAGTAGGCAATAATATATGATAGTTGCTACGGCAGCTCACCTCTGAAGATCTAAGCCGAAGGTGTGACAAGCGTGCCTCTTGCACACAGGTCTTCGTCCGAAATTCCCGTTTATGTCACGCACCCACGAGCCAAGAGAGTCGGTTCTCTCGCTTATCTGGCTCGAGCCGAGCAGACTGAACCTCGGGATATTCTTTTGCCTCTCGAGGAAAAGGGATTCCGGTACAGCTGGGATCACGAAGTCGCCTATTGTAACCGTGGGCCCGTCGAGTGGCACTTGCTGGTTTTGGACGAGGAGATTCACGTCTACACTTCCTGTAATTAGTGATGTTCAGTGTTATTTGACGTTCTTGCTTTTTCTTGCAGCGGCGACCGAGGCAATCGGCGTTCATGCTCGTTGTTTTTGGGAAACGGGCCCCCCTCCTCTGATATACGCTCCTGAGGGCTCAGGGAGCTTCTCGAAGCCAGCCAGGGTTGATGAAATATCAATGATCCCGGGATAGGCATCTTGCTTTCGATGGTGAAGAAGAACATGCCGTCGTCCTATACTGTGGTCACCCTGGAGCTATCGGAGGCTGTTATTCTGGAGGGTGTCTAGTCTAGACCGATCCGCCGTGCCCTGGGAGGATTATTGAGCCTAGCTTGACCTTTGCGCAAATTATACCGGGAAAGGTCTCAGCCGACCAATGATTGCGTGAATCTCCGGGAGAGGCCTCGCTCCAAGAACGCAGGAGTGGTAAAGAGACCGGGCCAGGAGGAAGCATCCTTCTCTTGTTCTACTGGGACTTCTTCCTCGTGGGAACATTGATAACTCCATGCTAACGCTGAATGGCGAGAATCCTGTACTATGAATGGAAACTTAGAATTTTTCCGGATACTCACGGTGAGCGAAGACAGAAGCGACCAACAGGAGCACCACGAACGCTGGGGAAAGCATCTTTGAGCAAGACGGAAAACAGGTTTGGAAGATGAGTCCCACGACGTGAGTGAGGCTCAGATTGAGTCAGCAACCTTTTGTGCGGGTTTCGAGGCAAACTTCGAGGGCGAGAGGAGAGCACCCCTCATCATCTGCAGAGGTCAGTATTTTGAAAACGCCTTGAAGTGCGCCTTCTTCAGTTCGTTCCGCGATGACGAGAATCGTTCCAAGCACTACCACAACGGATAAGAATCTCAGAGTGAGTGTGCTCTCCTGGCGAAGCCGTCGCCTTCGATGGGACCCTTGCGGCAGCATCTGCGACTCAGAAGCGCTCACTCTTTTGCTCTGATTCTTCGAAGGGTGGGGGCCTAATGAATTTCGAATGGAGATTCTCGCGAACTTCAGCGGGGTTAGAACTCGGGCGAGGCACACCCGACTAGCAACATGTCCGACGTGAATAAAGGGGAAACTCAGACTCGAGCGGGCAAACTCAAGCTCTGAACACACCGGAGCCAGAGTGAGCGTCGCATCATATCAGTGGGTATATGTACGTAACTCCGCTACCGATTATTACCCACTAATCCTGCACATGACGAACCTCATTCCTACAATGAGGATAATTGGAAAACAATATCAAATATACACCGTCGAATATGGCGAAGGCCTGGAAGCGGATTCAGGCGATCAGATCGTCTCCTGAGAATTCAAAGAAGTCCCAATAGCTCGTAATTTGGGAATCAGAGATTTTGCCCCCGATGAGACTCATTCGCCACCAAATCGAGCGACATCGATGCAATACAATCGCCTGGAGGCGAGAATATGGTATGTTGTTGTTCATGTGGCTTTATTCGAGGTTTTCAGCAAAATGAGATTTCTCAGCTTCCCTGGACAGTCTATGGATAGACGGCGGGCTATTCGCCAAGCGAACGTGAAGCAATGGGATAGATCTGGAGTTCCCTTCTGGTGTAGCTGGAGCGAATTTTGACAAAGTTTCCGTATAACTCGCATTTGATCATATTGCGGAAAGTTCGTAAATCTACACATATCGTCGAACATGGCATCAATATCGACAGGTTGGCAACATAATCATGACCTCAGCTTGGGAATGACTGCCGTAGGAAGTATTTCTGGTTTCTAGTATGTACTTGCAGTACGGCAACTCACCTCTGAAGATCGAAGCCGAAGGTATGACAAGGGTGCCTCTTGCATACAGGTCTTCGTCCGAAATTGCCATTTATGTCACGCACCCGCGAGCCAAGAGAGTCGGTTCTCTCGCTTATCTGACTTAAGCCGAGCAGACTGAACCTCGGGATATTTTTTTGCCGCTCCAGAAAGAGGGATTCTGGTACTGCGGGGATCACGAACTCGCCTATAGTGACCGCAGGCCCGTCCATCGGCGCTTCCTGATTTTGCACGAGGAGATTCACGTTCACCCTTCCTGTAATTCATCATGTCGTCATAGGCCCCTCAGCGAGAAATATCGACCGACCCTCGGAATCTAATTCGGGACCTCCTCTCTCCCGGATACATGAAGTGCATGAAGCGTAAAACTCGTTGCTCGTAGGACAATCTCGAAGATTCTCAGTGCATGGTCGAATGTCTCTGCCTCTGAGGGATCTGGCTCTGGATCATGGGCACTCGCAATCTACACGTCGAGCAGGCTTGATCGACGCGGCAAATGTCGATGTTCATAGTACATAATTACGGTATCATCGCCCAACTATTGGCAATTGCAGTACCCCAGAGCAATCGGAAATAGCTAATCTAAGCCGATCCATCATATCTCAAAGAAATTCCCGAGCCTAGCTCTTCATTCGCTCAGAATTTATCTGGAGGAGGTTCAGGTGTCTCATGATCGAGCAAACCTCCCGTACAAACCTCGCTCCAAGAACACAGAAGTTGTGGGCAGACCCGGCCGCTATGAAGGAGAATCAGAGGAGACTCATTAGTCGTCTCCTAGCTCTACACGTTCCCGCCCCGCAGACGGTCTCTACACCCGATTCCCGATACCTGTCAAGAGTTCGCAGAGCTGTTGCGCATGATGGAGGTCTGAATCTCCATTCGCCGCTGTACATGACCGCTTGTCCGTCCCACGGGAACGGCGTTCTGCATACGGTGAAGACGAAAATTCATCGCCGAGTCGCTACGTGCTAACACTATTCGTAGAGAATCCTGCATGAGAGCCACCAATAAAAATCTCTCTAGAAACTCACTGTGAGCGATTACGGACGCGAGCAACCGAATCACTACAGATCTTGAGGAAAACATTCCCAAACACGAAGGAACAATCTGAAGTCATCAATCATTGGTGCGCGTCCCACGGGATGTGCACATTGTGTTCGACAGCGATTGATGTGAATCTTGAGTCATATGGTTCCCTACCCGAGGATTGGCTAATCCAGAACATTAGCTCCGAATGGGCGTTCTGAGACCTTAGGTCGACAGGCGCAGAGAGTCTACGCTGAGCCTCTGAGTCCTCGGTGAGCTCGAGTGCGTTGAAAGTCTTGTATGTCCGCCAGAATCGACTTTATAATATTCATCCTCAGGATAGGCTCCAATTAAATGAGTAAGTAATTAAGATCTTGCTAATCTAAGACTCCAGATACCCGAATTGCTCATGATGAGGAAATTATTTTGTTCTTGATGAGACTTGGCCGCGTCGATGTCGCTCGATTCATATAATAACTCGCCAATATTCCGGTTGCAACACGACAGCTCACCTTAGTAGATCGAAGCCGAACGTGTGACAGGCGTGCCTCCCGCACACAGGTCTGCGGCAGAATTTCCCGTTCAAATCCCGAACCCACGATTCCAGAGAGTCGGTTCTCTCGCTTATTTGACTCGAGCCGAGCAGACTGAATTTCGGGACATATTTCCTTCTTTCAAGGAAACAGCTCCCGGTACCGTGGGAACTTCCAAGGCTTCTATGGTCATCACTGGTCTTTCGATCGGGAGGGCCAAGTTCGTCACGTGCTGCTCTTGGACGTGGAGATTCACGTCTACTCTCCAGGTAATCCGTCATAACGTCGTAAGACCATCTAATTTGTTCCGCTGCTGCCACGGCAGCGAAATGAGAGGGAACCAGCGTCCGCTATTGGTCTCCCATGAATCGCGACTTATACCTCGACCCCATTTCCTAATAGAGAACTCCAAGTTCTCCTCAACAGATGTCGGCCGACCTCGGGAATCGAACCCGGGACCTCCCCGACAGGAGGGGCGTCTCGATGGCGCGCGGCTGAATGCGTCGCACGCGCTCACCGCATGGCCACCTCGAGGTTTATACGTCCATCTGTAGATCACGGAGACTCGTGGTTCTCCGACTCACCCAGGTCCGATCAACGTGACGAATCTCAAGGATTCAAGGGGCGGTATATCTCTAACAGTGATGGAAATGACCGCTCCCCGCAGAGACGAATTATTAGGGGCTTGCCCAGCATCTGCGCAAGAATATCGGGCGGTGCCGAATGATCGCGTAAATGTCCGGAAGAGGCCTTGCTCCAAGAACGCGGGAGTGGTTGGAGGAGTGGGCCAAAATGGAGCATTTGGCTGCATAAGTGCGGCAGCATCTTCGAGGAGCACACAGTCTTCCGCTCTTCGAAGAAGGCTTGATGTATTTTAAATAGAGACTCCTCCGAACTCTACCGGGGCTACGAGTCAAGCGGGGCACACCCGACTAATAACGTGCGGGCGAGTTCATGCCGTGGTCGCGGAGGAGCAGGAACATGCGCCTGATTGAGATGTGATTCAGTCATTCGCATCAATGATTCCTGAAGATGAGGAACCTTGTTCTTCGGGAAAAATCGTCGCAGCTCGAGATACCGAAGGTCACAAATAGCGAACGCCGCGAATGGAGAACATGACGGATGACGAGTGGCTCGATGGAAGAGCACGGCAGGCAAAGAAGATAGGACTCGACGTTTCCTAAAATTGGAGCGTTTCGAGCCGACCTGCTACCTGAAGAGGGAACCTGATGACCAGGAATCCGTCTTCAGGAATCTTATCGATTCCGACCAAGTCTCGCTCAACCTCTCTCCGATACGTTCCTCCACCGTATCATTGAAAAAAGTGATCCTTGCAAAGTATCGGATTTTGCTCTGTGCTTCTCGAGCTTCGAATGTAGACCACCCGAATTCGCGAAGTACGAGGTCTGACGCCACTTTGTATCCAGTGATTCCCATCGCCCATTTCCCCGAGGCGACCTGAGCTCTATCGAACAGGGCTGCGACTCGCTTCGATGCTCTCGATTCTAGCAGAGCGTTCGCATTTGTCAGCCTCGGTGTACCCGTGGCCATCGATTGGGTTCGTGTGATTTCGAATCTGTTGAACGTCCACAATACCTGAGCATGAAATCTTTGTAACACATTGTGCCTTCTTCTTCCATATTTGTTCCTGTACAAGGAGGTATTTCTGGACGTTGCATATAGTGATCCCTAAGTATTTATAGTCCTCCTGGAACTCTATATGTTTTCTTTGTATGATCATTTCTCTCGGTACTCCATGCCGACTGGTGCCACTCTTCGCGCGTTCATAATTTTTATCCGTCTCACTGCCTGCTTTTTCAGGACTTTTTATCGGTACTCTACAGGTCATGCTTCTCAGGTTGAGATCTCTCAGCTGAGTCACTTCCCGGTCTTCGTCTACTTTCATGTATTGACATGTTTTTAGCACCATGTCATTGCACAGGAGATAGTCTATGGTTGCATTTTTCCTCGTGAATCGACTGGCGCAAAAGTCGGTCGAGTTCAGGATTGTAGGTCTTTGGTTCTCACAGAGCTCCAACAATCGCCTCCTCCTGGCATTGTTGTAGTCTGCGAAGAGGCGGGTGTGTGCATTGAAGTCTCCGCCAATTATCAGTCCTTTCCCATTGCATTCTGCATCAATGAAATCAGATATTGACTTTAGCTGGTTCCTATTTGAGGCTATTGATGAGTGTGTGCAGTAGATTGGAATCACTACCCACTCTTCCGACCCCTTCTTGAATCCCGCCGCTATCCAGTCATCACCAGCTCCCTTCTGTTCCAGTTCGAGGTGATTGGCCGGCAGATTACCAACGCCATCGGATGCTGATCGCCCCGATGGCCCGCTCTTGTTATTTCCTAGCCACCGGGAACCCTGAATCCTCGGCAGTTTCTCTCTGTTCATAAGCCTAGATTCACTCACCATCAGGATGTCGGCGTGCTCGCTCCGCAGGACTTCTTGTTCAACCACTGCCCATTTACTCTTTTGGATCCGCTCACCATTTAGATTTAAGGTCGCGAGCCTCAGGTCGGGCACAGGAAGTGTTCTTCCGCCACTCCGTGCCCGCCGTCGACGTTGACGTCTAGTGTTAGGAGCACCGGGGTGCTCCTACCGTGCGGATTCGCCTCCGCCCGGTAGGTCCTCCGGTCTCTGTTGTTCTAGTTGCTCCTCCGGCTGCTGTTGTTGTTGCTGTCGTCGAGGCTGTTGTTGTTGTTGTCGCTGCTGCCGTTGTGGTTCTTCTTGCCACGCGGGCCTCTGCCTGGAGTCCCGTCGGGCTCTGAACCCCCTCGGGGCCTCTCTTGAGATCGGTAGGTCTGTCTCGCCTCTTGCCGTCTGTCCTCCGTCGGTTCATACGCCCGCCGAGGACGACTCGTCTGCGGTGATCTATCGCGGCTCCTCGAACGTTTCTGTCCGCCCCGGGCCCTAGATCTCGACCGCGATCTCGATCTGCTTCCTTTGTCGAATCGGACGGCTCTTTCGTCTCGTCCTCCCCTTGGCACCGACTCGTCTCCCCTGGATGTCCCAGGTCGATTTGAGTCTTCCGAGCTTTTACGCGCTTTGGATCTGTACCTTTCAGTGGTCAGCCCCACAGGCGGGAAGTATTAAGCCATATGCTCGAATATGGCTTCATCGGCTTAAGACTGCATTTGTGTCCCGAGCCGCTTCCGCATTTCTCCATACTTTCTTTCGAAATTGGTGGCTCCAGCTCCCGTCCTCTCCTCAATCTCTTGGGGAGAGGAACCGGTTACCTCCCTGAGATGTTGAGTTATTAGGACCTCTAGGTCCTTCACACCTTTGTCGGTCAGACCGTAAAGCTCTGCATTGTCTTTACTTGGCCTGCGTGAAAAATCCTCTGACGGCTTATTTCTTGCAACCAGGATTCGTATCGTTCCCTTGTGCACCGCCTCCGAGTCATACATGGCCTTATTCACGCTAGGGTTGATCCACACAGCGAATCCTGGATCATCGTAATCCACGACAGTGTCTCAATTCGACCCGTCATGGCTTTCAGAAGTCTGAGTGGTCGCAAGATTTCGTCATGCACCCCCAGCACTGTTTGATCTTTGGCCTGCTATCAGACCACACGATATGAGGACGTGGGAATCAGTCGTTTCATACTTTCCCACTATTCTCTTGATCTCCGCGCAAATTTCTTGCGTGGTTCGGGATCGGTGCTCCCTCCATATCGCGTATTTGTCCCCACCAAAGACACTCAGAATGTTGCCCTTGGTTTTCGGACGTTTGACGGCCGCTGAGGTCCGACCTCCTATAAATAATATTGCCGGCGATTTGATCTCTTGGATCATCCTGTTCGGCTTGGATCGCGCGGTCTCCCAGCTGTAGCCTCTGTTGTGCCCCATCTGGCGCGCGATTTAGAATATTATCGGAGCCAAGAAGCAGATCTTCCTGCACGATCTCTCCTCCTCCAGCTTCAAGGCGTTCATTTCATCTAAGAGTTTCGAAACCTCCGATGAATGCCTTTCTCTCTCGGAGTGAAGTCGGTGCTTCAGCGCTCAAATCACGCAGCAGTACCTCCTTTTGTACCTCCGCAGGAAACTCTGTGCTGATCGCATCTTTACACTGCGCGCAGCCCACGGCGATGGTTGTATTTGCTCCACATGGCTTTTGCATCCTTGTGGGTAGTCTGAAGCTCTCTGATTGCGTAGTTTTTTCACCTACTCAATCGGGGCTCTCGTGAGGGTTATGGATTCACCGATCACGCTCGTCATCGAAACCGGTGAGGTGGTGGTGTCACAGTTTTCTTGGTCACTCAGTTTATGCTCTAGCTTGCTAAGTTCACTCAACACACACACGCAATAGTTTTAAGTCACTGACCACCGCTTTTCCAGCTTTTTTTCACGGATGGAACTCACTTCCAGCCTCTGTTGTGGCTTAGCAGACGAGTTGGACCACATTCTTCACCACTCATCGTGATTTCTCCGAATTTTCGGTGCTTTCTGAGAGAGTCGAGGAAGCGAACCTGAGGAGTATGGTTTTCGTCGTTCGCTCGTGCTCTATCGGATTCCTCATCAACGTCATTATTCTCTTCGGAGCCCTCGTCGCCATCTCTGACCTCTTCCAGAACCGTCCAGGATCCTCGCGAGTCTCTCCGCTGTAGCCTCATACGCTCCCCTTCGTCCGCTCTCGGTACACGCTGCCAAGCTCTCGCCTGACCTCCTTTTCTCCCACAGCTCCCTCAGATTGGCCTCGAATTGCTCGTTCACATTGAAATCGAGCGACTGATAGAACCTCGTGAGATCAAGCGCAGAGCGCCGTTCTCGAGCGAGCGGGAAGCTCGTGCTGAAGGCGGCGCTCGGGGCGGGACCTTGCAGAATTCATCAAGAGCAAAGCCATGCTGGGTTCGGTCGCTGAAAATCTTCACTCGTTCACAATCTCATTGATGCAATCGTATGGGAAGACGTCATCTTCCCTTCCGGTTTAACTTCGACAGCAACTTAAGCCTCAGTTTCTCTCCCGACGCCGAGACAGTCTGGACCTCTGTCGACTTTCTCTGCTCGTCGCCAGTCGAATCGATGCGAGCGTTGTCTGCGCCCCCTGGGTGCACTGCCGTGAATCGAACGGAGACTTCCTTCATGATCCCGATCTTCCAAGATTGAATGTTTTGGCTCTCTGCAGCCACAACATCTCTCAAGTCTGTATTTTTTCGGTTTCATATGTCATGCCTCTACTTATACAACGTAGACCCTCCATAGAGAAATCGCTCTAGTTTTGAAAAGATGACCCATCGTCTTTCTCCAAAAATACGAATCGATGGATTTTATCGCCGACGCTCGGCCTCGGGAGATAATTTCTAAGTGCATCTCAACCACCCCTCAACGAGCTGTTCGGGGTTGCTACTCATGTAGGGCAGTTGTTCACGATTGCGTCGAGAAGAGATGGAATGTGAGAATTTGATCCCAGCTCGAGTTCGTAGATTCCACCTCGATTCCCGATGGCCTCGGGGTGAGGCATCCTGGAGTCGACACCGTATCAATGATCTCAGTCGGTTCGAAAAGCCTGTAGCATCGTTTTCTCCCTGATCGGGAAGGATTCACGAAGGGGCATCGCTCACAGCTGTTGCCGCCGGCTTGTCGGGCTTCCCTGGCAGCTGACTTTTTTCCTTCGCTGTCAGTCTCTCCTGCCAGCCGACTTTCTTCCTACCTCCTCTGTCAGTCTCTTCCCTTGCACTCTTCTCAAGAGCTCTGACATAGCCGGATAGCTCACGATGAAAGAAGGACCGATTCTACGCCCGACGAAAGTGGTTCGTCACCAAATCGAGCGACGTCGGGGTCGACCCGAACCCCCCAGCAACAATCCAGATGCGGTACGGCAGCTCACCTCTGAAGATAGATCGAGGCCGGAGGTGTGAAGAGCGTGCCTCCCCACACAGGTCTTCGCCGCCATCCGCATCTCTCAAGAGAGCCGGCCCTTGCGCCCATTTGAGCGAAGTGAATCCGCGAATATTTCCTGTCCTTCAAGGAAAACAGGTTCCGGTCCAGCGCGAATCATGGAGTCTCCCGCGCCGAGTTCGACGCTTGCTTATCCTGGGCCTGAAGATTCAGTAGGAGTCTCCTAAGAATTCACAAGATCTTCATATGAGCCTCTGGGGTATTGAAGACTCGAAGTTCTTCCAATCGAGCAGGGTGCATCCTCTTGACGATTTGCCTTGGAGAGATTCACGTTACGATTCCGAGAATGATCACGAGCCTTGCTTGTTATTCGCGCTAAAACATGGGAAACCACAGCTGCTGATCGTGGAACTTCTCTCGAGTTCGCGCCTCGTGGGCATATGGCCAACGGCTAGGGAAAATATTCGTCTGCGAGTCGCTCTTGAGACCCCATGCCCACAGCGCACATCTTGTTCTGAACCAACGCCCAAGTCTGAAGAAGGATGATGAGGATTAGGCCTCGTCTCTGAAACTACGCTAAAGGGATCATATGCGTCTTAGGAATATGGGTATGCGCTCCTCGTGGGAGCAGCTCTGACTTCACTACTGAATGGCAAGAATCCTGTATGAAGCTGGAACGTCAGATTCGTCCCGGATGCTTACTTAGGGCGACAACACACGCGAGCAACGGGAGCATCACGAATTCTGTGGGAAGTATCTCGCTTGGCACCAGATACGTGGAGGTGGGAACAAAGCTCAGATTGGTTTTTGTAGTCGGGATAGTCCCTTAGGGGAGCTCAAGATGACACCCATAGGGGAAGCTGCGTCCTCTACCTTCTATCGGGAGGTCAAAGAGAAGTCGAAGGTCTTGAAAGTCGAGTACATCGTCGATTCTGGCAGATGTACTAGAATCGACTTCACGATATTCATCCTCAGGATCCACTTCACTTAATGAACTGTAACTCTTTAGATAGAATACGGTCCACGTCCGGCATTTCGTTACAAACCCTAATCATTCTTTGTTTTGCGAGCTACGTACACAGAAAGACGAAGATTATATTAAGTCGATTTATTACTCTTCTTGGTAGTGCGTCGATGCATTTTTTCCTACGGCTCTTATACATTTTCCTCCTACCTTCCCATCAGTCCACCTCCCCCTTTTCGCACTCGCACTTCCTTTTGAGAAGTATAGGGTCGACCCTTTGCGAGCTGCTCCACAAAAAAAAACGTATCGACCCGAGCACTTCACTCGTCTCGTACGACGGCTACAACGGATGGGCGTATCCGCAAGTCGCGGTGATGACGATGATGATACAAGTGGGGGTGAGGGCAGCAAACTCCTGTGAGCTCGCAGCAATGCCTGGAAGCGATTCCACAGTCAGATCCTTGTCTTGGAGTTCAGAGAAATTCGACCAGCTCGTGATGAGGACTTATTTTGTACCCTATGTAAGTCGGTCGCCACTAGACCGATATCGACCTAAAGTCATCGGAGTAGGCAATAATATATGATAGTTGCTACGGCAGCTCACCTCTGAAGATCAAAGCCGAAGGTGTGACAAGCGTGCCTCTTGCACACAGGTCTTCGTCCGAAATTCCCGTTTATGTCACGCACCCACGAGCCAAGAGAGTCGGTTCTCTCGCTTATCTGGCTTGAGCCGAGCAGACTGAACCTCGGGATATTTTTTTGCCGCTCCAGAAAGAGGGATTCTGGTACTGCGGGGATCACGAACTCGCCTATTGTAACCGTAGGCCCGTCGAGTGGCACTTGCTGGTTTTGGACGAGGAGATTCACGTCTACACTTCCTGTAATTAGTGATGTTCAGTGTAATTTGACTGTCTTGCCTTTCCTTGCAGCGGCGAGAGGTAACCGGCGTTCGCTCTCGCTCCTTCTAGAGTTCCGACCCACATGTCGAGCCTCAAGAGCCCCAAGGGGGAATATTGGCCGACTGCGTGAATCGAACCGGGACCTTCCCAACGGTAGCAGCGTCACTACAGCGAGCGACTGAATGCGCCGCACGCGCTGACCATTCGCCTACCGCGTGGGGCGTTCAGCCCTCTGGGGCTCACAGGGGCGTACATGGGATTTTTTCCTCCGGGGGGCCAGCAATGTTGTTTTGGGGCCAGAATGAGGAGGATGATCCCCATAGAGCTCAATGTACGGAGGCGATGTCATGGGGAGAGGGGCATGGCCCCCTCGCCTGCCCCTACACATGCTACTGAAGGCTCATGAATCATGAAGGTTCCCGAAGAAGATGGGGAAGAACATGCCGTCTCCCTACACTGTGGTCACCCTCGAGCTATCAGCAGGAGGATCCCTAGAGAGAGTCCAACCTGGACCGACGATCTCCCGTATTCCGGGGGATTTCTGAGCCGATCTTAAGCTTTGCGCAAAAAATACCGGAAAGGTCTCAGCTCAACAATGAACGCGTGAATCTCTGGGAGGAGCCTCGCTCAAACAACGCGGGAACGGTAGGGAGACCGGGTCCAGAGGAAGCATCCTTCACTGGCTCTACTGGGACCTTCTCCTTGTGGAAAATTAATGACTTCATGCTAACGCTGAATGGCAAGACTCCTGTACAATGAAAGGAAAGTTGGAATCTTTCCGGAGACTTACGGTGAGCGATCACAGAAGCGACCAACAGGAGCATCACGAACGCTGGGGAAAGCATCTTTGAGCAAGACGGAAAACCGGTTTGGAAGATGAGTCCCAAGACGTGAGTGAGGCTCTGATTGAGTCAGAAACCTTTTGTGCGGGTTTCAAGGCAAACTTCGAGGGCGAGAGGAGAGCACCCCTCATCATCTGCAGAGGTCAGTATTTTGAAAACGCCTTGAAGTGCGCCTTCTTCAGTTCGTCCCGCGATGACGAGAATCGTTCCAAGCACTACCACAACGGATAAGAATCTCAGAGTGAGTGTGGTCTCCTGGCGAAGCCGTCGCCTCCGATGGGACCCTTGCGGCAGCATCTGCGACTCAGAAGCGCTCACTCTTCTGCTCTACTTCTTCGAAGGGTGGGGGCTTAATGTATTTCGAATGGAGATTCTTGCGAACTCCAGCAGGGTTGGAACTCGGGCGAGGCACACCCGACTAGCAACCTGTCCGACGTGAATAAAGGGGAAACCCAGACTCGAGCGGGCAAACTCAAGCTCTGAACACACCGGAGCCAGAGTGAGCGCCGCATCATATATATATCAGTGAGTATAAATGTATATATGGAACTCCGCTGCCGATTATTACCCACTGATCCTGAACATGACGAACCTAATTTTTACGATGAGACTTATCGGAAAACAATATCAAATCACGACTGTCGAATATGGCGAACGCCGCGGATGATTCAGATAGGATTTTTCGTTATCTGATGCGACCTATCAGACGCATCAACGCCGTCACCTATCATTCGATGACAAGAGGAAGATAAGGGGTCTCGAGTTTGAGAAGTCAGGGTCCGATCGTTGCGAGTAAGTAGCGAGCTGCATGGGTACTCCTCTTTTATGGCTTTCCCGGCACCAGATGTCGTAATCGAGGCTTGCTCAGGCGGTTCTACTCGATCTGGGTGCCCTTCCCTTCACAATTTCTCCTATTGAAAACGCGTCATCTCGTGGTGCGTCTTACATCCGGCAGGGCTACACTCATTGCCCTCATTCTTTATTTCTGAGCGCGCTTTTTAGGGCGTATTCTCGCCAATTCCAATTTTTTTGCTGCTTCCTCGCATTGTATTGGTATCTGCGCTTTGGATGGCTCGTTCGACGGCTGCGAGGAATAGGCGAGTCCGCAAGTCGCGGTGATGACGATGAGGCGAGTGAGGATGAGGGCACAGAACTTCAATGAGTTCGCAGCGATGCCCGGAACCGGATTCAGGCGATCAGATTGTTTCCTGAGCAGACTCATCGCTTAGAGGCAACAGTATAGAATGTGGGTACTTGCAATGCGGCCACTCACCTTTCAGAATCGAAGTCGAAGGTATGACAAGGGTGCCTCTTCACGGGTCTTCGTACGAAATTCCTGTTTATATCGCACCTACTCGTTATACTCGCACCTACGAGCCAAGAGAGTCGGTTGTTTCGCTTATCATACCTGAGCCGAGAAGACTGATATTTTTTGTCTCTTGAGAGTTATCGTATATTGGCTTACATATCCCTCTTGTGTCTTTATGGTGCCGATATGCACCCAATGTGGGCTTGAACTGCATGTTTCGCTTCCATTCACTGTCCAATTCTTCGCTCACTCTTTCCTTGAGTTCCTTGCGGAATACTTTACACATCGTTCTTCCTAATGCACTTTTCTGTGGTGCGAGATCATCGAGGCTGTAGAGCACCCTCAGTCTTTCCAGTCTCTCTATTACTGTCCCCTTTGTACTGCTGATCCCTAAGGCCGTGAGGGCGAATCGGGGCCATCTAGTTTGGTCCATCTGTTTCACCCTCTCGAAGTACATCACTTTACTGAGGGCCTCTCTGGACTCGAAAGAGCACCGGCCGAGCTCACCAACGAGGAACTTCTTCGCCACGGTAGAGTAAGGTATTCCAAGAGCCCATCTCCCTGCATCTCTTTGCCGGACTTCGATATGATTTCTCAGTCTCTTTGGCATACTTCTTGCTGCGTAGCAATATGACATTCGGGGGACTGCTGTGGCTTTCAAGAGTATTTTGGATATATAAAAACTCCAGAGATATCTCGCACTGAGTCTTTCGATTGCCTTATTTGCCTTTTCGCTCAGCTTCTCCCAATATTCGGTCAAGTAGTCGTATTTGGCTGATAGTTCGATACCGAGGTATTTGCATGATCCTACCTCCGGTATTTCCTTTCCCTGTATTGACCGGTTGTGATTTCGGATGTGGGGCGGTCGTGGTTGCGAGAAAACCAACACCCCGCTCTTCCGGGGATTTAATTTGATGGACATGTTGTCTCCTAATTCCGGAGTTATCTCCAGGAGAGTTTCCATATCCTCGAATTGGTTCGCCATTAGACACAGGTCATCAGCGAATAGAAGTCCGGGGACGGAGGTGAATTTCTGTTCCTGGATATCCCAGAAGTTACCCTTCTTCGCAAATTCGAAACCCAGCTTAGTATCTAGGAGCTCTTCCTCAAGGTCTGAAATGTATAGGTTGAAGAGGTTCGGAGAGAGGGGGAAGCCTTGACGAAGTCCCGTCAGTACAGGTACTTCACTCGAAGCATACTCCCTATGTCTTATGAAGACCGTCGTGTCCATATGTAGGTGTCTCAGGAGCTTGATGAGCGCCGAGTCCATTCTTCTGTTCTCCAGCCCATGTCACAATTTGTCTCGATCAATTCGGCTTTTGTAGCATCGTGGATCACGCATACTAGGCCAGTGTTTTTGGCCCTTGCGAGTTCCATCGCCGATGTGAGGACAAATATGTTGTCTTCGATCCGTCGGTATTTTCTGAAGCCATTCTGCATCTCTGAAAACTGCTCGGTGACTTCGGACCATCGCTGTATGTGTTTCCCCAATATTTTGGTGGAAACTCGGTACAAGACATCTGATATGCAAATGGGCCTATAGTTCGTGATTCCTCCCTTCTTAGAATTCGGCTTTCCGAATTCGAGGGCGACTCTACCTTTCCTCCATCCTGGCGGCACTCTTTGTGTGCCTCATACAGGGCCGCAGAGAGAAATTCTGGGCCCGGGGGAAATTCGGACATTGGCCCCTCTCGATCATGGTCTGTGATCTGTCACTACACGAGTGATGGGACGAATTGGTCAGAGCAGCAGTTTCCTTTCCATACATCTTAGGAAAAGGCGAAGAATTTACAATTATTTCGGGCAAAATTATTCGATTTAAGCCTGAGCTTGGGGCCCTTCCGGAAACTCTGGGCCTGGGGGAAAAGGTCACCGATACCCCCCTTCTCGTCGTGCCTGGCCGCTCAGAATTCTCCGGTTCTTTCCGCCAGCGATCGTATCGTCTCTTGATATCCACCTTCGCGATTTTTCTCAAACCACGAGCTCCTGTTCTCTTGGGAACCGGCATAGTGGTGCACGGATGTTAGGTGGTACCCAACAAAAACTTCCACAGCCGTTCCTAGCACTCGAAGCGTGGATTTCCACGTTCTTATCGACGATCGAGTCGCAGCACACTCCTACTCTTCCGCCTGCTAGCAGACTACGGCAGATTCCGGTACTGCGGGGATCACGAAGTCGCCTATTGTGACCGTAGGCTCGTCCATCGGCGCATGCTGATTTCGCACGAGGAGATTCACGTCCACTCTTCCCGTAATTCATCATGTCGTCATACCGTCCTGAACGGTCAATATCGGCCGACCTCGGGAATCTGACTCGGGACTTCCCCTCTCTGGATCCTGGATGCACGAAGTGCATGAACCGCATAAGACTCGTTTGAGGACAATCCCGGGCATTCTTAGCACAATCTCAAGGATTCTCAGCGCGGAGTCGAATGCCTCTCCCCCTCTTCACCTAATTTCTGATTCCTGCCCAGAATTCGCAGAGCTGTTGCGCATCACGGATGTCTGAATCTCTATTCGCCGCTGTAAATGACCGCTTGTCCGTCCCACGGGAACGGCGTTCTGCATACGGTGAAGACAGAAATTCATCGCCGAGTCGCTTCATGCTAACACTATTCGTAAAGAGTCCTGCATGAGAGCCACCGATAAAAATCTCTCTAGAAACTCACTGTGAGCGATTACGTACGCGAGCAACAGAATCACTACAGATCCTGAGGGAAACATTCTCAAACACGAAGGAACAATCTGAAGTCATCAATTATTGGTGCGCCTGCCACGGGATGTGCACATTGTGTCCGGCAGCGATTGATGTGAATCTTGAGTCATATGGTACCGAGAATTGGCCAACAATGCCCGAGGATTGGCACAGAACATTAGGTCCGGATGAACCCTCTGAGACCTAAGGTCGACAGGCACACGAAGTCCACGCTGAGCCTTGTCGAGCCCTCGGTAAGCTCTATAGCGTTGAAGGTCTAGTATATCCGCCCGAATCGACTTTATAATATTGATCCTCAGGATCGACTTCAATTACCGTAAATATTCTAATTGAAGAGCAGTCTCGAACATACGAGCAGTCTCTGATAGAGGAGCAGGTTTCGAGGGCTCGGAATAAATAGAGGGGCAGCCTCGAACATACGAGCAGTCTCCAATAGACGAGCAGTCTCTAATAGACGGGCAGCCCCCAATAGACGGGCAGTCTCTAATAGACGGGCAGTCTCTAACTGACGAGCGGTTCTCGGCGGAATGGAAAATTCGCGTCTTTTCGAGAGGGAGAGGAACCACTGCAAATGTCATTCCCGTGAACAAGCTCCGCTTCACCGCGCTACGCGCCGACAGCCTAACGTTAAATGCTGGGCGTCGGAGCTAGATGCCTGATGCACACATCGACACAACCAGATTTCTCCGTGGTCAGGAGGAATATTGTGATTTCGAAGGCTGCGTTTAAATACGCCAAGTAAGAATGAAATGCAATGTCGCTCACAACCTCACAAGCTAAGCAGGCGTTCTCTTCCTCTGTCGCGCATATCAATACCCTGCTATAGGGGCGGTAAGAATGGATCGCGGCTCTAACTAAGTGTCGACTCTGACGTTCAGTTTCGGATACTCTGGCAATCTCCAATAGACGAGCAGTCTCTTGTAGAGACCCTGGCCATCTCTGATAGACGAGCAGTCTCTAATACAGAGGCAGGTTTTCGGGGGCTCTGAGAAAATAGAGGGGCAGCCTCGAACATACGAGCAGTCTCTAACAAACGGGCAGGTTTTGGAAGCTCGGAAAATAGACGAGCATGCTCTTCAATTAGAATATTTACGGTAAGTGAATCTTAGCCTTGTCATAGGTTCCGCGTCCGGCAGAGCGATACAAACTCTGATCATTAATTCTTTCGTGAGGTACGCACTCAAAAATCAGAAAGACGAAGATTATATTAATTAAATTTATTACGAATCGACCCGAGCACTTCACTCATCCCGTACGACGTCCACGACGGGTGAGCGTATGCTCAAGTCGCGGTGATGACGATGATGCAGATGGGGATGAGGGCAGCAAACTCCAGTGAGTTCGCAGCAATGCCTGAAATCGAGCTTACGGTCAGATCGTGCTATTCTAAGACTCCAGATACCCGAATAGCTCATGATGAGGAAATTAGTTTGTTTCCGACGAGACTTGGCCGCGTCGATGACGCTCGATTCATCTTATATCTCGGCAATATTCCGGTTGCAATACGACAGCTCACCTTCGTAGATCGAAGCCGAAGGTGTGACAGGCTTGCCTCCTGCACACAGGTCTGCGGCCGAAATTCCCGTTCAAATCTCGAACCCACGATTCCAGAGAGTCGGTTCTCTCGCTGATTTGGCTCGAGCTGAGCAGACTGAATCTTGGGATATATTTCTTTCTTTCAAGGAAAACAGCTTCCGGTACCGTGGGGATCTCAAAGTCTTCTATTGTCACCACTGGTCTCTCGACCGGGAGGGCCAAGTTCGTCACGTGCTGATTCTGGACGTGGAGGTTCACGTCGACTCTTCCTGTAATACATCATGACGTCATACGACCACTTTTTTCCGCGGCTGCGTCCACTATTGCATGCTCTCGAACCCCAACCTCGAGGACCGAACCCGAAAGGGGCCCGCTCGAGGGTCATACGACCATCATGGTGACTCGCGATTCGCCAAGTCGGGCCGGGTCGATGGACGCGACAAATACCAAAGGACCGAGGGCGGTATGTTCCATCCAATGATGGTAACCTACAGGTAACCTACACTCGAGGCACCTGAGAAGGTCTCAGGTGCCTCATGATCGAGGAAAGCCCCGGAACGAACACCGCCCCGAGCACGCAGGAGTAGTGGAGAGAGCTTTCTGCGGCGAAAAATGAGCATTCAGCGGCATGCTTCACTGGCTCTACTAGGCATGCACTTTTAGTGTAAACGCTTTGGGTTGAACGTCTCCGCTCAATGTCGAGAATCCTTTTTGTAGGCGGTAGGTTAGATTGTTGGTGAATACTCACGGTGAGCGAATACCGAAGCGACAAACAGGACCATCATTAATCCGAAGGTAAGCATCTTCAAGCAAGACGGAGAACAGTCTTGAGGGATAAGTCCGAAGGCGTGAGTGGTGCTCTGATGGAGTCTGCAATTTTTGTTGCGGTACTCTGAGCAAACCTCGAGGGCGAGAGGAGAACACCCCTCGTAATCTGCTGAGGCTAGTGTGCAGAGAACGAGTCGCCCTGCTCTTTCTTTCTTCTCTTCTGAGATGACGCGGACCATTCCGAGCACTGCCTCGCCGGATAAGGATCTTAGGCTGAGTGCTCTCAGTGTGCTCTCCTGGCGAAGTCATCGCCGTCGATGGGGCTCTCGCGGCAACGCCGTTCAGTTAGAAGAGCTGACTCTTCGGGTCTACTTCTCCGAATAGTGGGGGCTTGATGTGTTTCGAATGGAGATTCTTGCGAACTCGAGCTGGGTTCCAGCAGGGCTGACTGCAAAGTCAAGCGGGGTGCACCCGACTGACAACATGTAAGTACAAGGCGATTGACGGAGAAACCAGGCCTCGCGCGGGCTGACTCAAAAGCCGCCGTTCCTTCATGCAATCTCGAAACAGAAGCTTCTCGGCACGTTCTGATCATATCGAATGATTGAGAGACATCACCGTTCGCACCGTCGACAAACACTTCTGCCGGCGCGCATCGCAACTTGACCGCTATCGTCAGTGGGTGGGATCGAATCGATGAGGGAAGACATCAGAAATACTCCTATTCTCGTGCGGCCGAAGGAAGGGCCTAGGTTTCGAGGAAACCAAAACCGCATAAACAAACAGCAGCCAATTACCATCACTAGATCCAAGCGCGTTACCACTCATTCTTAGATGGGAGCTCTTGCGTGCATCCGAAAACTGGGTCCCTCTCTGGCCGCATCGATGGCTTCTGAGGAACATCTGGACAGCCCCATCCTCGACACAGTCGCAATCTTCGCCGTTTTCATCCCATTCGACAATCCAGATTTTTCGATCGGAGTTCCGATGAGTATGGGGATCTAAGTTCCTCGAATGGAGAATCTCCAATGGGCGCACAGTGGAGGCAAACGCTCCGTCCGGGCTCGACGGGCGTCTCCGCTCTTGCGGGAGACCGGGAGAGAATTTTAATGGAAACACAAACCGGATTTCGAGGATTCCTACACTCGGATCTTACGATTAGGTAGCTCAATCGTCCCCACAACACCCTCGGCATCGAGCTCCGGGATTCTCATGATCCTTCCCCCATTCGAATGAAGCCCTCCAGTTTTTCGGTCCGCCCGAGAACCGTAATCATGTCGAGGGCTGATAAACCGAGAGCTCAGACGGGCTCTACTGAAGGAGTGAATTCGTGCAACCCATATAGCTGAGGTACGGCTGATGATTTCCCAAAATATCAAACCGATCTTGACATATGTACACAACTCGGAGCATCGTAAACGGTTTGAGGCACTCTCAATACTTTCGTCTAATTACAAAGCGGATTCTGGCTCATGCTGACTCGGCGATATGAGCGATTCCGCTGAAACCTATGACTGATCCCGCCAAACATGGGAGTCCGATGCTCCGTATAGGATAAGGAAAACTTTTTAAATCCGGTATCAACATGCGATTAATTTATTTTGTAGGTCAATCCCTGTGTGCCAGCGTCTTACTGCTTGTATATTTACACGTGGGAAAAAAATCTGATAGGTAATTTGCCACTCCGTTCACAGGTCAGTCAATCGCAGAAATACGCCGACACTCAGCGAAATCCACAGCCTAGTTTCAGTTCCAGTCAATCATAAACCATCCGAAGTCAGAATCAGTTAATGCATCCCCTCGACCGGACCCTACCCAGCTCTGCACTGATATAACAACCATGGATCAGACCTAAGTCAGTGTATTAAAATTGTTTTCTTCATTTCCCTAGCCATCCCCTTAATTACTCTCTCTCCGGTCAATTATCTCACATATTTCAGCGTTCATTTTGTTTTGTATGTCTCAATTCTTCCGTGGATTGTTTATCTCCTTCAGGACTCTCCGACGGATAGAATCAGTTGCATTCGCTCAAAGCACCATCGTATCCTTGGATCGTCATTCTCATCTAGAATCATAAAGGGACCCGAACCGGGTGAACCACCTGAGTCAATTTCTTGTCACTCATGACATGATACTTTCTCCGTGCTACGAGAATTCGTCTCGCGGCTCAACGTATCAATAGTCACGAACGATAACCCTCATTATTGTCGTCATTCGCTGTACATCGAATACATTCTAAATATAATCATCCTCGTTTCCTCCTCCATAACAGTAGGTATAGTAGGCTAATATTGTAGATCGAGTTTCAGACAATTATAAGATAACCTCTTTGTCGCTGCGTGGACCTCGGGAGATATACGCATGTGGCCCAGCCGGCATCCATAAGGAAAAAATTCTCTCACCGCTCTCATTGGAGTCGTGGAAGCGCAGATCGACCTCAATCACGGTGAGAATTTGACTACGTAGTATAGATTGATAGATAAACGGATACTTGGAACGGTAGATAGGTGGACTCTTGGGTAGTAGACAGATCCCTTCCAGGAATAGCAATAGATTTTCCAAAATCACAACTCACTTACGATTGAGAGCACGAGTATCCCTTCTCCGGAGAGAAACTCGTTTCGGTCAGTTCACAAGAGGAAACAACTCGAATAACGAGTTTTGTTTCAAAGTCTCATCTTCCGTCTAATAAATCTGTATGTATGTTTACTTGCAGTTCGAACAACCATGGTGATTATTGATCATATATACCGTCTTCCCTCCGTTTCGCTCTATTGTGACTCTCAGCAGTGAAATTCCTACCCTCAAAATTCCTGCTCCAGCATTCTCTTCACCCACAACCAGCGCTCTATGGAGATGTGTGACGGCGCGCTGTCCAATCAACGTCGTCTATCGCTGCAGTTTGGCACAGCGTGACCTAAAGCCGCAAATGGATTCGGTAGAGATTCGTTCACTAAGCATCGCTCAGACTGGCTCTCGATCCTAAAGTAGCTGAGCCGCGACGGCCGCTATTTTGGTTTAGGGGTTCGACGTAGCGGAGAATACACTTGTTATCAGATGCTTCCTGCTCCCGTGTCCGTTCCATGCGTAGAGTAGGTTTCTACGATCGCCAGTATCGCCCTCATCTTTCTGCACGGAGAACTACGCGGCCTCTGGCTCAGGGCGGCTTACAAGGTCTCGCTAGTCTCGTTATCGTCGTTTGCAGTCTCGATCCATCGCTTCTGCACTTCCCGCCTCCGATCCGCTCGCTCGAGTGAATAAAGGCCATAGGTCTATATGTGGTTGCCTTTTCCGAGCTGCAATGGAGGGAGGTCGTTCGATTCGCCATCTTCCCGACGGCTGACGTCGGAATCTCCCGCTGCTGTCTGACCTGCGCCTACTCGAGCAGGTTTGCTAGTGAAGCTTGTCGGTCAGGCCCTGGGCCGAATCTCTACCACGGGATCGAGACTCCAGGGTCCGGACTCCATTACAGTGGATTCCGTAGGCTCGACTTCGTGAACGAGCTCGGGTGATACTCGTTCTGTCTGCGCACGAAATGCAGCAACTACCGAGACTCGCCTAAGTAGGGTTCACCTTAAATCTAGCCGTCTTCCGGTGTTTCTAGTCGGCGTGAATTATTTCGCACAAGCTCCTTCTTATATAGTCGAACGATCCATTGGCCGATCGCTCAATCAAACAGCTAGGCTAGCCTAGAGCACTATATTGGCTCCGATCAAGCTCAGTCTTCCATCCTGGCAATGGGTGCAGCTGGATCATTGGTTTCCTCGGGCTCCTCGACAGCTACGCTGATATAGTCTTGCTGTCGGGTCACCTGAAGCGTGTGGTGTTTAGGGGTGGCGTTCCTTGAATCTGGATCGTCACGCTTCCGTCGAGCTTTCTTGCTTTGCTGGTGCTTTGGAGCGGTGATCTCGGTTTCGTTGTCTTTTGAACGGACGCCTGGAGAGAGACACCATCGAGAATTTAGACAGCGTCGCGTTTCCGGGGGGCTAGCGGGCAATGGAGGTCGTATAAGCGACTGTGGTTTCCACTTCATGCCGGTCGACTGTTTTCCCAGCGCAAACGTCGTCGCTAATGCATCTGTTAGTGACGGCCGTGGCCCTTGCCTCTGCTATCGCGGCGAGTGGCTGAGGGTATTGGAGCGTCTCTCGTAAGAGCTTCGCGCCCTGCGAGGGTGTTTCCGATATGTTTCGCCTTCTGCAGAAGCCGAGCATACAAAGAAGGTATACCGGCGCAAACACGAAGCGACCGAGCTACTTCGGGCAATCGCGTCTCCGAAGCCTGATATGAAAATGTTTCCGCGTTTGACGCCTGCCAGAACAAACTTTGACAGTGCCCCGGCTGAGCGACGAGAATGATGTGCCCCGGAGAGCGACCCGCAGCTTCGAGTCGAAGGATGTGGGGAGGCGAGGGGAATATCGATACGAACATCAGCGGCATCCCTTGGAGGATGTGGAGAGAGTCGGAGCATGAGACGAGGAAATTAACTCACCCGGCACTGCCAGATTGTAGAGCGAATCGTTGGAGCCTAGCAAACGGTGTCGACGTATGGGGGCACGGCGTGGCTCCTCTGGGGTGATGACCACTTTCAAGAAGCAAAGAAAAGCTCCCAGAACGATGGAGAGCAGTCCGATAGTTCGTGTGGTGTTTACCTGAGTCCCCACTCCGATGAAGAGGAGGAAAAGGCCTGTTCAGAGGACGAGATGGGATGAGATGGAAGAACGAAATCATATTAGGGCTCTATGACGCTTTGATATGACTTGGTCGCGAACGGTAGGGGCAAGTTCCGCTTTGGGTGATTGATGAAAGGATAAGGTCGGGAGAGTGGACTGCAAAAGTTCCTGCTTCAATAATTGAGGATAGTGCCTTATCAGGGAATTCGCCATCGGCGAGACCTGAGGTGGACAACGCTCGCGCTGACACCTGACACAAAGTCCGGCTACATCATGTCAGCCGAGGTGAATCATAGGTCACGTCTAATTGAATCGTGACCGACAGGGAAAAACTTCGCCCAGCATGCAACGAGAACCTGAATTTGAAGTTTTTGGAAGTGCCTCGTCAGAGCCCCACCCACGCACGGTATATAGGAACAAATTATTCAAGCAGGATCCTAGTTGGTGAGCAGCCGCTTTTCATGCGCAACTGGGAGGTGGAGCGATCATGCTAATATCGGACGGAGCCGCGTGACGATGAAAGACCTAATATATGCAGAACATACCCGTTACGAGGCAGAGGGTGCCGCAGTACATGAACAGCTTCTCTCTCTGTTCCTGCTCCGTGGACTTGAACCTGGAAAATGCATGATGCACTTGACCATCTTGGTCTCCTTCGCCTGATCGCAGGCCGGCTCGTTGCCCTGCACTACGGAACCTTGAAGGCCCCTCGACCGCTTCAGTCGGCCTGAACAAACTGCCGCGGGTTCATGGGCCAGGGTGAGCTCGTTCAAAACTTCCATTCACCGACTGCTTACTGCCCATGAATTCATGCCCCACGCAGCGAATAAATTTTCGCGAGGTCTGGGCAGCCTCAATTCGATGTACATATAAATACAGGGCATTGCGGTTCGTTTTGGCGGAGAAAAAATTGAATTCGTGTCGAGCGCGGACGCCAGAGCGTCCTCTGACAATGGGAGTCCTCCCCCCGATCGAACGCGGCCGGCGCTCCGCTGTCGAGGAGAGCTCTTCTTGGAAGCGTCATGAGGAGCAAAACAAGACGGGCCATTCATTGCCCGAGTCAAAATAACTCACCTCACCATACGTTGAGGAATATCAATTGTTGACACTGATAGAGCCCTGCTGGGCTTGCCTTGGGCGTCTTTGGTCTGGCCGCCAAATGAAGCAGCGGAACTGGCCCTGTTGAGGCCGGGTTTGCTCCGCTTCTTTTCGCGGCGCAGAGCCACTGCGGGCATTGCCGAAATCATGGTGTGGCTTTCGTTCTCAAAATTTCCCTTCGAGTCAACGAACGTATAGAATTCGTTTTCCCGGAAAAACGTGGAGTGTTTTTTTTCCGTAGTCGGTGAAGAAGTCAGCGAATTATTTTTTCGTCCTCGCTACGGTGTTCTAGAAGAACCCTCTGTTCTTCCGCGTTCAGCTTGCTCTAATTAAAGCTTCCCCGGAACTTGGAGATCAGTGCGGCTTATTTTCCGGGGTTGGGGGAAGCACTGAGCTCGTAACGGTTCGATGGATCACTTTCGTTGCGTGGCTGTGTCTGATGCCTCAGCAAGCCTATGATTCGTGTTGTGCAGGAAAACCCGGTCAGTCCAATCTCTTTGTGTGATGATATGAACCTGAAAGGGAAATTTTATTATTCGTGCGCATTCGATTGTTTTACGAGGGACTTCTCTCCCGTCTGGAGCCTGAGTCCCCCGAGCGAGTCTCTCCCGCTCTTCGCTCGTTCGTTCCTCTCCCTCGAATTCATGACAAAGCCGAAACCGGGCATCACACCCATGGTAATGGAACGGCCTATTCAGCGGAACGAAGGAATTCCAAGAGGGCTATTCCGGGCATTATGAGCGAATACGGGACAAGCGACTGGAATCTTTTCCGCCGGGTGCCTCGTTCGGTTGCTGGCTGGCGGGCTGGCTCGATGCCCCGCAGCTCCGGGAGCCGACTCTTGTCTGGCGCGGAAAGTCCCACGTTCCTTACCGCGGGCGACACGGCATCGACCGCTTCCCAATGACGACTGTCGTCGCTACTCTCCGAATCGCGGAAGATAATGAACACCGAACGCAAAACACAGAATGGGAATCCATTCAACTAGCCGTCAGCCTCCAGCGATGGAGCTCCGGCTCGCTCCCTCTGGCGACGGATGCGGTGGAGCCCCGCAATTGTGAACGACGAGTGAGTTCTCCTCTTCTCCGAAATTCCCTCAGCCACCCTGTGGTTGTTCCTCGTCCACGGCGCCGGTAAGTATATTTATCTCGGGGCAATATCATCATCATGATGGGCTTCGCGTAATCGCGACCGGCGCTAGAGTGCCACTCAGGGCTAAACCATGTGGAAAAACAAGTGGATGAGAGCTTTCGATGACTGCTGCCACACACTGCCACCGACTATCACGAGTCATATATATCGCATATCAGCTTACGTAGAGCGACGCGACGCCTGTCTGGGATGAGGTTCCCGGTCCTCGGAACCTACCGCATTCCGTTCCTATTTTCTCCGCTCTCCCGCGAGCTCTCGAGGACGTCCTCATCTCTCATCGTTTCCACCGTCTGAGTTTCGAACCTCGAGCCCGAGCCCCATGGACCACGTCTCCTTCGCACCGCCGCGCCGGAGTCTCGAGGGAGCAACTCGAGTCAGCCGTCAGGTGCTAGCTTATGATTCCGGCCGGGATGTTACGCTCTCTGAGTTTCACGGCGGCGGTGGCGGCAAGACGGAAGGACGTTCCCGTCTTCGGAGAGAAGCGACTGACTCAAAAGGAAATGATGTCTTAGTTAGTCGAAATGGATCCATGTTCCCGACCGACTGCTCCAGCGCCGGAGGGGATCCCAACATTCGAACAAAACGGTCCCTTCCAATTTGAGCAAACGCGAGACAGCGGGTCGTCGATGGAGCTATTCCTGGCGTTCGGTGCGGATGACTAAGCCAATCTAGCACTCCTAACTCGGATTTCTTCGATTCGCCGTTCAGGAGAAAGAGTGCCACGCAGCGATTTTCTTTCCAGACGCTCACCGACTCAGAGAAGTCTCGAAGAGAGGAGGGGCCTGTGGTGACGCCTGTTTCTCGTGGATCCACGGTACGTAATTGGCACGGCGGATCGCTCACCGTAACCAGCCCAATTAGCGGTGTATTGTCCTTCGATGGGAGGGCTTTATCCTCCTGGACGATTCGAGGTCGAACGGCGTCCTTCATATCCTTTCGCACCGAATCCAAGCCCATGGCTACTCTCATCAACGGCGCTCCTGCGTCAGTAGGGGCTTCACCCAGCCCTTCTTCCAATTAAATCACTGGACGGAGGATGCTTCTCCGCGTTTATTCGTCGCTGCCCTCGCACGCGAACTTCGCCCTCGCGAATTTTGAGAGGTTCGTCCAGGCTTCCGACGGCTCCGGCCGTAGAAAGAGATACATACGGCGTAAGCTCTATTAACGAGCTTGACGCTTTCTACGGGGCTGTTCGCCGGGCGAAAAATTCGTCATCCGAAGCGTTCGCCATCCGGATTTCGTTTCGGCTCAATATTTCAGATTCCGCCTACCGGGAGGGAAGTGCTCCAAGAGAGAAGACAAAATCTGTTCGCTGATAGCTACATGGCTCCGAGGCGAATTTTCTTCAGAAAGAAAACTCAATACCTGAGATATTCGTTGAAGGCGGCAATCGCTTAAGGATGTCTCATAGTACTCGACGCCTCATGGAGTAGAGAGCTTCATGTAAAGACAGGCTCTTCCTTCTGTCGAACGATGCTCTGATCTGGTGCCGATGACCGTCGATAACTTCCGGAATTATCCTCCAGTATGGACGTGGGTTTCTCGGCGTTCTCTTCCCAGGACTCCGAGGCGATTCAATCGGAGCGGCCCTCCTAAATCCGAGTATGTAGAAGTGATCGGTGATCACGGCATCGGATGCGACTCCATAAAAGTGCACTTCCGCGTCGGTTGTTGTTTTTGTGGGACGTCGGAAGTCCGATGGCATCAAGGCGAGGAACAAAGTCAATCGACGGTCGATTTTATTGCCATGAATCTCTCAGCCGCCTCCGCTGCCTCCGGCCATATACTCCCGCTGACTTGTCGGCTCCGCAAAGACTGCTTCGTCCTTGGAAAAGTGACTGAGGCAAGAAAACGGAGAAGAATGATGGCCATCGGTGCCAATCTCTGCTTTGATCGAAATGTCCGAGCCAGCTCAGCGATTCGACTGCGCCGGATTTCTCTCTCCGGTCGAGGAGAACTACCCCACGCCGAATTCTATTCCCGGTTTTCATCTGCCGTCGAGCGCGGAAAATCGGGCCTCCGAGGCGAGTCCGAGCTCTGAATCCGAGGGAAACGAGAACGGATTCTCGGATTCCGCGAGAGGATCTCGGTATGTGCCCGAGGGGATAGCGACCGCAGGGGAATGTCTTCTATCGATAAATAAAACACTGCGACCCTCCGTTCGAGAAGCTTCCTGTTTGTGCTGTCGACAGAAGCTCTCATTTCGTTTTGTGTCTGTGACCAATCCGACTGAGAGCTTCGCTACCACCGCTGGAGTCGACAGAGCGAAGGTATGGACCGAGGGAGTACTGCCAGGAATGACTATCGCTCTGTCGAAGCAGTGCTCGACAGGACCTCTATTCGGATTTCGGGGCTCACATTCCTTCCTTTGTTGATCGAACAATTCTGAAGAGGAATCGCGAAATGGATTGATTCCACATCGATGGAAAATGAGGGATAGAAATGACGAACTTTCAAATAGACTGAGGCTGCTGCTGCTCCCGTCGTCCTCCGGCTCCACAGCAGGCTAAAAAAGGCTCTGTCAAGTCCTTGTCGTCCATTTCCGTTGTCGTGTCGGAAGGCCGTTATCGAGCAGTGGAAAGACGTTCACCTCCTTACGCCCACCTGTGCGTTTCTCAGAACCTTCCCTCAGAAGCTACAGGTGATAAGCCCTTTCACCCATGCGAGTTACTCCTATACGGGCCGGCGGGATCCGTTTCGCTTCCTCTTCCAGCGTTTGGACCGATTGCACTTTACTTATGCTGTTCGGTCCTAGAACATCTGTTTACTCCCGAGCGTGTCGTGTCTTTCTCGAGTCCAGACGGGCCTCAACTCCGTTCCGAATCCAATGAGACTCAAGCGACAGGGGCACGAACGGGAAGAGTACACAGATGGTCCCGAGAGTTCGTGAAAGTAGAATCGATCAAAATTTACCCCACGAAACAACGTTATCGGTAATTACCTATCCGCGGATAAAGGTTCGGCTCGAAAACACGTACCTGCGGTAGGAGGACTTCGGGTATTCGTTTGTTTGTTTCTCTCTATGTATGAGTGTACTTAGGAGAGCTGCTATCACAGGGAGCTCAGGAGCTCGAGATATGTCGTAGCCTCTCTTTCGGAGAGGATTCACAACCTTCAGTCACTTTGGCGTTGCACGTCGGAGCGTGATTCCGATTCTTTCCCTAGGCTGAGAGTGGTGAACGGTGCTCGTCTAGTCGGCGTGGTTTCTTCCATCGGCCGTTTTTGTGATCTCTGAACTTATCGTCGGAGTCGTCGTCGCTATCATAATCGCCACCGGCGAACTTGTTCCGGATCCTTCGTAGGGATCTGAAGATATCGATCCCAATCTGCCGCCTTCGCGACACAGGCACCGACGAATTCAACAATAACGGCAACAACGAGTTCGACAAGCAGAATAACGGCGTGACGCTATAAACGGCCGTCTCCTCTGCCGAGCTGGGGCGAGTTGACAACTACAGAATAACGGTAAGCACAGCGGAGGAATTCGTCATTTGGTAGAAGGAGAACTTGTTGTTTCTACATCTTCAACGGCGGCGATTCCACCGACTCGGGTTGGGCTTGACGCTGTGTCGACGAAAATGTGCCAAGACATGTCACGATGCCGACAAGCAAACACTGTCCAATATCAGACTCATCAGTTCGTCGGTGTAACGGACGCTTTTCGCGGAGACGGCACGTCAACTACTTGATCTGTTGAGCGGGACGCCGAGCCTTGGGTGCTCCTCCGTGCAGGGGCTGGTTCGCTTCTCTCTGATAAAGGAACAACTGGCATTTGGAGGAGAGGCGAGCAGGGCCCGGACGGGAGCGAAAGGGTCCGTTCCGACAGAGGATCAACACCGATCTTGCGCCCGCTGCGGCAGGAGCAGCGGCAAAGGGTCCGACGCCTCGGAGGGAAGGGCGTGGAAAAATGCACTAGGCAATAGAAGCATCGACCAGCGTCTTTCTCTATTTGGCTCTGGCTCGAATCAAGCTGAATTGCTAAGTTGACCTTCGACGCCGACCATTGACCAGGTCCCACGAATCTGTTTCATGGAGCTCACTCTTTCTTTGCCCTCACTCGCGAGCGGGCGTTTTCCCCTCCCCCTCTCCCCTCCTCCCTCTTTCCATCCATGCGAAGCCAACTTGTCCTCGCCCCCGCCGTTCTCCTCCCATGCAACTGAAGGAAAATCACTGGATCGACAACAACAACGACACGTGAGACATTCAGGCCCGAGTTGGAGGCCACGCGAAACGGTGTCACCGGGCTGATGCCTCTCCAATCTTTTCGGCCTCCGTTGGAATGCCATAAAAATCGAGCCGTGCTAGTGATTCGGAGCCCGAGCTGGTCCCGTTCCTCCCGGATAGATGTTTCTCGTTGAACGGGAGCTCGGGCGGATTTATCCGAAATGAAAGAGCTCCGGATATAAGGACACATTTATTCGATGGGAACGATTTCCAGACAAACATTACTAACATTACTGAGCACTGAGCACACACATAAATAATTTCCTCCTCCAGGGAAGTTTCCGGCGACCAGAAGTCCTGCGACCGACGCCGGATTGTTTGCAAACTTGCTTGAACTTTCCTCAGAGTCCTCACGCACGACGAGACACAATTTCTTTTTTCCACGAAAATTCCTCCCACTAATGTTTCTTCAGGGATGCCGCGTCGAGGAGATCGCCATGACCTCCTCCGAAATGTCCGAAATCTGCGGGAAGATGAGATATGGAGTCGGCCGCATCGAGAGGCGCATCCAAGCCCATATCGAGTTTGCCGTGACCGGCGTCGCCACCGAAGTCGGCACTCAGGCCATGATCGAGAATGGGAGCATCGTGCCCGAAGTCGTTATGACCGAAGTCTTCGATAGGGGCCTCAAGATCGTGATTACCTCCGAAATCAACGTCTCCAAAATGACCCTTGAGACCATGCCCGAATCCTATGGGCTCCGAGAACATCGCCTCGTGGTGGTGGTGACCGTGGTGATCGAGATGGTCGTGATGGTCGTGATGGTGATCGAGGAAATCGTGATGTCCATGGTGCCCATGGTGGTGTCCGTGATGATGGCCGTGGAACTTGTGCAACCTGCAAAAAGCCAGTCGACCTCACTCACGTGCAATATGGAAAATCAAGATTCAGACACCGCTGCCCATAGATGGGATTCCGGATTCCGAATCGACTCTTTGAGTATGGACTATATGACGAGAGCCCTGGGGCGAGGTTCTGCGGTTTCGCGGAGGTTCCGCAAAGCATGAAGGTCTCGCCGAGCAGAGGAAACGAGTTGTTTGAATCGAATTGCTGACCAGGGCACAGGCTTCCTGATTGACAATATCCGGCATGGATTCCGCTGAATCGATGCAAAGCCAAATCGAAAACATCATCAGCGTGTACTGCTAGATGGAATTGTGCGTTGGAATGGATCTTGTGCTCAGAAAAAAAAGGGAGCTGTTCACAGAGATTGGCTGCGGAGAGGGTGTGGGACGATGTCAGTCGGAGCGACATTCTCGATCCACTCGTCGTGGAACATCCCTGCCGTATTACACTATTCGGGTCACGCGAATTGGTAAATACTACGGGCAGGTCCCCGGACCCCATGCGGTCGTTCACAGCTCGAAAAGACTCTCACGGCCCGCGGGTAGTGTTTTCCACTCCGAGGCAGAGACGAAGTAGTGGCATCTCATGGTACTACTCACTCATGGACGTGGGTATGGTGCTTCTTCTTGTGGGCCACAATTGGGATCGGTAGAGGCAACGGGATGTGGAGCGGGGTTTTCATGATGCTCTGTAAATATACGCGATGGCTACGGTTACGGCACGCGAACCGGACGGAAATATATGAAGTTGTCATACGGCTGCCCTCTTCTCGGAGAGCGACAGTTGCGTACCTTCGCCAGGATGAGTCGGATCAACTTATGGTGGCCGAAGGCGGACACATGACAGGCCAAAAGGACAACGGACGCGAAAAACAAATTGACTGGACGCATTGCAGACGGTGAGCTGCAAGGAAAACCCTTTGAGTACGCGTGACAACACGTGGCTTTCCCGAGTGTCGATTCCGAGCCCGCCACCCCTCAGTTCCTCAATGCAAAGGCTTCCGAATAATAAACAGAAGCCGTAGTTGAACCGAGAACGAGGACGAGTGGGGTAGGATGTTATTCCTCAGTGTGCTGTAGATACTTTTCAATTCCACGGTTAAATTCATGAAGCCTCCCAGGCGTTCGTCAGAGACAGTGCCTCTAGCCGTGGGAGACCGAAAGAGACATCGACTTGCGAATTCCTCACGGCGGAGTGAGGAACGTGTAAATGCTTTTAAATCAGAGACACAGGCTTGAGGTCACACACAGAGGTCTCCAAGCTCCGGAAATGTCACGGGTCGGGCTCGTAGATCTCCTTTGTACTCCTCAACTCATTTACGAAGTCACTACGTACACTACTACCACCAGGACGAACGATGACAGGCCACGACGACGATGCCGTACAACACTGACAATATCCCGGATTTGGTGCCATTTTAAGGATCGCGCGAGAAGAAGCACGTGATCGCTTTCACTCAGTTCTGTGCGTCGATCATCCAATGGCGACTTCCGAATACGCCGCTTCAGTTCGACGCACGGCGGTTTCGGATGCCAGCCATGGGTTGTTCGCGACGACCCTTTAGGGGCCAATCGCGTCGATCCACAAGCTGTCTGTAGACGGCGGATTTTACGTGAATAGCCGTCTGTCTGCAAGGCAACGCACACACGAGAGAATAACGCAACACGCTTCGTGACGGAAAGCTCGGAAACGATTTTATGTTTCTAATGACGGACGAAGTGTACGCGATCCAAGCTCGGTCGTCGAGCTCACAGTATTCTTCTGGATTCCCTCTCTATCCGGCAGAAGGTCAAGGTCAGCACGTCGGATCATCCAAAGAGTTCGGACACCGACGAGGCTCCATCTTCTGGTCCGTCAGTAGTAATAGTGGGTTGGCGGCTCCCAATCCTAGCTCGCAGCGGGGCAAGGGATCTCGCTGACCGACATTGCTTGCGGGACGAGTCGGGGTCTCTTCTGCTCCCGTTCTCACTGGACCCCATGTAAGATAGACCAACGCTCTTCCGATCCTGAAAATATTCCCATCCTTGTCAGGGCAGTTCCCGGAGAATTCGGTGGCTAGCTGCCTGATCGAGTTGTCCCATGGATCAGAAAATCATCGATTGGAATTGAAATCTGACGGGGAAGTTGCCTCGTTCAACTGCCATCGTAAGTTTTCCCCCTAATTCGCTTTCCTCCGTCGAAGTCTTCATGAAAAACGGAACGATCCTCCTTGTCTAGCGAATCCGGAACATTCACCCGCAGATGAGAATCTATCGGCAACGCGGGGGGTACGACCGCTCGCGCGGCAGACTTCTCCTGTTTTCGCCCCGAGACGGAATTTCGCATTCCGCAAGTCTCATTCAACTAATGAATGGGCTGCCAGACCAATGAGATCAGACTCACGAGCGATCTGTTGGGAGTTCACGTCGCCGGCTCGGCGAGGAACACTACGACTGGAAGAACGTCAGATCGTAACTTGTCTAGTTTATTCCTTTTGATTGCTCGGATATCTGTCACTATCGAAGATGAGAGCATGGGGTCTGAGACTTCTCTAGGTATGTATCGAATGTTTTATCATCTCATTCGTCCGTCCTTCAGATCCATCTCAGGGTTGTCGACGGGGAATGATGTCGGTCAAGCGTATAACTACGATATCTTCAGCTTTGCGATCTACGCCGTGCATGACTGGAGTCTCCAAGAAGTAGAGCGCGTCCGAGATGGAGATGGATATTCTGGATGGATGGAGACTGTTCACTCCGAGTTCCCGCTCGAGGAACGTTTATCATTTTTCGATGCGCGACAGCTGTTCGGAGAATCGTTGCGTAAGCTCGACGGCTGAGCGGCGCGGTCTCAGCAGATCTGAAGTCGAATAGTATCGCCGTATTTACCGTGGTATGGTCGAGGGTTGGGGCTCAAGATGCGACAATTGGTCGCTCCCTACGAAAACTACGGATAGCTCCCTTTTCATAACTTTGGGGAAATTATTCACTGTCCGTGTCCCTCTCGATAATATTTCTGGTATGAGGATACGATTATCCAGAAATGATCTTGTCAAATAAGAAAATCGGTCTGATGCCAGGAGCCGTAATTAATTGAGGGATCGATGAGATCAAGTTGGAAGCTTTATTTTCGTGACCTTCTCCTCAGATCGAGACGAGCGCAGTGTTTTTCGTGGTCCCATGCCAGCCGGGGAGAAAAAGCGCCTCCAGTTTCGGCAGCGAACTCCGAGAGATCGAATGAGTTACGACGGGGGTATGGTGGATCTGAAGCCCCATTTCGTAATGAGCAATTGGGTCAGTCTAGATCAGCTCCACCGCTGATCAAATTTGAAATGTGTGGAGAAGGAAGCCGCCCCACATGGACCGATCGTGCGTGCCCTTTGACTGACGAAGCTTGTCACAGCGTCTTATTCAGCGTCCGCATCCGAAGACGGCGTGTTCGTTGCCGTTTATATCGATCGGGTTATCTGGGGTTATCTGCTGACGCCGCGGCGGAAGTCGCTTTCCCGTTATAAATAACTAATCTATGCTTTCTTGATCATCATCATCATCATCCATAGCGCAATGATCTTGATTACTGTAACGATGGATACACCTCACGAATTCCGTCCAACGAGTCTTGTACCTATCTTCGGTGGCTCCTTCCATTCAGAGTCCCTGAAAATAATTATCTAGCTGGAAAATCAGGCCAGCTTCAGAGCAGAACGAAAATGAAGGTCAAACTCATTTCGGAGCTTCCCGATTTCGTCTTGGGAGTTGGTTTTTCACTCCCAGAACGCTCAGAAATGCTCCGCTCGAAATTAGGGCGGACGTCCGGCGGCAAATTGTGTTCACGATCCGATTCTTCCCAAAACAGGACACACTTTTCCCCGCACGGTCCTCGTCGTTCGCTGATTGTAGGTAAGCGGACAAGAGAGCCGACTGGCGCGACGCATGACAACTTCCGACAAGCTGACCGATCCGTTATTTTTGCCGCCGCTCTGAACTCTGATAAATCCCCGCGTGACGAGTTTTTCGTAGGAGACTCTGGCTCCATCGCCTGAGATCCGAGTGGAAAGTCGAGCTATCAATGACTCGTCAGTGGAGAGAAATCCCAGTCTTGGCGAGAGATTAAGGGAGCTTTCTGGAACTCGAGCCTCCCGCGAAATTCGGCCTCGATCTGCCTCCCGTACCCGTTCGGGAAAGACAGCGGCGAATTCCGGCGATTAGGAAGAACGAAATTCTGCCCTTGCCTCCGCAGCTGATTTTGTTCATCCGACGAGATCATCTGTCTTCCGTTGAAGATTCTCATCGAGGACAACCATGGGTGTGGGCTTTCTGCTTCCCCCAACCCTTCGATCGGCCCAATGCAGCACAAAAGAGCCGATGCTCAATTCTCTACGGAACGCGTGCCCGAGAGCGAGATTGTTCCGATATGACAGCGATCTTTGTGGTCGGGAGAGGAAATGCTCCGAGAGGGCCCGAGCCGATTTCCCAAAGTCGCTTGGTAGATAAAGCTCCTTCTGACTCTGGTTCGCTGGATCAAGCAGAAAAGTCTTTCAGGGAAAGGAAAGTTTCGTGAGCTTCCTTGTCTGAGAGCCTGTATCCAAGCTCGGTCTCTCTTCGCAGTGTCTCCTGCGATATCATTTATCAAGATCTTTTCTGAACAAACCACGAAAACTACCTGCTTTGAATCTGAGGGTAAATACCTCCTTAGAATGTGGGAGTCGCGGTGAACTCATGCAGCTTCAGGCGCTTGATCTTCTGACCCCCAAAGCCGTCATTCCGAACACCAGAAATAGAGCTCGGCGAAGTTCGGTGCGACGAACACCCTCGAAACGGATCCCCATGTCATAAGACGGTAAGGGAAAGCTACTTTTTGTTAGACTAGCGTGTACTTCCCAATCCCTCGAGGTGAAAGCGGATCGAAAGGTGCGCTCGAGTATTCGCTGCAACGAGGTTCGTAGTCGAGTGTACTACGGACTACGGACGCCATCCCCCCGGGGAGTCGATCACATGATGAAAAACGCCATCGATATAGCTCGATCGACATGAATGAGCTTGATTGAAGCCGGTACAGGCCATTTAGGCGAAAAGTCAAGAGGGCGCGAGCTCCAGTTGGGCGAAATGTCATTTGGGCGAAAACCTATTTTGGCGAATCCCATTTGGGCGAAATGCCATTTGGGCGCCGAATCGGTAGGATCTCTCATGGGAGGAAGCTGATCACTCATGGGAAATCGACGGGAAACAGGACCTGGTGATCGCAAGAATGAAAACACCTTGTGAATGCGCTCCTCGGCGCAGCGTCCGGAAGTTTACTCTTGGCTTATCGTATTCTCGTTTTCATTGCCATAGGCGACATATGCCACCAACTTTGTTGGCACACGGCGGACTGATGCTTAATCTCGTCAATTTTAAATTACGCATCTTTTTACGAAGACGAGCAGAACTTGTCGAACCACAAGTTACGACTCCATGAAGAAGTTGTGCGCGATACCCATCAGATACTCCACGTGAGTCCTGTTCGAAAAGTCCCGCACGATCTCTAAAATCAGAAAGCGATCATCCTCGCGTTGAGCGCGAATTCTTCGTCATTACTATACCTGTTGAAAGCATTATCGGGGAAGAAGATTGAGAGGGTGCTATGATGGAATTAGGGCTGGAGCTGGCGAGCCGGATCAGAGGAGTCCTCTCTCCAAGATTCGAATAGAAATCGAAACGAGCATATGAAATCCTTCGGCATGTCCAGTCGATCCATTCATCCATTCATCGATCAGCTCAGTGAACGGGTCTTACCGACTCATAAGCCCTTCTCCCGCCAGCTTGAGCTTGATGTTCTTCACGAGGTGGGAGAAACAGCCATCCATCCTCGTATCGGATGAGAAAACGCTGCCCACGGCGTTCATGACAGCTCTTTCGAAGTCCATCACCACGGAAAGAGGACTCACTCAGAGCCGGCCACGCGTTCTTCAGGAGACTCAGCGCCCTCGTGTAAGTTTCAGCGGTCTTGTTCGGAAGCCGCGCGTACGCGACCGGGAGGACAAACTGTGACCGTTCGGATAGCACCACGAAAATCTGGAGGGCGGTCAATGGGAGCTGAATGGATTGGCCAGAATGAAGCGATCCACAAGGGATCCTCCTTAGCGGAAACCGCTTCCCTGGGTCGACCCTTGCGAGCTATAAGTACCTGAGAAAAAGTCGGTGGGGAAAGACTGATCCCATCGACGAATAGCTTCTGGACTAAGCCTATCCACTCTCTGGTGGACTCTCTTCCGAAAATGATTATGCGGTCGACATCTCCTCCACCGCTGTCAGCTACGACGGAATTCTCGAATCGTCCGGGCTCGAATTCATATTCGCGGTAGTGTTCTGGAATTACTATGGAACTCCTAGATTCGTTTGCCGGAGTGTTTGAAATGGCGTTCATGAGGCGGTTTATCATCCTCGCTATGACCGAGCGCTCCGGGAGTCGTCCGAGAGTTGCTCTCGAAGCCATGAGAAACGCTGAGGGCATCACCGACGATGGTGGTTCACTTGTTTCTTCACAGCCCGCCCTACGCCGCCTTAGATCGGCGGGCGTCCCTATCAGCGGTCTCCTAAATGTCTACAAGGCCTGTTTCCTCCCGGTTCTTCGCTATGGCATCTCGGTCTGGGGCGGAGCCCGCAAGGGAACGATTAGGTCCGTTCAGGTCCTGCAGAATACCGCGTTGCGAGCCATGTTTGGTAGACGTCGCTCCGAGTCGGTTTCAGATCTGTACTCGAAGTACGATCTCCTCAACGTCCGGCAACTTGCATTGCTTGCAGTTGCTTCAATGGCCCATAGGGTCAATTTTGGGAGAGCTCCCGATGACATCTCCCCGCCACTCGACGCCGTAATCCCGTTGCGACCCACTCGCAGACCAACGGTATTTGAGGCCCCAAGGACCAAGACTGTTCTTGGCGGTCAGTCGATTTTCTCCAGGCTCCCTGCCGCCTGGCAGTCACTGCCGAGAGACCTCCGAGACATTCGATCAGCTAAAAGATTTAGTTGGGTGTTATCGAGCCGCATTCTCAGCGGCCAGGTTGTTTTATAGGAGCACTTACTTATTCTGCTCGACCTTGTTAATTACTTCCATGTACATTTTTTTTAATATGTGAACTTCAGCAGTGTATAACTTGCAGTTCCATCAATAAACAAAACAACAACAACAACAACAGCGTCGCTTCATGGCTTCTCGGACTTCCGTGGTCTCGACTCCCGAAGGGTCGACCGGATCCGTGTGTGACCCTTTCGTACTGACGACCTCCCCCGGCTCAATAGAGGTGTACGCTCTAGCGCGGCACGGACAAGAAGCGTTCTTATACATGCACCGCCAACTCTGGACACTTCCTCCGCCTATCACACGGTCCCGGACGTACATCCAGCCTCCGTGAATAAGCTTTTCACGCCCTTTCTGAGTCTTGGTGATATTCGAAGCCATTTTTATTCGATGAAATTCCACGACGGATCACAAAACAAATTCGAGCGTCAAGGAACGATGATCACGGCGACTCAGAATCGTTCGAATTTCGATCACACGGCGGTCATTATTGTTTAAGTCTCTCCGACTCTCATTCACGAGACATCCACTCGTCACTGCGCACAGCGGGCACATCCTCGATGCCCCTCTCGAAGGCAATAGAGGTCTCGTCCCGAGATAATTGCCTACGATTATCCATTCTCGTCGAGTGGGATGTTCATAGATGCGGGAAGACAATCTTCGTCGACCAGCCTATTCGGCTGCTGGACGGCATGGCTGAAGCTCCGAAGGAGTCAATCTCTGCGTCTACCATATTAAAACACGAATCACTCTCGAGGTATCTCTCCGATGATCTTCGCGCCCAAATGACTTTTCGCCCAATTGGCGGTTGCGCCCAAGTAGAATTCGCCCAATTGGCAGTTGCGCCCAAATAGAATTCGCCCAAATGGCATTGCGCCCAAATGGCACTGCGCCCAAATGGCACTGCGCGCAATTGGAGCTTGCGCCCTTTAGACTTTTCGCCCAAATGACCGTGGCCGATTGGAGCAATACAATGAAAACACTCCCTCCGTAGTGCAGCGAAGGAACAAGAACATGGCGCTGACTCCACAGAAGCCATCTCGATCCATTCTGGTATGTGCAGAATGATGATGACGGTGCTCCAGGTCGATGGATAGACTGGAGAATCGAATCGATTGCAATTGGCAAGAGTCCACTCAGAGACAGGTCGAGGAAATGTACGGATTCGAAAGATTCCGATATCCCGCCCTGACCTTGCTGGATCCCGGAATCGTCGATGCTTGGAATTCACACGACACGTATGATCTGGTTCTCTCTTCCACCAACCCCTGGAGTGAATGTGGATCGAATGGAAATTTAGAGCACCTACCGTAGCAGCCGTGGGCTTGCGCCCATAAAAGAGCCACCGAACAGTTTCGATCAACAGAGATAATGTTTATTTACAACAAAATAATCTACAACTCCCGACAGACAAGTTGAATCAATCACATTGATAGATTGTTTTAATTATTGAAGATGAACTGATCTGACTGAGATCCCGAGCTTTGACTGTGCCTTCGTTTGTCGGTTGGTCCGCTGGTCGCTCGTCGATGCCAGGTCTGCGAGAGGTCGTTTCTCGGCGATCAACTCCGAGGGAAGAGCACATAATTCAACTTCGAACATTTTAAATAGATAGTCCTATAGCGGGCCAGCTTAACAAATCGTTGTCTCTCTTTTCCTCTCTCTCTCTCAGCCTCAACATTTGTTGCTATTGCGAAACAATTTGAAACCTATTCCCGCGTCCGATAGAGTGATCGTGAGACGCTCAGCCTGCGTCGTTCCTCGGTCGCTGCTGCCGTTGGCGTTGTCGCAGGTCTCCGTCAGGAAACCATCGCTCAAGGGATTCGTTCTTCTAGTGATCTAAATTACAGTCTCTCTGTTGATATCGCTCCGATATTCGTTCGCCGCAAGTCGCCTTGTGTGTGGTGTTCCACCGATACACAAAGAACTTCAAGCATGCACACCTGAATTAGAATTTTGCCGTCTTTCCTTGTCGATACCATTCGTCATCATCTTCAAAATCACCCTTCTTGATGTCGTGGTTGTTTGCGTTCTTGTTGGTGGTCTTCTTGTTGTTACTATTACTTCATCGAGAAAATCAGACGGGATTACGATACGGGTAAATGAAGAAAAAATTCATGAACTATCCGAGGGAAAAGAGGCGAGTCGGGCTTTGCCAGGAATTCAATCCGCCGATACGTGGTCGAGTGCGAGTACTCCGCATTGAGCAACCCAAAAAACGAGACGAGTGCTTTCGTCCCCGGTTCCGTTTCGTGAAACAGATTTTGAGATCTAGCATTCGCCAATGTGGATTCAATCAATCAATATTAACCACGGATACTCCGATAAATTCTCCGCTGAAAATTTCGATGGAATGTACCACCCAATGCGTATATCGCGAAATTTCTCGTACAATTTTTCACATGCGTTACAGGCGTCTCACGCTCCTGGATAGAGCAGCGCGGCAGCTACTGCTGGGTCGGTTTCGCAACGAGGACCCTCTCGGGGAGCAGAGTGAGGGATAGTCCCTGTTTTCAAATCGAAAGCAATAAATTATTGTGCTTCGGATGAACACGTCGCTATGAATTTAAGGTATGCTAACGTATAGTCTCGCACCGGATGTTTTCAGTATGTATCCCGATGTTACATCGTTGGGTTACCGACCCAGAGCCTCTTTGAGGCATGAAGCTCCGAGCTACAAGGTAATTCCCGCGTGGTCCCGCGGTCTTTCCCAGTCCGACGAATAATCCCGTCTATGAACGTCGATATCGAATAAATTGGTGTTGCTGCCGAGGTACTTCGTGTACTCCGGGAGGTTTCTCTTTCGCTCTCCGCGAATCTTCGCTACTCCTGTTGACTGCTGAAACTGCTGCTCCTAATGCTAAGATTTCGCTCGCTGCCAGTTGTGCAGCTCTCCGGAAGACCTCATTCCTGACTCTGGGGTCACACCTCACACGTAAACGACATTGATGCTCTGCTCTCAAAGCGAGATCATCAGCGTAGACTGAACCCGTAGGGTTACAGGTTTGCTGCCACTTCTTCTTTGCTGCTCTGAAACTGAGACGGAGAACATCGTGAGAATGGGACTTCTCGTTCGATTCGTGTGAGTGTGAGTCGAACGCCGTGATAAGCGGCGGAGGATGCATGAGTTCGATTCGCGTTCCCTGAATTAAGGATGCGGATCCCCATAGCTTCCGGAATCGATAGCCCAATCTCGAAACCCCGTGTCGTAATCGTTCCGCGCAAAGAACGTCCGAATGGTGATCATGAATCGGGAACCATCTTCCTCTTCTTCTCAACGGTCAATGAGTTTATGATAGCGCTTCGGACGGTGGGAGTGTAATCATTGAATTTCTCACATGCATGGCTGACCGTACAGTTTCGCGCATCTCGAGCGGAATTCCCTCGCAGAACACAAGAGGACTCGGATCAAGAATGAGCTTCGGAGGTCATGGGATGGGACTGGCAAAATCCCTCCCGGTACAAGCGATCGCAGTCGATCAGACGATTGCCGAAAGGAACTTTCAGACGACGACAAAAGAGAGAGGCGTGGAGATCCCAGCGAGATAATTACCAAATGTGAACATCTTCTGACAGGAGACCCAATTACGAAACTCTACTTAAGGAATTAGCCGCCAGGACTTCGAGTGCTCTCGGGGAGTGGCAGCTTCTCACATGTGTTTGTCTCTCGCCTTACCCCCGAATCAAGCGGTTTGTTTCGCTGTAACAAACATTGACATCACTCCGCTGATTGACGAGGGATTACATGCCTAGTTGGAGCTCTTCATCGAGCGCAGGGCTCCAATAGGGGGGAGGAGAGTTCTCGCCCGGATCGGATGCATGACAGGACAATTTTTTGGGATATGGTGCTTCCGGAAGCCTAAGGGAATGCTTACATCGAGAGCTCCGGAGGGTTCGACTTTAGCTGTCACGGCGACAACAGGCATTACCACAACGTGGTGTCGCTCATGAAGCAAGTATTTGAAAAGCTCGTATGTTGACCATGCGATGGCAGTCGACGGCATCTGGTACATCACTCTGGCTTGGAGACCCTGGAAGAAGCGAAAACGCAGATTTAGAAATGGAACCGCTTATCACTCAATTCGACTATCGGAGTCTTTGGCGTATTGCTCTAGATAACTCACTCTGACGAAACCCGGCAATCCGCAGCATAAATGGATTGTCGACGCCGCGTGCCAGAGACCACGGATCCGCGATTGTTTCGTTGCCTCGAGCATCGTCACCTCCTGAGTATTGAGGAGGGTTTTGCACACGTCCAGCGGTGTCGTGAAAGCAGCGGCAAGTGCTCCTGCCGCTGCGCCGCTGATCATGTGTGCCGACGGATTGTAGGTCCGCGAGGGATTCGTCCACTGCAAGGAGAACAGTCATTCGATTAATCTTCTGGGACAGCTCAATCAGTCCGCAAAGTCAGACTGTGGTCTCAGGAACCGTATTATGAGGACATCCGGACATGCGGAACAGCTCCTGTTTTTTGACAATAGCGTCGGCTAGCCCGGAATTGTGATGGGTGCTCAATCTTCGACAGCGGTGTCCGTGGACAAACACTAATTCAAACAGCTCTATTTCACGGGCAGAAATCGCCCCCTGCCGCTTCTCAAGACTGTCGCTGTTGAAAAATGTAAAAGCGGAATGAGGGTTCGGCGCGGGACGATGTAACTACCGGTCATCTTTCTGTGACCTCCTGCATTGGAATATATTGGATTGGATCCGCTTCGTTCCGGACAAATATTCTTCGAAAAGTAAATAGAGAAAAAGGCAGGAGGGCGAAAATCAGAAACCCGGCACGGGGTATACCCATGGTCAACGTACGACAAATGAGCTATCTTCCCCCCGATTTTGTCCAAACCGAGCTGAGAATCCCGCATCCCAGCCTGTCCCGCGGAAATTTTCGAAAACAGGGAGGAACGAAAATTCCTCAAGGATCTCGCAATCGGAGGATCGCTTCGAACGATTCCGAATTCTCTGAACGAGACCCCTCGATCCTCGAATGCCGCACAGGGCACAGCACCGAATCTAGTCGGACGATCGTCGATCTTGGAGGGTCAGCATGACGCAGACGGCCTGGCTGACGAATGTCTGAACTGAGCTTGGTTATTCCCCCGCCGAAATATCAAGTTTAATCCGGGACGTGTCGCTGACCATCTATTTGTTTCAAGGTCCGAAATCCAACTTGGAGTCTCTTGATGGATTCCGGCGGAGCAACGGCTGAGTGGACGGGACATCAGGACTGAGAGCCAACGTCAAGTGGTGCGAACAGCATTGGGAGCCCCCGTCGTCGCTCCCGAGAGACGGCTCCGAAGTCGGAGTCGGCGATAGTATCCGAATTCCGGTCACTGCGGAGCCTGTTCCAGTGGGGGAGCAGATCCCCCTAGGTTTTCATGAATGCCATTCCATTGGGCCTGGCTGCGTAATCGAGCTCCCGACGCGAGCTTATCCGCTTGATCGGTATGAGCAGCGCGCAGAATAATCATCTGATCGACTCCCACTATCGATGCCCGTATTGAGTGGAGATACCCCCGGTCTACGGTCCTCTTCTCGACTTGTTACCATTCGATGCTAACCAAGCCCAAAGGTCGGGATGCGAGCAGCTATACCGCTGAACCACCTTGACAGCACCTTGGTTGGACATCGAAGTAAACATCGGACTCGCCCACGATTTCTTCATCACGAGGATTGAGGGAGAAACGTCGAGAGTCGAGAACCGCCAATATCAGCTCAATCGAAAATATCTCCTTAGCCTGCGTGAATAGAACATCCACAAAAACTCCGATGCCATGCAACCGTATGAATTCCCGAAATATGAAACCGAATGCGCGAAAGTCCTGCGAGCTATTTGGGTACCCGAGGATAAATGAGCGTCTCCGTGGATAATGTCTTTTTTTGACCCTCTATCTGGCATATGATTCAACAGCACAAGGGTAATTCGAAGCTTTCGTCGTTAATTTGTCGCCGCATGTACCGGCGGTCCGATGCCTCGGGCATTCGGACAGCTTCCGGGCGATAGCGTCTCGACATTATCGTCCGACGTAACAATCGCGATTTCCAGTATTTCTCTTTCGGATTGTAAATTTAGCAGAGAACAGAAAATTCTCTATCGTCCGAATGATCGCTCATCACACTCTTGACATCCGAATGCACAAACAATAGATCTCCACGTCTTAGTATCGTAGATCTGTATTTTTTTCTGCTTTGATCGATTCAAGAACCCTTCACAGAAGGCGAGAAAATGTCGATGGATTCGCAAGAGCTTTGGGGGAGAGTCGATGACGCCTCTCTCATGATCGCTCTCGAATTATTGCTTTTAATTGCACTGTTCGGAGAGAAAAATAACGGACAAAGTTCCCAAAGCGGGACGCGAACCAGCAGTCACACACCACGCCTAAGGGTGATCGTTCCGCCGTGTTCAAATGAGCACTGTGATGTTATAATTGCAGAAACTCTGGGCGGATTCGCCCCAGAAGGCCAGCACAGAAAACGTATCTTTCCGTTTCCGTTGCTCGTTGACGCTGACGCATGACGAACAGCTCGTTCGCGTCAACAATTTCTCGCGATTGATATATTTTCACGACCCTTACTTGGCGCTAAACAAGGACTCCTGTGATCGGGTTTGTTCTCGACGTTGTCGCTTTCCTGTCCCGAAGCCATCGATAATTTAGTCGGGTTGGCATCGCACATCGAGCCACTACTCCATCTGTCCACCTCTCGCTTGAGGGACCGAGAAAAGTGAAAGGTTCGAGACACTCACGACAGCCGAAGGAAACCAAATGAAAGAGACGGATTAGGCTTGCGAAACGGAATCCGTTAGACATGATGCGAAAACCTCCTCCTTCTCCCGCCGTCAGAGCCTCAGCGAACTTCACAACGGGAATAGATTACGGCAACGCAAAGATTCATGGAAGTGAATCTTTTACGACGAGAAAAAAACCTGTTACTTCCAGAAAATTTCCGAATGGTTCCGATAAAAGACACGCTTGTTTCCGAAGCCGGCCGGTCTGCCTGCCCGTTCGCCATGTGGCCTATTCTTTTCGCCCCTGGTGTTGAAAGCGCGTGACGTAAGTTTTCGAGCAAGCTCACCAGTGCTCTCCTCCGACTTCTGCTGCGGAGTTGCCTCGAGTCAGGAGAGCGGACGGTCCCTGAGAAATTTTTATCGAATCCATCGTCGCATCAGCGAATTCAGACAAACTCAACGAATCCATAAACTTCGACCAACGTCACGGAAGCACAGGGGCGCATTACTAGTGTTTAGCGAAACCTTCAACGAACAACAGTTTTTCTTTCGCTATCAGAAGAGCTGAACTGATGCCGATAAAATCGGGAGAAACTCGCGTAGAATATTGGAATTCGCTTGTTCGCTTGCATGTCGCTATTTCGCCCGCATTCGTACGGTCAGGTGACCAATCAATAAACAACCGGTGGAGAACGTTGACCTTCTATGCCAGAGATTTTGAGTTAAACGTTCTGTGGGTCGTCTGTCTAGAAGAATGGTCGAAAAATGCAACGGGAGGGGGCGACTCACGATGACTTTCGGCTGGAGAGAATAATGTGTCAAACCTCCTTGTTTTCGGCTTCTTTCCGCGACAGGGAATTTCGTGCATGATTTATCGGACGATCATAACACGGATTTCGTCAGAGATACAGAATCAGGGAACTCGACATCATGAAACTGCCGGTGAGGTAGCAGAGCCGTCAGCGTTCGATCAACACACAAGAAATCGATTTGATTGACTCGGGGGCGAGCTCTTCTCGGAGGGAACCCGAGGCTATTCACATACTCGTGATGATAACGGATCGGATACGCGCTTGAATAAACAGCCGGGTTTCTCGGTGGTGCTCCACAAGGCGGAAGGGACACCATTTCATGGACGAGAACATTTCCTTTCCATGCAGTGTATTCAGCACAATGGCTGTTTCGTTCGCGGCTGGGAGAAAACGACGACTGCGGACACATGGTCGACATCCCAGCCGGACAAACCGAAACAAGAGGGTTAAAACAATGCTTTTCATGAAGATTACGCGCGTTCTCGTACAATGGCAACCCTCGATCGATCACCGACTGCATGAGTTCAATGCTGACCTGATCTTCACCATCCAGATTATCCATTCATGTAGGTACTTTTCGATATGCCGTCATCTTCAGATGCTCAGTTCCTCGAGTCTCACAGAAAAATGACTTTCTCAGCGAAGTACAATGGAATTGGTCCTTGGTCCCTCCTCAAGGAAGGCCTATGACACAACATGCTTCCAAAACAGCGGCTAAGCAAAATGTTCGCTGTCAGATCTAAGGGTGCGTCCAGAAATTTTCCTTTTGCAAATTACGTTTATTCCATTTGGTGTCTTGATTTCCGCAAAATACCTCCGTTCGACAAGCCGCCGTGCGGGCGGACGGGTGTATACATGGCGGCTCGCCTCGATGCCGTTAGATCTGATCGGTTTTGGCTAAATCCACGGCGTTCCGCGCGCTATACAACATGTACGTAGATAAATATCGAAGACCTGGATCCCGAAGCCGAAATCCATGCAGAGATGAGCTTACAGCCGAAGTCGACGTGGTTTGTCGACCCGCCATCGACGGACTTCACTCGAGTGATTCGCGAAAGAGTGCTTTATTTGCTCTAAAACAGAGCTACATTCTAATCGCGTTACTTCAATCGCCGGTTCGCAGCGCGGCTTGTTCCCTTCACTTGAAAAGTTTGTAAACCTCTCGAGAGTGGTTCCACGTTTTCTCGGAACATCCTAGTTCCGACGGTTGCTGTGTCCGAAGGCTTACTCGGAACGATTGAGCGAAAAATTCGCCGCCACCCCCGAAGGATCGTCGATTGAGAGACGCGGGTCTAAATCCTTCACACCTGAATGGTTTCACCGCTAGATTTGGACTGTACCGAAAACAGGAGTCCGTGAAAATTCTAAGGGCTGAACAGCAGCGGTAATTTGATTAGAAATCGGCTGCGCGAATTTCTACTCCGTGGAATCACATCCGAGAGCACCGGCTCTAGACCGCGCAGCGCCAGGGGGGATTCTCCGACATCGGAGAACAGTGACGGATTTTCCTTGCATGAGGGATCGCGGGAGAGTCTACCCGCGGTCACGGTGAAGCCGATGACATGGATCAGCGTTCAGAGACAAGCTACGAAACATGGCCGCCAGAGGCATACGGACGACGGAGATATACGGGTGCTCGGACGGACAATAGTGCACGCACTCTAGCTCCATAAGTTACAACAATTACTCGGGGTTTCAGACAACGCCCTCACAGAGGCGTCAAGCGACATTCATCAGTCGAACGCGCGTCACCACACCCCTCTGAGACGCGAGCCCAGTCCTCCGGAAGGTTTTGCTCGGAATCCCTCGACATACGGAGGTCCGCCGGAACGAAAATTCCCACTAGAATGTCTAGCCCATGCGGGTTTCAGACCGTCGAAGGGTGAGCGCGCTAGTTCGTCTCCTTGACGCTCCAACGGGGAATTCAACGATACCGACGAGAATCACCTTCGGAGCTGACCAACATACGGGACAGCACCGCTCACTCGGACAGCCAGAAATAAATTCTCAATTTATTGCTCTCCATCTGTCTATCTATCGCATAACATAGAGGCAACAGCTCGAAGCGACCCACGGCCAACAATAGGATGCCCCGTCTTCAAAGGATGCTATCTTTTCGTTATCCTCACACCATTCCAGAAAAACACCCAGCTCCGTACGGCCCCGACGTACGTTACTCGACACCCACCTCGATTCTTACGGAGTTCTGCGATCCGCCGCGCGCGCTGCCGAACTCGCTTGACGTTTCTTATAATCATCCGATAGAAGTCTTTCATGCGACAAGCGGCTGTGACAATGCGGTCAGTTTTCTTACCACGAGCCATCGGAGATTTTTTTCGAATAAAAAAATGAGCCTTTCTATCTTCCTCCATAATCTTCAATAAACTGTCCCCGACCCCGACGTCGCAATCGTCAATTGACGGATGCCGCTCATAAGAGAATGCCGGCATCGATCACAGCCTCCGGTGGTCAAGACCGCAAGCATTTCGCAAAACAGAAAGGATAGTTTTGTTGCGACCCCACCCGGTCCGGATTTCTGGTAGAGTGCAACGCGTGGTTTTCACGCGTTCGACCAATTCTGAACTAAATTGAGCCGCTAATATATAATGAAAGTGTGGATTGGACAAAGGAAGGCTGTCTGAGATCGTCGTCACCCAAAAACGCATCAATCACACGGACAAACGAAGTCTTTCGTCTATCCGTCAACGTTCGAGTTCCGGAAAACGCTTGCGCTCCGAGCTATGTTTCGGTCTGGCCGTCGGTCCGCTCATAAGCTGCCTCCTTCAAGATCGGTGCAACGAATCCAGAATCGGGGAATCCCTCCGTCGACCTTCTACGGGGGGCGAGGGCAGCTTATAACGCGGCGGTCCGGCGCAACTCCCCACCATTGAGGAGACAGACCAACTTCGAATTTGCATCGGCGCGCGGAATCATCGAAGTGAAATGTTTAGTAAGGTGTGTTTTGATTGAATAGTGAAGGCTCGGGGATATCCGCAATATTGAATTTAGAGTTCCGAATCTTAGTTCCGTGCGAGTGTATTCAGTTCAGTGCCGTGCATTCCAAGTGTTCTCTCGGTGCTTGTCCCTTAAGCGGATACTTCAAAATGTCTCTTCCGATGGCGCAGAAGAGTCACGTACTCGATCTGTCACGTCCAAAGAATCGATACACCTCCGATTGATAAACTGATCGATAAAACAATCAGGTCTCAGGGGAAGGAGGTCCGCTCGTCCACCTCAAATCCCCCGCGTATTCAATGATTTATTCGGATTCGAGTACGGTAAATCAAAACTTTTCCAACTTTTAGCTCGTGGTTCCCCTGTGCTTCGCCGCCGTGGCGGTGGAAGCCCAGCTTCGTCAATTTCCGGTGCCGAGTCGACTCGTCTACGGACCCACAGTGCCCATCGCGAAAGCCGCCCAAGAATTGGCCTTGGGCTACGCCGCCTCGATGCCTAACGGGATCGTCACGAGTGCCCCGACGAGTTACGGAAGCCGAGTTTCCAAACTGTCTCGGCATAGTGCTCCGAATCCCACGCATGGAGCCTACCCCGCGTCTCTCGCGGTGTCACGAGCTGCATCACCGATACTCTCGGTCCCGCGATATTCAGCGGCCCCAGTTTACCGACCCGCGTATGCAGCACCCATCGCGGCAGCTCCGCTCGTTGCGGCGCCCGCATTTGCTCCAAAAGTCGCGCCCCAGTATTATGCTGCTGCAGTTCCAGAACAAGTATATGCCCCACAGTCGTATTCTTTCGGATACCAGTCTGTGGACGAGCACGGCAACCGTCAATCAAGACAAGAGCAAGGCGACGCCAACAATTTCAAGAAGGGCTCATACTCGTTCACGGACGTTTACGGAATCTCTCGCCGAGTCGACTACGTTGCGGATCACGGCGGATTCCGGGCAACTATTAACACTAACGAGCCGGGAACAGCTCCTTCAGCTCCGGCAGCAGCTCTGTACACAGGACCCGTTGTTCATAGGAAAGCCTAGGCGCGTTCGCGCAATGTGTGAAAGGATTAAGTCGGCTAATAAACATATTTATTGTAACGGAACAAATCGCTTTTCACCTCCAGCCCCGAGCTAGTTCCACATCAGTCGTTCTGCGTTCTAGCTTACCAACGACGACGAGTCTCCGGGACTGTCACCAGCAACGAATCGTCGGTAAATGACTCGGAATCGCGAACGGTCATGCGAACCGTATACCATTCACTTTCAGCGACACAGAAGCCAACGGATTCAGCTGATGGGTGTTTTGGGAACGACTATTCAATTCATTCGATAATCGAGACAAAGGCGGCAATAGCAACGAGTTACCCCCTCGAGCGACGCGCCTCAATTCCTGAGGGTACCTTATCCCGTCGGACATCGAGGATGTTCTCATGATTCGGTGAGCGTATTCTCCCTCTCTCGTCGGACCGTAGGTCCTCGTCAAGTGAGAAATGAGGAACAATCCCGAGGCTTCAATAGACGACGCGGATCAAGAGTCTCAGATTATGACAACAACAACAATCATTCGTGGATGCTCGGAATCTATCGGTTTCAAATTCGCCACGGTTAAACGCTTCTCGGTCCAGTGCCGATCGCTTCCTGCCGGATTTTCGTCCCTTGCACAAGAACCGATGCCATTGAGCGGAAAGTCGGCCTCCGGTGCCTTTGGGGCCGCCTTTCTGTACGCTCATTCACATCGGCAGTACAGTAAGAAATTATCGGGGAAATCACGCCACGGAATTTTTTGGGACTACCTTTATCAGTAATATCACACGGAACTTCTTGCAGGAGCTTGACTTGAAACCGCGATCCAAACGGCGCGTTCAAGCCTAGGGATTGCTTAATATAAGTTGAATTCTGCAAAGATTATATCCGGGGCATGGCTCGATCCCGAACGGTAGCCGCCGACGGCCAGAAGAAACACATCATTAATGGAGGCACCGTCTGCTATTCCGTCCCGCCTGAATAGAATATCCGTATCGTATAGGTCCACCGAAGTCCGATTTCACAGTTCCTGATCGACGCGACGCTATCACTGCGTATGGAGACGACGAATCTCTCTCAACGGATTCGGTCGGACGAAACGATTGAGGAATGAAAATGAAATCAGCACTGCGGAAAAACGCTCAATTCGATACGGAGTCTCGGTGAACCATATCCAGGGAGAGAATTTTCTTTGGAGAGCAGATTGACGAACGACAGTGTTCTCTTCCAGAATTTTTCGGCGTATCGAAGAGAGCCTTCTGCCGAGTAAGAGTCTCGATCTGGGCGAGATTCTCTTACGTCGGAATTTCCGCCTTTTTCAGCGACTATTATGCCGTTCAAGAATCTATTTCGTCAGAATCTGGCGAAAGAAAGGTGCAGAATATACATCGATATCCCCAATCGTCTGACAGGCGGCGTACTTTTTGAGCGAAAGCTCAGTCGGTCGTTAATCTATCGCTAATCCAAGCCCCGCCCTCAGATATCTACCGAAAAGGACCTTCCCGATTTCTCGGCGCAGATTTCTATCCAAAAAAATCAGAATCAGACGCTCGCGACCAAGGCGCGTCGACGACGCGGTAAAGCCCTTAGACGATTATGAGCGCCATTATCCACTGGACGTGTCCTTAAAGCGAATACGATCCGTTCATGACAAAAATATGATTTCATGTCAACGCGCTTGTCGACCGACGCGCTTTGAGAAAAACTCTTGAGCAGGAGAGAATCTCCCATTCGACAATGGGCGTAGCGTCGTCGAGCCGCAGAATGCGGGGAGTATTCGTGAGCTCCTCGTCGTCGAAGAGAATCGAGCAAACCACGTTTTGTCAGGTCGGAGGAAACGCTTGCAAACGAGAGGTGTAAGAACATAATCAGTGACTTACCTCCGTGAGGAATTCATATGTAACAAAATGCACGCATTGGAAGGGTATGTTCATCGACAGTTGAGTTGTGAAAGACCTATAGAAAGCCTTGACGCCTTCGGAGCGCCAGACGTGCGCAAGGCAGTCGGTGCAGCTCTTGTACGGGGAGTTGTACATCTGCATTCTTTGCTTGACTACTTCGGCTGGGTTCATCACAGAGTCATGCATCAATGTTGCCAATCCTCCTGCTAAACCTGGAAATTAACAGAATTCGAAGTTTTAAACCAGCTCCGCACATCTACAATACAACTCCGTGGCCTTGCTGACTCGAAATAATGAGAGCTCGAACGAGACAGATGACGCCGTTCTCACCGGCCACCGATACAGAGGGAAAAATCTGGGCTTTCCCAAAGACACCCAATCAAGAATTCTCCGAGAGATGCGGAGGATCGAACGCAAAGTGCTCTTCCTCCTTCGAAGTTTACGGAGGTCTCTCCTTCTTCCCCCCGCGAGCGTCTCAGCTCTAACAGCGTCAAAGCTTCGAGAACTCCTCCCGGGAATTCCGACAAAAAAACTGCCCACTGCGTTGATTCAAGGTCTCATGAAGTTTGTATTTGGATTGTAACAATGGAAACGGCAGCCGCGAGAAATACAGTGATGAAGACCGGGGAATCCTTATCCGGTTCTTTGATAACATTCAGAAATTCCGTTCGAGTACCCGTCTCCCCCCTTCGATGCTCGCCTGGAGCGAGTATCGGAGAGGCGATGAGTTTATCATCTATCTTTTCATCTGAATCTATTTTGATAGCCTGTGTTCGGGATAACTTTTCATGAACTTGAATTTTCTAAGATGCGGAAGAGTTTGATAGAGTCTGAATCGGGTAGCTGAACAGAGTTGAAGCGGCAAACGACAGCCGCGGCACTGGACTAGTTATTTCTTCCCGAGTGATACAGGGGTATCTTAACACCACCTGCGCATCATGGCAGCCAAGCATCGAAGCTGGGGGAATAATAAAGACGAATGACTCTCTTGATAAGGCGAAGCAGCCTTGAATGAGACTTACTCCCGAGGGGGGGGACACAGTGAGGTATGACATCTCTCGCATGGTGACAGAATGGAAAAATCATTGGCAAACATTCTTCCTCTGTACGCTTCGTCAGATTGTAGAGGGTCAGAATCACATGCAGACAACGAGAACTCAACACTCACACTGACTGATAGGACTTCTCGCGCCGTTTTCCGTCCCACTCAATTGACGTTTCAATTTCTCGTAAGCACTAAAATAAAGCGCGTGAGCGGGTCCTGACCCCACGACAACAGCGGATATTCCTCTAACAGGTCGGAGAGCACCTTCGTATCGTATCATCTTGTATAAGGCATCCGTGACGCCTGTATACCGAGCGCCAGCGATCGGTCGTAAGGACTGCAACCGGGTCTGTAAGAGAAAGAAAGTATTATACTCAATGAGGACGGCGATCGCGAGAGTCTTCTCAGGAGAAAATATCCGAATTCAGTCCCGGCCATCAAATTCGCCGTCGACTTCTGGAGGCATGCTCAGGCCTGCACTAATCTTGCATCTGCATCGCATTTCCGAATCGGGACTTTGATTGAGCTCCCCTATCCGTAAGTCTCTCTCGAGAGGCCGACAAGAAACTCGCGA